GTCTGATTGTGGAGAGCGTTGATACCGTCGTGGATGGGCCTGAGAGCCTCGTTCCTGACCATGGCCAAGCGCTGGATGCGATCGAGCTCTTCGCGTCTGTTGTTGTCGAGCATGCGGATTTGATTGCTAATGCCGCGAAGGCCGAGTTCGGACTGGAGTCGAAGCAGATGCTGCTTTGTGCTGTCTTTGGAGTTGCTTTCGTAGATCGAAACGAACACGTTTTTCTCGCCCAGGCGCTCTGCCAAAGTGAGGAGCGATTGCGAAAACGAGGGAAAGAGATGTTCCGAGTTGTACAGGTCGACGGCGATGAAGAATGTCTGACTTTGGCCTTGCTCGTATGCGTCGTTTGAGAAGGCATGTCGAGGACTGACGGTGAACGTTCGCCATATGACGGTACAGAGCAGTGCGAGGAGGATTGTAGCCTTGAGGCGATCACGTCCCGATGCTGACTGGGCTGTAGATCTAGAAGCGATGGCTGCGAGAGTCGCGATGGTGGCAGCGGGGACGCCGAGCCAGACCAGAGCAAGATAAATGTGCAGAGTGGAGAACATGCGAAAGTAGACGTGTGCCAATGTTGAAGCAAAGAGGGGCAGAACGATCAGCCACGGGACCAGCCCGGTTGAAGACCTCTCGGCGAGGGTGTTGAGATGACGAGTCCATGATGTCGAAGTGCGGGCAAGCTTCGGAAGAAGACGTGTAGAATGTGGAACTCCGACGCCTTGGACGTGGTCGAGATGTGATGCGACTTGATCGTGTTGCAAGGGCAGGAGCGGCAGCTTCTGGACGTCTTGCCAAGTCGACATCGTCAGAGATGCGCATGTGATGATGGGGACTGGAAGAAGTGCAAAAGGGGATAAAGACAGCTGCGGGATCAGTGCAGCAGCTCGTCGGTTCTCATGGCTGGCTGGTGCAAAGTGCGGCAGAAGATTGACCGAGCGGAGCGTTGCGGCGTATGAGGTGGGCGGAGTACAGAGGCACCAGGCGCAAGGGAAGAGGGTTAACTTACGCCCGTACCCACCGAACTGGAACCGTGCATCTGTGCTTTTCTTGTGGGAGGCGAGCCGCCAATGCGGCTGCGCACACCTTCACAATGGGGCGCACAACTCTAAAGTGGGCTGGAAGAAAAGGGCCGAAGGAGTGAAAGTGCCGAAGCGGACCCTGTGCACCTTCGCGCTACGATGATAACTTCCGGATCCATGAACAAATTGCTCCCTGACAGTTGCCAATGCGCGAGCTACGCCTCTTCAGATCCTGGATCAGGACCGGCTCCACGCATCGCTGGCGGTGCAAAGATGTGCTGCAGAACGTGCATGGTCGGGGTGCGTGCATGAGCGTGGCCGGTGTGCTGGCCGAAGGGGAGGGGGGAAAAGGCGGTGCTTTCAAGGCGGTGCTGCTTGTGCAGCTGCGACTTTCCACCCCTGTCATATTTCGACAGACAGAGGCTTCGGCTGTGATTTTAGAGCTCGACTGGCTCGAGCAAAGATGGGCAGATGCCAACGTGGGCTACTGTTGCTTCAGCTCTGCTCTGACGCTCCAACGCTAAGCATGCGGGTTCGACTTTCAGGGTCCATTTGCGCAACGTGTTTCGGCTGTTGGATGCCGCTCGCCTGCTGGAGCCAGAAGGCGTCCCCAGGGCCTCGCGCCGAGCCATGCCTGTTGCACTTTCGATTTATGCCGCCGGCACGCGGACCTTGCTTTCGGTTTGTCGTGCCAGTTCAAGGCTCTGCCGCGAGAATTCAATTCAGACCGGCCATGTTGGATTGGCCTGCTTCTCCTCGAGCTGTAAAGGACCCTGCAGCCCGCAGCCATTCTGCTCCTCCCGCTCGCTTTGAAGACCGCCCGCGCCAGAAGAAGCCGGAGCTCACAGCAGTTCAGGCTCCGCCGGCACCCTGGAATGAATGTGGCTTCCTCCGCCCTTCGCACACCCATCCCTCGACCTGCATCCCGCTCGGCCAAATCGGCCGATCTGGATCCAGCAACAAAGTTGTGCGCCTGCGCTCTACTCAGTTGGACATTTGATCGGGTCCACTAGCTCGCGGACAAGTGATGATCCGCGCTACCAAGTCAAACGGTGCCGCAGCAGCGGGTCTACCACGATGCATGAATTCGACATGCGTCTAGACTCTGTCATGCAAGGTCGTCCGAAGGAGCGGACGAGATGTCGAGCGAGGATCGCGAGCGCCGATTCTCAATCGCGCCTCCTGGCGGAATGCTAGCTCCCTGCGCGACTGGCTGCTCCTCTTTAGCAGCCAAGTCTTTTTCGCTACTGCCTCCAGTGCTGGCGGCAGCTGCGGCGGTGGCGGGTGCGGCTGCTGCCTCTTTGCGTTGCTTGGCGTGCTCCCTCAGCTTCCCGCCGTGAATGTACAGCAACAAGGGCAGTGGCGTCAGCAGCAGCGCGAGCCCTCCCAACAGGCTCGTGGCTCCCTGCACTGTGATGCCTTTGCACATTTGCCGCGTGAAGAGCGGCTGCAAGGACATTCCATCAAGAGGTCATGTCGTCGACGATGAGTAGGATTACAAGCGTCAGTTTCTCGTAGAAGTGTTCACGTTCGCCCGCGTTGCTGTGTGCTTACCAGCGCAGCTGCCAGAGCAGATCGACAAAAGCCAGCGGCGGCTAACACGCTCGGAGCTGAGGGGCCTCCATACGCCACTAGGTAGGGGATCAACGATGTGAATGCAGACATCGACCCGGCGCACAGAAGCACAATGCCAATCGCGGGAACGATCCAGTGAATACCTGTAGACAGCCACAGACGACGAGCACGGCAGTCAGCTTGTCAGCGCGCTCAGTTGAGGCAGAATTGTCGTCTCGATGCTGGGAAGACACTCACTTGTGAAAGGTACGGTCCATGCGAACAGGAAGAGTCCGACCGGTGCAAGCGCACATCCATAGATCGCATGGATCAGCGACGCCTCGGGTGGTAGCACCGTCTTCCCCGTCTTGGCACGGATGCGTCGATTGATGGCTTCTTGGACAAAGACGTAGTTGGACGAAGCCATGGCGAAGCCGATGAAGAGCGTGATGTAGATCAATCCGATCGCCTCGGGCTTGAAGCGACGGATCGAGGCAAACGCGAACGGGATGATGACGAAAAAGTCGTAGATGATCGCATACAGCAGCGACGTGTACACAGAGATCACCAGCACCACCCGATCTACACGTGAACGAGCGCCAACAGCCATATTGCAATAGCGTGGGGCGCCTGATCAGCAAAACACGCTCGACAGTTTGGAGGACTAACCCTAACCCTAAGTCACTCACCTGTAAGTAGCCAATGGAAGGGTAGCTTGACGGAGCGCACCATCGCTGTGCCGAACGAGCGTGTCGCATCCTCTACGCGCGCTGACCATCGAGCCTTGTCTGCAGTCTCGACCGATTTTGGGCCGTCGTTCAAAGCATACTTGGCGTCGTGGATCCGCTTGAGCTTCGGGTGGTCCGTCTCGGGTACAAACAGGACGCCGAACACCGTAACCACCGCGATAAAGATGGCCTGGTGCCGCATATTCCATCGCCAGCCGGCACGCTCGTTGACAAACGCACCCACCAGTCCGCCGAGCGAAGGACCCGCGAAGGCCGAAAAGCCGTAGCATGTGAAGAATGGCGCGAATCCGGCCGGCGTGGTCATGTCGCTGTAGGACGCCGGCACGTTGTTGAGGGCCGAGGAGCCAGCGATGCTGCTGACCAGACGAAAGACCAAGATGACGGCCAAGTTGTTCGACTCGGACATGACAAAGCAGCACGCCGTAAACACGATCCACGAGTAGACGTAGACGGGACGTTTGCCCGTGGTCTGCGCCAAAGGACCCATCAGCAGGGGACCCAGCGCGAATCCCAAAACGTATAGCGAAAGACCGAGTGTGACCACCTCGGCACTTGCGTCAAATTGGCGCTGAAGCGACGTCGCCGAAAGAGCAAAGGCCGTCGAGAGGTAGGTGAAGGAGAGTACCATGCTTCCCAGGATAAGAGTGACGCGCACTTTCTTGCGAGTGCTCCACTCTCGAGGGTTCTCGACGGGCGGTGCATCGATGACTTCCGTCATGTTGCCCAGATTGAGGTTGAGCTTTCCGAAGAGACGCGGTGACTTCTGGTGGTCGTTGAAACACTGGCTGGACGAGAAAACAAGCTCGCGATCCGCAAAGCAGTGTGGGTTGTCGTTCCCAAGTGGCAGGTGGAGCTCGGGTCGACCTTGACCAGGCCTGGTCTTATGATTCTAATGACTCCTTGAGGCTCTGATGGGAGCACGCTGCGATTCTAGAGATGTAGATGCGTCCGATGTGGTGTGGGTCCGTGGCGCAAAGTTCGGAGACAGGCCCAAGCTTTTGGTGAACCGAGAGTGCCGCAAGTGCGGACTTGGCCGAGTTTCGAGCCGGCTAGAGCATCAGCCAATCTTGAATCTCGCCAGCGGCAAAGGCGTTGCGGATCGGTGGGTCAGAGAAGTGGTGGAAGTGAGGATATGAGCGAAATCCTCGTCCCCTCGCTGACGGTGGTGTCCGGCTATCAAAAGCAGCCAGTCATGGCCGATGTTACCCGGCTCGAAATTGCAGGCTAGCAACAGGGTCCGGCAGCTTCTCGCGCAGGCTGAGCAGTGCAGGCCGACCGCGTTTGTCCGAAAAGACGGAACTACGGACATATGTCAACAGCCCCTTCCCTCTCGGCACAGATGGGCTCACGTGAACGCCTGGCATTACGTTTGCGTCCGAAAGTGAACGTGGCACCAGGCAATGCAGTCCGAGCCAGCCCATGGCCGAGTCTCTGAGACGCAGATCGACGTTGGCGCCAGCTGAGCGGGCCGCCGTGGACGAGTGCGGCACTATCGAATCGTCGGACTCCGAGGCCCTCAAAAGAACGCCGTGCCGGACCCGCGTTGGCGTCTCCGGGAGGACCGGCTCTCTGGCGAAACGGCCGAGTTTCCCCTTAGAAACCTGCGATCTCACATGCGGGCGAAAAATCACCGCAAGAGAATCGGTGATCCCTAAGAGTCTCCGAGCATAGATCGCAGATGCATGTCCGCTCGTCCGAAGGCCTAGGATGCAGTTTCGATGCACTGGCCACGCTGAGCGATCCGGATCCTGCGGGTGCAGCTTGCCGTCATCCCATCATCCTGATCTCACCCATCGTAGCCTACGTGTGGCTAGGCACGTTCTCGACAGTCGCCATGCCGACCGGATTGGCGGAATTCACGCCGTACCATAGCCTGGCTGGCGGGCTGATGATGGCGGCATCCCTGCACACCCTTCTATCCAAGCTGGGTCTCGTCCTCGGCATCTCGGGCTTCTTCCACTCGACTGTCACCTCGACCCTGAACAAAACAGGACTCCGCAAGGACAGTACTGCGCCGTCTATCTACTCGACCGTTGCTCCCTACTTTACCGCCGGTATTTTTGCGGGTGGGATCATCCTCGGCCTAGCACGCCCCCGCATCGAGACAGAACTCGGAGTCTCGATTCTCGACAACGGTGGCGCAGTGCGAAGCAACAGCCTCTTGCTGTCTGTAGCTTTCGGCGCTCTCGTCGGCTTCGGTACAAAGGTGAGTCGTGCTGGGCTGATTTGCAATCCAACCTACACCCTTGTAGACGGCTGCAACTGACGCTTCTCGTTCCGCACACTTTTGTCTATCTTCATCAACAGCTCGGCAACGGCTGCACGTCGGGTCATTTCCTGTGTGGTCTGTCGCGCTTCTCGCTGCGCTCCCTCGTTGCCACCGCTACATTCTTCGGCGTAGCTGTACTCACCCATGTCTTCAACGTCTTCAACGTGGCCAAGTCTGCCACGCCGACGCCGGCCTTTGGGTCTGCCTTCGCCAGCCACCTTCCTGCTGCCTTCCCCAAACCCAACCTGGGCACTTTGCTGGCCCTCCAGCTTCCCGCGTTGGCCTACCTTGCTGCGCCTTCCGTACTTCAGGGCGGCGAACCGTCGGATTCGACCTCAAAGACACGCGCGGCAAAGCAGCTCTTGGCCGCCAAAATCATGGCGCTAGCAGTGGGTGTGCATTTCAGCTTCGCTCTCGGCGTCAGCGGCATGATGAGGCCTTCCAAGGTACTCGGATTCCTTTCCCTGTCTCCCGCCCTGGTTTCGTCGGGAAGATGGGATCCATCACTTGCTATGGTCGCCATTGGCGGCATCATCCCAGCCTCAATCGCATACTTTCAGCAGGTAAAGCCCAAGCAGGATCAACTTCGTCGGCTCAGCTCTTCTTCCAAGAAACCACAAGATGCCAGCAGCCGGCTGCGGCCAAGACTGTCGCTTGTAGCACCAGAATGGCGGACACCAGCTGATCCGTCCAAGATCGATGCCAGACTGGTCCTGGGCGCCATCCTCTTCGGTCTTGGCTGGGGAGCCACTGGACTGGTAAGTTGGACCAAATTGCCTCGAGTCCTGAATATGCATACATTGGATGAGTTTTGCTAACCAACGAAATGCGCCATTTGAACACAGTGCCCGGGACCAGCGCTCGCCTCCCTGGCCTCATTGGGAGCAGAGGCAGTCGGACGAGGCAGCATGTCGGCTGTCTCGGATCTCTTCGTGTTTGTAGCAACCATGGCAGCGAGCGGCCAGCTTGCAGCCAAGATCTAAGTCGCTATCACTTCCAGCTGACGGTCTCGAAGGCTGCTTTCTGTGCTACATGCGGGTGCGTGCTTGAAGCAGCTGTCGATAGAAAAAGTTGTCCGGAGAAAAGCTCTCCCAGGGGAACGGCATTGCTTCCGACGCTTGGTTTGTGACTTCGCCGTGCAGCAGAAACGCTGGTATCGCATCTGGTCCCGCTTTGGGCAGGATGCGCTCTAGGGCCAACGCTTGCCCATCGTGGGTTATTTGAGCAAAGTCAGGTCCGACTGCAGCAGCTGCTGGCGCCTGTGGCGAGTGATGGAACAAGCTATCGGGCAGATCGAGAACCAGAGCTGCTGCATGATCGCTCTGGTCGAGTCCGAGACTTTTTGCTGAAGTAGGACGTGCTTCAGAGTCTCCAACTTGCAGAGCCTGGCTGTCGGTGTCCAATGAGGGCAACGAGCGTGTGGTCGATGCGGAACGAGCTCGGCCGCCACAGCCACCTTCGAGAGCGATGCGATCTTTGCACAACTCGCTTTGGACGCGCTTGAAATTGCTCGAACTCAGATCTTCGCTCGTCCTTTGCGCGCAACCGGATAGCAGCGAGACCGTTTGCTGGAGGTTGAGGCATTTTTGCTGGAGCGCTTCGATTTCGTCGAGACAAGCCTTGATGAATCCGGACTGCCTGTGATGGTACGCAGATGATGCATTGACGACCACCGTCTTGAAGAGCTGTGACGCTGGGACACCTTGCAATTCGGGAATGAGTTCAGCGAGGGCCTTTTGCAATCGCAACGAGGATAGAGACCAAGAGATCATGTCAGCGAGATGGCTTCAAAGTGGGTCAGACCAGCAGCGCTGCTTCGCCGACGTACCTGCAGATTTTCGTTGAATGCCTCCCGACGTTGTTTCTCGATGACGCTGTGCACGACTCGATCGGCGCTGGAGAAGTTACGCTTGCGCTTGCGCTGCTTCTTGGCAGGTGCTTCGCTCGAATTCTGCGAGGGGCGCCGACCGGACTGCTCTTGATGCGAAGCAGATGTTGCTGCGGAAGCCGAGAAAGAAGACGATGGGGATTGGTCGGAGGGCCCATGTGCCGAACCGGTTGACCTGGCACCTGCTCCGATCGCCGGATGAGGTGAAGGAAAAGCTGCCTGAATGGCAGAGAAGCTGAGGACGTCAAAGAGCTGTGGTGTGGAAGACATGTTGGCTCGACTGTCCGAAGACGAGAACCGAGGAGGCTTCTGATTTGGTTTCTGCTAGCAGCTCGAAGCGATGGTGTCGCGAGAGGTCAGTAGCAAGGATGGGCGAAGGAGCGGGGGGAATGGAGCTGGACACCGGGCAGAGTGGCGGCTCGGATGGTCTGTCGACCGGTGACTATCGTGGGAGCCTCTTGACGCGCAAGACAGGTGCACAGACCTGAATAGCGGAGGCACTGGCGAGGGATCGGCTTTCGGCGCCGGCCACGCCGAGATGTGGGGTCGTGGTTGGCGCAGCATGTCAAGCAGGAGCGTGCTCAGCCGACCCGGCTTGAGTCGAGGGCTGCAGCATGCAGGGTTCACAAATGTGGGGGAATCTCATTTGTGACCCTTTTCCCCCGGTTGTCCGTTCAACTGCTCTCTGGCGGCGGGGCTGTCGCTTCCCGAAAACCAAATTACTAAATTATTTAAAATAAACTAAACAAACCCTCCTGCAGGCCGTGCGGCTTCGTTCATTTTGGTCCCCCATGCTGATTCTGCGAAGAGTCACTCATGTAACGGCAAGGCGTTATCCGCTGGAGAGAGGACCTCGGCATTGACTAAAAGATCAGTGAACACCACTCGACATACAAGAGGCACATGAACAGCAAGATGAGAGAGTACCACCCACAACACGCACTACGCTTCACTTGAGAGCCGACGCCGAGCTTTGACCGTCTTCCCATCGGTACAAAGGGGTGAGGCTCGCGCTCTTCTGCCAGAACAGGTGGCGCTTGACAAAGTATGGCAGGTAGCTTCGGACCTGATACGATGCAAAGCGGCTCGCAGGTACGGCGAACACGAAGTCCAGCTCCTCCAGCGTCAGCGCCTTCGTCTCGGGCAAACCGAGGAAGATCATGACAAACGCAAGCAGATTGGTGCCGCCGTAGAAGCAGAGTGCGCCTGTAGGTCCGAGTTTGGCCAGCATCCGCGGGAAAGTGAGCGACAGGATGGTGGAGAAGGAGTTGTTGATGAAGATGGACCAGCTTGAGCCGATCTCGCGGTGCGAGAGAGGGAAGCATTCGCTTGCATACACGTTCGGCACCGGACCCATGCCGGGAGAGTAGAATGCTGTGAACACGTAGACAAACAGCGCGATGAGAGGTACTCTCGCTGAGTTGTCCACACTCATCGTGAATGCACCTGCAGCTGCAAAGAGGCACCAGGCCATGTTCGGGAAGGTGAACAGCAGAAGGTTGCGCCTTCCAAAAGTGTCGATCGTCCAGATAGCAGGGAGCGCAAAGAGCGTGTTGACCGCCCCGAACCCCAATGACGCCGAAAGCGCCTGCTTCGTCGAGTAGCCTGCATTGACGAATAAGGATGATGAGTAGAAAGCTATAATGTTGATTCCTGACAGTTGCTGGGCCAGCATTACTATTAGAGAGCCCAGAGTAGCAGTTCGTAGCCGGGGAACGACGAAGAGATCGCGGAGGCGGCGCGAATATGTTCGGCCTTCAAATGCGTGGCGTTCGATCTCAATTTGTGCGTGGGCGTAGTAGAGGTCCCGTGCGGCTTGAATATTGCTGTTGCGCAGCCGACAGAAGCTTCGGAATGAGGCGGCGTATCGGCGTTTCTTGAGCAACCATCGAGGAGATTCAGGGATGAACCAGACGAGGACCAGCAGCGGTACTGCCGGCACGAATGCAGCGGCCAGCTGCACCCTCCAGGCGATGCGTCCGATGCCGTAGAAGATCATGTTGGAGCAGAATCCGAGGAAGATGCCAAACGCAACGAACAGCTGGAACGACATGACCAGTCCGCCGCGGATGGCGGTGGGCACCGACTCGGCCGTCATAATCGGAATGGTGGTGATTTTGCAGCCGATTCCGACACCGAGCAAAAGTCGGCAGATGGCGAGCTCCCACCAGTTCCGAGTGAAGGCTTGTGCCAGAACGGGGAACACAGTGAAAAGTGCTGTGATAAAAATCACCCAGCGTCGACCAAGCCAGTTGTTCAGAGGATCGCTAAGCCATGCTGACATGAGACCAGCAATAGTTGGCGCCGAATTAATGAATCCCACCAGCCATTCCTGGTGCTCGATGCCGAACTCCTGCGGGAACGAAAGATTCGCCCCATTCGCTCCGGTGTTGTCCCATCCTTGAATGGCGCTTCCGAGCGAGACTACAAAGACGAGCATCCAGAGCTGCTTCGAGATCGCCCACTTGTGCGTTTTTTCGCGTCGAATATGGTAGCGGTCGTCCTCGTTCAGCTCTGGCATTGTTTCAAAATCGTTGGGGCTCTGTGCCACCAATGCTGCCTTCTTGAAGAGCTCGACGTGCTGGCCAAGCTCGTTCTCGTTACAGAAAACAGTGACCTGCTCCATCAGAGTGGCACGCGGGATGCCTCGGAGAGGGTTTTTGAGAATTGCCTCGATGTTGTGAATTTCGGGATGCTCCGCCTGGGCGCGGAAAATACCTTCTTCATCGTGAGAGCGAGCTCCGTCCTGATGGTGGTCGTACGTAGACACCTGGACGCCTTCCTTCTTGTCGTCGATGGACACAGCGTCCTTGGAGGACGTCTTGCCGCTGGTGCGTGAGTCCATCGTTGTGACTTCGTAGTTGAGAGTGGGGTGGGAATATTGAACGAGGGAGTGCGCTGCAATGGCCGCTTGGCTATTGTCGCCACCGTTGGAGTCGATTGCTGGTTGGAGATTAGGGTCCTTCATGGTCGAGGCTTGCGGCACCTTTTATGCCAAAGTGACAGTCTCGCGAAGATGATCGGCGGAAGAGGTGTTGGTAGAAGTGACCATCGTCTGTATGTGTGGAGCAGGCGCCTAAGCAGTGGAACAAGTCTGGGACGGCAGGCTTGAACCGCGCTCCCCAAAGTGGCGGGACAGGGTGCCGCCTGTACAGGATATCGGTGGAATGATCACGAGGAGAGGGTTGCGTGTGGAGGGAGCAGGCTGAGTGCCGAAGCGTAGGAACAAGCGCGGGTGATTGGCATCGTCTGAGCGGGAATAGGCAGCCTCCTGGCTTTAGCCGACGTTCTCAGCAAGACCTGCACAGCGCCATGTGGGGCTCCGCTTGCGGGGTTTCAGGAACGTCGTCTCGAGCCAAAGCTCGGCGCTAGTAGAGGCCGCGGACTTTGAAAAGAGGTCGTGCCGACAGCGAGCGCGCTTCACGGCATCTGTCCTTGTGAGGACCGCGATGTATGGTCCCAGGCGCCTGCACAGGTATCGGGATTCTGCGCAGCTTGACGAGAACGGCGGTCTCTGGTCGTCTTCGACCTACCTGTGCAGGTTCATACGCATACCTGCCGCAGAGAAGCATGTGCGGGGAAAGCATGGTGGCCAGCCTGTGCAGGTCTCCTTGCGACCTGCGCAGGGTAGCTGCCTGTGCAACGCAGCTATTGCCGCGATGCTGCGTGGGCGTCAGAGCTGAGATGCCTTTTCCGGAGGAAGGGAGGTTTGGCCTGGTTGGCGCATAGGAACAACTCATTATGCACTTAAATAGATTAGCCGAGGTGGCCCTGTACAGGGCCACATGTCTGGTCCAACGCGGACCCCCACCCCCACATTCATGAATGTATCACACCTCGTGGAGTTCCCCCTTGACGAAGTACATCTTCCTCAAACTGCTTCGGCATGGCTGCCCGACCCGTCCACGAGCGCAGCAGTTGCCCTGCGCAGGAGCGCTCCGAAACATGGCCGAGCGCTGTACAGGTACACGCCCTGCACAGTCGCCACAACCCACGCCAGCCGTGAGCTGGGTCCATGGTCAAAGGCCATCTTGGCGCCCTGTGCAGGCCGCGAAAAAGTTCCAGAGACTATCTCGCACAGATCTCTCGCGCTGCTCTCTTGCACTGTCCATCTTGCGCCCGCAAATACGCTCGCAGCATCTTTCTGGATCTGCACCCTCCGCTACCAACTGTGGGGTCTGCTCTATCGCATCGCAGGCAAGCCCTGTGCAGGCACGTCCGTGATCGTGCAGACTGACACTGCATGCCACAGAGCGCTCTCGGCTCGGTCTTCTCTCAGCCAAAGGCCACGAGCAGTGTCGCATACTAGTGTGTCAACATCTGATTTTGAGGAAAGCTACTCACGGCAGTGTGAGTGCAGCGTGAGCGCCGTTGCAGATCTTTCCCTTTCGAACCCATGTGCGAGGATGACCGCAGTTCCGGAAGGACGCTCGACAAACTATAAGTTGCGGCCGTCGAATCGAAGTCGATCTGCGAAGGTCATCAAGCAAACAAAGTTCAGCCAAGCCTTCCTTTTTCCTACGCAATGTCTCCCCCCACTGCTACCACTGTTGCCGTGCCAGCCGACTCCACGATCGGGAGCGGTGTGACAGCCAAGATCAAGACTGCTACCAAGGATGCTCAGGCCCAGGTATCCGGCCTCGTCAAGGCAGAGACCACCTTTCACGTCGACGTCGATTCGATGGACCCGAAGGTGGCTCGCTCGCTTATCGAAGCTGGCGTCCGACCTCATGACATGACCTCGAACCAGATCCTCGTCGGAGATGGCATCATGGACCCCGACAACAAGGAGATGCTCATGAAGACCATCTCGGAGGTCGGCTCGCAGGGTTGGGAGGCGGTCTACGATCGCATGAGCGTTCTGCTCTGCAAGCGCAATCTCCCCAACGTCTCCAACCGCGTTCTCCTTCAGACGAGCCCGAGTGACGCCTACGACACCGACAAGATCGTCGCGCACGCCAGAAAGTACGCTGCCGAATTTGAGCGCATCGGAATCGGCAAGGACCGTTTCTGCATCAAGATCCCTGCCACGGGTCCAGGCATGAATGCAGGCCCCATCCTCCTTGAGGACGGGATTCGAACGCTCGGCACTTCGCTTTTCAGCGTGCCGCAGGCCATCGCTTCCGCCCAGGCTGGCTGCCTGTACATCAGCCCGTACTTCAACGAGGTCAAGGCGCACGACCCCGCCACCGGCCTCTTCCCTAACGTGCGCAACCCTGCTACACAGCATCCCATGTCGCCTCGAATGGTGCAGATCTACAACGTCTACCGCCATCTCGCCCAGACGACGGGCAAGCCCCAGCCGCTGATCAAGGGTGCAAGCAACATCACGGCCGCCGAGGTGCTCGGGATGGCAAAGATGGGTGTCCACCACGTCACCATTCTCCAGCCTGTGCTCAAGCAGCTTTCCGAGCTTTCTGTTCCTGTCGAGCAAGAGCTCGAGGACCGTGCAGCGCTCGCTTTCGAAACGGAGAAGTTTGACGAAGCCAAGCCCTACAGCCGCCAGCTCATCGCTGAGATGCAGGAGCTAGAGAAGATCGACCCGCTCTCGCCTACGAAGGCCCCTCTCGAGTGGGGCGCTCACATCGACTATCTGGCGGATGGCGGCAAGGAGCTTGAGAAGGCGATCGAGGCCGATCCTCAGACTAAGCGACGCCTCGAAGATGCCCTCAACCTCTTCATCGATGCCGAACACCGAGCTCGCGACGCCATCTTGGCTGCCATGAAGACTGCCAACGTGTAAACGTCACTTTGTCCGTTACCTCTGCGTAACTCCGCAGCGGCTTTGCGAATAGGTCCAGAAACCTGAGAGCCACATCGAACTGGCCACGCAATGTGCGGTTCCATTCCCAATCAAATTCTGCTTCAATATAAATTGTCTAGTCTGCAACATCCAACATGATGAGGTGTGGCTTTCTTGTTGACATCTGCGGCCATAGAACCATGAAAGCACCGCATCCCGTCCGATCTGCGAAGTTAAGCATGGTATCGCCTAGTCAGTACTGCGGTGGGGGACCACGCGGGAATCCTAGGTGCTGCAGTTTTTTTCTTTTCTTTTCGCCCTTTTTTTGTGCCCATGGCGTGCGCGTTACATCGTGTTGCCGCTCCCGGCGCCTTCACGGTTTTGCGGCGCCTCTATGACGTGGCGCTCCTCTCACTTGAGGAAGCAGTTGTTCCAGTTGCCTCCGGCCTGGGCGAAGCTCTGACTGTCCACGAAATCCTCGACCTTGCAGAGACCTGCAGAGGCGTGGAGCCGACCTTGTGCGTGGGAGTTGCATTCTTTGAGCCCGGAGAGGGGGACAACAGCGTCGTTGAGCAGCACGCGGACGTACTTGCTCTTCTTGTTCTCGCATTTCAGTCGCTCGACGATGATACGAGCCCCCATCGGCACAATATGCGCCGAATTCCATAGTCGGTCTTTCTTTGGATAGCTGGTAGGGCTGATCTGATCCTTGAGCAGGCCCAAGACTGCGATGGCGGACGCGATCTGCGTGTCGTGCGTAAAGTCCAAGTAAACAGGAAGACCGATTGGGAAGGTCGTGGTGCTTTCGTCCAAGGTGGTGTTGGTCGACGTGTGGTCTTTGACTCGCGTCTCCGTGAGTCGCGCAAGCAGCTCGTTGACCCACCCAACACTCCAGGCCCGACCCAGGGGTCCACCATATCCCGCGTTCTCGTACTGCTGTAGGTCCTGGCCGTACGAGTAGAGCTCCCACTCGCGGAGGGTGAAGATGGCACAGAAAGGCGAAAGGCGACCGAGATAAGCCGACTGGAAGGGACAAGCGTTCTGCATGGCTTGTACGTCGGACGTGGTCAGATTGAGGTTGGGCAGGGCTCGCTGGAGCCTCGAGACGACCTTGGGAAGGTAAACGCTGTTCCACGCCGCAAAGGCCTTGTCCGACGAGGTGTCTTTGGCAGAGAAGGGGCACGTCCCCACCGCAAGTGAGTCGTTGAAGGTCGACGAGCTGTCAGGAAGAGTCAGCAAGGGAGCCGCCAGCCGTTCGCGCCAATTGAGTCCCAAGAAGCCTTCCGAGAAGGCCCAACTGGTGACATTGACCCTGCTCTGATCCGTTGTCCGCGCGAAGACGGGCAAGGATTGGTTGACGGGCGCATTGTACCAATCCTTTTTGCCCAGCAGATGGCCGTATCGGTTTCCGAAGTGGTAGCCGCTCGAGTGTGCATCCTGCTCTCCATATGAAGTGAGCAGCTCTGGCGTCACAGCGCTGTAAGTTTCGTTGAGCTTGGCGAGAAACTCGAGCTCGGGGTGGAGCTGTCCATCGCTCACGCTGAACTTCGAGTCGGCATTGTCTGCGGTGCTGGCGTTGACGAGCTTTGAGATCATGGTTGCGATTCCCGAACCCACTCCTTTCGAAGGACCGCGAAAGTCATGCCGCATGAAGAGATTGACCTGATCGACCTCGCAGCCCGGGAAGGACTTGTCGGGAATGTCGTAGCGTCCAACGTCGCCGCCTGGAACGTAGAAGGACCAGGCACCAAAATTGGTGAGAATGTTTGGGTCCACCGGTTCACCATGTTGAGTACTCGGCCATAACGAGGAGCCATAGCCTAGCGCACTGGCGAGCGCCAAAATTGCTGGTTTCAGCTGTCTCATGTTGCCGTGTGAAGAAGCCGAAGCTTTAGGCGAAGCGGTCTCACAATGAGATCCGACCTGTCTCGTAACCGCCTTGTTATATACCTTCGACTATGCAGAAGCCTCGATGAGCGTGTGAGCTACATCCTGGGCGCACACAGGAAGACATCAAGGGACCATCGCTCCCTGCAGAGTCGGCAGGGTGCAGATGGCCGAATGTGAGCGTGGGGGCAGATGCACGAGCAGGACGTGGCTGCCGAGGTAGCCGAGCGGCCCGTGATGGAACTCGACTTGGGCAGTAGCGTCTCGCAAATTCGCCGGAACACGTCGGCGCTCCTGGATCCGAGCCGAGGTGGGAGAGCACGTTCCATGCACCGCGCACTGTTCTGCAGCTTCCGTCCGCGTGGTCGCTCAATCGTTCTGGAGCCCATCTTCACGTTCCGACCGGCGGCCAGGTTCAGGGTTTGGTCGAGATCCGCTCCCTGCACGAGCGAAGCACGTGCTGCCTAGCACACATGCTCGTACTAACTGACCAGTTCATTCCTTTTCGAACTTCACGACTCTGATGCGCTCGGATGGTCTTTGTGGAGCTAGAGCAACACTGATGGAGTCTAGGACGAAGTGTAGGTAAACTTGACAGAGATCGGGGTGTGGTCCGAAAGCGGTTTGCCCGAAGCATCGGTGAATTGGGTGCCCAGGTACTGCCAGTCGCTCGGCTTCAGCGTGACGTTCTTGCCATTCTTGTAGAGTACCTTGTCCACCACCTCGCAGTTGGTCGTAGTCGGGACAGGGTCGGCACAGACCAGGGCGGGGTCGGTCGATGCAGGCGCCTTGCCAGCGCGGACAAGCTCAACCCAGGTGTCGACGAGCTTGGTTTGCGACAGGAACGCGGCCAGGTTGTCCGCAGGGCGGGTATAGCGGCTGTTCGTGTCGCCCATCACGATGACGGCTCGACCAGCTGCATCGGAACGGCTGGCAATTGCGCTGGCTACCTGGTTGAAGTTGGACGTGCGGGCGGTAGAGTCGCCTGCATCTGAGCCGGCATCCATGTGCAGGTTGAAGACATCCACCTCTCCGCCTGTGGGCAGCTGAAGGGTCACAACGGTGTATCCCTTGGGGGTGAGGCAGTCGCCCTCGTTGAGGTTACACCTGTCCCACTTGACACGCGACAAGTCCTTGAACGGGATGGTGGCGAGCGTGTTCAGCCCGGACCCGAATGGCACGCCGCCCGACGTGGGAGTGCGATACGGGTGGTTGTCATTGTCGTAGATATAAGCGTGATAATTGAAGTCCTACGATGGAGTCGAGACATCACCTGGTCAGCAATCCGTTTGTCGTCGGCTTTTCTTTGGCGATCTGCACTCACTTCTTGGACGTTGATCAGGTTGTAATTGTACTGTGCGAACTTTTTGCCGATGGCGATCGAGTTGGCCTTCTTGTCGCTGTCTCCGTTGCTGTTGAGGATGGAGGGCAGACCTGCCACGTTCATGGTGACGGCCGTCAAGCTGCCGGACACCGTCGGAGCTGCCAGAGCCATGGTGGCCAGCTTCAGCAGCGAAGCAAGAAGAAGCAACGAGGTCTTCATTTTGACTCGTTCTGTTCTGATAAAGTGGTTCGCCCCAGGGTCTTGAGCACGCTGTTCGAGGTATCTTGCTCGGCGTTGCTCTTTATATGCATATGCAGCCCATATCCTATGCCAGCATTGACCACGTTCATGAATGCGGAAGAGAGGACACAGTGAGATGCCCTCCGAAAAGGACAGACGTTGTCAGCATGGAACTTTTTCCCTTCTGAGCGCGGTGGAGCACTGTGTTCCGAAGGAATGTGCCCACGCCCGAGTCGGCAATCTCGTAGAACGCTTGACAAGCAAGACTCTTCGGCACCCGATCCTGCATCGTTGTATCGAGGTTGAAAGGCCAGACGTAGGCGACTTGGCAGCTAGCAAGAGCAGGACAGTGCTTTACGCAAGGTTTGCATTAGTGTGGAGCTCGCTAGACCCACAGCAGGCAGGTGCGCCCAGGCGCATGGAAGTCAGGGGATTTAAGAAGCGAGCGCAACGGTGCATTCGGCTCGGGACAGGCTTGCTCGCGGCAATTTGCTAGAAGCGTTCCGTGCACCGAGAAACAAAAGCATGGTAGCGGCTGCTGCATTGCGTCAACGAGCGTAGCCCCGCGCATTTGACTTGCAAAGGTTTTAGCGCCGAGCGAACGTGCTCAGATGGTTGCACGCCGGTCCGTTTCCCGAACTCGCTCCTTACGGTACACCACGTGGCCAATGTGCGAGCCGTCGAAGCCGAGATGTCCGCGGTGAGTGGTGCAGTCCACGAAGGTCGGTAAAAATGAGCTGCATTCACACGATCATGGTGCTAGTGTCCAGAGGGCAGCACTGGCATGCCGAGCGAAGCGTTAGAAGTCATGTAGGTCGAGGTGCGCCACAGCAGAGTCGGTACCGAAATTTCCGGTGCGAATCCCGCGGAACGGTACCCGACGGGATCGTGATTCCGTTCGACGTGGGAGTTTGACAGAGGAGAGAGGGAGAAGCAACAAAGGCGTCAGTACTCCGGGAGGGATCTTTCTAAATTGAGCAAAGAGCCCAGGGATGCGTACGAGGAACTCGCAGAATGCGTCCTGCTCCTCCTCCAGGGCGGCCTGGTCGGCCACGTGTGTATTGGGAGCACCTGCACACACGGGCTTGCGGTACTTTGGCATCATGAACTGAAAGCTGATTAGCCCAGCTTCGTCCATACGGAGCGAGGTTTTGATGGACGAGCGTAGCACGGTCATGGTGCGCGAAAGCAGTGTAAAGTCGTACCATTGCTCGTTGCTGCCGGGCAAAGCGACGAATTTCTCGATCACGCCGGTGGGGTCGGCGGAGGAGAGGCTGGCTGGAAATTCCATCTCGGACGATCCGGTGTCGGAGATGGCGCGGAATCGGAGCATGCTGGCGGCGTGCCTCCTTTTGGAAGCGGGCAAGGGCGTGGATGCGTCGTTGGCGTTGGAAGGGTCGGAGTGAGGCGATGCCATGAGGATTGAGAGCTTCTTGCAAGTAGCATCGATCTCGGAAAAGGCGGCATGCATGAGGTCGGAGCCGACGATGACCTGTGCCACCATTTGACGAGGATCGAAGACCATGTCTGTGAGGAAGCTGGGTTCGTATGTGGATATGGAGCAGCGTGTGAGCACGTTGGCTTCTTGTTCGAGCTCGAGTACGAGAGGATGGCCGACGCCTTGGTAGGTGAGCTTCATGCGCGTTGCTTTGGCTGCAGATGAGAAAGGATGGGTGCGCTCGACTGATGATCCGCGGTCGTGGCCGTGTGGATCAGCGGTGCCGTCCCGGGTGCGAGCGTATCCTCTTGCGCCAGCTGCCGAACCACCAGGATTCGACGCATCAGATCGTGCTGCGTATTGGCCCTGACCGGTGGATTGCGGTCTGGAAGGCCCGACGCCACCAAAGATGTTGAGGCACGAGATCCAGGTTTGAAGGTTGAGTTCGAACGAGACACTTGCGGGCTCATCTTCAGGAGCGTCGGCCTCGCTGTGAGTGCGTGCAGGTGGAACCTGCTGGCGTGCTTCGGGTGAGGCGCGATCGTGACCCGTTGATGACGCAGATGATTGTGACGCGTCGCTCTCTTCGGCGTCTCGTGCGGTCCTCGTACGCTTGTTTGGGCGGGTGTGCCTCGTGCTACGGCGAGAGGAAGTGGCGGCTTGCGCACTGCTAGACGGTGGATGAAAGCGGTAGGAGTCAAACATGTGAGAGTAGAGATAGGCGTGCGCCTGGAGAGTGCGATTGAGCTCGGTGACGATCTCCAGTCCCGAGCTAGATGCGATGACGACGGCATGCTGCTCATCGCAAAGAGGCTGAAAGGTCAGCTTGGTGCGAGAAGACGACTCTTGATCTGCGGCGATGTTGAGAGTCGACTCACCGTCTGAACCGCCACTGATTTGAGCAGGTTGGCGAGTCCGGTCACATCCGCTACGGTGGCCGTCAGCACCTGTTGATCAGAAAGAGCCGGACGGAGATGGGTTTCAATCACGGCTGTGAGGCTCGAATCAAAGCAGCGAGGAGAGATCCTACCATGGACGACACCGCTTGATCAGGTGCCTGCACTGGCATGTTGGATGCAGAGCGTTGGCCCTCGGAGATCAGAACAGCTTGGAAAGCAATGCCGCTGGACAGTGCAGCCTGGAGGCACTAACGGACCCTATGCGGATGCGAGAGGCTGAGTCGAGCGAAGGATGCTGGCGGAGGTGGAAGAGGCAGGCCGTGCGCGTCCTGACATGGCCTGGCAGCTAATTTTAAGCCGGGCCATCCGAGTGGCTCTCATGCATGGAAGAACGAGTGGAGGCGCAAGGATCCGACGCGTCGTTGCCGCTCTCTTTTTGCCTTTGGCGTGGCTTCGTGAATGCTTGGACCCTGAACAGTTCTTTTTCTTCTCCTTTTCGAGTCCCCTTTTTTTCGCTTCGAATTTCCGGATGGGAATTGTTCCAACGCAGCGCCATCACCGCCGCTTATGCTCCTCCACCAGCAGCTGACTTGGTGCACCGCACACTTGCATTGCATGACAGTGTGTATGGCTCAGGCTATCGCGCTCCCGGTTGACTTCGCTTGCACCTCATCATTGTGGTCTGCGTCGCCTTTCACGCCAAGTGTCGAGGATCTCTGGGATCCACCTTTTTCATGTTTTCTTGAGGGCGGTTACGAGCAGCTCAGCCAGTAAATAGGCGAGCATATAAGCGAGAAAAAGGGTCTTTTGCTGAGGTCATACAGAGGGTCGTCTGCACACAGAAGCGGAGCAGCATAGTGGTGCATGTGTCAGAAATGCCAAAGCCCCGTCCTCCTCCACCCAAAGCTTCTCCCATCGCCCGAGAGCTCGGCTACTCGATCATCTTGACTCTTGCGAGCGAGCGAGTCCTTGTACCTTTCCTCCCCACACAGCCCAAACCTTCTTCGAATACCTATTGATCAAACAGCCGTCGCCTGCTGGACGAGTGGCGACTGCCTAGGCATTCAAAAGCAGCCGCCATTGTCGAGACGCATGCAGGCTTGAGGCGGCAAAGCGAACGGCGGTTGCTTCCCAGCGACGTACACGCGGTCGGATCCAGCAGGCGGTCATGCTTGGCGTCCAGCAGTTGCCGTCTGCATGGCTTGAGGCGGCGGTGACAAGTCCGACATGCGTGTGGAGCGCTTCCATCGCCGTCCTGCTTTGTCTCATACCACCAGCTAGAGCCTTGACCGTCAGAATCCTCTGCGAACTCTACTCGGCCGTGGTCCATCGTCCATTTGTCTCCGCACCGATCGCCTTTCTCTTCTCTGCTAACGATGGCCCATTGCCAAAGTCCGACTCACTCTGGTCTCGACTCCAAGCGGCCACCACGCTGCAGTGGCGCGTCAAGCACGCCGGCCTCAGGCATGAAAGGCACATCGATTGGACTCTGCCTGACCAGCCCCAGGAGGGCGACATGATTGAAGCCTGGGACCGCATTGCCGAATGGGATTCCGCCTGCTTCCATCCTCGCAAGCTCGAACAGCTCCGACGCTTTGGCGACTCACTCGCGGACGAGACTCTCGCTCGCCTCGATCGCCCTCCCGCCGTTGAACCACCCTCCACAGATACACTTCGCAGGATCTTTGACGAGGCCTCAAGAGGCCAGGTATCTGGCTCTGATCAGCCTACGGAATGTCAAGCTTTTTGGCAGTCCGTCGACCGCAGGCCTCCACCAGGAGCAGGCGCATTAGGGCTCGATTGGTATCGCTCCCAATACACTCCCGAGGAGGTCCAAGGTCTGCCACATTGGCCGCAACATCCTTATTCAGATAAGCAGGAGCCGGTTGCTTCACTTCCCATCTGGTCCCCGTCACATTCAGACTGCATAGACGCTAGGAACAGTCTCGAGGAGCTTCAGGCGGAAGCCGAAATCATCCGCCGCGGTCAGGATGTCTTTTATCGATACGCTGGACCCATCCTCACCGTGCTACTCCACTTCAGCCTTGCCGGCGGGTTCGCTTCGCCCAGAATCACCGAGGTGCTCAAACAGACTGCGTATCTCGTGCCCTCGTCCGCCAGCGTTCCAGGTCAAGACATGCCCAAATCCGCTTCTGCCAGCCTACCAACGATCGAGGACCTTCGACGGGTCTTCAAGGTAGACAAAGCGCGAGCCGACCGTACTTGGGATCGGCTCCTAGAGACCACGCAATTCGTGCTCGACGTGATGGAACATGCCGATAGCCTTCGTCCACCGAGCGGGTCTGCTGCCACGCCTGCTCGCGCCACCGCATCTTCCGTAGATCAGGCGGCATCATCGGGTTCTCCTGAAAGCGGAGGCGATGGCTGGCAGTCAGCTGTGCGCGTTCGTCTGCTGCATGCCAACGTGCGGCGGCGTGTTCTCAAGATGGCCGAGCGGCGGCAGGCAAGTTCCTCACATGGCGGCCAAGCCATATACGATGTCGAGAAGAACGGGGTGCCGATCAATCAGGAAGACCTGCTCGGTACATTGTGTGCATTCTCGTCCGCTCCACTCGCCATGCTCCAGAAGATCGGCATCACTCCTACAGCGCAGGAACGTGAAGACTACATTGCGCTGTGGAGGCATGTCGGATTCTACATGGGCATCGAGCCGGCGCTGTTGCGTCGCGCCTTCAAAGATGCCCACACGGCCGACCGTACGCTGTGGTGCACCATCCTTCACCTGTTCAGCAAGGTCGAAGTCTTGGACGCTCAACCAGTCGGCGGCAAAGGCTCTTCAGGCCCAAGAATGCAGGGCCCGACGATCCCCGTGCTAATCGCATGCGCGGACCGACCGCCCTTCCACACGCCACTTTCGGCGCATGTCGCCATAGCACGACGTCTCATTGGCAAATCTTTGGCTGACGCGCTCGCGCTGCCAGCTTCATCTGCCAAACGCGAGGTGCTGACGGACATCGCATTCCTTGGCATGCGCGTTCCGATCGTGTTCGGGAGCATCTATCCACGTTGGTCGTGGGAGAGGCGCCGGCTCCAGCTGGCTCGACCACTGCTGCGTCGCCTCATCGTGTTCAGTTTCGGCGACAAGCGGACCAAGTTCGAGATGCCTCCGCATCAAGGCGCGGCGGCGGCGGCTGAAGAGTCCAAGCCGACCGAGGGAGAGCGGGTCAATGTCCAGACGCAATCACGCAACCACCAAGAGGTCCCCGTAGACAAGGAGGCCAACCTGCAACTCGTGCGACAGTGGCGTTGGCTAATGCGCGAGATGATAGCCGTCATGGCCGCGAGCGCTTTGCTCGTGGCAGGTGCCGCTGCAGCTTGCTATCGGCTCTTCGCTTCGTATTAGTCCGGCAAGTAATGCACAAGCGTAGATTCGTCCGGAGTGATCAGGTCAACACGCAGTGCGATACGGCCGAAGCTGTCTGGTGCGCCCGCAGAGACTCCTCTCAACCAATTCGTGTGCCAAATGCTCTTATAATTACACACATTCATCCAACGAACACCAATTGGCCGGTTGGCCCAATGGTAAGGCGTCTGACTACGATTGGCTGCTCTCCTCAGGTGAGCAGCTGGTAATCAGGAGATTCTGGGTTCGAGCCCCAGGCTGGTCATTTCTTTTTTTTTGGTTCGTGCACAGCTGGACTCAGAGTACAGCTGGGATTCTTTTTGTTCCCGATTCGCCCGCTTCGCTTCGTCTGGTACGCGCGTCTCAACGAGACACTCCGAGCTGGTTCATTACGACGTGCGCGGTTGCCACAGGTTCCAGAGCTTGCTTGATCCTGACTACATGGCGAGGCAGTGCTGGATGAGGCGGCGCTCGAACTTGGGCTGTCTAACAAAAGTCGAAGAGAATAACTTATGGGGGAGGTCTTTTTTCCCCAACGTCGAAAGCGAGAACAGATCGGCTTGGCATGACAACGTATGCCAAGCCGCTCAGTCCGCCTCATCTCGCGTAGATGCGCAGGTGACCAGTCTAGTTACTTCACAACGCGAGAAGGCTGGTGGCGGTCGTGCTTTCAAGTCAAAGCCGAATCGAGACCGTGGAATGTGCGAGTCCGAAGTGAAAGGGAAAGTGGAAGACGGGACGACGGAGTCCGAGCGTTCGCTGCTTGCCGGAGAAAGGATCTGTGAAATTTAGACCGCTCTAGTGCAGGCGGGCCAGAACGCGCCGAGCTCGCTGAACTGGGCCACGGGCGGTGCCGATCGACTTTTCATGCCGACTTGGCCTAGCGGTGGTGATCCGCTGCACTGGTTCCCGCTGGGAGCGGCAGCTAAAAAAAATGGGCGTCTCTCCCCGAGCGCTGGTGGAATCTGAAATCGCGCTACTTATACTGCACGCCCGCATGGCCAGGGAATGCGGATGCCAAGGGAGCCAACTCGGCTCAGGAACGGTCCGTGCATTTCTTTTTTGTTGTTTTTTCTGCCCCAACCAATTTTGTTGCAGTCCGATGCGCCGGAACGTAAGAGCACACGTCGGACCATCTGATCAACCGCAAAGCCGTCTGGAACGAACCGGGGGGAAATGAGGCAAAGCCCACTAGACCATAGCCATGCTCAAGCTAAGAAAACAGCGACCGCAAGAAGGCGTGGACAGGTTCCTTTCACTTGGGAGGCGGCCGCGTCCCGCCGATCGGACGCATCGCGTTTTTCCACCCGAGTGCCCGTCGCTTTGGACTGTTGTTCTCTGGAACCGCCCCCTTTTCCAAGATTCGTCAGGCGCGCCTCTCCCGTCCAATCGGTCTCGGTTGTGACCCGAAATCGGTGGCCAAACCTTGTTGTTTGCATGGATGGAGCTTCTGGCAGCCTTAGGTGAGGACGGGCGGGCCGCTTTAGCGAGGCGTTCTCTCGCCCTTTCATCGTCCACCTGCCCTGTCGCGTCCAGACTTTTTTTTTTGGGTCCAACGGCGGAGGATCATGTGCCCAGCGAAAACAAGCGGTCCAAGAAGCTTCGGCTGCTGAAAGATGGCGCCGCCTTTGTGCGCAGCCGCGTTTGGTCGGGCGAGAGACGCGCGCTCGCGGGACGTCGCCATCCTCGGTCCAAGTGAATACGTTTCAACTTCCGCCGCGGTTGCGCCGAGCTCGAGCTCGAGTGCCGAGTGCGTGCGTTCTAGAGCCCAGACTCGCGCATCGGTCCGCAACCATCGCGTGCATGAAATTGCATGCCGTGTTGGCCATCGCTTTGATCCATCTTGCGGTCCTCGCCCCCTTGCCAGCCCTCGCAAACGGCGTGCGACCGCTGCGTTTTTGTTGCGAGAGCAAGCAGCTCCGACTCTGGGGGGAAAGAAGGGGGCAGTCTGGTCTTTCGTGCTATGGGCGCTAGGCTCGCTCGACAGTCCATCGAAAGGCGACTCCGATTGTGACTTTTGTCAGGCAGTCTGGACCCCGACCGCGAGCCAGGTCTTCGGACGCCGACGTTCCAATCAATTGGTTCAGCATCGGGCTTCAAGTCGGCTGCAGCTCCGTTGGTTCTTCCTGCCCCTCCTCTCTCTCTTTGCCTGTCCTCCTCGCAGATGCGCTGGACTGCCAACGCCGCCCTTTTCTCCCTCGCCTCGAGCTTATATGCGTGGAATCTATGCACGGACAAAGCGGATCTTTCGACCGGAAACTTCGTCCCATCACACCTGCATCATCCTGGCGCTCTGCTGCGTTGCTCCACGACTCCGCTGTCGCCAATCTCGGCTTGCAGCGTGGTTCCACCCTCGGCTGCACGACACCGACGAGGATCCATGATCCGCTGCATTGGTTCCACCCACGCACGTCTATAGGCTCAGCAAACACCAGCGCCAGAACAGAGTCTGCAGCCTGTGCAGCTCTGCCGTCTGCAGCCTCGGACGGCAGGCTCTCACCTCGCCTGCTGTAGATCGGTACGCAGACACAATCGACTCCACAGAGCATACGCACAGGCGCAAAAACCTCGCTGTTCCTGCGCCTGCGCCGCTTTCCGCTTCACTGCCATCTAGATCGAAGTGCCCGCCAGAAGAATGCCAGCCGACCGGACCGGTAACTCACCCACGCCGCTTTGATTTCGCCCGAGCTCATCCTCGCCTCGTCCCAGTCGGTCCCGTTCGAACTCAAACTCTGTTCTTTGGCGCATCCATTCAATCTCACCCATCGGCACTGCCGGTGCTGTTCGACTCGCGCAAGAGCACGTCAAGCTTTGACGCAGTCACGCTCCCGTCCGCACTCGGAAAGTCGGGTTGGATCCGCACCGATCCAGCTAGCCTCAAGGCATTGTTCCCTCTTGCCTTTGAACGCCCTTCGAGTAACCTTCAAACCCACGCGCATACTTTTATGCCGTTTGGGCTGCTCGGCTCAGGCTGCGCTTCACGCCGACCGAAACCTGTCCGAAACGCCCGGACCAAGCGCTCGACCTGGGAGCACACGGGGCGCTCAGCCCTTCGCGCAACTGCATTCGAGCTCGAACGCCTGATCATGGGCAGCAGCGAGTGCCTCGGTAGCATCACTACGACTTCCACGCCCAGTACCGACACCGACCGTCTTTCCAGGACGTTCAGCGACTGCCGGCGTACCACAAAAGCGCCTGCCCTTTCCAGCCATCCTACCGGCGGGCCCTACAGCGACTGCACTCTCTTCATCGATGACGGCCGCTCTGCCGCTCGAGATCGTGGATCTCATCCTGCTTCTGTCGCTCGAGCAGGGTGGCGGCTCGATCCGACGAGGACGTGAGGCTCTGCTTCCGCAAGGAGCCTCCTCGACCACGCCGCCAGCGTCGAGCTTGTCGCCGGCGGCCTTGAGAAGGCTCGAGCAGGTGCTTGACCCTTGGCAAGCTGCGGCCATCAGCTGCCTTTCACGACATCATCGCCAGCGATTTGAACAGCAGCTCTACCGACACATCTATCTACACGACGTGCGTACGATTGCGCTCTTGTGCCGCACGCTCACCGCCCGCCCCGATTTGTGCAATCATGTTCGCTCGCTCGCTCTATTCTGCGACCCGTCGGATGGCAGCCATCGACTCCCATCGGGTGTGCCGACTGCGGACTTTGTAGACGGTGTTTCCGAAGCATCAGCTGACATCACGTCGGCAGCGGACGTGATCCTGTCGGCATGTCCGAACATCACCCACCTGCTCCTCTCCTGCGATCAATTCAGCAGCTTGTCCGCCGGCATCTACCGCCTGCTACGGCCCAAGGAGATCACCCTGGTAACCGTTGCCAGCGTCGCCGTCCTCGACGGTATCGTTTCGCGCCATCGCGACCTCATCGCCGCCGCTCTCCAGGACGATCCAAGGATGCGTGCCATCTTGGGCACCACCTCGTCCGCCGCGCCCGACGAGCCGTCGCCAATCGGTGAAACGTTCTCGGCGCACGAGTCATCTCCGTCCCCCTCGTCCGCACCGCCCACACCGCATGCAGAGCGTTCACTCTCACATCTTCATCTCGTCAACTTCGATGGCCGGCTTTTGCATCACCTGGCCACGCTCTCGTCGCTGACGCATCTCGTCCTCACCCATCCAATTCTCCCAGAGACACGTCCGGGCATGCCGGGCTTGTCAATCATCCCGCGCTCTCACCTCATGCTCCTCCTCGGCTCGGGCAACATCCAGCGCATCGTCATTCGCGCCGACCTGGCTACTTGCATCCGTCTCGTCGAGGAGCTCGCCCCAATCGAAGATCAGAAGCTCGTCTTTCGTCCTCTCGCAAAGTCTGGCGACCTTCTCTTTCCCGAGCCAGAGCGGCGTCCGCGCTTCTCCGCCTCACTCACCGCACAAGCCTCCAGCCTTTACGATGCGGTGGCGGCAAGCAAGCTGGACCTGCTGTCCGAGTTCTTCGGCAGAGTTCGCGTCCATGCGCAGCGATTCGAGTCGGCGCTGTCTTCGGACGATCCCGACACCAGCCGTGGCTCCTCGACTCGATTCCGTCACCCGCGCTCATCGGATAGCTCTGGCGGTGCTACTAGCCAGAGCGCGTCCACTGGGTGGGATGACGATGGCTCAGACGACGTCGATGACGAAGTCTTGCAAGAGTTCGGCGCCGAGGATAGTCCCGAGCCTCCTGCGTCCGAGGATCCCGGTCGTTCGGTCCCAGCGACGGCGCACGGCAGCACCAGCATCAACGCGCCCCCGCTCAACATCCCTATCGAAGAGCTTTTGCGGGCCGAGCGCTTCACGCCCGCTGGGCTCGCGCGTACTGCCGCCCCCGCCTCCCAAGCAAGCAGCGGCTCTCACGACCTCTCCTCCTCCGCCTCCTCGAGTCCACATGGCCAACGTCGCCGGCTCCACCGCTCACCCTTTGCCCTCCGCAAGAACGACCTTCGCGGCGCGACCAACTCGAACCTCGACATCCTGGCCAACTTGTACGAAGCGCTCGCGTCGCATGCCGGTTTGGAACAGGAGATGAACTTCTGGTGATCCGGCTGGCGGCACTTGATTTTCAGCCTTCCACACGATCGTTCCGCAACCCTCCGCCTCTTATCTAAGTTAGTCATCCGCATGATCCTCGCTAATCCAATATTGCCTTGCTGTCGAAAAGCAGCGTCTCTTTGACATTTCCTTACGCAATTTCCCGCGTGATCGTGAACAGCACCGGAAGCGGGATCACAGACGTGGATGCAGCAGACAGGAGTGTGGGAAGCAACATTGAATTGGTGCAATGGCGAAGTGTACTGCGAGCTTTTAGGTGAGGTAGGACTCGAGGCTTTCGCCGAGCGCGGCTTCGATGTGGACGCGGAACTGGTTGGCGTGACCGACAATGTCGTCGTTGTCGTCTTCGAGCAGTTCGGAGAGCTGGGCGATGGTCTCGGGCACAAGGGGGAGGAGGTGGTCCTTCTGTGCCGACCACATGTGTGCCAGGAGTTGGGTGGCAGTGGAACGGACGCGCGTGCTGTTGGCCGCGCGCGTACCCGAGGCTCGCTGGAGCAGCTTGGCGTTGAACAGCTTGAGCGTGGGTTCGTCATTGACGTTGGTGAGCAGAGCGGTGATGACTCCGCCAAGCGTGGTGACAAAGTCGGCCTCGTCAATGAACGTTCCCGCGCCAGCAAGCAGATTCATCTGGTCCAGTAGCGGCGTAGCGATGCGCGCCACACGCGTGGGGTTCCAGAAGACTCCCTCGTCGTGCGTGGCCGAGAGCTGGATCGAACGCACGACGTGCACCCACAGCTCGGCCTGCACGCTTCCGGCCGCGGGCGAGCGCGAAAGCTTGCTCCATCCCGACAGAAGCTCCACCACCTGGTCCAAAAGCGTCGAGTAGTACGACGACACCAGGCTGCGCAGAGTCTCGCTGAGAGCGTTGAACGTCTTGAATAGCACGACCTGTCGGGCCACCACGCCGTCGGCTGCAGCAGCTTCTTCGTCGGCATCGTCGACCAGATCCAGCACGGCCCAGTCGAACATGCGCATAAAGAGCGGTCGGAAAGCAGCCTCATTGAGCTTGAGTACCATGCGCATGAACGCCGAGCGCACCAGGCTCGACTCGACCTTGCCGATGGCCGCGGGCGACAATGCGCCCTCGCCGTCCAGGCTCGTGCGGCGTAGGTCGAGCGCACGCAGCAGGAAGCGGTAGACGAGCTTGTACGTCGCGCTGATAGCCTCGCGGTCGCTTTGGCGCAGCGCACGTCCGAGGAATTCGGCCACACCCACCAGACGCTCCGACTTGGCATCGGCAGGCACCTCGGCGCCCATCTCGTCGTCCCACACGCGGAACGTAGCTTCGAACACCTCCTTAGCGGGCGTCTTGCGCACGAGCGTCGAGACGAGCTGCGTAAGCGAACGCTCGCTGGCAGTCGACGAGCCACTGGCGCTCGCGATCGCCGCCTTGAGCTCCGGCGACACGGCCAGTCGGATCACAGAGCCAATGTACGACGTCATGAATGTAGGCACCGAGCCAAACAAGCCCGTCAGCGTGTCGAGCGCGCCTGTGCGCAGCGACGACACGTTCGACTTGGCCGCACCTGGAGCTGTGTCCTGAGCGTCCTCTGAATCCGAGTCCGAGTCGGCAGCGCCAGCAACCGTCGCAGAGGGCTGCGACACAACGGCAAGACAGAACGGCACCAGCGCAGCGATGTGCGGGATAAGGCGTGGTCCAAGCTTGGTGGTGAGCCTGCGGGTGATGGAGAACACGCTGATGCGCGCCGCTGTAGGCACAGCGCTGCGCGCATCCTGCGCCTTGGCTGCCGCCTGGCCGAGCTTGACGAGCGCAGGCAGCGAAGAGGCGAGCGAGCCATGCTCGGATGGCTGTGCAGACGACGCGATCGTCTTGAGCGCGTCGAGCGCCGCCTGGCGCAGCGCTTCGGCATCGCTTCCGCGCAGCGACGTCGACAGGGAAGCCTCGACCACATCGACTGCCGCCTTGACGATGACGGGAGTGAAGGTTGCCACCGTCGTGCGGTCTTGCGAGTTGGCCTGCATCGCCGCCACGCGGCTGGCAAAGAGCGAGAAGCCGCTCGTCCTGCGCGGCACGTCGTCGTCCTCGACGAGCTTCGAGACGACTGTGAGCACGTTGGCGACGGGCGAGAAGGGCATGGCCTTGTCCAGCAACTCAAGCGCCAGCGTTGCAATGACGGGCTGGGTAGTGCGCAGCTTCGCAACCGTCTCGAGCGCGAGCTGGATGAACGTTTCGAGTTCAGGACCGATCTGGCCCTCGGGGACGGCACCGACCTCCTCGGCAAACGCCTTGGAGGTGAGCACCTGGCGGATGAACATGACGAGCGCCTGAATCTGGCGCAGAGGCTCGGCTTCGTGGTCGACGTGCTCCTTGTCGAGTCGACCGGCGCGATCGAGGAAGACATGCTCACTGAGCGCATCGGTCTCGGCACGGTGCGCCCAGATACGCAGCACTTCCTCCAATACCTGGTGCAGCACCTGTACCTGCACCATGGCGCTGTGCGGCGACACGACCGACAGTGGCAGCTGCAGCGTCTGCTCCGCATCGGCGCGCGGCTGCTTGACGATCTTGTGCGCCGAGCGGTCGACGAGCAGCATCGCCACCGCAGCGGCAAAGTCGTCGGCGCCGAGAACGTCGACGAGGATGCGGAAGAATGTCTGTCGTCGGTGGCGCGGCACGTGCGCCGCTGCATCGGTGAAGATGCGCACAAACATCCTCGCCTCGCACAGCAGAGCAAACTTGCCCTGCTTGGCGGCGTCGGACGCCTTGAGCGAGCCGACGAGCGCCGGAACAATGCTCTGCAGCACCCGCTCCACCACCGAGAAGCTGAATGCATCGTCGCGCTGCAGCACTGTGGCGCCAACAAATGTGAAGATCGGCATCACATTGTGCAGCACCGCTTCAGGTGCCACATTGGCGATCCTGGCGAGCAGGAGCAGGGCATGCTGGAACGTCTGCGGGTTGTTGGAACACTTGATCACGCTGACGATCACATCGGCACGAAGCGCCTGTGCCACATCGGCCGGAACCGCTGCACCGGCCTTGGTCGAGGCGTCGATGAGCTTCTCGATGCACGCCATGGCGAGCTGGAGCATCTGTTCGGCATTGGCAGCGAGCATGGCCGAATGCAAGTCGACGGCGACACGGAGCACCTCGAAGAGCTCGTACAGCAGCATGCCCGAGCACACGAGCTTGCTGCCGACGGCCGACTCGAGCACGGCGACAAGCACGGCGCACGTGCGCGTCATCGTCTCGTCCGACGTCAGCATGGTGCGCGCGCGCTTGGCCTCGGGCCCGCTGAGCGCCTTGGTGGTGATCGCATCGCGCAGCTCCGAGAAGACGGCGATCAGAATCGCAGAATCGAGCTGCAGCTCGCGCAGCGCCGAGCCCACCTCGGGCGCGGCGGGCAGCGCTGGGTCTGCAACGATGTCGGCAAGATGCAGGTAAATCTCCTTGCGCATGGCGGGGGACAGGGTGGCGAAGAAGCCGGCCTTGTCGAGGGCGCGGACGGCGGCCTTTTGGACGAGCGCCTTTCCGTCCTTGCCAGCCACGGCCTCCAAGAACAGCGCCCACGCACCTGTGGACGCGGTCTCGACGACCGTACGGCTGCTTCGGTCGTAGGCTCCGAAAAGCAGCTCGAGGTAGAGCTCACGCTCATCGATCGAGCGCAAGCCCTTCGTGGCTGCTGCCACGCTTCCCTGAACAACGTTGCGGATGAGCGGAAGCGACATGTCGAGCTTAGCAGCGTCGCTGACGCCGGCAAGCGACTGCATGAGCACGAGACGGTTGGCAGCCGTGTCGAGGCAGAGGATGTGCGAGAGGATGAAGCAGACCATGGCGTGCTTTTCGCCGACCTCCTTGCGACCGTCGTGACGGCCGATCTGCAGCAGCTCTGCCTGGATCTTGGGCAGCAGCGTAGCATCGTTTCGAAAGCCCGATTTGCGCTCGAGAAGCTTCTCCAGGTAGTGCACCAGAGCGGGCAGATCGATGTACTGCATGGGGTCCGATCCAGCAGCGCCGTAGAACGATTCGTAACCGTAAATTTCGGCCTCCTCACCCTTCTTCTTCATCGCTTTCGCATTCTCAGCAATGTGCTTTGAGACGCGCAGGATGTGCTCGAGGCAAGAGATGGCGGCAAGTCGAATGGCTGCTTCGGCATCGGCAAGAGCCGCCAGCAGGAGCGGCACGACGACCTGGAAGTCTTTGGCCTTGACCTGGGCGCCGGCCTGCGCCTGTGCGGAGAGGTAGGCATCGGCGTGGCGCAGCGCCGCCAGACGCACGGCAGCACTGTACGACGCCGTTGCGTTGGTCCAGATGGACGCGAGGAAGGGCAAGCTGGCATCGCCGGTCTTGACGAGCAGGATCTGGAGCAGCAGCTTCGGCACCGATGAGGGAAGTGGAGCCGTGTTGACCACCGAGTACAGCGCGCCGAGCAGCGATTTGGCGGCTGCAACCTCGGCCGAGACCTGAGAGGTGACAAAGCTGTCGAAGGCGGGAACTTGAACGCGTCGGACGATCTGAATGAGCAGGTAGCTGACCAGAAGCACCGCGCTCTGCTCCGTACCAGCCGTCCTGGAGAGCTCCGCAAGCTGCTTGGAGTGCGGCGAGGCCTCGAGGGTGTCGCGCAGACCAACGGTGGACAGAAGCTTGACCTGATCGGTAGTGAGAGCGCCGGCGGCCGAGATCGACGGCAAGACGATGGTGTGGAGGCAAGTGTCGGCAAGCGTGACAAAGTCGTGGCCCTCGAGCTTGTCTGCGAGGTGCAGGAGCGACAAGAGGGCGAGATCTCGCGACATGGCCGCGCCAGCCGAGCTCGAGTCTTCGGCGATCGGTCGCGCGGTGGACTCGAGGAAGGCGATCCAGCTCGCGCGTTCCGCCTCGGCGAGAGGGAAGATGTAGGCGGCGATCGCCTGTGCGACCGCATCGTTGGCTTCGGCGGCAGCCATCGAGGCGTCGAGCGATGGGGCAATCGAGCTGAGCAGGCCCTTGACCTTGCGGCTGCCAGTGATGGTGGTGGCCGCCGCTTTTGCGAGCGCGGCACGAGCCTTGCTTTGCAGGAGGTTGGGCCAGACAGCTTGCCGCGCAACAGCGTCCTGGGCGTCGGCGTGCCTCTCGAGGTATGCGTTGAGGAGAAATTGGAGGTGCTGGCTGAACCTGTCGACGGAAATGCCCTCTTCCGCCAGCGACTCGACGACGGAGGTGAGCAGAGTCTCATTGTCGAACGCATCGAGCAGAGAGGCAGGTTGCGAGTAGAGCACCTGGAGGACGTCGACGGACGAGTCCTGGATGCGTGCATGCAGTGCCTCGCGGACCATAGTGTCGTCGGCACGTGCACGGCCATCCTTGACCTGCTTGTAGAGCTGCTTAAGGGCGAGCACGCGCTGCGAGGCTTCGGCAGAGTGGATCGAGAGCCAGAGAATATCAGACTGGCCTTGACCATCGAGGCGACCGCTAGAGGCGTCGTCGAGCGACGTGCCGGACTCGAGGGCGAGGACAGCCTGGACCGTCTGCCAGATAGCAGCAACGCGAGCCTCGGCTTGGTCCTTGCGGGTGCAGTTGCGGAGGGCAGCGTCGAATACCTGGGGCTTTCGGGTTCGCACGGTCTGCAGAACACGGAGACGGTTCTTGTGGGCGTCCACCAGCATGTCTGCCTTGAAATGCGCTTCGAACGCCACCTCGAGCGCCTGGGACGATCCAACGACGGTGCCAAGACGAAGGTTGAGGAGCAACTCGGAGGCTTGGATGGCAAGCTCGTCGTGCACAACCTGGCCGCGCAACAGCGTGCTGAGAAGATCAGCCGAGGAGGCGTGCGAGAGACGTGCCGAGAGGGCTGCAAGCAGATGGGCGAGGAAGGCGCGTCCGTCGTACTGCTTGGCGAGCGCGCTGATCGAGCTGCCGGCCTCTGGCGATGCGACGAGAAGCGCGGCAAGGCTGTCCGGGATCAATCGATCGGCCGAGGTGGACTGTGCCGCGAGCGGGGCAGTGGCTACGCTGGAGCTCGCGCAGAGGGCAAAAGCACACGAGATCAGGGCGCGGTTGACGTTGGTGGTGATGCTGGACGAGGACAGCGACTTGGCGAGGCTGGTGAAGATGCCCTGAATGGCCTCCTTGCTGAGCGGGAACGACTGTGCAATGGTGCACAGGAGCATGAAGCCACCCATCTGCGCGTCCTGACCGAGCGAGGCGGTGGCTGCCACTCGGACTGCTGCGGGGAGGAGGATGGTGAGGATGGCCTGGGCATCGGCGGCGCGCGTCTTTGCCGACTTCTTTGAGTTGCTGGTGGATTTGGAGAGGCCCGAGACGTGCTGGGTGTCGTCCATTCGTGCACGAGCCGCACAGACCTGAACGAGCGTTGAGGTCCAGAAGTTGACGAGAGCTCGGTGTGGAGCGATGTGCAGAGCGATGGTGGTGTCGTTGACGATGAGGGACGAGAGCCAACGCAGCAGGTCGAGGCTGGCAGTGGTGGTGGCAGGCGCGAGGATGGCTGCATGGAGGACGCCGGCTGGAAGTGGACTGGCGGTCTTTTTGACGGAGAGCAGGAACTGCAGGTGAGGCTTGCCGTCGAGCTTGGCGATCGAGAGCATGCGTGCGAACTGCTGCGTGTCGTGATAAGGCAGGAAAGCGGCAAGCACGTCCTGGACACTGAACTCGTGGATGTGGAAGCGGCGTACGAGCCATTCGAGACACTTGGATGCGCCCTTGGAGAGGAGGAACGGCGAGGCGAGGTGGAGGAACTCCCTCACGGCCTTGTCGATTGCGTCGTTGTCCTCCTTGGGCAGCATGAGACGATCCATGCCTCTGCTCTCTTCGCCAAAGAGGAGCGAGGAGCTGGACCACTGCTGCAGCGAGGCATCCTGGGCGGAGAGCTCGGTCCATCCACTGGCGCCGAGCGCGTGAACCGTGAACAGGTCCTGCTGCGCCGCAGTCTTGGGCGGAAAGAGATACGAAGTGTGCTTGACCAGCGACGCGGACGAGGCGAGCCGCGAGGCGTTGTGCGAGCGCACGTTGGCCAGCTGGGCTGCGAGCGACGAAGTCATGGTTGACGATCGCTGTTTGCGCCCTTGTGCCTTCGTGTGAGGTGAAGAGCGAGCGTCGTCGACGTCGTCAGACTGCTTCGGATAGGTGTGGTTGAAGAGAGACAGAGAGAGAGAGAGAAGTTGTGGTGTTCGGTGCACTTTTCTTCCTCCGGGCGCTGGAAGAGGAATTATTCAGAGTTTCTTCTCTCTCTACGCGCCTCAGCCGCCTCCCCCTTCTGTGCCTTGGCCCAAGAAACCAGAAAAATGGAAAAAATCGCCTCCATCTCGGAAAACCAGCCAATTTCTAGCCTCCGCCGCAATCCGAATTCCGAGAAAGCACACTCAAATTCTCGCACGATTGAGCAGACCTTTGCCAGCCTCACGCCTCCTCTCTTTCTCCACAACCTCTCGTCCACCTCAACACAGATTGAGAAGCACCTTCGTCGGCAACTTCCCAGTCAATGTAATGCAATGTAGGATGTGTAAGCTAGAAATACAGCCGTAGGACGATGCTAGTCGTCGGCAGGCTCGGCTTCGCCCTTGAAGTAGTTGCGATAGATGATGATCGACTGCCCCTTGCCCAGCTTGGGCGAGTTGCCCGTGGCAATCTTGTTGCCCAACCGGTCCAGTTCATAGTGGATGGGCTTGAGCGCTGGCTTGCTCTCGCACTTCTGCGTGCCGTATTGCGCGCCCTTGCCGACGAAGAGCGGTCGGTACCAGCGCACGCACTTGCGCGCCTCCGACGAACCGGAATCCGACTGAGCCGCCCTCTTGGTCGGAGTAGAGTAGGGTGCAGCATCGCCCTTACCCAGTCGATGACTGCTAATGTCGTCGGTGATGATGCAGGCTTCAGGCTCGTGGTCGTGACGATCGGGGCTCGGTGGTCTCTCGTACGGCCTCTGGATCTTGGTGATCTTGTAGCGCGCCAGGGTCTTTTCGTTGTGCTTCTTGTGCACCGTGTCGGCCAGCCGCAGCTGGTCGGTCAGGGAAAGCGGCACATCGATCTTGCGCGCGGCGATGATATCGTTGAGGCTCAGAGCGCGCCCTCTCGACGGCGGAACGCGCGTCGCAGAAGGTGTGAGCGAGCGAGAAGCGTTTCGCGCAGAACGCAGCGGCCGGCCTGTAGTCGTTGTGGGCGGGACTGGCACAGCTGTAGCTGCCGAAGCCACAGCAGTGGCCGGTAGTGCCTGCGAGGTAGCTGCTGGTCCACTCTGCGTGCTTGTCCCGGGAAGCATCTCTGCAGACGCATCCGTCGGAGATGAGACGCTCCTCTCGTTGGCCAAGGGACGAGATGTCGCGGATGGCGGAGCTTGTGAGACGAGCTGGTCCGCGCCATCCGAAGATTGGGCACCGTCTGTGGCGATCTCTGAAGAGGGCGACTCTTCCGCCTCTGAAGTTGCTGGCGTGGTATTGGCCTTGGGTGCGCGATTCCTCGCTTTCTCTTGCATCGCCAAGCATCGCAATCGCTGCTGCTCGGGGTCGAGCATGACTGGAGGTGGACGAGCCGAAGCCGCAGGTTTACTCGAAGCCACCAGAGTGACCGGGCTCGATGAACGCACGACTCCTTGCTCTGGATTGCGACCAATCGCTCTGGTAGGACCGCCGAGAGCCGATCCTTTCGACGCCATGTTGACAGAGGGTTTGGCAGGTGAGGACCGTGCGGCAAGGGTGACGGAGGGAGTTGGATCCTCCGAAGCATTCACTCGAGTGCTTGCCTCGCTGGGCGCATCGAAATCACTGGCGGGACCCGCCTTCAATGCACTAGAAGTGCGAGCAGCTGGGTCGTCCTCGACAACCGTCGCGGACTTGGCGATGGATTTGTCTGCCTCCGCACCAGCAGTAGCAGCAGCAGTTGCGGCTTTTGCTGTTGGTGCGCCTGAATTGACGCGGTTGAGCCCGGACTGGGATGGTGCAAGCCTTGCGATCGCCATGGGTACTGGACGCGACGTCGGACGTACGGGTCCCGCCGATTGGCTCGAAGAGGCTGGTCGGGGAAGACGCGTGCCAGGGCCTCCGGATGGGAGAGAGCTGATTCCTGCGGTTGCCGGCCTTGGTCGAGGCAATCCACTAACAGACCGCGCGGGCTTGTCCGGCGATGACAATTTGTGTCCAAATATCGCCGATGCAGAGTTTTGTCCTCGAGAAGCTTTGGATGCCACCGACGGGCCTTGCGAGGACGATACTCCCCTGGAGGCAGGTTGCGCGGCTGCCGCTGCCGCTGCGGGGGCAGAGGCTAGTCGATGCTGTATGGCCTTTGCAGCACCGGACAGAGCCGACGGAGGCAGGCTTGTACCTTGACTGCCGAACCTGTTCGATCCCACGCTGACCGATCGCGCTGCTTTGGAAGCGACGCTGGGAGCCCTGGACGCCTCCTGCCCCGCCCTTTCGCCGGGCTTGAGGACGTTGGTACGCGCTGCGGCCGTGGAGTGCACCTGAACTCGTCGCGCTGGGATTCGCTCCGGTTTGGGACCGAAATCGACCGACTTGGCAGAGCTGTTGGTATACGCCTTTCTAGGAGATCTTTCCGGAGACACTTTCACGCCAAAGTCGGCTTCGTGCTGATGAATGGGAACGCGTCGAGCGGTCTGCCTGAAGACGGGTGCTGGTGACGCGTTGTTTGCATCAGACACGGAGACCGATTCGCGTGCAGGAGTCAAGAGCGAGGCATTGACCGCCTCAGACTCTTGGCGTACTGGAGATGAGAGCGGTTGAGGTGGAACTCGTGAGGCGCATGGAGAGCCGGTGCGGTCTGGTGAGGCGTGGGTTGTCTTTGCGGAAGGCGATCTGGCAGCAAGAGTCACGTCGTCTTCCTGTCGGCGAGTTGTGGCGCTGGGTGTTGTGCGACTTTCGGGGTCTGCGAATCTGACTGAAGGAGTGGCAGGAGTAGGAGCAGCTTTCGAAGGCGAGGGTGGAGCACGTTGCTCGCTGGGCGCAGCCATCTTGGGAGGAGAGGGCAGCGAGAACGTCGGCTCGGCGCGGCTTGGCGTTCGCGGTGTCTGCATTGCTTTGGCGGGAGATTCTGCAACGGGAGCAAATGCACCACTCGAGATGAATGGTGATGGGACGACAGCATGATGACCCAGTCGCATGGAGAGGACGCGATTTGCGGGCGTCTCGGGTGGCTGGCTGATGGACGAGATGTTTTGGAGACATGCAAATCGTGAAAGACCGGTGCTTGGAGGAACGAGCTGGGTGGAGGCCAATTGCTGGGAGGGGGTAGCCTGCACGGGTGGGAGAGCGTGCTGGAATGGCGACGGCGAGGCAAATGCGAGCTGTTGAGAGCCGAGCTTAGTGGGCGAGGTGGAGAGCTGCAAGGCACGCAACGAGAGCCTGGGTGATCGACGCGGCGAGCGTTGAGGAGAGTGAGCCTCGCGATTCTGGGACATGGTGGCACCGATGAGCGTCTCGACCGAGCGGATTGGGCTTTGGTTGCGATGAGGGGACTTGTTCAGCTGCTTAGCAGGGCTGTGGGAGGCCGAGTTCTTTGCAGGACTCTTCTGCGCCTCCACAAATGGATTGACTTGGCGGGCATTCCCGCATGGTGATTCTGATGGTCGCTGTTGGTGTCCCTCGTCAGCCTTGACATCAGTTTTTGGTGCTCGCTGCGGTGACTTTGGATCAGAGGGAGAATCTTGACGCTCAGCTGGAGTTGTGAGCGTTTGGACCTCTGCGGTCAGGGTGTCCTCGTCTGGCTCGCCTGCCGGTGGCTGTGTATCTGGGGTCCGAGAGGGAGAAGCGGAGGGAGACTTGGAAGGGAGCGAGCTGATCCGCCTGCTTCGCGTAGGAGAGACGGGGCTAGCAGGCGATTCGGCCACAGCGTCGAAATTGAGCAAGACGGAGCGGGAAGGGGTAGGCGCCGGACCGGAAGCGGACCAGCCGTAGTCGAGGTGATCGTCGACGAGCATGGTGTCGTCTGGATTGAAGCTGATGGGACGGCGCCGTGTGAGGACGAGGCTGTCCTTGTGCTTGAGACGCTTTTCGAGCACGCGCTGCTCGTAGTGGATGCGCTTCTTCTTTTCGGCCGACGAAGGCTTTCCGAAGAAGACGACGGCCGAGTCATCGGATTCGTCCGAGGAAGAGACGAAGTCGTCGGAAGGGCCGACCAAGCGGCGGCGCAGAGGCGAACGATGCCGAGTTGGTGAGCTTCGTGCGCGCACGGGCGAAGAGTGCTGAGGGGAACTGCTCGCCAGCGGGGAGCCCGACAAGGGACTGCTGCTGTGCTTGGCATCGTCGGTAAGTCCGATGGCGGGTGTCTTTGCAGAGCTGGAGGGCTGTGTGTTAGATGCGAAGCCCAGATTCTCCTTGTTGAGATCACGCACGGGCGATGACAAAGAAGAAGCGCCCGAGAGTCGCAGGCTTCGGCGAAGGCGCTGCGGTGAGGCCATGGCTAGCCTCGAAGGGCTGGCCGAAGGCGATGGAGCTGGTGGCAGGACGTCCATCGCAAGATCAGAAGCCAGGATCTATATCCGTGTCCGCGCTGTGTCCGCGCTCACAACCGTGTATTGCGAGTCCAGCTGAAGGGCATCAGCCTAGGTTGCCCAGGACGATCGAAGCGTTGGATCGATCAAGTATGATGGTTGTGCACAATGTTTTGTTGAGGCGGTGCAGCTATGGATAGTATGTCCGCCCTGAGAATGTAGCGAGTCAGACGGTGGCCGAGGCGTGTGGAAGATAGAGCGGATAGCGCAGATGCAGAGGCTGTAGGGATGGGATGGCGAACGGGAGCAGGTGTGCAAACAAAGCTACAAAGTGGGTCGGTCATCCGACATGTGGCCAATGCCAAAGTGCTGTAAGCCTGGACACCGAGAGCCGAGCTTATGCTGCACTATCTTCGTTTCGTTTGTGATGATTCGCCAGCCCGATGAGTCCTGCTGTGCAGATCCGCGTTGGGCTCACTGCATCCGGCAACCAACACCAAACGAAAGCACAGCACCATTTTCCAGATGTCACCTTCGCCAAAAAAAAATAGCAGCAGCAACCCCGCGCCTCAGCGCTCACGCGCGCCTTGGGAGGGCGGCTCTGGGTTGCGCGCGTGGTAGTCACGTGCCTTTGAAAAATCCAGCCTCCACCTCCGCGCCTTTTGTCCATTTTTTTGGCTCGGCACGGACGGTTCTCGTGGACAGAAATTCAGTCAGGCCGTGCACCCTCACTCAGCAAGCAGCGCTGCAGGAACGCTGCATCCAACGCGAAAGCCGGAGGCCGTGCTCAGCTTGCTTTGCTTCTCCACGCTCATCCATCTCGTCCACCTCCTTCGACCCCAGTAGTATCGCTGCTGCCACAGCACCTCACCATGCACGTCCTGTGCCAACAGCTCGGCGCGTCATGAAGCTCACAAAGTGTGCAGTGCAACTGGCTGCGGCGCGGCCCCTTCTGCCATCTCCTCTCACGACTTTGAGAGGCAAAGGTTCGCGCCTTCGCCACGGACCTCGTTCACTCGAACATCTGCGCCTTGACCATGCACGACCTGCTACATCCCTAGCTCCTCGACAGCTGGTTGAGAAGCACAGCCTCAGAAAGCCGCAGTCGCTATCATTGCTCCTCTCGGAATCGCCCAGCGAGCCCTCTGGGTCAGGCCAGCCAGGCCACCGTCCTCAAGGTATCTCCGACCACGAGTACAAGACTCGCGTAGGCAAGGCATGTCGCGTCATCGTGGAAAGCCTGCCTGATTTCATGCACAAGGGGGTCGTGGATCTGGACGACCTCGAATGCGACCACCATGGAAGTGCCCAATCGGACTCGGCATCGTCCAAGGGACCTCTGGCGGCCGTACGCTCGCGCTGGTCAGCCGCTAAAGGGCTTCTGCCCATGCTTTCACCATTCCTGGGTCAGAGCCTGCTCAGGCGGGCAGCACCGACGCACGCTTCCCCAGCGCGTGCGACTCGCCCGGACGAGGTCTTCGACAGCCTCTACCACCCGTCGATCGCCTTTGAATTCCGGCCACCGCTTCCGCACATCGGCATCGGCAAAGACGGGCCCTCCGATGTCGAGAGCAGCTCAAGCATCTCCAATGCCAGACATTCAGGCAATGTTCGCGACTTGGCTTCGCTCGATGCAGACGAGCCGCACTCGCGCGGCGGACCGACCATCTGCTTCAACGGTCGCACCATGTACGTCGCAAGCTCGCACCTACTGCGCCATGCCCTCTCGGCGCTCTTCCATCACACAGAGCTGCATCTGGAGTCGGCGCGTTTCGAAGGGCGTTCGCGATCCGGAACCTTGCTCGGCAGCCGCTCGTCTATCCATCAAAAGCCCGAGGCTAAGGCGCTGACAAATGGGTCTGGGCCGGAAAGGCTCATAGTGAGATTGCGCTTCGAGGGCATCTCGCGCGTCTCGTCGCATCCGCACACCTATACCGTCATTTTTCGATACGAGTTCGACCGCAATACGGGCATGATCATCCGCCACGTCGTCGACAACATCCAGCCTGTGCCCGGCAGCAAGGTCTGGGCCGGCCTCACCAATGCGTGGGGTAACCTCAGCCCGTGTGGCGCTGCGGGTGCAGGAACGCCTGGAGGCAGAGGCCCTTCCGCCTGCTCTGCCCATCAGCCTTCAAAGAGCCCTTGAGATCACGCCGATTTTCGAACCGACGCAGTGGTTTCATGCTTGTTCTTCCTCAATCGGCTCTGCCGTCTTGCCTACTAGCTTGCACTTGTATTCTATCTCTTGCCAGCAGCCTGTATCAATTCAAACCACCTCTCTCAACGACCAGACGTGAATCCAGTTCGGAAGACAAGACGGTCCTGCAAGCCTTGGCGGAAGGATGAGGGTTGAGAGCAAAAACCTGGTTTGTTGGGATCGCAGGTGTAACAAATTTGAAATTTCGTCGGTGTTGGGAGCGAGACGCGCGCGTCTCACGCGCCTGGCTGCGGATTCTCGGCTTCCCTTGCGTAGAGAGCAACACTGCAAAAGTGCTGCCTCGACGTGCAGGTGTTGCTCTGTCGGCTCAACCAACTCCCACCACCATCTCCATCCAAACACCCTGGCTTTGCTCGATTGAGCGCTATCACTGCACTTTGCTGGAAAGACCAAACATGCTGATGCCACGAGCGTCGTCGTATTCGCAACCCGGCATGGCGCCCGGTCAGCCGCAGCAGTACGATGCGCCATACGCCCCGATGATGCCCCAGCCATCCCACCACCTCATCTCGTCGCTCCAGTCATGCGTCTCGTCCACGGCAAGCTGCGTTCAGACAGTAAGTACGGTATAGAATCGGTAGGAGGAGAATGGAACGATATGCTGACCTGATCGCACGTTCTGTGTTGTGGCGCAGATGAACGAGGCAATTTACAATCTCAACTACGCAATTCAGGACCATCCTCGTCTCGTCACCGTTCTCAAATCCCAGCGCGTACGTATCCATACGATTCGACTCCGTCCAGTGCGCTTTTCTGACCGTCGCATCCTTCTGTGCAGCACTTTGATCTTGTCTCGGGCCGCGACATTGAGCAAGCGCGCGAGCACATTGCCTCGGAAGTTCGACCCCACATCGAGGAGCTCTGTCGACGAGCAGCCGCCGAGATCTCGCGCGAGGACCGTCGTGTCGTAGCGCTGCGCAATCGCCACGAAGCTCTGCAACAACGCCTGCAGAACCTGCGTTCCATCGACAAACACCAGTCCAAGCTGCAGGACGCCCCACCCGCCCCCACCGACCCCGCCGTCCAGGCTCAGCTCGACAATCTCAACGCCACCCTCGCCGCACTCAAACACAAGAAACTAGCGCTGCTGGCAAAAGCCGACGCCCTAGAGGCGGAAGCTAATCCCCACTCCTAAACCAGTTGCCCTTGAGATCAGTGCCTTGTATTTGTACCCTTCCGCTTTCGAACGATGCCTCAGCTTCATCTCCACCCCGTCACATGCCCGAGCAGTGAAAAAAGGAACGACTTGGAATTGGGCTCAAAGCTCCGCCTTGGGATTGCCAGTGGCAGCCTGGCCAGCCTGGGCAGCATCCTGGTTGAGCGCCTTGAGCTTGCGCTCGATGCGGTTGAGCTGCGCCTCGGTCTCTGCGAGCAGCCGCTTGACCGTCTCGGGATCCGCGTCCGCCTCGCGCGCGCCCTTGGTGAAGCGCTCGAGGTTCTGTTCGTACATGCGCTCCAGCACGTCGGCGACCGTCTTTGCGATCGCCTCGGGTGTCATCGCAGCGCCGCCGGGCGGCGTGATGTACACGTTGGGGGCAAAGACGCGCTCGTACGCGGGCGGCGCACCGTTCTCGCCACCCGCACCGCGACGCGGCGAGAGCGGGCCGTAGTAGCCGTCGTGGCTGAAGTAGCCGCGGTTCATCTGCGCCGCATGCATGCCGTCCAGATGCTGCACCATGCGCGACGACGATGCCAGCGCGCCCGACCCGCGCCGCCACGTGTACACGTTCGACACCAGCAGCACCACAATCGCCACGCCAAACGCAAGCGTCTTGAAGCTCACGTCTTGCAGGCCAACCATCTCGAGCGCGCCGCCCACCAGATCGCCCACCATGCCCAAGCCGTCCATCACGCGGTCCACGATGCCGCCGCTGCCGGCCGAATCGCCGCTGCTGCCTGCGCCTGCCCCGCCCGAGCCGCCGTTGGCCGCTCGGTCGCCGTTGTTGGCGCCAGCTTCGCCCGCCGCTGCGGCGCCCTTGCGGCTGTTGGGCCCGGGCGTTGCGGCGCGTGCGATCTCTTCGACTGCGGCGGCATCGTCGCCCTCCTCCTTGAACTCGGAGGCGTGGTCGGTGAGGTACTTGCGCACCGCCTCGTCGAGCTCCTTGTAGTACTGCTTCTGGCCGTCGAGCGATGCCTTGTCGATGATGCTCTTGAGCATGCTGCGGCCGGACCACTCCACCTGGCACGTCACGTAGACGCGCGACACGTTGCCCGACCCCTCCCAGGTGATGCACGTCTTGGTCTTGACGCAGAAGCTGCCGCCGCTGGGCACGTCGGGCGTGCGCGTCGTGGTGAGCGTCACCACGTAGTTGTCAAAGTCGACGTGCACGTTTGCGTCCACCAGCACACACTTGGTCTGCTTGGGCCCAAACCCGCCCGCGAGCGGCTTGATGTACGAGATGTCGCGCGTGAGCAGGTTGCGGTTCTCGGCGTTGGGGCTCCACTCGCCCACCTGCAGGTCCATGAGCTTCTGGTCGTTGGTCCAGAACTCCTTCATGAAGCCACTCGTGAACAGCAGGTTGTATATCTTTTCCGGCACCGCCGGATACGTCGTGTCGAGCACCACCGACGAAAAGTGCTCCTTCTTCTCCTCGCACGGACACGTCGTCTTGCGGTGCGCCACGCGCTTGGCGCCAGGCGCGGGCGATCGGCTCTGCGGGATGAGCGGCGTGCCCGACCTCGCGGCTGCCGCCGCCACTGCCGCCAGGTTCTCGTCGCGCACGCCTGTCTTGGTGCCCTTGAGCTTGCGCTTGAGGCGCGCGCGCTTCGACGGCTTCGACTCTCCGCCATCCTTGCCGCCCTGATCACCATCGCGCTGCTTGGCATCTGCACCGCCCGCGCCGGCGGCAGCGGCAGACGAGTCCGCCTCGTCCTCGATCTCCGAATACTCGTCGGTCAGGTCCGCCTGGTCGGCTGCGGCGATGGGCACGCCCGGATGCGAGAGCTTCCAGATGTTGACGATGAGATCGTACGTGGCATCGCGCGAGAGGAACGACGTAAAGTTGTGCTTGCTCTGCAGCGTGGCGATCTGGATGGCGTTCGGGATGACGAACGCCGTCATGCGCTTCTCGATCGAGATGACCTCGGAGAAAGGCAGCACGACGTTGGTGACCCAGCCAAAGATGTTGGCCTTGAAGCACAGGTGGTTCTCGGAGATGTACAGCCGGCCCTGCGTGAGGATCTCGCGCACAAGTGCACAACCGTAGTCTTCGATGAGGTAGTCGTCCTCGGGCACCTGGGGAAAGAGCTGGTGGAATTCGTTGTTGCGCTTGGAGCTGGCCACCGCGAATCCTGTGATCTGCGGGCCCATGTCGTCGGGCCACGTGGTCTCGCCATCAATGTGGTCGCCACCGCCACCGACACCACCCGCCTCGGGCGGAACGAGGCCACCGACACCGATCGGATGGCCGCCGTCGGGCGTGAGCATGGGGGTGGGCATGCCGGGCACGCCTCCGATCGAAGACAGCAGCGCGGCCGAAGCGGCTCCAAAGCCGGCGGCGGCGCCGAGGCCACTGACAGACGAGCGATCGCTGGTGACGGATCCGTCGTAGGACATGAAGCTGCTCGTACTGCGGTCGCGGTGGGGACGCGGAGGATGAAACTGGTTGCCATCCTGATCCTTTTCGACCACAGTTCCGGTGGAGGGATCACGATAGATACCGCCCTGGAAGCCAGAGACGTGTGCAGCGCCATCATCACCATTCGCGGAGTTGGCACGCTTGGCATCCTTCTTCTTTTTGGTCGCGGTGGAGTCTGCGTCAGCCAAGGCGGCTTGCGATTGCTGAAGCGCAGCGGCGTGTCCGACACCCATGCCTGCGATGCCGCTGGCTGCTAAGGCGCCCGCGATACCGGTCGAGGCGGCACCGTTCTTTTTGCCCTTGCTCATCTTGCTGATGGTGCTGCTGTCGCTGTTCTTGCGCAGACGCAGCAGGGAGCCGGGACCGAGGCCGCTCGTGGAGCCAGCGTCGGAGGGCCTTCTGGGGCTACCGTCCATGGCGCTGGGCACATCCGAGGGGCGGAGAAGTGCGCCACTCGAGGCGCTCTTGGACATGCCCTGAAGTGTGTTGCGCTCCGGCGAGATGGGACGATCCATGAGCGTGCTGGCGCGCTGTGGTGCTCCGCGCTGGCCGTTGTTTTGGAATCCCAAGCCTTCAGAGGCAGGACGATTGGGAGAATACACGTTGCCCTGGTTGATGATCTCTTCGAGAGAGTCTGACCGAGGCAGTTCGGCACGGATGGGCGCAGGAGTGACGATGGTAGGCATGGTCGCAGATGCCGTGAGAGTCTGCGAGGGGGCGGCGGCCGAAGACGTCTCCTTGGACGGCGTGGCAGGCGTGGGGAAGGCCGAGGAGCGAGCCGGATTGGCGTTGTGCGCGCCATTAGCATTGGCACTGACGACACGAGGATGGCCATTGCCAAAGGCATCGATGGAGAGGCTGCCATCGCCGGGGCGATCTGAAGGAGCATCTGGATGCGGGGCGAGACGGGAAGTGAGTGGGGTGGAGGTGTTGGGATGCGGATGGGCGGGGTGATGCTGGTTGTGGGCATGATGGCTGGCGCCATGCGAGTGATGCGAGTTTGAGAGGTGGTCATGATCATCCTCAAAGACGCTGCCGCTGTCGTCGCCGTCGTGGTCGTCGGCGTGGTAGTCCTGGGCGGTGGCCATGGCGCGTCGCATCAGCTCGTGGCGGTTGAGCGGTTCGGACTTGCCGTGGCCGTCGTCGCTCTTGTCTACCTTGGAGCTGCGACGAGAGGCTTTGCCGCCGCCCGTTGAGGAGAGCGCTCCACCGGGCTCGCTGCGCCACTGACTGTGGCCCGAGGAGGACGGGCGCGCCATGGATCGTGATGAGGACGAGGCAGGTACGGTGCCCTTGGGATCCCAACGCACCGAGCTGGACTGGATTGGGTGAGCGTCGTCTGCGGCGGGAGGCACAGCAGTTCGCAGCGTGGAGGCGTCGGAGTCGGCCGAACTCTGAGGACGCTGAGGGCTGAGACTCGAGACGTCGGTCACGTCGATGGCAGGTAGATTGACCGGCGTGGAGAGCGGCGAGACGGGCACCGAAGAGTTGGTCGCAGCGTAAGCACCCCTGGAAAAGGATGAGTCGAGCGTCGGCTGGCCCGAAGAAGTATACGGAGATGCCGAAGTGGACTTGGTGCGCTTGTGATCTCCCGAGCTGGATGCAGCCGACGGACTGTCTTTGTTGGTGTTTCGAAAGATGTTTTTGAACGACGACATGTGGGTGTCGGCGCCACGAGCAGATGCTTGCTGCTGATGCGCAAGATGCGGCTCGCTAGGCAGGTGCTGATGCAGGGGATGCTGGGTGGGATGCGTTCTTCCGTTCGTCAACCCACCAAAACTGCTTGTCGGATTGATAGACGGGCCTCCCAAAGTCCAGATGGGTTTTGACGGAGGTGAGCAGGCTATATCAGAAACTGAGCAGCGCGATCACTGTGCAGGTGAATTGCCTTTCGGAAGCTGTCCGATCAGACGGCGGTGATGGTGTCGAGGTGTCAGGAAGGAGTGGCGGGTCCCTTTCGGAAGGGGGCAGCAGCAACGGACTGCACTGGGCACAGCTGCACACGAAAGATGTGCATGACCCACGCGCGATCGCGGCCACCTTTCTGACCGAGTGGGAACACGCCGGGCCCCTGTGTGCCCCACTCCGGTACATCCGCACTTTGCTCCACACGGACTTGCGTCGAGCACGGCCGGAAAAAAGGCCCAGCAGCAGGGCGCTCGAGCCGCCGCGTTTTGGTTTTCGCTGAGCCTTGGCGGCGGAAGCGCATGTGGAGCTTTCGCGCGGCCAACCCGCAGTCCGCCCGCTTCTCCTTCGGAAAGCGCGTTGCCGCAACAAAGGGAGCAGGGTGGAGTCCAGCTCGGCACTCCGGCGCTTGTCACCATGCATGGATGTGGCGCTTGCCTGCGATGCATGACGAGCTAGCGAAGCCTCAATCTCTTATTGTTTCCATGTCGACCAGCAGCATCACGATGCCCATCAGGCATCTGGACTTCATGTAGTATCCTCAGCTCCACATCGGCACGTCCGACCCGCAACTCAACACCACTCACCTGGTCGTGTCGGAACCCGCGGAACCCGCCGTCACAATCCGAAATGGCTGCTGATGATCATGACCCCATCGTCGTCTCGACTGCCACCGCCTGTGTGCATCAATCGGACCTCGAGGTGAGTTTCTCGAGCTTCCGGAGTGTGCTTTCACTTGCTGAACCTGCTCGGCACGTGTGTGTCATCGTGATGGTGCGTCCCAGACCTTGGGCGACGACGAGTGGGTCGGAGACAACATTTTAGCCTTCCATGCCGAGTGGCTCGACGATCTCGGCACGCGGCTCGATGAGGCCAGCTCCGCGCCTTCAGTCAAAATGATGCCTCCTTCCGTGGTCGAGCTGCTCTGCGCGCTCGACGAGGAAGCAGGCAACCAAGCATCCTCGGTCGTGCCAACACCGTCCGAGCGCTTTCTTCTGCTCCCTGTCAGCGACCGCTACAGCTCCTCGAGCCCCGGACACTCGGCCGGCGGTAGTCACTGGAGCCTGTTGTTCATCGACGCCCATAAGGGCGACAGCTTCCACTTGGACTCTCTTGGAGACATCAACCGCACCGCAGCCGACACGGTGCAGGACAGCATTCGCACGCTGATTCAGGCCAAGTCCGGCGGTACATTGCGCCCAGCCAAACCACGCAACGTCGAATGCCTCCAGCAGCAGGCCAACGGCAGCGACTGTGGCATCTACGTGCTCTGTCTCTCCAGTCTTTTACATCGTCGCCTCTCCCACGACAGTCCATCGGACAGGCTCGAAGCCCTGGTCGAAGAGGTCTGCGAATCGTCGACACCAGACACGGTGATGAAATTCCGGCACAAGTACCTCTCCTGGCTGCAAACATGGGGCGAGGTGACGCATCATGAGGAGCACGTCCAGCCCGACCAGCGCATCCGTGCACGCTTTCTCGAACTTTTTTCGGGTCTCGGTGTGGAGTAGCCGCCTTTTTCGCGCCCCAATTTCGAGACCTCTATTCTTTGCTCTGGATCTTTCTTGCTTGCACTTTCCTACTCCCGTTTGCACCCAACCGAGCCTTGCATTCTTCTGTTCCAACCGCCTCCTCGAGTGCATGTGCGGCATTCTCGCTAAGGACCCTAGCAGCTCTTCGTACTAAGCCCACGACATCCTGGTTCAAGCCGTTCTACTCTTGCGATGGCCAAGACGCTCGACCCGGTTCAGGCCGCGCGCAGGGCGGCCATCCAGCGTGAGTCGAAGCGCAACAAAGAGCGCAAGCAGCAGGCCCAGCAGGCGCGCGAATTGCGCCAAGACACCGCGCCACTCGAGCGCCAGATCCGTCGCCTCGAGTCCCGACAGAATACACTCAGCGAGGACGACCAGGAGGAGTTGCAGCGTCTCCAGCGCGAGGTTGCCGACGTCAAGCGCATCAAGGAAGAATACGTCCGCAACCATCCGGATCAGCGCAACTTTGTTCGCGGCTACGAGGAAAAGGCCTCCACCGATTCCAAGCCTGGCGAGTTGAGCAACGCACCTCAGCAAACCGCAACAGCGACCGCTCGCGACAGCCAGAATGCGCCGTCGCGGGATCCGAGATGGAGTATCTACTACGATCCGGTCTTCAATCCATACGGAGCACCTCCACCGGGCATGCCTTACCTCGACAAGCCTCACTCGCAGCTAGTAGCCGAAGGACTTCTGGACGTGGCAAAGCCACCGCCGCTGCCCGAAGAAACGGCCGATTTTGAAGATGGTGACTCTGACGAAGACAGCGACGATTCGAGCATCGACGACGACCTCAAAGACATTGTCATGCCGGCAGGACCTCCGCCCATCAAGCTTGCGTCTCATCAAGGAGAGATCCGTCCGAGCCCAGCGACAGCTGACCGAGGCCGAGCTGTGCGCGGCACGGGCAAGGCAAGAGGCCGGCCACCAGGCTCAGAGCAACACAGAGGTGGGAGACACGGTCCAGGCAATGGCATTGGCCGAGGCATGGCGAGACCGATCCACAGCGCCGCCGGACTCCCTGCGCGGCCTCCTCCTGGACTTCCGCAACGGCCTCTGGTACCCGTGGCAGCCGCAACAGGCTCCAGACCGCAAGCAGCTGCCCCCGCATCTGGAACGCCCAAGCCACCAGGACCGCCGCCTGCAGTGCCCGACGGCGTCGTGATCTCAGCAGAGCCGCAGCTCCGCGATTTGAGGAAAGAGACCACGGCATTCGTCCCGGCGGCGATTCGCAAGAAGCAGCAAGAAGAAAAGGCAAGGATGAAACGCGGACTTCCCGGCAGGATCGATGCAGCCCCGCTCTCGGAGAACATGACCGGCCCGGCAGATGCCGCTCAGAAGGAGCGTCCGGATCTGCTCAAGTCTGTGCAGGCGCATCTGCCCAGCAAGGCCGCCGAGGCTTCGGGAGGACAACAATCGAGCGAGGGCGGCAGCAGTGCCCAAGACTACGATCGATTTCTGCGCGAGGTGGGCGATCTGCTCTGATATGATAACGGCGAAGGCATAAAGCCCACTTCATACTTCACAACACCACGCGTTCGCTCGTTGCCCGGTCTGGCGGATGTCCGTCAAATTGGCGCCCACCGTTGCTCCCACGCTACTCCGTCAATTTCATTTGCAGTGGGTCGGGCGAGGTTATGCGGATGAAGCACCTGCGCCATCCGAGCTCGCCTGGCCGCAGATGAGATGCACGGCGCACGGCCAGAGCGGAATCAGTCGCAGCGGGCGCAGTTCGGTGTCGTCCGGACAGACTGTATAAGATGCGGTCGATCGCAAACCTCGTGCGGCAAAGCTCTTTGGACACATCCACCTTGCCTACCAGTCTGCACATCTCCGAGCGCACAAACGATTCACGACGGCTATACGTCTCGCAACAACGTCAAGATGCAGTTGCCTGGGCACACCATTGGTGGTGTATTCGCCTTATTCTTCTGCGCCGTTCGACTCGCCTCAGCTGCGGCGCCGACGTGCACAAAGGGTAAGTCGACGCATGGAAGAATCCACACACGATTGACATGCACATTGCGCAGATGCTGACAGGCGAGCTTCTCATCTGACAGTGCTTACCTGTGACGTGAAGGGAGATGACTCGCCCGAGGCTGGGCTGCGACAGGTGGATGAACATGCGCTGCGGTCGATGTACTGCGCCATGGGCTGCGACTATGCGGTGAATCATGCGATACCGCATGCCTTTTCGACGTACATCAAGCCGGTTTGCTCGGTCGAGAAGGAGGAGAACCAGATCGAGTTCAAGAAGTACGAAAAGGACGGCAAGGACAGCAGAAGGCGCCGGAGTCTGCGCTGGGAACGCGGTCAAAGCGAGTCGGAAAGATCACGGCGAGATATCGACGCCTACACAGTTGGTAGCGCGCAGATCAAGTTTTGCTGCACCGACCAGAGCGGAATGGACTACACCGAGGCGGTGAGTATGGACTTGCAACCGGTAGAGAGCATTGAATGAGAAGCGAGACAGCTGACGCCGAGCTAACGTCCACAATTGATTCCGCAGGCGGCCAAGCGAATTGGTCTCGAGCTTTCGATCTGCAAGGGTCACGCAAAGGAGTAAAACCTCAACAACACTTCCTCCTCAGCCTAGCATACGAGACACAAAGCAAATGCATGCGCCCTAGACGAGATGTGATGTCTTGAGCGACGCTGTGAGAGGGGCTACCGCGAAACGAGCTTGATGGGTGGAGGCTTCTGAGCCCAAAAACACGGAATTCTGGCCGATGGGCCAAATCACGTGCAGCCTCACGGCGCGAGGGTGAGGGTCCGGAGGGGAACGCGACTCGGAGTCGGATTTTCTGTGCAGGGCGATGCAGCAGCAGCAGCAGCAGCAAAGCAGCGGCAGGGGGGCGGTGGGAAATTTGGCATCTGCGGCTGCGTCCCCGTGCGCTGTGATGAGGGGCGTGTGTATGAGAGCGCATGTATTCGGCTCAGCCGTGACAGCCAGTGCATCACTTGCCGACTCGATGTGATCCTTTGTCTCTTCCATCTGTCGCATCACCCTTCGCATCGGATCAGCCGCAGCCTTGACTACGCCTCGCATCCACCAAATGGCGATTGGCTCATAGGTGGACGTGCTTTCTCTCCTCGGGCTCTTCAGCCACGCCCCTTTCGACCTGGCTCAGATCATAAATATCGGCTCGTTATCCAGCCAGGCCCAAGCCGACTCCATTTCAGGCCTCATTTCTCGCCACATCCAGCACATATAGCGACCAGCCATGCCCGGTGTTCGAGCGGCCTCACGCCGCGTTCCGGCTTTGCAGGCCTCCGAGGCAAGCTCCTCGTCGGGCAGCAGCAGCAGCAGCTCCTCATCACCTATGACGCCAGAGGCACATCTGCTCACCCATGTCAACAACGTCCGCAAGTGCTGCGACATGTCGCTTTTCTACAAGAACCTCCAGGAGCAGGGCATCGACTTTATCGCAGATAGCCTCTTGCACGCCAACGACATCTTCGCCAAATATGCGTAAGTACTCCCATCCATCTGGATCACTTCGACACCGCCACAGTCAGCGCTAATCATTGTCTCTTTGCTCTCGCCGCCTCGCAGCACCAGCTCGCGCAACGTCGCATCGCCTTCCAAGCTCGCCGGTGAGCTGCTCAAATCGCCGACTCGCACCCGCACACGTTCCCGCGATGCAGCAAGCGCCATGGGTCGCACTCGTGGTGCAGCAGTCTCCCACGGCGATCCTTTCATCGATGCGGTAGACGTCTTTGACAAGGAAAACGCGCCCGTCCCAACGCGCTCCTCGCGCTCCCGCACTGCTTCCACGCTCGAACCTCAAAAGGGCAAGCGAAAAGCCGCGGTCAAGGCTGGCAAAGCCATCGCAGAAGATGCACCACAGCTGCCCGTCGCTCGATCCACCCGCAAGGTACTCGGCGATCTCAACGTGCAGAAGCACGAGACTGATTATCCCGCACAGACCGCCAAAGCTACCAGAAACGCTGTCGTCAAAGTCACTTCCTCCGAGGACGACAGCATGGCAGTCGACACGTCCTTGCATCAAGTGACACCGCTCGATGAAACTGCGCCCAGGGCTTCCACTCCACCCGCACTCGCCTCGCCACCAAAGCCTCAGCCTGCCCAATCTTCGAAACGCGCGAGCCAGCCGCAGGTCATCGAGTTGATCCCAATCATCGATTCGGATGAGGACGATTCGGATGACGAACAACAAGCTCTCGAGGCAACGTCTGCTTCCAAGAGCAAGCCTGCCGCATCCAACGAGAAGCATGCCGATCCATCCGTCACGAGCACCGTCGTCTCGCAGCTTTCCAGCATCGATTCGACCACCGTCTCGTCGCTGTCCGACTCGAACGATACCATGCGCTCCACTGACGACAGGAGCAAGGAGCACGACAGCACCCTCTCGGGGCGTCATATCGACCCGAAGCTTGACAGCGCCCGTCAGGCCGCATCTCTATTCGTCTCCAAGCTTCAGCAACAAAAGGACGCCAACGCCGACAAGCCCGCCAAGCGCACCCTGGCTTCCTACGGCGCAAAGAAGAGTCTGTCTTCTGCCACGCACAACGCACGCCCCAGCAACCCTACCCTCACCCTTCACTCGGCCTCCACCCCGGCCGGTCCAGGATTCCGCTCGAGCTTCCTCAACAAGAGTCTGCGAAAGCAGATCGCTGATCAGGAGGCCCTCGAGGACAGCGACGAGTCCGACTCGGACTCGGACGCAGACGCAGACAGCCATCCCCTCGTAGCCGGCTCCGCATCAGCCGCCATCTCCAAGAAGACGGCTGCCAACACACGCGCCAATGCCGGCGATGCCACCACCAAGATGGCTGCCTTGCCCGCCAGTGGTAACGCGGCCAGCAAGAAGCGCAAGAGCGACGAGGCTCTTCCGCCTGCCAGCGAAGCCCCGCTAGGCTCGTCAGCTCCGCCCGCAAAGATATCAAAGTTGGGTTCAGCCATGCAGGCGGCCAAAGCACAGTCGTCTGCCCCGATTGCCGCCGCCAAGAAGCCAGCCGCAGTTGGCCCTGCGTCAAAGCTCGAGCAATTCCGCAACAATCTGGCACACGTGGCGCGGAGCACGGGTAGCGGTACGAACGCAAGCTCTACCTCGCAGCCCATTCCTCCTGCTAAGCCGGCGCCATCTGCTCCTGTCCAAGCGGTTGTGTCGTCACACGCAGATGATCGTAGTGAGACGCTGACGGCAGGTTCCGACTCGAGCTCGGAAGTCACGGAGAAGATTGCTAACCGTAGCGACGGATCGACCATCAAGGCATCCGCCATTCCACGTTCGCCGACCCGCTCTCCTTCTCGTACCGCCACAGCTTCGCCGGTAAGGCTTCCCCCTCGCACGGGCAGTGTCCGCAAGTCTCCTCGCAAATTGGCCGAGCAGTCAAAAGCCAGCCAGATAGACTCTGCACGCAGCGCTTCGCCCGGTCCCAAGTCCAAGGATGATGCGAGCGACAAACTTGCTTCCTCGTCTGGTCTGCCGACTCCCCGAAGCCCAACAACGCAGCCGCGTAGCCTTGCCGCCCTCTTTGGCAGCCCGAAGCAGAGCACCAAACTTCCATCGCTCTCGAGCACCGCTGGCGGCAGCACCACCCCAGCCCACTCGCCTCCCAAGAACTGGCACGGTAGCCGTCTGCCCTTCGCTCAACCCTTTGCCACCCAGCAAGCAGCGCTGCGCGAGAAGGATAAGTCGCTGCCTCAGACCCCGATCGAGCAAAAGGCCGAACCCGTCGCCTCCGAGGCTACTGACGGCCGTCGTGTTGCCTCGGCAGCGTCGATCATCCTCTCGACGTCCAAGGCCGATCTCGACAGCCAGTTCTTCGATGCTCGGGAGACTACACCGGAGCCTGTAGAGGTCCCAGCGGCTCCCGCCACGGCAAGGACGTCCAAGGACGCGACTTCGACCGCCACTGTCAATGTGGCTAGCAAGGCTGAGTTGAAGGTGGCGACCGCTCTTGCCAGCACGACGGCGCCTCAGACAGCGACCAAAGCGTCGGGCATCGTCAAAGCCTCGGCGCTGTCGCCCAAAAAGGTGGCCGCAAAGGCGCTGGCCAAATCGGGGCCAACCTCACCAACCAAGGCGAGTGCGCTTCGTGCTGCAGCCAACGTTGCATCGCCATCCAAGGCCAAGGCCCAGTCGACCACACGTACAGCGGCGCAATCGGGCGTACCAGCCCCCTCGACTTCTCCGTCCAGAACTTGGGGCATCGGCGAAAAGATCAAGGGCTTCCTCGGTCTGCATGCCTCTACCACGACCAATCCTGCCACGTCGGTGGCGCAGACCAAAATCTCGGCTTCCGGCACCTTCCAGCCCAGACCAAACGGCATCCCCGCAAGCACCTCCAGCGCGACGGTCACAGAGTCAAAGACAACATCCGCTCCTGTCGCCGCAGCCCCTGCCATCCCTGGTGCGCTGCTTGCCAGCCCGACGCCGTCATCGAAGGTGCCGCAGGTGCAGTCGACTCCGTCGGGCGCAGCTGCTTCCGGAACGGCCAACGGCAAACTCTCTAGTATCGCCCGGGCCGAATTGCTGCGCAAGAAGCAGGCAGAAGAGGAAGAACGCAAAGCCAAGGAGAAGGAAGAGCGCCGACGAATGCTGTTGGCCAAGAAGGAGGAGCGTGCCAAAGCGATGGCCGAGGAAGAGCTCGAGAAAGAGAACCGCAAGCGTACGCGCGATCAGAACGAACGCCCTGGACGCGTCGGTCAAGCAGGTGTGGGCAACGAAGATGCCAGTATCGCGTCGTCGAGTGGAGCCCCGGCAGCCATCCCCGCCGCGCTCCTCGGTGGCATTGTGCTTGGAGGCGGCTCGACTGCTCCCAGCAGCCTGCACAGCGGGTCGACGAGTTCGCGAACCAGCGCCGTCAGCACCATCAGCAGCGGACCGCCTACCCGACCATCTAGCGCGCTCAACGGCAGCTACGCAGGCGTCAAGAGCCGCTACATGCAGACCACGGTCCAGCAGGCGCAGCAACCTTCTCAGGATGAGAGCAACAAGAAGCGCCGCGTCACCAATGACCGGGACGGTGCCTCTGTAGGTGCTCCTCTCCTAGTCAAACCCAACCCGCAGCCTGTGGCAGGTGCTCGTCCGGGCGTCTCGGCGGCCACCTCGCAGATCGGCGCACCCAAGATGGTGCGCACCGTCAGCCAATCTTCGATTCGAGCCGGCACGGCGACGCAAGTACCCGCGCAACAGCAGCAGCAGCAGCAGCAACGCGCACAGCCGCAGCCGGCACCACAGCAGATCAAGTTGGCGATGAAGCCAACCGGTGCTGCAGCTGCAGCCTTTGGCGCGGCGCCGCGTATTCCCGGTGCGGGCGCAATGGCTGGAAATGGTGCGGCTATGGCCTCGATGATGGCGGCCGGCTCCAAGGCACCGCTTGCGGCTGCAGCGAGTCAGCCACCGGTCAAGCCCATGGCGAATGCCAACTTTTCCACTGCGAACCCTTTCCAGCAGGCCAAGCAGCAACAGCTGCAGATGCAGATGCAAAAGCAAAAGCAGATGCAGATGTTGCAGCAGCAGCAGCAGGCGCAAGCGCACGCCGCAGCAAGTGCCTCGCAGGCGCACGCGGCGGCGATGCGGGAAGACGAGCTTCACCGTGCGGCGCACCAGCAATTCCAGATGCAGAACGCAGCTGGAGGACGCGCGGAGGAGTGGGACGACCATGCGGGCCAGGCCGACGCAGACGAAGCTCTGCCGGACATCGCGTCCGAGTATTCGGACTCGGAAGACGAGGAGACGATCCAGAAGCGTGCGGCGATGCCGCTGTGGACGCAGGGCGATGCGTTGGACGCGGCGCTGCTGGCGCAGTCGACGGTGGATGCCGACGAGATCTTTGGAATCCCCCAGGGCCCTGTGGAGCTGGAAAAGATCTTGCCCGGCGAGCGCACGGCGAACCGTATCCGGCGCCCGCGCACGTCGTCGGCCAACTGGTCTGGTCCGGACGGCCTGGCTCAGTGGGAGATCGACCGATACAACAAGCGCATGGGCATCAAGGGCAATGGTGTGCAGCTCGCCAACCGCGACGGCAGCCACCATGCGCCGCCGCCTCCTGCGCACCTGCGCATGTCGATGGCGCATCGCCAGTCGTCGGCCGCGTCGTCGTCGGCCGCAACCAAGAAGGACGATCCGCGGGCGAAGTCTTGATTCACATTCGACTAGCTGTCTATGTTATTCCATTCCTGCATGATGATGCCAAATGCATATACTGTATTCACGGACGCATCCGGCCTGTCTGTCGCGGGGTTCTGCTTGGAGGATTTGCGCATTGCGATGTAGCACGCGAGACTGCGCAAGTGGCTCGGACGAACACTGCTTGGGACAAGTGGCACTTTGAGGGAGATGGCTGGAGGCCCGGGGGNGGGGGTCGCAGAATCGCCACATTCAGTCGACTCGGAGCAGCAGACCAAACACCATCCATCACACCGCGCGCATTGCGCAACAGAAGCATGGAGACCCGATCCTGCCGATTGCCCAATCTTGGCTCAAGCAGACGCGGCTTTTGGTGCCAGAACTGCGATTCTTGGGAGCGCGCACACACTCTCCGACTCGACACACACTGACGCAGAGCAAGATCCGATCACAAAACGGCCAACGGTGGGTGGGTATTGAGGATTGCACGCATGTCCGGGCTACAACTGGGCATATCCATGCGGGTCTCTGTGCGAGTCGGGCGCGTCGTCGTCCTCCTCATCGAGCGCGGATCCACGCACGTCGCTCCATCCATGTGCACTGTCTCTGTGCAGAAACTGGGCCGAATGCGTCTGGAGCGCACTCACGCTGTTGTGCGGGTGGTGGAACGAGCTCCACCTCCTCCCGCCCTCGGCGCGCGTCACTGGTCCCGACGCAGGACTCGGCTGCGGATAGTTGTACGACGACGAGCGTTTCGGATTCAACGATCCACTGCGTCGCAGACCCGCAGCAGGGTGTTGTGGCGGTGGCTGATGCCTGTGTGCATCTACCTGGGTGTGATGCGCCCGTGCGCCCGCAAACGGATCGCTGTCAGGCTGTGCCCCATCCCCACCATCGTCCACATCGTCGTGGTCGAGGTCCTGCCCGATCAGCCGCTCGCGCTCGCGCTCGCGCCCCTGCTGGCTGCGCACAAAGCTATCGCGCTTGCGTGCCAGCCACTCGTTGCGTCCCACCAGACTCGCAATATCCTGCGTCAGCAGATCCACCTGTCGCTGCCCCTTGGGAGGCTGGTCCTGCAGCCGCAAGATGTCCGACACCTTTTCGCGGATCGTGCTCCCCAGCGAACCCTGTCGTCGCATCAAACCGGGCGGATTGCCCGACGGCGTCGTCGGACTCATGGGTCCGTTCGCGGAAGAGTCGCTGTTGGCCACCGCCGACGCGTGCGCATCGTCGTGCCCCGCCGCGCGTGCTGGCCGAATCCCCTCGCCCTCGGCTTCGCCTTCGTCGATCCCGAGCATCCGCTGCTTGCTCGGCGGCACCAGTCGCAATCCGCCCGAGTTTTTGGGCTCCTTGTTGGGCTTGAAGCCGGCATAGGTGCCGGACTCGAGCGCGTGGCCCCACTGCGCGTTGCTCGATACCGCCGAGCCGCCCTCGTCGTCGTCGAGCCGGCGGCGCGGCGGCGGTGGACGTGCGCCTGCGGTTTTGGAGCGCCGCAGGTTGCTGCTCACCTGGCTGTCGTCGCCAGCGTCGTCGGCGGCGTCGTCGCGGCGCGGCGGAAAGAAGGGATTGTTGCGCTCGATGCGCGCCGCGTTGGCAGCCGCTTCGTCCGACATGGCCTCGGCCGAATCGGTCAACTCGTCGACGACGGTGCGCGATGCGCGCCCACGCACGCCGCCCTCGGTGGGCTGGATGGGCGGCGGCGGCGGCGGCTCGCTGCCTGCGGCGAGCGCCTCGCGCTGCAGCTCCTCCTGCTCCTTGAGCCACGAGGGCAGCGTTGCCTTGAGCTTGCCTTCGTCGCCGGTACTCGGCTTCTTGGCATAGATCGCCTTGGGCGCCACGGTTGGCACGGTCCTCTGCGCGTGCGAGACCATGGAGCTGCCGGCGCCCACCTCGCTTTCGCCGCCGAGTCCGAGCCCGCGCTGGAGCTGGCTCGAGGAGCGGCGCGGTGCGGTGCCCAAGTCGGTGTCGCCGCGGCCGAGGTCGGAGGCCGACTGCTGCGAGTCGCGGCGCTGCAGCGGCGCGCCATCCGAGCCGACGCGTCCGCCGAGCAGCGACTTTGCGCCGGAGACGGAGCGCTTCTTGGCGTGGCCCGATACGGGCGCGACCTCGGGCGGCGCCGTCTGTCCATTGAGCAGGCGTGGCTTGGTGGTCGGGGCGCCATGCTTGGCGGCGCTCGACTGGAGCACGGTAAAGGTCTTGGGCGGCAGCGACTCCTTTGCGCGGCGCACCTCGGAGCGCGCATTGAGACCGGCTTGGATGAGCGGGCTGATGTGTCTGGGCGGCAGTGGCGGCGGGTTGCGGTCGCCGGGCCTTGGCGGCAGCGGCGGGGACGAAGCAGCCAAGCGGTCGTGCTGGTGTTGTTGGCGCGAGCGGGAGCTGCTGGCCTGGGAGGAGGCGTCGTCGGCGGGGTCAAAGACCACCTTGGGGAATTGCGAGTGTGCGGCCATGGCCGGAGTGCCGTTGCGGAAGGGATTGGAGGCGGGCGAGGAAGCACGCACGGGAGTGGGCTTGACGATGCGTGGCTTGCTCTGCTTGAACGGGTTGGGCGCTGGGTCGAATCCGAGAAGCGCGCCTTGAGGCGTGGCGATCTGGGATGGAAGCGTCGATGTGGCTCCGACTGCCACGGCGTATCCGGAGCCGCTGGCATAGCCCGAGGTGGAGGCGGCGCCATCGCGGAAGGGGTTTGCGCTGGAGGAGGGAGGCACTGGGACGGGCTTGCGAAGCTGCTCGAGGTTGAGTGGCACGTTGGGATTGGCCACCTTGGGCTTGGGTGCGACGAGCTTGGGCATGTGCGGTTTGGCGGGCACGGCAGGCGGGGGCTTGAATGGCGGTGCGGACTGCGATGCGTGCGGGTTGTGTTCAGCGTTGTCCGGGAGGTTGAGGGCCGACTCTTCGCGCACAGGGGTGAGGAGCGGCTTTGTGCTGGCTTCTGGCTTGGGAGGGGGCATCTTTGCAAGGGGAGCCGAATGGGTGAGGCCTGGTGCGGGGGCGGCGGTGAGGCTACGCGGGCCGGGCGAGGTGATCTGCTGAACGTTGCCAAAGGTGGCTGCGGAGGCGCTCTGTGGCGTGGTGGCCTTGTTGGGCGGTGCTATGCGAGCGGGTTTTGTCTGTGTGAAAACGAGCTCCTTTGTGGCCGACTTGCCCTGCTGAGCCCAGGAGACGAGACGGAGCATGGCGAAGAAGTGGCCTGCGCCTAGACCGAGGGGGGTGCGTTCGAAGAGGGGCAGGATCTCGAGCTCGTCGGCCATGGCCATGCCGCACTCTTGGCGGAGGTATCGGAGGCCATCCTGCTCGTCGATGAGGCCCGGCTGACCGCTGGGTGCGGGCTTGATGCTGGCGAAGCTGGAGAGGTATACGATGTATTCCTGAGGCGAGAGGGCGGACTCGTCGAGGTAGGATCTGCGCGCGTTGAGGAGAGCGACGGTGGATGGGGCGCGGAAGGAGGAGGCGGCGGAGGTGATTCGGGCGGGCGATGCGATGGTGCTTGGTGGTGGATGCGACTGCGACATGGCTGTGTGCGTGTGTGCGCCGCCTGAGCTCGCGCGGATGCCAGCGTGTGGCGTTGGATGGCGCGCCTGGATGCGATGCGGTGAAGGATGGGTGTGTAGCTGTCTCTTTGCTTACGGCGACATTCAGCAACAGCTTTTTCGCGTACGATCAGATGCTGACGATGTAAGATGATGATGGCCGAATCGAGTCGAGATGATGCGAGGATGCGATGCTTTTCCTGAGCGTGTGAAAGAGGGTCCCGGTCCGGATGGTGTGCTATGTGAATGTAGAGGTGATGGTGGTGATGGCGATGGCGATACTGATACGAGACGGTCCAGACGGCACACAAGGGGAAGGAGCGCCGTGGTGATAAAGTGGATGGATCCCGCAGCGTGGAGGTGGTGGATGATGGCGAGTGGAGAGATTGGGTGGAGAGGGATGATGTCGACGTGAATCTCTCGAGATTATGGTCTGGGCGGAGTGGATTCGGGCGTAAAGCAGGGCGGCCTGGCTGGGCTCCACTGCTTACTTTTCGTTGGCGAACCGCCGCGGTGGCCGAGGGCGATCGATGCAGCCGTTTTGCCTTTGCTTCGCTGCCCTGCTGGGCTCAGTCTGGGCCCAAAAAGTCCAAAAAAGGCCCGGTCCATAAGCGCGATGCATCACGAGACACCGCCAAAAGAGAAATGCAAAAAAGGGAAAAATCAGCCAAATTGGATGGATTGATGGATGGATGCAGCAGCCAAGCGACGGCGAACCGGCTGCGGAGCGGACTGCGGAGCGGACTGCGAATTTCGTCTGCAGCTGCCTTTGCCCTACTGCATTCAAGCCGGCACGTTATGAAAGCCGAGGTGCTGTCGGCCCAAAAGCGAGGAAAAAGAGAGCAGAGCGGCTCGATGACGAACGTCTGCTGCCCATTTCGCCAAGCCGTCTGGGATTGTCGACGTGCTTCCGCGCAGCCCGCTCCTTGGCTCCTTGGCTCCTCCGCTCTTTCGTTCAAAGACTCTGTCGCGGTCTCGGATCAAGCGGTGAGAAGCGCTCGTGTCTCGCCTACGCCCCGGCGCTGGTGGCCACCCCCAAAATCAAGCTTCGATCAGCACCCCGTTCCTAAAACCACACTCCCTCGTATGAATCTCGCAAAGTGTGATCGTCATGCCCAATCTCGATTCGATCCAGATGAAAGGTCGAAAAGGGTGCAGCAGGTGGGGCGAGGGTTCTGCAATGTTGATCATTTTTGATTGCAAATCTTTAGCTCTGGCCCGTAGGCTATGGCCTAAGCGGGGCTGCACCGGCTCACCCTGCATGTGCTGCGTTGTGCGTTGTGCGTTGTGCGTTGTCGCGTTGGGGGTTGGCTGGTGCTACCTTCGGAACGCGCATTCCGGCCTGCTACAGCATCACCACGGAGCAATCGCGTCGCTCTCAACTCCCGAAAGCGCGCCGCGCCATGGCGTAAATGACAAATCACCAAAAATCACGTCGCCCAGATGCGTCCGTCTCGCCCAGTCCACTTGCCTGCAGATCGACGTAACCCCACAGCAGCCTCAGCCTGCCCTCAACTTCTTCGTAATCCCACTTCCCGATCCACCCGATCTTCACACTCGGACACTGTGTTCAACACCTGGCATTCCTTTGCAGAGCTTACACACGCGCGCCCACTGGCTCTTCACTGCTGCTCCTCCGCCGACTTGGTCGCCGTGGTGGACGCCGTGAGCGTCTTCTTGGCCTCGTGCTTGGGCGTCGCCGGCGGCGTGTTTTCGGCGCTCTTCATGTCTTGCAGCTTCGGCAGCACGCCCGCCTGCTTGGCGCTCCCCGTGTGCTGCGCCTCAAACGCCTGCGACGCCGCCGTGAACGGCAGCTTCTTGGCCGCCGGTCCCGCATTCTTGAGCTCGGCCACGTGCACGTCTTCCGACAGCGAGTGCGTGCGGTTCCGACGCGTCGTGGCCCCACCGCTCTCGTTGCCGCTCATGCTCGTCGTGGCCAGACTCGCAGGCAGCGCAGACGTACGCCCCGAGCGGCTGCCCGCTCCGGCTCCGTCCAGAATGCCCGTGGCGCGCGTCGTCGTCGGCGACATGGCGCCGCCTTCGCGCATCAGCGCACGCAGATCCTGGTTGCTCCGGTTGCGCTTCTCCGCAAACGTCTCGCCCACCCCACCCACGCTGCCCCGGCTGCCGCTTCGCGACCGAGAGTGCGTCCGGCTGCGACGTCCTCCACCCGACCCAGGCGTACCGGGACTCAGAACGCCGCCGCGCAGCCCGTTCATCAGCGTCTGCGGATTGAGCATGGAAAACACAGCCTCGTAGTCGCCCTCGTCCTCGGCGTCGCTGTCCGTGTAGCTCGAGCCCTCGGACGCATCCCCCCACGAGCCCTCGCCGTCGTCCTCGTCGCGCTGCTCGTCCCTCTCGTCGATCGCACTCTCGTTCGCGCCGCCCTCGCGCGCCACACTCGAGCCGCGCAGATTCTTGATCTCCTCCGCCGTCATCGAACGGCGCGTCGAAGAACGACGGCGGCGGCCCCATCCGAACAGCCGCTCGTCCATCCACTGCAGCGGATGGCTCAGCGCATCGTTGCTCGCGCCGCCGCTCGCATTCTTCTGCTTCCACACAAGCGCATCCCGCTCCGGCGCAGGCGGTGCCGCCGCATGAGCCAGCATCCTGTTCTCCGCAAAGTCGTCCCACACCTGCGGCGCGAGTTCGTCGATGAGCGCATGCATGTCCGCGCTGATCTTGGCGCGCGTCTGCTGCAGATCCAGGATGGTCTTGTGGTTGCCCGGGATCAGCGACACAAACAGCGGCGGCAGCGACTTGTAGATGTCGATCCCCACCTCGGCGAACTTGAGCGCAGAGTACGACATGGTCGGCAGCACCACCAGCGTGTACAGCGGCATGAGCGCACGCGTGCGCGCCGACAGCTCGTACTTGTGCGCCAACACCGTCGCCATGGCGGCGTAGAACGAGTAGAGGATGGGCGCAACGCCGAGCGACACCAGCACCTTCCACGTTGCCAGCACGTCGCGTCCGGCCACCTTGACCTGCGACGCCGCCAGCGCCTCCTTGGCCTTTTTGTGACTGATGATCTTGGCGAGGATGATGATGGGCGAGTTGAGCACCGCACCCGGCAGCGCCAGACCGCCCCACAGGCCCAGCAGGCCGAGGCGATAGGCGAGCAGGCCCAGGCTGCGCCATCCGGCACGCGTGGCGCGCTCCACCTGGTGGTCGCGCAGACCGGCGTAGCGCAGCTTCTTGTTGTACTGCAGCACCTCTTGGCGCAGCTTGACCACGCGCGGCTCGTCCTTGAACTGCAGGTAGCCCATGATGAATTTGCGGTTCAGCTCCACCGTCTGGCCCAGGCTGAGCGACTGTCCCGGCGCGCGGTACAGACGGCGGCCCGCCTGCACCACCATGAGCGTCTCAAAGTCGGGCGCGCGCAGCGTGACACCCTTGAGACCGTCGTAGACAATGTCCATCATCTCGCCGACCGCCTTGCGCTTGCCCTCGCCGCCCTCGTCAAAGAGGCCGACGAGCTCGCGCGGCACGTCGATGGGCGAGCCGAACTCGACCACCGCACGGCTGCGGAACTTGTGCGGGTGGAAGTACGACAGACCGACGGGCACGATGCGCACGTTCAGATCGCGGTTGGCCGACATGGCGCCCAGCGCCATGATCACTACACCTGCCTTGAGCGGGAGCAGATCGGTGCGGTCGTGGCTGCCGCCCTCGGGGAAGATGCCGAGGCATCCGCCCTCGGCGAGCTTCTCGTACACTTTGGCATACATCTGGGTCTGGTCGACGAATGGAAGGCAAGAGTACTTGCAGCCGACGCCGTCGTTGAGATCGTGGTCCACCTTGTCCATCGCCTTGGCCGCGGCTTTGATCGACTTTTTGTCTTGCTTGGAGGTGTCCTGCTGCGGCACTTTGCCGCGCAGCATGTCGAGGGCGCGTGCATCCTTGAGCTCCTTCTTGATCCTCACCTCGGTGTCGCTGATGATCTCGACGACTTCCACGGTGGCGTGTCCGCACGCCTTGGGAAGCATGATCTGACCCTTGGGCTGCAGTTGCGACTTGAAGGCGGTGCCGTGTCCCTGGAGCAGCAGCGAGTCACCCGAAGGATGGAGCGAGATGTAGCCTTGACCCTTCTTTGCGCTGTCGGCGGCTCTTGCGACGGGGATGGACTGCATGATGCGCGCTGCAGCGCCGATGAAGCGGCGTTTGATGCTCTTTTCGGCGATGAGGAAGGCGACCCTGCGACCGGAGGCTCGACGCACCTCGGAGGCGAGGAGAAGCGGGTCGAGGAACTGGTTGTGGTGGGGAGCGGCCACAAAGATGACGGGCCCCTCGCGCGGGACGCGCCATGCGGAGCGCGGGCGGATCTCGCGGAAGAAGAGGTTGATGATGATGCGCCAGAAGAAGAGCGCGATGTCAAACGCGATGTTGGACGCCATGATGTTCTGGGAGCGGAATACGCGGCAGATGATGCGAGCTACGATGGTGGGAACGAGGCGGTGGAGCGGGATGGGAAGCGACCTGAGCAGGCGGTCAAAGTCCTTGAGCACGGCCTGGAAGCTGGGCGAGTCTCCGGGGCGCGCGTGCGGGACGGGTTTGGGAGATGTGGCGAGCGAGAGATGCTTTGCCTTGCGCTGGTACTCTTTCTGCTTGGCACCGATCTCGGCGGCGGTTCCCTCGGCGATGGCGGTGTCCGGATGGCGTTTGAGGAGATCGTTGGTGGGGAGATGCGCGGGGTCGGTATCGATGGCGGGCGGCTGCGGAGGCGTCGACGCGTGTTGAGCGGCGGCTTTGGGAGGCTCCGGGGGTGTGGGAGGAGTGGCGGCGGTGTTGGCAGCACGATCTCGGGAGGCTGCAAGAGGTGGGTCGGATGTGCCGGTCATTTAGGAGCTATCGGCAGGTGATGGAGAGTGAGAGCGCGACAGCGATGTGCGGCATCCAATCGAGACGAGTCGTCGCAGCGGCTTGGTGGGGAGGCGGTGAGGCAGGTAGGGCTGGCGGATGAATAGACGTGAATACGACGCCCGAGCTCGTCGATGAAGAGAGATGGTGTGATCACGCTCGGATGCCTGTGCCGTCGATGCGGCGAGACTGGCTGCGGATCTGGTGGATCGGATGGGAAGCGATGATGGTGTTCGGAAGATGCGATGCGAAGCAGCGAAGCAGCGATGCTGTTCCAGCCAAGCCCAGTGTGAATCAGCGCCGCACGGCCAGCATGCTCGAGCCATGCACCTTCCAGACAAAAATGGCACGCGCGCCCCTCCCAAGCTCTCTTTTGGGGCAGAAGCGTTGCAAGCGGCGTACCTGTAGCGGACGAGCCGAGCCGAGCGGCAAAGCTTCACACGCGTCGCTGAGGTTTCGAGATGTCTGTGCGGGTCCACTCTCTGCAGTTGCGGGAAAGCTCCCAGCCAATCGATTTCGGGTGCGGCGGCCAGATCCGAGCCCGCGAGGCACGCACGCGAGGCGGAAGCAGCAGAAAAAAATGCGAAAGAAAATTGGAAGAAAAAGAGAAGCGCTGTCTCGCTGCCCCGCGGTGAGGCGTGTTGGTCCAGTAAAAAGTTGGGGGGTGGGCTGGACCCACGACGCGGGGTGAGCAATCAAATTTAAAAAAGTCTGGAGATGAGAAGCAGCTAGTCTAACATTGTGAAGCCCGCTCGACAGCGACGATGTGAAGATGCCATGCCCGAGCTTGTGCAGTTGTACGCTGCTACAGGCCGCGACCCAGATCTTCTCTATAGCAGAGCGTGGTGCCTTGGCGCGACTCACCGACCTTCCACGAGTCCATGTCTGCGTTTTCGGAGCCATGGGAATGGTAGGGAAGGACGGCGATCTCGCAGACCCGCTCAAAGAGGCGGTCGATGGTGGCGCTCAGCCTGGCGCCCGTCTGGGCAAAGTCGGGCTGCGCATTGACCTCGAGCAGCCACACGTTGAGATCGCTCGGCCTTTGCGCCTCGGCGTGGGCATCGCCGTCGTAGCCAACGAGCAGATCGACGCCAAACACCTCGAATGCGTTGGGCCACATTTGCCAGTGGATGCTGCCCGCCTTGGCCGCAGCCTGGAAGCACGCACCAATGACGTCGGCAGCCTTTCGCCGCACCTGGTCGACCATATCGGACGATAGCGCTGCATCTGCTTCTTTGTTCGTTGGGTTCTTGCATGCTGAGCCGGCGAGATCGGACCAGAGAAAAACATTTTCTTCCTTGGGTCGTGCATCGTTGCCGACGGCGAGCGAGCCGTCGTCCTGCAGGCACGTGTTGGTGAGATGGCATCGCAAATCGCGCACCGTTGCCGAAGATGGCGCTTCGTACGCCAGTGGCGCAAAGAGCGCGAGCATCTCGTCGTGCAGATACACCGCCACGCCGCCCACGCACAGCACGTACGCACGAAGGTGGAATTTGCGCGCATTCGAGCCTGGTGCCGAGTCGAGTGAAAGCTTTTGTGAGACCTCCTTTGCCAAAGAATCGCCCTGTGGGGAGCGGATAGGGTCGACAAGGAGCGGTAATCGGATGTACTCTTGTATCACGAAATGGCGCAGCTGGCTGGCCATGACCGAGGTGTCCTTGCCCGCGTATGCGTGTCCACTGGCCGAGCATCCAGCCTCGACACCGTCCTCGTCCTCGTCCTCGTCCTCGTCCTCGTCCTCGTCATCCTCGTCGTCGGACTCGGGTTCGAACTCCTCAAAGATGGACTGAAGCTGGTCGAGCGTGCTAAAGATGCGAATGCCGTTTCCGCGATCCGACATGCCTGGCTTCAGAATGAACCACTTGACATCGCTGTCCCTTGCTTGCTCCAGCGCGCTCTCGTTCTGCTCGAGCAGCTCGGCGAGGTCGTAGAGATCGTCCATGAGCAGCTCATCGAGCTCGTCGGCAAACTGGATGTCCAGATGCCACGTCTTGGGCGTGCACGATCGGAAGCGGCGTGCTTCATCGCCCGGCGGCAGCTTGACCGCATACGTGTTGAGCGCCGAAGCGAGGTAGTGCTTGCGGATCAGCGCCTTGCGGATCACATAGCTCGAGCACTGTGGCTGCTTGCCCTTGACCGACGCCGAGGCTCCTGTGAGCAGCTCTTCGAACGGAAGTAGATCGTAGTCGGCCAAGTACAAGTCCTTGCCCGAAGGAGCACTGGGCCCGCTGTCGTCCTGAGCATGGTGTGGGGCGTCGGTCGCTTCGCCAGCCTCGGTGATCCAGCCATGAGGCGTGAGCACCTTGCGTGCTGCTCGAATTGCGGCGCTCTGAGTGTAGTCTGCTCCTGGAAACGACACGAATGCCGTTTTCGGCGGTGATGAAGAGCCAGAAGCCATCGTTGTAGGCCCGTTGACGGAATGATGAGGTGTGAGAAGGGCAGACGAACACCGCAAGAAGAAATGTTGCGACCCTGCAGGGAAGAAAATGAAAAATGAAAACAAAAATAAAAAAATAAAAATAAAAATAAAAAAAAAAGTCGGACGAATTTCACGAAAAGGACCCGAAAGCCTTCGGCAGCTTCCGAGGAGGGTGATGTCCGGGAAGGGTCAGTTCAAGCACCTTCGCGAAATTTCCAAGCCAGGAGCGGCAGGAGCAGTAAGAGCAGCACGAAGCTGTCACAGTGCGCAGCAGCAGCCCGTCAGTGCATGGCAGCAGCGGCCAGGGTTCAACGACCAAGCTTTGTCGCCACGACCAGGCGTGAATCAGCCCCGCATCCGAGCCAGGAGCCAGGATTGGACAGCTGAAAGTGCTAACACCTCCACCTGATGCAGTGGCCTCCTCACCCGCTCAACCAACAACCGTGCGCTTCATTTCGATCCCCTCTTCCCTTCCTCCTATCGTAATCCGTCTTCGCTTAAGACCACACCCTCCACACCCTCTTTCCTGCTGGCAGCAGTACCCTTTACGCCGCATCATGAGTCGCAGCATCGTATTGGGCACGATCAGCTTCGAAGAGGTGCCGGCACACCTCGAGCACCACGCTCATCCCGCACTGCACCCCAGCGCGATCGAGGAGGACGAAGACTTGGACGCACGCTCGCTGGTCTATCTCTTGGAGGACAACGACTTTGAGCGCGCTGCTGCCTTTCTTGCCGCTGAAGAAGCAAGGCGCCGTGCAGACGTGCTCGCCCACGCCCAAGCCGAAGCCGAGGCGCGCCGCCAGCAAGTGCAGCAGCAGAGGGTGCGTGCGCTGGCGCAACAGCTGGAACAGCTCCTCGATGACGATGAACAACTCATCAACTTGCTTGGTCGACGCATCCTCGCCTTCAACGGCCATCATGTTCAGGATCTCTGGCACCCCCACCAACGCGGCAGATATGCGCACCTTGGCGGCCCCTCGCATGCCTCGACCTCTTACGCTCTGCCCCCGGCAGGATTCGGTGGGCGGAGGGACCTGCATGCAGTTTGGGACGACTACGATGAAAGTGCAGGACTCACAGGTGCGAGTCCGTTCATTCACGCCTCGCCGCTCGTCTTTCACGACAATGTTGCATACCGCCGCACGATGCCAGTATCACGATCTTCTGGAGCGAAGGTCGGCTCGCGAGTCGCCATCCACCCTGTGACTGGAGTCCGCATGCTTCTACAGGATGGCAACACCGTCGAGCTTCCCGACGCTGGCAACGAAAGCGATGCCGAGTCGGAAGAATGGGCGGTGCGTGACGAATCGGACATCGACTGGCTCGGGCGCGAGCTGCTGCGACGTCGTCTGGGAGCTGACGTGTGGGTGCTTGGTACAGATGACCGCACCCCGACCGAGTCGCCGCAGCACTCCAAAGATGAAAACAAGCAGGAAACGGTGGCGGCAGTGCCAGTGTCGGTCGAAGAGGTGGAGAGCGACGATGAAGTTGACGCTGCCGTCCAAGGGATGGTCACAGCAAGTCCAGGATCCACACCGCACGACACCAGTGCAAGCTCAGCGCAGGACACACGCAGCAGCAACGACAGCACAGCCCATACGAGCGGTAAGACCAGGCAACGCGCAGCTACAGTCATGTCCGAGTCCGAAGAGGAAGAGCTCGAGACGGTCGGAAGGCCCATCACTGAGCCAGCCGCCAGTCTCGAGGGCCGACCCAGAAAAGCAGTCAAGGTCGTGGATCGTCGCGCCTCGCAGCATCCATAATGGCAGTTGTAGCTTCATCTTTCAACATTTCGAGAGTTGGAGATGCGAAGGATTACTCATCCGAAGGCGTCCCTTCGCTTCCTGTTGATCCAAAGGCAATCCCACACGAGTCAGTATCCACATGCACGCTACATCTGAGAGGGGATTGCGAAAGCTGTGGGCACACCTTCATCGTCGTCTGCAACGTCGTCGTCGTTGGCGATATCGGCCGAGCTGATGTTCATTTCCGCCTGGCCGCGTTTGAGGCGCGCCACGAGATCCTGTCCGAGCTGCGATCGTGCCTTGGTGCCGTACGCCAGCAGATCCGCGGGCAGATCGCCATCCTTGTTCGGAATCGTCGGATCCGCTCCCGCCTCCAACAGCTCGTTGACTACAATACACAGCAAGTCGTCTCGGGTCAGCTTCTTGTAACTTGTGTGCATGCCAAGAGGTGTGGTGAAGTGGCTTACCGATCCAGTTCCGGATTTCCTCCACCTCGGCGCCCGCCTCGCCATCGGGGATGTCTACGTTGACGGCGGCGTGCAGCGGCGTGTCGGCGTTGGTGCGGTCCTGCAGGTCGACGTCGATCTCGAGGCTAAGGATCTCGGGCAGCACCTGCGTCGACTGCGAGAGCGCAGCGTAGTGCAGCGCATTGCGACCCACGCCGTCGCTGTGGTTGGCATCGAATGCTCCAGACTGGATGATGTCCTGCAGAAGCTCCAGGTCGTCCGTCCGTGCCGCGTGAAGCAGCCTCTTATCTACACCGACCAATTCGCCAACAAAGCAAGGGGGTCAGCAGTTTGCGACGGAAAGGGCCGAGTCTTGAGTGCTTACTTTGGACGTCGATCTGATGGACAGCGTCGTCGTGCTCCTGATCAGCCATCGTTACGCAAGTTGAGAGGAGGTGGACTTGGTGAAGGTGGTGGTAAGAAGCCAGCAAGAAGATCGCCGAAAGTGTTGGTTCCTTTCGTCCGCCGCTGCAGGCTGTCGGCATCCGAGCGTTGGCGCGGCGGTGTTGGATTGTGCTCGCTTGGCTGACCCACAATCACCGATCCAGATTTTTGCTTTGGCGTTCAATCGGAGATGACCAAAGGTCGAGGTTCTCGGAAGACGGAGATGCGGCGAGGTGGAAATTCGGCGGTTGTGCGCCTCCCAGCCGTGCATTTTTGGGCGAAAAGAAAAAGTTTAGAAGAAATCTCGCACCAAAGCTGCACTCACCTGCTCCACTCGACCTCACCATCATCACCATCCTCATCTAGCCACTCAACACTTGACCGTTGCTGGAGCTACATAGCTTCTGTTCTCGATCATGCCGGGAGTGAAGCGCAAGGCTGAGGCTTCCACCTCGAAGGCGTCATCATCCAAACACGCCGCCAGCCCAGCAGCACGTGCATCATCCAAGCGCAAGCCCGAACCCGTTTGCATGGACGACAGCGACAACAATGACGAATTTGACGACGAGGAGGATCTTCTCGATTCGGCACTGCACGGCACAGGCTCTGCTGCCCTTGCAGGTGATCTGAACGAGGATGATGACGACGAAGACGAAGACGAAGAGGAGGACGACAGCGAAGAAGAGGGATCGGATTCAGAAGCAACAGATGCCGCATCACAAGACGAGATCGAGCTCGCATCCGACGCAGACGATTTTGACGACGAAGAGCAGCCAGAGGCCGAGGGCGACGGCGGCGAGGTCGAAATCATGTCGGACGAAGATATGGACGGCGGCTTCGAGGATCTGGAAGCCGATGGCGCCGAAGAGGACCCGAGCTCGTCCGCCACCGCGGCCGCATACGCCTCGCGCAAAGCGTCCAAGAGCGCGCTGTACGCCATTCCGACGCTGGCCGAGGTGCAGGGACTCAAGGAGACCGGGGAGCTGTTCAAGAACAACGTGTTCAAGCTCAAGGTTGACGAGATGCTCCCCGAAGTGCGCCCGGCCTACAGCAAGGCCGGCGCGCTCGAGCTTGTCTTGCGCCGTCTGCATCAGCTCTTCCAGTCGCTCGATCCCATCGAGCCTCTGCCTGTGGGCGACGCTATCAAGCGCTTCCAAAAGCACACCGCCGACTCCAAGGTCACCATCCCCTTCCCAGACCCGGCTCCCAAGGCCGACGCCAACTACAAGCTCGGTTTCGACAAGCCCGCTGCGATGCACCTTGTCGGAAGCTGGGCGCTCAAGTCGGCCGCAAAGCGTCCGCAGGGAATCGACGTCGACGTGGCCGTCGTCATGCCTGCAGAGCTGTTCCAGCAGAAGGACTACGTCAACTTCAGGTATTTCCACAAAAAGGCCTTCTACCTCGCCGCGCTCGCTCATGCGATTCAAACAGCACAGGACGAGCACGACATCCACCTTGGCGTCACGCCGTCCTTCTCGCTCGTCGACGCCGATCCGAGACGGCCGATCCTCGTCCTGAGTCCCATCCGCGACAAGTCGGAAACCGACTTTTCAAAGCTCAAGTGCAACATCCGCATCCACCCCTCGATCGAGCCCGACACCTTCAAGCCCATCCACCTTGGTCCGCTGCGCAGCAACGTGCGCGTGGCATCCGACGAGGCCACTCCGGCTGATGCAGCCTCCGTCGCTACTCCGCGGTACAATGCTGCCATTCTCGCCGACATGCTGCATCTTCCCCACCTCGTCTACCTCCACTCGATCGCACAGGCGTGTCCCGCCTTTGCCGATGCGTGTCTGCTACTCAAGACGTGGGCCTTCCAGCGCGGCTTTGGCTCGGGCGGTCGTCTCAGCCCAAAGCTCGCTGCGACCGAGGACGAGCGTCGCCGTCTCGTGGCGGGTACGGCCTCGCTGCGCTTCCTGCTCACCATGATCCTCGCGCATTTGCTGCAAGGCGAAGAGAAGCGCGCGGGCAAACGCGACTCGTCCAACGCAGGCCGGAGCAAGCTCTCCAACAGCTTCTCGAGCTACCAGCTCTTCCGTGGTGTCATGGACTGGCTCGCCAAGCACGACTTCCGTGCCAACCCGGTCTTTATGAAGCCCATGCCCGAGGCCGGCCTGGCGTCCAAGGCCGACAAGATGCCCCGTGCCGAGTTCAGCCAGGTCTTTGACCGCGTCCTCGTCGATCCGAGCGGCATGCTCAACCTGCTCGCATTCGTGCCTACTGGCTCCGTCGACCTGCTCCAGTACGAGGCACGCAGGACGTTCGACATGCTCAACGACCCGAGCTCGGACCACTTTGATGCGCTCTTCTTGCAGGATCGAACGGCTGCGCCCTTTACCTTTGACGAGGTGGCGCGCATCGACCTGCCACTGTCCACAAAGGCGCGCGAGAGCAACGGCGTGGGCATCTCTGCGGCTTCGCCGATCCAGCGTGCCGACTTTGGCAACTCGTTCCAGGCGGCCATGATCCAGGTCAGCTCCACCGCCTCGCGCGCACTCGAGGGGCGCGCCAAGCTCGTTGCTCTCATGCATCCTGCCACGGGCGGACTGGCGGGCACGTGGAGGTTGAATGGCAGCCGTCCCGTTGCGCTGAGCGATGCCGAGATCGGCGTGGTTCTCGATGGCGAGCAGGCATGGAGGATGGTGGAGCACGGTCCGTCGAGTCAGGAGACCGAGCAGGCCGAGCGCTTCCGTGCCTTCTGGGGCAAGATGTCGGAGCTGCGTCGGTTCAAGGACGGACGCGTGCTCGAGAGTGTCGTGTGGCCCGTCACCACGCAGGCGTCGCGCTGGGCCATCCCGCGCCGCATCCTCTCGTACGTGCTCTACCGCCATCACGCCATCCACGAGTCGCAGATCCACTTTGTCGCGTCGCACTTTGACTCGCTCCTCGAGGTGGACAGCACGCTGGTGCGAACGGCACACGTGGTCAGCACCGAGGAGAAGGGCTTCACGCCCGTCCAGACGGCCTTTGACCAGCTGTCCAAGGATCTGCGTGCACTCGAATCGCTGCCGTTGTCTATCATCGCCGTGTCGCCCGCCTCGCCCGGTCTGCGTGGGACGAGCACGTTTGTGCCCGCGCCGCTCAACCTGGAGCTGCTGGGCGAGCGCATCCCCGACGCAGCGTCGTATCTGCCGGTGCACGACATTGTGATCACATTCGAGGGCTCGGGCAAGTGGCCCAACGAGCTCGCGGCGATCCAGGCGATGAAGGCGGCGTTCTTCGAACGCATGTGCGCCGAGATCGGCAACAAGATGCCCGGCACCATGGCGCGCATCGTATTCAACCCCAACGCCACGTCCAAGATGGAGGACCAGTGCAGCCTGGAGCTGGTGCTGCCGAGTGGATTTGCGTTTAGGGCGAGCGTGATGCACAGCCGCGAAAAGGTGCTGCTCGAGCGCATCCTTGCCGACCGGTTCGAGTCGGCGGCGGCCAAGAGGCGCGCGCGCAAGATCGTGCTCGAGTGGCAGCGTCGCTTCGAGACGCTTCCGCTGCACCACTCGTACATTGCGTCGATGGGCCACCGCTTCGCCTCGTTCGGCACCGCCGTGAGGCTGACCAAGCGATGGTTTGCGAGCCAGATGCTGTCGTCGCCCGCGGTGCCCGAGGAGCTGATCGAGCTGGTTTGCGCCGCGGCGTACCTGTCGCCCGAGGAGGGCGCGCCGGCGTCAGCGGTGGCGGGCCTGCTGAGGATCCTGCGCCTGCTGGCCAACTGGAGGTGGAAGGAGGAGCCGCTCATGGTGCCCATCCAGGCGGTGATCGACTCGGCCGAGGCCAAGGATATCTACACGTTCCCCGCAGACAAGCGCACCGAGGTCGAGACGGCGTTCAAGGCAGCGCGCGGCAGCGATCCTTCCATGACGCACCGCGCGTGGTTCGTGGCGACCGAAACCGACGTCGAGGCGCTGGCATTCGGCCGCCAGGGACCCGTGGGTGGCGTAGCCGACGGTATCCGGAAGCTTGCCCAGAACGCGGTCTCGCAGCTGGAGAGCGCGACGTCGTTGGGGCGCGAGGACCTGATGGCGGTGTTTACGCCGTCGACGGAGCACTACGACTTCGTGATCGCCCTCAAGCGCAACGTTCTGCCGCGCTACAGCGAAAACGTGCACGCCGATCCGAGCGTGTGGGGCAGCAAACGCACAAAGTACGTCAACGATGCCGGCGCCAGCCTGCCGCCCGTCGAGAGTGTGCTGGGCGCAACGCCCAAGCCGGGCTTTGATTCGGCCGAGGCCTTCCTGGCGCTGCTGCGCGGCTTGTACAGCGACTCGTTCCGCCTCTACCACGACTGCCACGGTGGCAACTTGATCGGCGGCCTCTTCAACCCATCGCTCGAGCGCGAGCGGGACTTCAAGGTGGGCCTCGGCTTCTCGTCTCAACCGACCACGACGGACCGCAAGGCACAGGTCAAGCTCAACCGCGCCGCCATCATGGCCGAGATCGAACGGCTCGGTGAAGGCCTCGTGGAGCGCGTCGAGCTGCGAAATGCCTGAAACGCCCATCTTCACCTCACTTGTCTCTAACAGCATGCATTTCATGACACTCTTTCCGTTCGCGTGAGGGGGGGTCTTGTCGTCGTAGTGAGAGGAAAGATCCACGGTCTGAAGGATGAAAGAAGGCCACTGAGGCTGGCTCAAAACCTAACACGTTTGAGCTTTTTTTCGGCGCTTGCGCGTCCGCCCACCTCCACACAGCAGACAAAAAAGAGGGCGCTGAGCTGCGCGCCAACCTTGAAAGTCACGAGCGAGGGCACCCTGCAGCGACGCACAGACATCCACCTCGCCCTGCTCTGTAGCTTCCCCCTTCCATCAACCACACCTTCGAGTCGTGCTCACCACTCGTCCATCCCTCTCGCCTGCTCAACCCCACCGGATCGCAACAATGGCCGATCTGCTCGACCCATCCGCACTGCTGCACGTGCTGCAGCAGCTGCTCCCTCCCGCCGCCGGCTCCGAACCGCAGCTGCGCAGTCCATCGGATGCCCTCGCCGCCATGGTGCACACAGTGATGACGCGGCTCGACTTCCGCCTCACCGGTCTGTCCGAAGACGACCGTATCGCTAGCGCTTCGTCGTTCGAAGGCGCAGATGCCAGCGTGGCGGCCAACAAGCTGCCTGGCGAATGGAACGCCAAGGGACCGGACCACTACTGCTTCCGATACAAACATCACCAGTCGTCGCTCGACTACATGGTCAAGCTCGTCAAGCTCGGCGGACGCGTCGTCGTGCATGGCATCGCGCTGCAGGGATCCAAGACGAGCACGCTCGAGATCGTGCTGGCCGACTACTTTTCCGCGTCCTTCTTTCCGTACCCGCCACCACAGGGAGACGCCGAGCCGCTCGTGAATGGATTCATCGGCTCGGCGAGGATCAAGGATCTCGTGATTGCGTACAAGACGCAGGTGCTGCAGACGCTTGTGCCTGGTCTGCGAAAGGATGGATATACGGAGGAAACGACCGACAACAACTCAAGCGCAAGTACAAGGGAGGGAGACTCGCGGGGAGCATCGTCGTCGCAACCACAGCGTCCGTACCCAGGCTCGGCACCGCCTCCGCGTGCGCCGTTTGCAGGCGACGAAGACGACCCGTCCCAGCCAGCGGGCATGTTTCCCGGTCGCAACCCCATGACGATCGGCGATAGGGATCTGGATCCGCTCGGTGGATCTCCGCTGCGTCTTCCGCCGCGATTTGGAGGTGGAAGTGCGGGCGGGTTTGCGCCGCCACCGCTGTTCCCCGGCGGCGATTCGGGCGGCGGGATGTACGTCGGACCGGACCACCCCATGTTCCGAAACCGATTCCCACCGCCCGGTGCACAGGGTCTGCCGCCTGGCGCTGTGCCGCCCGGAGCGCGTTTCGACCCCATCTTCCCTAATGAGCCAGATGTGGGCGGTGCGAGACCCCAGCATCCCCCGCGCCACGGCGATCCAGATTGGGACGACCTCGCCCCTCCGCGTCCGGAGAATCCGTTCCCCAACAGGCCGAGGCAGGGTGGCGGCCCCGGCCCAGACACGCGCGGATGGTACGCCTAACCCCGCAAGCCCTCGGTCGATACTGTCTCACAACGGTTTCCTTCACTCACAGTCACGCGCCTGCACAAGTCCTCAATCTCATTGATCGTGCGTGGGGACCCCCCCCCCTCTCGAGTTCGCGCAGCTGTACGAGTCAACGTCTGGGATGTGAAATCTTCAACAATTGCAAAAAAAGTCTGGCGGGGATTTAGTCTTTGGAGGCGGTCTTCTGGGCGAGTGTGATCTTGTCGCCGAGGCTGAGCGCGATACCCTGCGTCTTTGAGCGGATCCTAACATGGCCCTGGATCGTCTTGCCGTCCGGAAGCAGTTCGATGCTGAGGTTGGCCAGCGCATCCTCGCCAAACAGCGAGCGGGCATACATGTTTGCGGACAAGAAGCCGCACTCGCCCGCAAGCGACGCATCGGGCGTGAGGCACGACATGTTGGTGCTCTTCATAATGTGCGCCAGATACTCGCGCAGGTCGGTGATGGCCGTGTTGACGTTCACCTTGTTCTCCCACTCGAACTCGGTCCACATGGCGCGGAACTGCGCCTCGTTGCAGTACGCCGGCGCAATGTAGTCCATAATGTCAATGTGGATGTCGTTCAACACCACACACTTGGCATCGCCCGCACTCTGCGTACCCGTGCCCGCCGCACCCTCGTAGATGATGTTGCCAAAGATCACGCCCGTCTCGGTACTCGACACCTTGATCGTCGCCTTGATCGACTGGTACGAGTACGGCGCCAGCGTGTAGTTCGACGGCCTCTCCACCAGCTTCAGATCGCCCAGCGTCGCAAACTCGATCGACAAGTTCTGCAGCGTCTCGGCAGTCTGGTTCACCACGAGCACATCCAGCAGGATGTCAAACTGGTGCACGTTGACGTACGCCTCGGCGTACACCGGATCCGAGAAGCCCGTCAGCTGCACGACGCGCGCGAGCTTCGAGATGAAATCGTCCTTGGCCGCCTCGGCCGCGCCCGTCGCCTGCGTGAGCTCGCGCTCGTACTCCTCGGCCGCATCGTCCGCCGCCTTCTTGGAGAATTGGCGGAACGACAGCAGATCGTCCGGCTGCACCTTGACCACCTTGGTCTCCTTGGCGAGCTTCTCGGCCTGCTTGGCCTGCTCGTGCTCCACCATCTTGGTGTACGCCGCCTTGGTGTCGTGCAGGAACACCTCGTTGGCCTCCTCGCTCTCGGGCTCGGCCTCGTGCATGCTCGAGGCGAGCGTCTCGACGCACGCCATGATGCGCTCCACCGAGTCCTCGTCGATGGGCGTCGCCGCAAACTTGGACTGGCCCACACGCACGATGCTCGTCATGATGAGCATCGCCTCTGCGCGCAGGCTGTTCTTGGCCGCGGCGTCCGACGAGAGCTGGGCAAAGCGCAGCACGAGCTTGGTGAGCGTCGAGGCGAGCACCGTGCCCGTGTAGAAGTCGCCGAGCAGCAGCAGCGAGCGCAGTGGCGGCTTGGAGGCGCTCTTGACCGCCTCGAGTCGCGCCGCCTGGTTGGCCTCGGAGCTGAAGGCGGTCTCGGTGGCGTAGGTGCCATCGGCACGAACGCGGTTGGCGGCCGACGACGACTTGGCCGCTGCGCCGAGCGCCGAGGACGACGCGCCCGCATCGGCCTGCTCGGCGGCGCCTTCGGCCTCGACGCCGGTGGAAGAAGCCTCGAGCAGACGCTCCTCGGCGGCGAGGATGGGCACCTCGCCGATGACCTTGCGGATCTGCTGCATGGCCTCCTTGACGTCCTCGATGCTGGCGCAGTACTCGCCGACGATCCAGAGCGCGCCGCGGAAGACCTTGCCGGACTTGATGTCGGTAAAAGTGCGCAGCAGCTTGTCCACGATGGACGAGCGGAGGTCGGGGAACTTTTCGACCACCTCGCGTACAAAGGCGATGACGTCGACGGCGGACGGGTTGTTGGAGTCGCCGAGGAACTCCATGAGCACGTGCACGACGTTGGAGGCGACCTCGGAGAACTTGATGGCGCAGGTGTGGATGGACTGGATGAGGAGCTGGCGGTACTCGAGGTTCTTGTCCTGGGAGGACTGCGAGGTGTCGACGGTCTTCATGAGCTCCTTCTTGAGCAGCAGCACGACCTCCTCGATGTTGCGGCTGGAGACCATCTCGAGGGCGATGCGGAGCGCCTTGCGACGGACGTCCATGTCTGGGCTGGAGAGTACGCGGAGGAGGTCCATGACGAGCGGGTCGATGACGTGCTCGTGCTTGGAGCGCAGGGCGTCGAGGCGGTCGAGCACGATGAGTTTGACGTTGTTGTCGCTCTCCTTGACGGCGAGCTCGATGAGCGCGCTTGCGGTTGCCTTTACTGCGGCAGCGTTCTGGGTGAGCGTGGTGAGCGTGGTGGCGGCCTCGTACTTGACCGAGTGGCTGGGCGCGGCGAGGAGCTCCGAGACGGCGCGGATGTAGCGCGGACGGTTGGGCGAGTCGCCGCGGCAGTCCTTGCGGATGAGCTCGATGATGGCGAGCTGCATAAGCTCGTCCTGGGAAGCGATCTGGTCGCCGAGGCCGAGGAGGTACTGGACGGCGCGCTCGGGGGCGGTGTGGCAGAGGAGAACAAAAGCGTTGCGCTTGCAGGTGGTGTCTGCCTCTGCGGCGAGGAAGGTCTCCATGAGCTCGGGCGCGTCGACGATGAGGTTCTCGTTCTGCTGGTATATCGAGTAGACGCAGAATACGGCGTTCTTGCGCACGTAGCTGTGGCGGTGCTCGAGACATTGGCGGATGGTGGGGATGAGCGGTTCGAGAAGTTCGGGCTCCTTGACCTTCTGGAGGAAGCGGAGTGTGGAGCCACGAATGTACTCGTTGGGGTGCTGCAGATCGTTACGGATGGCGTTGCTGCGAATATGATGAGCAGGAAAGCAAAAGGGTCAGCAAAGGGATGCAGATGCGGGCATGCGAGAATGAAAACGGACGTACCAAACGAGGATCATCTCCTGCTTGAGGTTGCCCTTTTCGTCGAGCTTGGGGCAGACCTCCCAGTAGAAGTGGAGCATCTTCTTGAGCTGCTTGTTACGGCTGGGGAGGACATATTGGATGATGGGCATGAGCAGGTTGGGCTGGGGCGAACCGTTGAGGGTGGATACGATGATGCGTCGGAGGGTCTCGAGCTTGATCTCGTCGGAGCCGCGCTGGAGGTTGTTGCGCAGATCCTGGGTGGAGAGCTCGATGCCGTCGCTGCTCGGGTCGGTAGCGACGACGGTGTAGGCGATGGCCTCGGAGGACGCCATGGTGAGTTGCCGTTTGTGCGCGTGGGGGAGGGAGAGGCCCGGAGAGTTGGATCGCGTGTGTGCTGCCAGTGAAGATGGGTGTGCTCGCTCTCACAGGGAGCGTCCGGCTGTGAGGGTGATGTCGATGCAGCGCGGCCGGAACGAGCTCTTTACTGAAGGCGATTCGTGGTGATGGTGACAAAGCGGGTGGAAGGTGTGAGAGAGTGTGACGAGAGCGAGAGAGTGTTGGACTCGAATTGGGTCGATTGCGGACGGGCCGACGAGCCAACTTGGCGATTGCGTGGCAGCAGAGCAGCAGCGCAGCGAAGGCGGAAACACGCAGACACGTCGCTGTGGCCCAGCAGCAGCCATTCTTCCAGCTCAACACGGCTCAACGCAGGCAGCCCCAGCCAAGAAGCGCATTTCCAACGTGCATTTCGCGCCGCCGCTCGGATCACTCGCTCCTTCCTCTTCCCGCCCTGCCGTTGCAGCTGCTGAGGAGCTGGCAGCGCGTCGGCCCCACTGGCGCGAAAATTGCAAGCCTCACTCGCACGATACAAGTCTGGCCACTCGTTCCGCCTCGCTGCCTTCCCTCCTGCCTCAGATGGCACGCTATGTCTGGCCGAAGCTCTGCACTCACCCTACAAGTTGCAGGCACAATCTCTTTGTTCGAATGGATTGCTAATAGGGTATCTTGATTGTGCACGACCTCCTGGGCGAGACTGTGAATGATGGCTTGCTTTGCGATATTACGCCTCAAAGACGATCAGGCGTGTGGGGCTGCTCGTCGTCGAGGGCGCGCCTTTGCGGATCCATGCCTCGGCCAGCTGGCGGCCGGCTTCGGTGGGCTGGCTGAACGCGACTGCCTTTGCGCGGCTGCCATACGTCCTGATGAGCCCCTGCAGGTCAAAGCCATACACGCTGTTGTCGGCGGCTGCATCCAGCAGCGCGCTCGCCATGCCCGAGCGGCGCCAGCTCGCAATCACGTGGATGCGGTGCACCCCGACCGGCGGCGTCTGTGAGGCCGACAACGCATCCGAAACAAAGATCGCATCGCCCGCATCGTTCCACACCGTCCCCGCCCGTGTCGAGCCAGCTTCGTCGTCGGTGCGGTTCTCCTTGTCCGTGTTGGATGGCAGCACCTCGCGCGCCTGGCCTGCAGGCACCCGTCCTACAACCGCTGCACCTGCTGCTCGGCCCCCGCACACTGCTACCAGCACCTTGCACGTCCGTACGCTAGCTGCATCCATCGCGGCTGCTCCCAACGCCTCGTCCACTGTCTCCAAGAGCTCCGTGATCTTGCGATTCGCCACGGCGTCTTTGAGAGTCGCCATGTCGTAGCATCGGATCGTCACCGCTTCCGCCTGGCCTGTTGCTCCTCCTCCGTCGACTTGCTTTCCGCGCAGGGCGGTCTTGATGGAAGGTCGCGTAAGCGTCACTTGCGCGACCGCCTCGCCCCACACTACAAGCGCCTTGGCGCTCCAGTCCAGCCCGCGTACGGTGCGCTCGTGGTGGCGCGCATGCAGCGCACAGTCCTCGGCCGACGACGAATCGTACTGCATGTCGCACTCTGCGCAGCGCATTCGAATTCGCTGGCCCAGGTCCAGAATGAGCTGCTCTGGCTCCCGTACTGAACTTGTCGAGCTCGGCTTGGAGCCAGCCTTGCGGTTCGCAGTCTTGGCTGCCCGCATCGTCGGGAACAGCGGCGTGTGCGTGGCACCAAGGATCGGACTGCTTTGCGCCTTTGGCATCGCTTCGTCTTCGTCCACGTTGCGCGAAAGAATGCTCGTCGGCGCCAACGGATCCTCGGTCAGCGCTCGTCGATTGCGTCCGGCGTACGTCGTCACCTTTTTAGCAGCCGTTCGCACCGGCTCGCTCGGCTGACTCGTAGCATCGGTCCGTTCCTCGCTTCCAGCAGGGCTTCCAGCTGCTCTTCATGTCCGCGTTGAGGTATTGGGGTCGAGCGATCACATAAAGAGACAAACAGGAGACAAAAAGCAGAATGGGTCATGAGTACACACGCCTCGTGACATTCGAAGAAAGCCGGAGCTCGAGCACTACGTACAAGTCAGGGGGGCGGGAGCAGCTCCCTTGCTCAGCGCAGCTACTTGCGAGCGGATGATGTCGAGCTGCGACAGCGTCGCGAGTGCCTTGGCTTCAGCGTTGCGATCGCTCGAGACAGGCGCCTCTTGCTTGGCCAGCTTGACCAGGTGCACAAAGTCGCTCAGCAGCGCCAGCGGGATCGCGCTGCCCTTCTTCTCGGCCTGGCTTGCCTTGGTCGCATCTGCGAACTGCTTCGACACCGCCGCAGCACGGTCGCAGATCTCGTGCGGCACGCCAGCAAGCGCAGCCACCTGAGTGCCGTACGAAGACTCGGCGATGCCATCCACCAAACGGTATCTGTTCGATCAGGAGGAATAGCCGCAATGTCAGTAGTCCGGTCCGGAAACACAATCTCTTGTCCGTTGGCGATCCCGCAGCGTGTACTCACGTGAAGATGACTTCGCGCTTGGCGTCGTCGACGAGCACCTGCATGTGCTTGTTGCTGACGCGCGCGTACGAGTCAAAGTCGTACGCCAGATTCGTGTAGTGCGTGAGGAAGAAGGTGAGGCAGCGCGTCCGGCTGACGAGGTGGTGCAGCACGGCGAAGGCGATCGCCTGGCCGTCAAACGTGCTCGTGCCTCGGCCCAGCTCGTCCATGATGACCAGCGAGCGCGGCGTGCACTCGTTGATGATGCGCGACGCCTCGAGCATCTCGACCATGAACGTGCTGTTGTTGCGGAAGATCTGGTCGTTGGCGCCCATGCGCGACGCGATGCGGTCCACCGGCGACAGGCGCGCGCTCGCTGCGGGCACACGGCATCCCAGCTGCGCCAGGATCACCGCAGTGGCGCTGGTGCGCGCCGTGGTGCTCTTGCCCGCCATGTTGCCTCCGGTCAGGATGACCACCTCGTCGTTCTTGCCGCCCAGCCGGATGTCGTTCGGAATAAAGTCGACGTTCTCGCCAGCGATGCACGGGTGTCGCAACTCTTCAAACTCGAGCAGCGCCGTCTCGTGCTCCACCAGTTCGGGTCGGCAAGACGGCTCGCCGATCGCGTACGACGATTTGGCCAGCGAGAGCAGGCAGTCGACCTCGGCCACAGTCTTGACGGCCTGCAGAAAGACGTCGCTCTGCTCCGAAAAGCTCGCAAAGAGGCTCTGGTGGAACTGCTTGAGAGCGGCGAGGCGCGTCTCGCGTGCCTCCTTGATGTCCTGCACCAGATCGCGCACCTTGGGCGAATACCAGCGGTTGCGGTCCTTGGTGCCGCTCAGCTTGGTCCAGTTGGCCGGCACCTTGGTGGAGACGGGCACTTCGATCTGGAAGATGTCCTTGGTGCCGAGATGCTTCCACGCACACTTGGCCGAGGTCAGCTTGAGCTGCTTGCGGTACGAATCGATCTCGTGCTCGAGCTGCGCCTCGACCTTGGCGATGGCAGCCTCGGCGCGGTCGTACGGCTCGAAGGCGCCCTCGATCGGATTGAAGGAGCCGTCCTCGGTCATCTTGAAGCTCGACTGCAGCTCGCGCGCGATGGGCGAGACCGCCGGGATGGACTCGAGCAGGTCGTTGATCACCGCAGTCTCGAAGCCATCGCACTGGGCTCGGAGCTGTCGGACCGACTTTTCGAATCGGGTGAGAGCCTTGAGGACGGCGGTGAAGTCGCGCGGCCTGCACTTGCCTGCGCGCACACGAGGCACGATGCGCTCGATGTCGGGCAGCGTCTTGCCAAATGTTTCAAATTCGTCGCCGAAGCCGGGATACTTGAGCAGGTCCTCGACGGCGTCTTGACGCGCTCGGATCGCGTCTGCCGTCGCGAGGGGTGCCACCAGCCAGATTTTGAAGAGACGCTTGCCAAATGGTGTCACGCAACGGTTGAGGAGGCGGTGGAGCGTGCCTTCTTCTGTGCCCTCGTCATTTTGCAGGACGTTGAGATGCGTGAGCGACTGGGCATCGAGCACCAAGCACTTGTCCTGCTTGAGCGGGTCAAAGATGTTGAAGTTGCGGCTGGAGCACAGGTCGCGATCCAGATTGAGCTGGGCCAGATAGCAGAGCATGCCGCCGAGCGCCGACATGGCACAAGCGCGGTCGACCATCGAGGCGATGCCTTCCGGAAGTAGCGCGGGGTCGACGGGTTCGAGCGTCTCGACGCGAGCCTCGGCGTCCACATCGGGGTTGAAGAGCGCGTTGAGCTTCCTCAGGGTGGTCTCTGGCTCCAGGAATTCGACGCCGGGCTTGAGCATGGTGATCTGTGCCGTGCTCGGCACGGTGCTGCGCAGGACGCGCAGAGTCTGCGGCGAGAGTCCGGCCTTCTCGTGGAGCACTTCCTTGAGACGAAGCGAACGGAGCAGGGTCTCGAGTCGGGTGCGCGACTCGTCGTCCTCGAATTCGGTGAGGTTGAATTCGGCTGTGGATGCATCCAGCGTGCACACACCAAAGAGCGGCCCATTGCGCCCGGCCGCAGCATCTTCTTTGATCGACACGCAGTAGCTGTTGAGGTCGTCGGGCAGCGAGGCGGCGTCGACGATGGTGCCGCTGGTGAGCACGTGGCGGAGTTCACGGTTGACGATCTCGGAGCCGCCGCCGCGCGAACGCTCGCCGACTCGCATGCCCTTGGCCACGGCGGTCTCGGTCTGATCGACACGGCCGACCTTGTAACCGAGCGCGAGGAACTTGGCCGCAAAGATGTCAAAGGAGGCTTCCGGGACGCCGACCATCTTCATCTTGACGCGGTCGGTGAGCTTGAGGTCGAACTCGCGATGTCCGATCAGCGCGTCCTCTTCGTAGAGCTCGTAGAACTTGCCCTTCTGGAAGAAGAGCACCGTGTCCCAGTGGTTCTGCTTGATGCGCCAGAACTGCTCCTCGAACGGCGTGAAATCCTTCCAGGCCGACTTGGGGATGAAGACGGTGCGCGAGTCGTATTCTGCGTCGCCAGGGCGGTTGCCGTCCTTGTCGCGCAGGTCGACGAGGAAGCTGTACGCCTGCTCGTTCTCGGCGCGCTTGCGCTTCTCCTCGATGACGCGACGCTCGGCCTTGGTGAGGTGGGACAGGCTTGCGGACGATGGGCCGCTGCGGGCGCTGCCGTTGCTGGCGCCGTTGCGAGCCACAGATGGAGATGAGCCCGATGCGCCACGACCCATGGCAAAGTTGGACAGGGCAGAAGTGGGACCTGGTCGTGAGGAGGCTGGCGGAGAAGAGCTCGATTTGGTCGTCTGCTTCTTGGCTTTGCTGCGCTTGGACGCCGGAGCAAAGTCGTCGGCATCGCTCTCCTCCGACGCTGCAGGCGCGTCGTCTTCGTCAGAGACGGCTGCGGCATCCATGGGAAGGTCGTCGTCTTCGTCGTGGTCGTCGGGAACGATAAAGTCGTCCTCGTCGCGGGACTTGCGCGCGCGTTTGGCCGAGGAGCGCTTGCGGGTGGGCATGTCGTCTTCGCTGTCGCTGTCGACAGCGGCATGGCCTTCCGAGTCGGATTCGGCATATGTGACGGGTCGCTTTGCTACGGCGCGTCGACGGAAGAGTGGCTGCTCGACCTCCTCGTCCTCGTCGATGTCCATGTCGCCGGCGTCGCTGCTTGGAGGCGGAGTGAGCTCTTCAGAGTCGGATGTTTTGCTGGGCTTTGGCTTTGTGGCTGCCTGCGCCTGTGTGATGGGAAGGAGGTTGTCGGTGGATAGGGAGCTTGAACGGTGGTAGGTAGGAGAGGAAGAAGGAGCCTCCTCCGCTGCACTGTTGGGAGCCGGCTTGGCGTCGGAGCGAGAGGCACGCGAGCTCGATCGATGCTCGCTGGGAGGAGGTGTGTCGAGCGCCTGCGCCTGTCCTTTTGCCTTGTTGAGCGGCGAGGCAGCCTTGGCTACGCTCTTTGAGTCCGATTTCGTTGCTGGGGCAGGGACAGGGACAGGGCCTGCAGCCGATCGTTGGGGGGATGCGGCTGATTTGGCTGGTGTCTGCGATGCCGGGGCCTTGGAAAAGAAGCCCAGCAGCGACGACTGCTTGGTGCCTGCTTTGCTCGGCATTTTGGTCATCGGAGCAGCTTCGGCACAGCCGACAAAGAGGGGCAATGGCAATGACTGGGCTCTGCAGGCGACTTGGAGCCTGAGAGGCGTGCACTCGAGCTGGCTTGCCTTGGGTAGACGAGCAGCTAGCTGTGCATTCAGATGGAGACTAAAGAATAGGCAGAGATGTGTAGGCGATACGAATGATGGGAATACGGATAGTGGAAGGGATGAGAGCAGGAAGCAGCTTTGACGATGAATAGGAAGTTGAAGCCCACCGCCGCGCCTCGCCTTCAGACTTTACGCGGCACGAGCGCGCGGTCCGTCGCGGCTGGCCAGCGCGACTGAGCCACGCCCTCCACCCAGCCCATGCCCGCCTCACGACGCACGGGTGTTGCTCTTTGCGCGACGCGCGACGCGGTCTTCCTTCCCTTTTTTTCTCAAAAATCCGTTCAGGGTTCAGCGAGTCCCACCACCAGCCCCGCAGTCAGCTTCAAACATCGCGGGTGCATTTCAAGGAGTGCAAGACAGAAAAGCCGCAGCCGCACGCCAGGGCCATCTCGAGGCGCTTGCTTTTGTCAATGAGGAGCCTCGATAGAAGGGCGACTGGCGCACCTCAGGCCTATGCGTCACGCTGTGCTTTCTACGTTTCACTTCCGTCTGCTGCCCCGGCGCCGCTGAGCCAGGACGGATTGCCAAGCGACTTGAGGAAGCGTCTTTGAGGCGGTCTTTCGCTTGTGACCGCCGCTGAGGCCGGCGCGGAAGATGCGTTTGACTCCGTAAAGAGGGACATCGAGCGGTGCATCGGCGAATTATCGCCGTCTCGGTGCTCCAACTCTCCCAGCGACAAGGCATCCATCTCGTCACCCCTCGGCATCCTCACCGGTCCGGCAGGCGTGGGGATGCGCTCGGGTTGAGGGAACAGACGGTCGAGCCGGCCCAAAAGATCGAGCGAGTCGTCGTCATCGGCGTCCAAAGCCTCGATCGCCTTCCTCTTTTGCGGGCTGGTTGGACCATCGGGTCGCTGCGTTGATGAGACGCCCACTCGCAAGGCTGGGCTGGGGTGGTTAGCATCGACAGAGCGATCCTGAAACCGATACCTCCTCGTCGCCGTCGAGTCGTTCAAGTCTCTGGATCGTTGACAGCATTTGTGGCGACAGGAGCTTTTGCAATTGTGCTTGCATCTGCGAATCGCGAACACGTTGCGGTAAGCAAGTTTGACGAGAAACATGTGATGTGAAGAGGACATGATGATCAGCGGGTGAAAGTCACGAGAGGGTCACACGGCATTATCGTCAGCACAGCATGTAGCAGGCTTTCGTGATCACTCCAAGCTTGTACTGACCTTTTCCCGAAGAGCTCTTCATCAGAGTCCGGCTCTTCACGTCCACGGTCACCGTCCGCCGGAGCCTGGACGCGATTCTTGCCGAGACCATTCCGTGTAGCAGCAGCACCCTTTGCGGACGCTGGAGTGATTCCGGCCTGGACCTGCGTCGTCGAGTCGTTGTCAGAAGCGCAGCTGCCACCCTGCCCCACTTCTGCACGTGCTACCTGGACTCGGTGGGATCCGTTGGCCATATCGACGGGCAAAAGGCTCGCCTGCATCGTCGTCCCTGCGATCTCATCGCATGCAGCGTACGTTAGGATGCGCGTGCGAATGTCGTTCAGCTCCACGTGGACGGTGAAGCGCTTCTCTCCGGTAAAGCGATAGATGGGCATGCGGCGGAAGTCGACAAAGTTACCATCCGCCGTGAGCGTCAGAATGCAAAGGCTCAAGGCAAGCTTGGTCGTCTTGCTCTTGAGCATGCATGTCGAGCGATTCTCGATCCTTACGCCGATGTCAAGGACCACTTTGATCTGAGGTCGAGATGTCTCTCTGTCTCTGGCCTGTGGGTCCATGAGATCCATGGCCTCGGAGTCGCTTGGAAGGACCGGCTTCGACGGCGACGAAGAGCGCTGTACCACTTCGAGCCCAATGCGTGGCACGGTTTGAGCAGCTGCCACAACTTTGTTGCCAAACGGAGGATTGCGGTTGAGAATCATCTCGACTCGAGCCGCCGACGTGTTGGCCAGCGTCTGCCACGTGCTGATCCCAGCGTTGGCAAGCGCTTTGATGGAGCGGTCTCCGATCTGGTCGATCTGCCGAAGCATGGCGGGCGAGCCATCCCAAGCCTGGGCAGCAATGGACCGTGCAAGGTCGAGGGCAGCTTTGCATGCAGTCCCGTCCTGGCGGCAGATGGCGATGTCTACGACGGCCTTGACAATCCGAGGAGCATGCTGGAAGATTCGCTTGATGTCCGAGAACGGGTTGGCTTCCCCTTGGGGAGGCTTGGGCAGTTGCGACAGATTGACGGCGGCAAGAGACGCCTGGATGAGCAATGACACCTTGTCAGCGACGCCCGCAATCTGTCGAGGGGGGAACCGAATCTCGGCATGTGTTCGAAGGCCGGCGAGGAAGCCTTTCTCCGCCTGTCGAAGCCTCTGGTCTCCGAACTCCTCTGCTTGTGCTACAGCCTCGAGAACCGCCCGCGTGTTTGCACGCTCGGGCATCGCCATCAGCGCCAGCATGGTCTTGTGTCGCAAGAAGAAGCGCGACATGATGTCGCCATATTCCGTGGAGGCGATCTTTCCCGAATCCTCCGACCGGCTGATCAGCGACGCTGACTCCAGCGCCGAGAGCGTCCTACTGCTGAGATGCTGCAGTATCTCCGAGACGCTGTCAAGACCGATGCCCTCATCCCGATCCAGGTAGTAGGTTGGGTTCTTCTGCAGTCGGATCCACATGAAGCTCTGTCGGATCCATGCTTCGATGTCCGCCTCGGTTGTCCTGCCTCGAAGACCGATCTCGGCATTGACGTGCTCCACAAGATTGGCAGCCAGGCCAGATTCGATGTCGCGGGATCCACTGACCAGCTCGCGGTAATGGTTCTGCATCGTGTCCTCACACATGATGACTGCGACGCCGCTTCGATCAAACTGCGGCCGGCCGGCGCGACCCATCATTTGGATAATGTCGAGCTCCGACATCTCGGACCACTGCCCATCGTAGTGTTTGGTGCCTCGTATGATGACGCAGTAGGCAGGTAGATTGATTCCGGTGGCCAGGGTGGTAGTGCAGCACAGGATGTGTACTTGACCGGCAAGAAAGGCGCGCTCGACCTTGCGCCTGTCGTTCTGCGAAAGCCCGGCATGGTGGAAAGCGACGCGTGACGACCAGAACGTCTGAAGGTCCTGATCGTCGAAGTTCCCAGCCTCGGGCTCCAACTGATCACCGGTGATTGCGCGGGCAGCATCGACAGGTCCTGTGCCCAATTGTTTGGATCCTTCGGCGATGGCCTTTGCTGCTTGAACGGTGGAACGACGCGTGGCGCAAAAGACAAGGCAGGGCCGTCCCGCTCCGTGGGTCTGGATGAGATCCGTGAGCTTATGGTTCAGGTACGACTGGAAGGCAAACTCGTCCTTGGCTTTGGGATAGCCGTAGACGTGCTTGTCCAGCTGGCAGGGTCGGTATGCTTCGCCAAATTTGAGGATTTCGGCTGGGGCTGTTTCTGCTAGCGAGGCAGAAGCACGGCCGTGTCGGACGTTGGACCCGATCCATGCAGCAACGTCTTCCAGATTTGGCACTGTCGCCGATACGGCGACGAAGCGTGCCTGACTGCTCTTGTACTTGATCCTGGTGATGACCACCTCGAGGCGTGAGCCGCGCTGTGGCTCGTTCAGGATATGGACCTCGTCGATGAGGACCAGGCGCACGGTGGAGAGAATGCCCGACTGCTCATCCCACTTGCGAGTGAGGCTGTCCCACTTCTCGGGCGTCGTGATGATCAAGCGGCTCTTTCGAGCGACATGCAGGCCGTGCAACGAGTCGCCCGTGAGCTCGGTCACACCACAACCGACGGTTCCGAATCGAAGCGACCAGTCTCGGGTCCGTTCGGAGCAGAGCGCCTTGGTCGGCGCCAGATAGACGGCGCGGACGCTTTCGGGCTCTCGTGTCAGCATGCGAAGCAACGCAAGCTCGAAAACGACGGTCTTTCCCGAGCCCGTAGGGGCCGACAGAACAACATTGTCTCCGGCCTCCAGCACCTGCACCAGTCGTCAGATGGTGGTCATATCAGTGCGGGCGGTCAGAATCTTTGTGGTGGATGTCGGGACCGGTCGTAGGGCACTCAGACGTTACCTTTGGAATGGCCACCGACTGTACAGCATTGAAGAAGGGGAATGAGAAGAGAGGCCGATACAGTGCCGCTGTTGCTCCACCAACCGCAAAACGAATGGATGCTTTAGAGTCTTGGTCGAGGGTCATCAGCATTGCCGTCTCGGCATGTTCGGCCACTCACGCAAGTACGAGATGGGCACGAGACGGATCCTCACTCCTGGTTCTGGCTCAACGAAGATTTCGTCTGCCTTGCTAGATGGCAGCTGTCGAGGCTGCTCTTGTCTAGCGCCATACGTGTGAGCGGCGCTGTTCGAGCTCGCAGGAGGAAAGGGAGGAAGGGTTAGAGTCGTCGGCATCGGCTGTGCTGCAGATGATACGCGCTGTACGGATGGCGCCAGCAGTCCAGCGGCTTCAGCTCTCTCAAAGTCAAAGTGATGAGCTAGCAGCTGGCCATCGTCGAGATAAATAGGCGGCTGTCTGACTGGAGGGCTTGGAGCAGGGGTCTCGCATGCTTGCCATCGGAAAGATGCTAGTCGCGTGGAAGCGTCGGCCTGGGCATACCTCGGCGTGAACCCTTGGTTGCTATTTTGATACGGCTGAACACCATACGTGCTTTCTCCAAAGTCGACACCGTACTGCCGCGCCAGAAGGTCGAAAGACAACTCTTGGGACATGTCGTACTCGTACACTCGACAGAATCCCTAGGAAGCAAGTAGAGACGACGTCCTCTGGTTCCTGGAGCAGATGAGGCTTTATATGTGATTGTCAACGCCTTTTGAGCCTCGATCATCGTCGTCTGAGTCGGGGCTTTGCCGACTTCTTGGATCATATGGCACGCTGCGATACTCTCGAAGCGCAACGACTGTACGGGAAGAGCTTCGGCTGATCCGATCGGATCCTCCCAGGTCTCTCGCTCCCTTGTCTCTTCATAGACGGTGTCCTCAGAGGGTTACAGAGATATCGCCTTTCTTCGCCAAGCCGATCGTTCTTGAGCTTGCAAGAACCTACACTCTCTCTCACATCTGTCCATGACAACAGAAGAAGTCGTCGTCGGCTCTGCCGATTTTTTCACTTCTGACGAATCGCTGGACCCGCTTCACGTAACTCCAGCAAGAAGCATCTGTCCCGGCTAAGCCGACGCTAGGCTGTGAAGGATGTCCTCTTTCCGCACGCTTTCCGAGCCGAAAGGAAGTTGTTGACAGACCGCGGCCAAATCGAAAGGCAGAACTGGAAACGAAGGTGCAAATCCACGCTAAGGGCTTGAGCAGCTACTTCAGATCAAACGAGGCAACGTTGCGTATGCTGCAACACCGGACCGATACCGGAACAATGGCTTGACCTGGGCGAGCACGATCGAGCCGATCCAGAGCGAAGCCGGCGGGCAAGGCTGTCTGCAGGAAAAGTACATGAGGCGAATTCGCCATTCGAGGTGCAGACGCTGGCCGTTGTTTCCATCTTTTTGCCATTCTCGCCGACGAACCGCCTGCAAGCGCAACGTGCATCTGCAGGCGTGAGCATCAGAGCCAAGCTAAAGCAGCAGTCCGATTGTTTGTCGTGCTTGAAGCGTTTGGCAAGCACAACCACTCCTTAGACTGTGCATGCGGGCATTGTCAAACAATCAGCGTTTTGTACGCGAAGACGCGCCGTCAAGCCAGCAGAGAAGCCGCCACGGAAATCCGGAACCTGCAGCTCTTCTGCTGCTGCTCCTGCTGGCGACTCGCTCGTTGCTTCAGCCGCGCCCGCTGGGGACTACACGATTGGATGTTGGGCGAAACGGGACCACCTTGCCCTGTATGGGTGACCTGCCCGCCTGAACAGACGCACGAGGTGCATGCCGCAGCTCAAGACCATAGATTGCGAAATGTCCGGTGCGGCGCGGATCTGCACCGGGCGTGGCCACCGCCAAACGCGACCGAAGGCTCTCGGCCATTTCGCCACGGATCTGCAAGCAGGCAAGGCGCCATGAGGCGAACAAGAAGCCGATTGTTCAGGGTCCATTCAGATTCGTCCGTTGCTTGCTTTTCGGCCCCACCTCGGCACCTCGCGCGTGTTTGTCACGAATTGCTCTTACCGAGCCTGATCTTTGGGTGGGAAGGAGGGGCTCGCTCTGGTGGCCCGGCTCCAAACCTTGTTCAAGTCATGCCGACGCCGCGGTGAAGCTAAGGGAGCGGCTGAGGTTGGTACCCACACTCCAGTCAGTGGTGACAACAACCTCATCAAGGCTAAGTTGAACCTTTCATTTTCTTGTTGAATTTTTTTATTAATTTCCCATTTTCAATCCGCGCGGGCACGAGGGCACAAGCCCAGAGGGCACACATACAGGGGTTCCAAGTCAAAGTCGTGAGGTCGCTTCCGCTGGCTGCCAGTCGCGCTCGCTCGGATGCACGCGCGAACAGGCACCCAACGTCGCGGCCGGCCCGCGGCGGTGCGGTTTGGCGTTGAGAGACGGAGCGTCGCGTCGTCAAAGCTCAATTTTTTGGGCTCAGGGCTCAGCACAGGACAGCAGAGCTTGAGCAGCTGCTGCTGCTGCGTCTGCCGTGTCGCTCGACCCGGCTGATGGCTGGCTGGCGGGACCTGTCTGCAGGGCCGTACCGTGCACTCTCACCCGAGGATATCGTCAGCCATCCCTATCCCTATCGCTGCCCCTTCTCTCTCCCCTATCCTCGAGCTCCGCCGCAGTGGTCTCGTGTGCTCTACGCTGGCCGCCGCAGACTCGATCCGTGCTCTCTTCACACTTGACCTCAACCTCGCCGTCCTGTCAACGCCAGCGTGAACCGCTGCATCGTTTCCGCAGCTCGCAACTGTCGACCCTATCCGGTGCTCGGCGCCGCCGATCGTTCGACTACTTCCGCACCCCTCGACTGGACTCCACCGATCGGATCTTCCGTATCCGCGCCCACCAGCGTGCCGCTTCCACTTCGCTCGCGCTTCCTCGTCTTCGTCTCGCACACCTATCCGATCCAACTCTTCTGCACCGTTTCGTGAGGGCAATTCGACCCGACTCGACCCACCACAGCTTTGACATTGACGGCCCCTCCGATAATGGCCCTGGGACGATAGTTCAAGCTTACTTTTGTCATTGCGGCCCATCCGAATCGCGCCTCTGAGGGCTCTTTCCTCCGCCCCGAGGATCTTGGTGCTGCACGCGAGCACAGGTGATCAGGCGTCTGTGCAAGTCGCACGTTGCTGCTCAGTCTATGATCACACCCGGCGAAGCGTCTCCCAAACCTTAACGCTCCGCCACCCGTCGGAGCCTTACTTCGGCCAGTCCACGCCGCGCACGCCGCGCACGGTCGACCATGTTCTCACGATCACGGCAGAATGACGCCAAACGCTTCAGCGATCCGAGATCCAAGCTCGACGGCCGCGAGCCGTCAACGTCTGGCACCATCGCCATCCCGCCGTCCCCCTTCCAAGGCGTCGACACAGGCGTCCAAAACGCCACTGCAGAACCCATGTTGATCCACTCGAGGGGCGTGCCGACAATAACAACCACCAGCGGAACTCCCATCATCACACCGTCATGGAACGATGCAAGCACGCCGCGTGCAGAACTCACCCAACCCGGGCCATTGGCTCGCGTCTTTGTTTCGAGCTCGCCTCCAGTCTCTCCGCCTGCCGCCTCGGTCGACCGCCATGAAGCCGGCAACAGCAGTTTCTCGGTCCACTCTCTGGACAGCTTCGGAGCCATCTCCATGGCTGGCTCCACCGCAGCTGTGGACGGCGGCAGTCAAAATGGATCTCGCTTCGGCATGAGTCCCACCACGGCCTCGTTCGTAGCGCCCCGGGGAGAGCTTTCCTCCGCCTCGATACGCAGCAGGCGCAATTGGGACGAGTTCGAGGGCAAACCCGTCTCGCCTCTGCCCAGTCCCGCAGTGCAGAATCAGCAGACAAGCGACATGTTCGACGTGCCTATCGCCGCCTCGTCCAGCAGGCTCACTCCTGCTGCCCACTCTCTCGCCAGTCCTCAATCTCGTCCGACGCCGGCCAGGAATCAGTCCTTAGAATCCATGCCGAGCGTCGGCGAAGCCAAGGGCATGTCGTCACCCAAGAGCGCCGCACCGGCCGACGTCGGCAGCAAAAACTGGTCCTTCTTCAACTCGACATCGTCCTCCGGAGCGCCGATTGCGCGCGCTCCCAGCATCAAGGCTACCAATTCCTCCAGCGGTGCCGACCCTCCAGCAAATCCTGACTCGATCGAGGCGTCGACGCCTTTGAACCTTTCCTCTTCTCGGACGTCAGCGAGTGCAACGAGTCTCGGTCACGGCATGGGTCCTCGCGTCACGTCGGCAGACTTGAGCAGCAGGATTCGACTGCCATCCAGACTGCCGACCTTGCCAACCGAGGCGTCGGCCTCCGGCATTGGCGGCTCCACCACCCGAGCCACATCGGCTCACTACTACGGGCCACAGCAGCTCGCTTACCTGCGCCATACCCGCATAGGCTCCGGCGAGTCGATCCAGTCCACAGACGCTCCGTTGTACTCGCCCCTCTACGCCGTCGACCCGCACGCGCCAGGTGATCTCTTCAACCTCAATTCGACGTCTCAGCTGTCCCTTTCCGCCATCTCGGATGCACCGAGCGCCACGCTGGACGGTCTGCCACCCCATGTGCCGTGGGCCGGTGACAGCCCCCGGCGCACACGGAGCCGCAGTCATCTGCTCTTGGACGATGACCGCAGCGCACAATCGTCGCCGGCTTCCGCCGTGCCACCGCGCCCAGAGCAGAGGCCCTGGAGAGAGGTCGGCGAGGCCGGCGATGTCTCGATCGACTCGACCCACGCCATGATGCCAACGCATGCCCAACTTTCCAGCCCTGCACAGTCATCACGCTCGGAGCTATACTCGGCACCGAGCTCGTCGGCGCTATCCGCATCGGTTGCGAAAGACATGCGCAGCACCGGTCTCGAGGAAGCATCGAAAGGTCTCAGTCAACGGACGCGTCGGCAAGGGCCGTCCGAATCGGCGACCGGAAGCAGCATCCTACCCGCGCCAGTCGGGCGCGAACGGCCATCGCAATCCGCGATCGTCGAATCGCGAGAAGAGGAGGAAGACGGCGATCGCATAGGGCCTTACCGAATCGAAAAGACGCTCGGTGTTGGTGCCTTCAGCCGGGTGGCTTTGGGCCGCTCGATACGCAGTTCATCTACTGCATCGAACGCATCGGCGCGCTTCGAAAGGATGATCTCCAGCCTTCCACAGCTCCGCCAGAGGGCCATGCAGCAGCAGAAGACCGACACGAACGGCGCTTCCGCTGCGGCCATCAGCGACGAGCTCGTGGCGCTCAAGATGCTCGACCGCGAGCCTTGCAACAACAACGAGCGGCTCAAGGTCAGTTGGGTGCGAGAGGTCGAGGTGCTCAAGCACATTTCGCATCCGAACCTGGTGCGCTTCATCGCATCGTTCAGCACGCCTCTGCACCACACGCTCGTGCTCGAACACGTCGCTGGCGGCGAGTTGTTTGATGCCTTGATGTCCAACTTTGAGCAGTTCTCACAGCGCGAGTGGCTCGTGCGCGTCCTCTATACGGAGCTGGCCAACGCTGTTGGATGGATGCATCACATCAACCTGGTGCATCGAGACATCAAGCTGGAAAACATCCTGCTCACGGTCAACCTTTTCGCGGCCGTGTCCTCGGCCGGCGGCGCCGACGCCTCTGCGTTGCCGTTGCGCCCGCACCGTCTGCCCGATTCCGAGCCGCTGGTCAAGCTGACCGACTTTGGTCTGTCGCGCTTCATCGATCCGTCGAACCCGCTGCTCGAGACGCGCTGTGGCTCCGAGGAGTATGCGGCGCCGGAGCTGATCATTGGCAAAAAATACGACGGACGCAAGACGGACGCATGGGCGCTCGGTGTCGTGCTGTACGCGCTCATCACGGGCTCGCTGCCGTTCATGGAGGACGTCAGTGTCGGCGCCAACGGAGCACGCGAGGGGCAGGGCGAAGAGCGCGATCCCAAGCAGCGCAAGCGTCACCTGCTGCGCATCGCCAAGGGCGACCTGCGATGGCCTTCGCCCGCCAACGATGCGTGCGAGGACCAACCGGACCCGGCCAAGTGTCCAGCCTCCATGCGTCTAGTGACGCCGATGGCCAAGGCGATGGTGGGAAGGCTGCTTCGGCGCGATGCGACCAAGCGCGCGACACCCTGGGAGACGTGGGACGAGCCCTGGCTGCTGTGTGGCAGCTTCGGATACGCTTCGCTCTCGAGCCCGCAGAACGGGCAGGGCGCACTTCCCTCGCAACAGGTCCCAGGCGAAGCCTCTGCGGCGGGCGAGGCGATCGCACTGCACCCCGACCCGCGCTCGCAACAGGGTCAGAGCTGGCTCGAGGCCAACGCCGCCGTCCGCCAGGACGACGTCGCACCGGTAGCTCGCGACGACTGATCCTGCTCCTGCTACCACGCGCAGCTTGGAAAAGCCACGTCACTGTATACCCACCAACATCGCCTTTGTTGCATCCTATGTGTACCTGCATGTACTCTAATCTAATCTATGTTGTCTTTCGAGGGTCTGTCCCCGTGGTGCTTGCTGCGCATCAGGTCGACGCCAACTGCGGTGTTGAAAGCGCAGCGCTGTAGAGTATATATGTGCAACATTTTGTTCTACTGATATCTCCCAGTTAGTACAATGGTTAGTATAGGGCACTCTCACTGCTCAGATCAGGGTTCGATTCCCTGGCCGGGAACATTTTTTTGCGGTTTCCGAAGCCATTTTGGGGGCTCAATTTCAATCAACCTTTTTCATCTCCATTTCTCTTTTTGTTAGTATTGCGACCCACTTCGTTGTGTCTGACGATGTCGCAATTGAGGCACTCCATCGAATCGGGGGCATACTCTTACTCTGATGTCACGACGTACTAACGGCGAATGTGGGCCTGCAGGCGTGCGAAGGCGTTCGGGCTAATAGATAGTCGGCTTGGCCGCTGGTGGGCGGATGAAGCGGGCTTGATGGTGCACTTTCCGCCGTTCGGAAAGATCCGTTCGTATTAAGAAGGCAGGGGATCTTGCCGAGCAGCACATCACTTGCTTCGGTCTTGACGTCGCCGACCGCGCATGTTGACAGGAGGGCACATGCTCTAGCCGGAGACAGAGAGCCAGGCACAAGACCACACTGGTCTGGCGGTGTCGATCCGTGAAAGCGTACAGGCGTCCTCTGGGCCCGGTTGCAGCTCAGCACCGGTAGCCGCTCTGGTCTAGCGTCTTGGGTGCGTTGCGACAGCACACCCTTTCCCCACGCAAGGCTGGTCCCAAGAGGTGTCATGCCTCCACACGATGCAGCGTTCTTCTGGCAAGGGGCCGCGATTCTTGAACGGTGGCCCGAATGAAGGGCAAAACCGGGACCCACCGAACCCAGCGGTGATGGTACAACGTGAAGTTTCCGCTCCCTCTGCCTCACCTGAAGCTGTCGTGGAATGCCGTGTGTTGCCGTGCCCATACTGCAGCTCCCGCCCTTTTCGAACGCCATAGCCGACCCAGAGTCGCAGACGCCGCCGCGCTACCATGTCGATCCCCGCAATGGACAGCCCAGAAGCTGGACTCCTGCAGCCTTCGATGCAGTGCATCCGCAGACATCCTAGCCTCGCCGTCTGGCGTTGCTTAAGCTGACGCTTCCATTCGACCGCACTGTTCGACACCGCTCGCACATGCTCCCACCCACACCGCTCGGCAGCAGTGTAGGAGAGCGGTCGCGGCCGGACGGAAATGCTTTCCGGTCCTTTCCGTGAGTGCAGTCGCGTGGCTTGGACGTGCAGTATCGGCAGCCCGACGCAAGCATGCCTCCCGATACTATGCCGATCGAACCTCCTCATGCCCTCGCCCCTGCGAACGCTGATGCCTGCTCGCCCGGAGCTGGTCGACCGATGCAGCCGATCCGACTCGCTGTGTGACTCGCCCTCCCACGCTCGTGACTCCATCCGCAAACGAGATGAGCCTGCAACCACGTTGTCTGTGCATCCACCGGCGCTGATTATCGATCGATCAAGAGGCTGATCACCGGAAACTTGCCCGACAGCAGGCAGCTACGCGCGCACTCGCAGCGAAAAGCGAGGACTGCTGCTCACCAATCGGGCTGGGGCAACGGTCAAAAAACAGGCAAAAAAAAAGGGCGCAGGAAGAAACGAGGATCAGGGCGAGATCTTTATCGAAGCATTGCGAAACATAGTCCGACGCAAAGAATGCACAAAGCATAGGGCGGAGAAGGCCGCTGCGTCAGGATAAGATCTTCTGCGCGTGGAGGTTTTCAGGCAACATCGAGAGAGAGAGTGCATGGCCCCTGCTGCTCAAGAGCGCGGCCAGTCTGCAGCGAAGACGCCCAGGCCAGCCCGACCCACCAAAAAAGATGGGCACCTGCACGCACGCTCCACCGCTTCGTGAGCGGAGAGTGGCCATCTGCCGCAGAGCCCTGACCGAGCCAGCCCAACAGGCCAAACCCTTGAGCGTCCGTTCCCGCGGCGGCGGTGGCTGAGGAGGGCGGCGTCGACGCGATCCACGCCCAGGCCAATCCCAAAGCCGCTCAAAGCGTTGTTGCGTATGCATTTCTTCTTTGATTGAGCAGCCCGCCCGGCCAGGCGAGCGCAGCAGACAAGGATATAGGTTCGCTCGTCGATCTTCTCACCTCCTCTGCTCCGCTCCACCACCATCAACCCCCTCCCCCAACACTTCCTCCACATCCACACCCGATCCTCACATCCAAAATGGCTATCGAGAAGATCCAGGCCCGCATGGTCCTCGACTCGCGTGGTAACCCCACCGTCGAGGTCGACATCACCACCGAGAAGGGTCTCTTCCGCGCCGCCGTCCCCTCCGGTGCCTCGACCGGTATCCACGAGGCTGTCGAGCTCCGCGACGGCGACAAGAACGCCTGGATGGGCAAGGGCGTCTCCAAGGCCATCGACAACGTCAACAACATCATCGCCCCCGAGCTCATCAAGTCCGGCCTTCCCGTCACCTCGCAGAAGGAGATCGACGACTTCCTGATCAAGCTCGACGGCACCGCCAACAAGGGCAAGCTCGGCGCCAACGCCATCCTCGGTGTCTCGATCGCCGTCGCCAAGGCCGGTGCCGGCGAGCAGGGTCTCCCCCTCTACAAGTACCTCGCCAACCTCAGCGGCGTCAAGGCCCCCTACGTCCTGCCCGCCCCCGCCATGAACGTCATCAACGGCGGCTCGCACGCCGGCAACGCCCTTGCCTTCCAGGAGTTCATGATCGTCCCCACGGGCGCCAAGAGCTTCACCGAGTCGGTCAAGATCGGCACCGAGGTCTACCACAACCTCAAGAAGGTCATCAACACCAAGTACGGCATCGACGCCACCAACGTCGGTGACGAGGGTGGATTCGCCCCCAACGTCCAGTCGGCCGACGAGGCGCTCGAGATCCTCACCGAGGCCATCGCCAAGGCCGGCTACGAGGGCCAGGTGCACATCTCGCTCGACGTTGCCTCGTCCGAGTTCTACAAGGAGGGCAAGTACGACCTCGACTTCAAGAACCCCAACTCGGACTCGTCCAAGTGGCTCACGGGCAAGGAGCTCGCCGACGTCTACCTCGGCTTCATCAAGAAGTACCCGATCACCTCGATCGAGGACCCCTTCGACCAGGACGACTGGGAGGCGTGGTCGCACCTGCGCGCCAACGCCGGCATCACCATCATCGGCGACGACCTCACGGTCACCAACCCGCTGCGCATCAAGACTGCCATCGAGAAGAAGGCGTGCAACGGTCTGCTGCTCAAGATCAACCAGATCGGCACCATCTCCGAGTCGATCCAGGCGGCGCAGCTCGCCCAGTCGGACAACTGGGGCGTCATGGTGTCGCACCGCTCCGGTGAGACCGAGGACGTGACCATCTCGGACCTCGTCGTCGGTCTGGGCGTCGGCATCATCAAGACCGGTGCTCCTTGCCGATCGGAGCGCACTGCCAAGTACAACCAGCTCCTGCGCATCGAGAGCCTCGAGCCCTCGGCCGTGTACGCCGGCATCGACGGCTTCACCCAGGGCGAGACCGCCCCCAAGGTCATTACCAACAAGTCGGCCTAAACTCCGCCCCAGCACGAGTCGCCTCGGCTGTGGCGCCGTAGCTCCGGCGTTGTGTGCAATTGTAGATCCGTTGAAAAGTGCGATCCGACGGCTGTGGAGTGTGTGTGCGTGAGTGAATGACTCGGGCGGAGCAAGGCGGATACAAGGCGGATACAAGGCGGATACAAGGCGGATACAAGGCGGACACAAGGCGGATACGAGGAATTGCACGGACATTCTGCAGGTGGACTTTGTTGTAGACTTTTGACATTTGTGCACGGCCGCCAAAGGGCGGGAGTGGGGGTTCTAGTCGATGAGGTATTTGCGCTTGAAGAAGCCGCGCAGGTGGAAGACCTGCCAGATTCCGAGGGCGATGAGGGCGACGAGGGTGAGGATGGCAAAGTTGGTCACGCGCATGTTGGTGGATACTGCAATGCCGCCACGGTCGGGTGTCAGTCTGACTTTCTCTGCGAGTCTTTCTTCGGATAAGAGACTTACGGTTGGTGTCGGCCATTCTGAGTTCTCGCTTCTTGAGGTATTCCATTTCGTTTACGATTTCGTTGGCGACGGCCTCGAGTTTTCGCATCTCGGTTTCGAGGCCGCTGAGGCTTTCCTGGTTGGCGATGGCGTTGTAGTCGACTGCATCTGCGCCGATGTCGACGTCGAGGTCGATGGTAACCACGGGGGCGGTGGAGGATTTGGAAGTTTGGGTGTTTTTGAAGCAGACGCCCAGATCCGCATGCGAGTGCGTGTTGATCGCCAACCGCGTCTCGCCCTTGATGTTCTTCTTGGAGAGGTAGACGTTGTTGTGCTTGCTGCCGTCGACCACTTCGACGTCCAGACGCTGATTCGTAAAGTCGAACGGCTCCTTGGCGATGGTGTTGGCCGTGATGACCACGAGCGAGTCCGAGAGTGCATAGTTCCAGATGCACTTGGTGTGCGGGTGTGTCGCTGCGGGCAGGTCGAACTTGATCGCCTGAACGAGTGTCGACGAGAGCACTGCGATGAGCAGCAGCAAGAGCCGCGCTGTGCTCAGCGGTGAGGACAACATTGCGGCGGCGCTGTGTGTGTGTGTGTGTGTGTGAAGCGAGACGATGAGCCGGATGATAGGAGCAGAGAGCGAATCTCGAGCAAGGTGGCTCGAGCCGCGTCGTTTGAGCTCCGCCAAGCCGACTTCCAGCACACACTGACTTGGCAGCTGCAGCTGGCTCGCAGCCTCGCTGGAAGATGGTTGCATGTCTCAAAAGCCCAACTAACATCCGACTTTCCGAAAAATCACTCGCCCGCCTTTCTCGTGCGGTTGGGGCTGCCATTCGAGAGGGCCTGTTCGTCACTTTTGGAAAATTTCCGCCTCCCTCAGCCACTGCCAACTTTTTGCAAAAGTTCCATCGACTCCACCATCCCGACATCATCCTTTCGACACTCAATCCTCACCCAACTCACTCAAGACATTGCCCAAGATGCATCTCATGTTCACCGAAGACAAGGTAAGCTTATTCTACCGTCAATTGCATCGATTGTGCGCAGCGAGATGAAGAGACTGACTGTTTTGCGACTTGATGTCGATGATGCGATAGGACGGCAAGCGTATCTACACGCTCAACAAGAAGACCGTCGAGGGCGTGATCACCAAATCGGCACACCCGGCACGCTTCTCCCCAGACGACAAGTTCTCCAGACACCGCGTCACCATCAAGAAGCGCTTCGGCATCCTCCCCACCCAGCTCCCCGCCAAGCCCATGTAAAGACTCTCCCGCCTTCGAACGCCGCAACTGCGCCTTCCAAAGCTGCACATGCTTACGACCATATACCCGTCCAACCCGCTCGTACTCTTCTGCAAGGTCAACCTCCTTCATGATAATGGACCTGCGCACTTAGCAGAAAGCACGGCCAGGCCAGACACTCTCCCACTCCTCCGTCTCAAAAGCCACTTCCTCTCAACCCCCTCAGTTTCCGCCGAAACCATTGTAGCACTACCTTTTCATCCTGTTTCTCACTCATGCAAGCCATTCTCACAAACAATACTGATGACCGCATGTCAAGACGGCAGATGCATGCATTGCAGCCTTGCGCCTATCCAAAGCGCGCCAGGCGGCGCCGACGCATCTCCTCTGCACTCACCTCCTCGGCCTCGGACGCCTCGTCATCCTCGTCCTCCGCTGCTTTCGCTGCTTCCTTCCTGCTGCTTGAAGCCTGTGCCTCCGACTCGTCATCCACCTCGTCGCGCGCGAGCCTCTGCTGCCTCTCCTCGTCCTCGCGCGCCTTCCTGCGCGCCTCTTCGCGCATCCTGGAGATGCGGTCCACATCCTCCGGCACTGCCTGCGTCTCTTCTTCGCGCAGCGGATGGCGGTAGTCCGGATTGGCCGTTGCGAATCGTGCCGCCGCCTCCGTGTCGCCCAGACTCGCCGCGAGCGCCGCCTGCAGCTCGGCGTCCTCGTCGTCGTAGTGCCGGTCGCGGCGCGGGCCGATGAGCGCACTCGCCTCGGGCGCGCCAGGCACGCTGAACGGATCCACGTGCTCGTCGTCGCTCGGGATGTTCTCGTCGTCGTCCATGATCTCCTCCACGTCCTCGTTGTTGCGGTTCGCCGCCACCATGGCCGGACTCAGGAACGGCGAGCGGTGCGACAGCGACGCCGGCGCCAGCTCCTCGTAGTCGCTCGAGCCTCGTTCTTCGCGCGAATCGTCCAGGTCGATCGCTTCGTCCTGCGTCAGACCCGATTGGCGCTCTTGCGCACGACGCTTGCGACGTCCAAGCGGCCGATTCGCCGCGGACGACGACGAAGGACCAGACGAGGAAGACGCAGCTTGCGCACGGTGACCGGAGCTGCTGCTCGTGCGCGATGGATGGCTCGAGCTCGACATGCTCATCTCCATGGCGCGGCGCAGCTCATCGTCCACGGGATCGTCCATTTGCGCGCGATGGCGCCTTCGAGAAGGGGCGATGGCGTCGATGTCCGCATCAGTCTCAATCATGGAGCCGTTGCCGCCTGAGAAGTCGTCGTCAGTCGCGGTTCGTACGGGACGAACGCGAGATCGGCTCGGAGTGTCCGGAGCATCCTTTGAGGCGGCGGGTGATTGTGCCAGACTGGCCCTCAGGGCAGCCTGGAGCTCCGGATCTTCTTCGTCGTCATCGAAGCCGAAATCGCCCAACGCGTTGTTTGCCATTTGTGTGTTGAGTGTAGAGCTGCTCGAGGCTTTTGCATTGGACTCGGGACGCAGGCCGAGGGCTTGTGTGGCGGACGAGGCCGTGCTGCCTGCAGCTCCAGGTGGCGGAAGATGATCGGCAATCTGATCCGCGTCAGACTCTCGCAGGCCCTGGCCAGCACTCCCTTCCGAGGCCTGGACGACAAAGACCGAGTAGCCCTCGGATTCGGCGGTATGGAGCAGCGTTCCGAGGTAGTTGTTGCCGATCCAGCTGGGCTCGGGTAGGAAGGAGTTGAGATTGTACCAAAACTTGCTGGAGCTGCCAAAGGAGCGGATGGTGAACCAGTGACTGTCGAGGTTGAGAACGAAGGCCTTCTCCTGCTCTGGTGCGTTGTGCCTGGACCTCATCTCGGCGGAGCGCCAGTTGCTGATCGAGATACCCCAAACTTGAAGCGCACGTTCGAGCACCGAGGCGCTGAAGAAGCCTGTGTCGTCCATGTTGAGACTGGATCTATCGCGCGAGGCGATGTCGGCCGCGCTGAGACCCAGCTCGGAAGCCTCGAGGTGGTCGAGCTCGGCGGCAATCTGAGCGAGCTGCGACGCATCGTAGTATTGCCCTTGAAGGAGTGCGTTGAGCGCGTGCTGAGCGCACAGCATGCTCCCAGGCTCTTGACGCTCATGGTGAATGTAGGCTATGAGCTGCTGTTGAGGTGTGGAGGAGGACATGGTGGTAGTCCTCCGTGAAGCGTGCGCTCGCTTCGATGAGCTTGGAGACAGGAACCGCAGCGGTGGATGCGATGCTGGTCTCTGAGCTGCGTGCGCCGGTGAGGGTCGGAGATGAAGAAACGGATGGAGAAGTGGGAAGGAAAGAAGCATCGTCTCGTCTGAATCACAACCCCAATCGCACCCTCGCCGAGAGGTTCTGCGGGCTCAGGGATTCGGATCGACACCGACACGCACGCGTTTGCTCAGTTTCGTGTGGAGGCAGCGAAAGCCTTTTTTGGGCAGACAGCGGATGGCCTGCTGAAAGCGCGTCGGAAGTGCCCGATAGGAGAGGACCCTGCCCTGGCCAATTTGGCCGAGAGTGGCTGGATCCCGGGAGTCGCAAGTGGCGCAGCGTACATTCACACACAGTGGCATCCCCGAGAGTCACTGATTGTGACCATCACTTCGGCACATCCATCGTCGTACGCATAGGCTCAGCAGCCGCATCACCACGGACCTGTCGTGCTCTCACAAAAGAGCTCTCGGCTGATCAAGCGCACGAATCTGCCTCATCACGAGCGGCGAAAGCGTTGCGACCCGAACAACGCACGGATCGATCGCATCCCCCGATATGCACCCTCCTCCGGCCATGTCGACTCCCTTCACCCCGCCACGTAGGCTGCGCGAGAAGCGCAAGGTAGCCCTTCTTGCCGCTTCGCTGCTAGCTCTGGTCCAAAGCACGGCTGTGGTGAGCGCTGCTAAGCAGACGCTATCGCCATTCGACTGCAGCAACGTAGCCGTCTCGTCAAAACATGCCTTTGACCTCTCCAAGATCTCCTACCCCATTCGTACCGCCAATACCGAGTCAACGCCGCCATCCGAGACCAAGACCTCGATCGATATCGATCTGTGCAAGCCACTCGCTGCCGACCCGGATCGAGACGAGAAGGACCAGTGCCCACGCGGCACGAGGATATGCATCACCATCGAGACTATCAAGGATGGCAAGACCATCGTCACGCAAGCCATTCCCGTCGCGTATTCCGGCGAGTCTGGCGGAAGCAAGATCGACGCCAAAGTAGAGTGGGGCGAAGAGCTCGAGGGCGGCGAGAAGAGCATCGAGCTCCAGCTTCAGGGATCCACGTATGCTGGGCGCCAGCAACAGGCAGAGCTCGAGCTGGTCTGCGATCCCAAGGCCGACGCCGACTCGCATCCCACGGCGCGCTCGTACGATCGGGCAGACGGCAAGCTCAAACTTCGCTGGCCCACCAAGTTTGCCTGTTCCGACGCTGCGTCCAAGCCAGGCAGCGGCGGCGGATCGCCGTCCAAGGGCGGCTCTTCCGACGATGACAGCGACGACGGCAGCAGCGGCGACGGGTCGGATTCTTCGGGCGGTTGGGGCTTCTTCAGCTGGCTCTTCTTCCTGCTCTTTATCGGCTTTGTCGGCTACATGGGCATGGGCATGTACAACAACTACAACCAGTACGGCGCGAGCGGCTGGGACCTCGTTCCGCACAAGGACTTTTGGCGCGAGTCGCCGTACATTGCGCGTGATGCTGCCTCGCACGTCTGGCAGACGATGTCGGGAAGCCGCAATGGAGGCGGATTCAGTGGTCCAGGTGGACGAGGCGCATACGAGCCCGTCTGATACCGCTTGCTCCTCTTTTTTCACAAAGTCTCGAAATGTCATTACTCTGTCAGCATCTTCGCTGCACTTCGGCCGCATGGATGCTGCAATGGAAGGCCGTAAGCTCTGTGAAGGCAACGGCTGTTTGTGCTTCTCTGCGACTGTGAGTTGCAGATATGGGTCCGTGCCAGAGCGGATCGAGGACATTTGGCCTGCAAGTTCGGAAAGCTTAATCGACCAGACGGCTTTCCGCTCCCGCACCTGGGGGGATTGACAGAGGGAACCCGGTCAGTAGACTTGAGCCTGCCGCTGTGTCCGCTCGTCTTTGCTCTCCTCCTCCATATCCCCAGAGACGTCATCTCATCCGACCACCTGATCACTCGCCAACTGTCATCCCTTTCAATCATCTCTACAGTCATGGCAAAGGAAGCGGGCGACAACGAAAAGGGGCGTGGCGCTCACGAGCCTTGGACCAACCAGGAGCGTCACATCATTGTCCAGCACGTCCTCAAGCACGTACTCGCCAATGTAGGCTACGGTACCATCTTCAACGAGCTCATCGACGTCCTTGACAAGCAGGGTCTTCCCAAACGGACCACGCAGCAGGTGAGCTTTGACCAGCATCCCGAACACTGTCCGTCAAGTTGATCGCTGACATACAAGGCACCAACAAACAACAATGTCCTTCCCTCACGTGTACGTCGTCAGCTGCAGGACCAGTGGCGTCGCAAGATCTGCAAGGAGCTGCTCTCCATCTACGGACCGGCGACCCAGGATGGCTCGGACACTTCGCCCCGCAGCCCTTCCAAGGCCGGCGGAGGCAGCCCTGGCAAGCGCAAGCGCGCCGTCGAGTGAACATACGGCGCCGACACCATAAGCGTCTGCGTGTCAGGAGTTGATCGATGCTCACCCGTGGCGATGCGACCCACCTCAAGGGATTCGGCTTCGTCCGCACTCCGCACTCCGCGCTCCTGGTTCCGCCTCGTCGCCGCTCCATGCGATCTGCGATTCAAGCATCGCACATAGATGTCATCACTCGCTCGCACATCTTCCGCTCTGACTTCACCATGCTCTCCTACACGAAGCGATACAGCATCGTTCGGACGGCCAGGTATCCGCACGCCGTCACAGCCGAAAGCAAGTCAGGCCCGATGCATCGCCCTGTCGCCGTGCCGATCTGATTTCAAATCCGGAAGAAGAGGTGTGCGGTGTGCGCCGCTGCTGCCCTCTGCAATGCAAGAATCGTCCTCCCTTTCTGTGCGCGGCTGTTGAGAAGCTGGCGTTGAAATTTCAAAATTTTTGAAAGATGCGGGCAGATCGGGCGAGGCTGCAGCGCTTGTCCGCGTCTTTGTGCAGGCTTCCTGCGTCCCTTTTTTGCTCGTTCTACCTGGAGTGAAAGGAAGGGGCGCGCTTTTTCCTCGCTGCTCAGTCCACATTCCCTGACCTCTGCGAAAAATGAGGAGAAGCATCAGCAGCTGCTGCATCGGGTGACTTGCAATTTCTGCTTTCTGTGAGGCCGAGCAGTGACGTTGCAGTCTGAGTCCAGCATCTGCTCGTCCGTCTCGCGACGTTGTTCCTTTCTTCCACCTACCCGTCTCTACCGTCCGCCTACTCCATCCCTCCTCGTCGCCCCCACCACCTCGCGCTTCTCAGCAAAGAGCACGAGGCGCGCCGTATCGTCACATAGCCCACCATGGCGCCAGCACCAGCAGAGAAGGAGACCCGTATCGCCATTGTCAACTCGGACAAGTGCAAGCCTAAGAAATGCCGTCAGGAGTGCAAGAAGTCGTGTCCCGTCGTCCGCATGGGCCGTCTGTGTATCGAGGTGACGCCGTCTAGCAAGATCGCCTTCATCTCCGAATCGCTCTGCATCGGCTGTGGTATCTGCCCCAAAAAGTGCCCCTTCGAGGCCATCAACATTATCAAGCTGCCCACCAACCTCGAGAACGAGACCACGCACCGATACAGCGCCAACTCGTTCAAGCTTCACCGTCTTCCCACCCCGCGTGCCGGCCAGGTGCTCGGCCTCGTCGGCACCAACGGTATCGGCAAGTCGACCGCACTCAAGATCCTCGCGGGCAAGCAGAAGCCCAACCTCGGCCGCTACGACGACCCTCCCGACTGGCAGGAGATCCTCAAGTACTTCCGTGGCTCCGAGCTCCAGAACTTCTTCACCAAGGTGCTCGAGGACAACATCAAGGCGCTCATCAAGCCCCAGTACGTCGACCACATCCCGCGTGCCATCAAGGGAAAGGCGAGCGTCACGCAGCTCCTCGACGGAAAGCTCGAGAGGAACAACAAGGACGAGGTCATCGACATGCTCGACCTCAAGGAGGTGCTCGACCGCGACGTCCAGAATCTCTCCGGTGGTGAGCTCCAGCGATTCGCCATCGGCATGTCGTGCATCCAGAACGCCAACGTATACATGTTTGACGAGCCCTCGTCGTACCTCGACGTTAAGCAGCGTCTCAACGCCGCCCGCATGATCCGCTCGCTCCTCGACTCCAACACCTACGTCATCGCCGTCGAGCACGACTTGTCCGTGCTCGACTACCTCTCGGACTTTATCTGCTGCCTCTACGGTGTTCCCTCGGTGTACGGTGTCGTGACGGTGCCTTCGCCCGTTCGTGACGGTATCAACATCTTCCTCGACGGCTACATCCCCGCCGAGAACATGCGTTTCCGCGAGGAGTCTCTCTCGTTCAAGATCTCCGAAACGGCCGACGACGAGGTGCTCGACAGGACGCCCAAGTTCGTGTGCCCGCCCATGACCAAGACGCTGGGCAACTTCAGCCTCAACATCGAGGGTGGTGAATTCAGCGACTCGGAGATCATCGTCTTCCTCGGCGAGAACGGTACGGGTAAGACGACGTTTGTCAAGATGCTTGCGGGCAAGCTCGAGCCTGATGCGGGTGCCAAGAAGCCGCCGCAGCTCAACGTGTCGCTCAAGCCGCAGACGATTGCGCCCAAGTTCCAGGGCACGGTGCGCATGCTGCTGCTCAAGCAGATCAAGGCGGCGTTTATGCACCCGCAGTTCCAGACCGATGTGGTCAAGCCGATGTCGATCGAGGCGATCATTGACAACGATGTGCAGACGCTGTCGGGTGGTGAGCTGCAGCGTGTGGCGCTGGTGCTGGCGCTGGGTAAGCCGGCGGATATTTACCTGATCGACGAGCCGTCGGCGTACCTCGACTCGGAGCAGCGTATCATTGCGTCGCGCGTCATCAAGCGCTTCATCATCCACTCGCGCAAGACGGCCATGATCATCGAGCACGACATCATCATGGCCACCTACCTCGCCGACCGCGTGATCGTCTACGAGGGTCAGCCATCCGTCAAGGCGACCGCCAAGCGTCCCGAGTCGCTGCTGACCGGTATGAACAGCTTCCTTGCCACGCTCGAGGTGTCGATGCGTCGCGACCCTACCAACTACCGCCCGCGTGTCAACAAATTCAACTCGATCAAGGACAAGGAGCAGAAGGCAGCCGGCCAGTACTTCTTCCTCGAGGACTAATCTCGTATCACCGTGTGGAAGCTTCCCCGCTGGCAGCTGCAAAAAATCAAAAGAAGGTCATGCCCGTCGTTCTAGGAGCGCACGCCTTCAAGCTCGCCTGACTGGTTCCTGGCAGTAGCCTCCGTCGGAGCGTTGCCTCTAGTTGTACATATACCGCCACCCTCCACCACCTGCATTTGCACACTGTGTATCAGACCAACTCCGGTTTCAGCGTGATGAGAGTGCAAGAAGAGCGTAGAGCGTGATTGAGGATCTGAAGCCGTGGGACATGCTGTTCCAGAGCGACTTTTGAATTCGTAATGAATGAGGTGCCGGCAAGGGTACTTGGTAAGGAAGGACAAGCCATCGTTTTGGGGAGTCGAAATTCATTCGTTGAGTTGCAGTCTGCGGTGCACCTGTATCTTGGCTCAGATCTTGGCAGGATGAGTCAAAGATACGAGTGCGAGCCACTCAACTGAACAGCGTCTGCCCAGATTGAGACCTGAGAGTCAGTGGCCAAGAGTCAGAACCTGCCTGCCACAAAGGTTTGGTCCATACTTTGGAAGGTCCAGTCCATGCTCCACTGGACAGCTAGGGCTTTCTCGGATGTGGAGCCTCTGCCAATGCTCCTTGCCAGCCATCAAGAGGTCGGTGGGATCCTCAGCATCAACGTGGGGTCCTCGCGCTCGTGGAGCCGCAAGTCCCACTTCCAAGAAAAAGGAAGGGAAAAAGGAAAAAACAAAAAATACAAAAAGGGGAATTTCTCAATTTTTGGGACGCGTGCGGCACTCCGCCATCTCGAGTTGGTACCATGAATTCGACATCTTCCAACGCCGTTTCCTCATCGTTCTACTAAGTCAACTTGCAAATAAAATTCAGATTCAGGATCTTCTCGGTCATACCTACCCGTAGCATGCAAAAAAATGGTAAATTTTACACATCGACGCCTGTGAGATTCGAACTCACGCCCTCAGAGAGGATATCCTAGCACGAGCCAAAGCTCGTTGCTAACCTGTATGTATAGCAGGGATACGTGTTAACCACTCCACCAAAGCGTCCTTGCGATGTGGGCGGATTAGATTCAAACAATCATGAGTGTCTTTAAAGGGGTCTCAATCAAATGCAGCAACTTTGCACTCGCATTCGAAGGCGCTCGCCTCACTGGGTCGTTGGCAAACACAAATCTGTTGCAGCTGTGCGTTGATGTGAGCACCAATGGCTAGTGCTGATGTGGTCTAGGGGACATGTGGCGTGGTTTGGATCTCTCCAGGTGAAACGATGGCATGCCGGCGGCGCAGCGTTCTTGGACTCAGGAGTCTAGGCTTGCGATCTGCAGGCGTGGGGAAGGGCAAGCAGACGAGCGTGGCTGTGATCTGCCGAGGGGGGGAACGGGCTTGGTCGAGGCCGAGATGCGCAGGGAAGCGTGCGTTCTCGAGCTGAGCCTGTTGGCGCTCGCTGGCTGCAGAGCCGAGGGAGTGCGGCGCGCGGATCAGGGTCAGGGTTCAGAGAGCCGAAAGTGTTGTTCTCTGCGAAACGTGTCTCAGACGGCCCGGTCAGTGAGGGTGTTTTGACGAGGCGACGAAAAATGGAACGCAGCTGACGCAGGACTTCCAACGACGCAGGAGTTCCATCGACGGCTCGCATTCGCGCTTTCGCGCATTCTGACGCGCGGCAGAGTCGCTCCGAAAAGGCGAGTCAAAGAGCTGCAGGCGTCGGCGTTCCCGTCAATGCTCTGTCATGAAGTGGGGGGTCGAGCGCCACGAACCTCCCTTGGGACTGGAACGGAGCGTGCCAACAATGTGCAAAGAGTCGAATGAGCGAGCGTAGCTCAGGCTTTGAGGCTTTGAGGCTGGCCCGCCTTCTGCGTGGCGCAGGCGATTGTTGACCGAAAGTGGACGAGAGGGCAGCCGGAGCTGGAAAAGCATGTTCGCTCCAATGGCGGGCCCGCAGCGCACAGCCCGCAGCCCACAGCGCTGAGCCCGCGGCCCCTCTTTGGCTGGCGGCCCGAACCGTCGGACGCTCAAGACGCTTCGGCTGGCTTGCACTGGACTTGACGCCTCCCCGCCTGCCGAGCCCCCTTGAGTTGCCTGCGAGAGATCGCTCGACCTGCCCGTCGCCTTGTCTCCTCGCCACCATCACCACTACCATCTCGGAGGCTTCACGGGTCGGATCTCCCCCTCGTCTAGAAACAACAAGATGCGATTCGGATCATTCGTGGCTGCTACGGCTGCGCTCGTCGGCACTCTGGTGGAGGCGCAGTCGACGTCGCTCATCAGCGGCGATGGCCCTCCCGCACCGAGCCTGACGCGCACGGCGGCGGTGGGCAGCTGGACACCCAAGTCGTCGTCCGACGGCCTCACCAAGCCCTCGCTCGATGGCGAAGGACGCACGATCTACATCAACAGCGCGAGCGACTTTTGCCTGCTCATGCCTCCCGACCCGACCAAGCAGAACCTGGTGGATGCCGAGGCGATCGCGGTGAGCTACTGCATCAACCCGACCAACGGCACGCGTCCCATGCCGGACGGATTCATCAAGACGGCGCACTTCCGCCGCACGCCCGAGTACGTGCAGATCTCGGGCACGTACGACCCGGCGGTGATGAACCTAGGCACCAACGACTGCGGTGGCGAGTACGACTCGGAGGGAGCCGAGGGCATCGGCAACCCGGTGGGCGTCACCATGAAGAACGGCAGCTACTTTACGCAGTTCATGGGCGCTTGCGACATCCCGGGCAGCCCCGTCTTCTGCATGCGCATGTGCCCGTCTTACGACTACTGCAAGAACATTTACGACCTCATGGGTTGCCTGTGGAACCAGCCGGGCGACTACGACCAGCCGCAGGCGTTCACCAACTGCGATGGCAACGCCGACCTGCCCATCGGCGTGTACAACAGCAGCTACACCTTCAGCCAGGGCCAGAGCGTGACGCCCACGCCCGTCACGGCGCCCGCCTCGTCCAACTGCCGCACTGTCGCCTCGCCTACGGCCAGCGGCGTCACCTACACGTGGAACCAGGAGGCGGCCGCATCGCCCTCGTCGTCGGCCTCCAAGTCTGGCAGCGCTGCCGGAGCGAGCGACTCGTCCGGATCGTCGGGCGGCAGCAAGAACGCCGCACCCTCGCTGTCCGGCGCCATCAACTTGTACTGGATCGGTGCCACGGCGGTGCTCGGCGTCATGGTTGGCGGCGCGCTCCTCGCCTAAGCATGTCAGTCCGTGCCGGCGAATTGACGCTGTCCCTCTCAGCTCGGTGCCGCTGCAAGACCCAGAACGCAGAAGCCTGACCCAGAACGCAGAAGCCAGAGCTTGTAAAGACTGGAACAACACCTTCTACCTCGTCCCGTTTGTTCTTCAACCATTCACACTTGTTCTTTCGTAACGGCCCACATTATGTTTGTTGAGCCCGATCCATTGATCGACCTTCTGAAAAGCTGAGAAGATGGATGGCAGGTGTGCGAGATGGACTGGGCCCGCGCAGAGGAGCTGTGGTCGAAGTCGAAGCAGTCCTGGATTGGCTGGCTGCCCATGGCTGGCTCGCTTCGATCGAGGAATGCCACGCGCCGAATCGACCCTCGAAACGGGTTCGCGCTGGCTCGAGGCAAAGTACAACTGGCTGGCTACCTCACATTTCTCGTGGCCGGCCCAGCTTGGCTTGACGGTGCCAAACAAACACGAGCTGCTGCTTGCTCCTCACTCGCAGCGACCGTAGACAGCTACCAGCTTCGGAGCGCTTCCGATGGCGCGTTGGCGAGGCTACGAGCGAGCGACAGGCAAGTCGGTCGCGGAAAAAAACAAGTGCCAGCAGAGAGCAGCGTCAGGAACGCCCTGGTGCGTCGGTGCGTCGGTTGAGGTGGCACGGGGCAGCTCGAGGATACGCGCGCGTGAGGCAATTTAGGCTTTCCAGGCGAGCCAAACCGAAGCCAACAGCAGGCCGAGGCAGCCCAAGGCAGCCAAGCCAAGGCAGGCCAAAGCAGACGAAAAAGAGCACAACACACACACAAGCCTTGTGCGCCTGGCGCCTCGCGCCTCGCGCCGCCCTGCTCGTCCGCCCAGCTGCAGCGTTTGCATGCCAGCAGTCGCCCTTTTTTGCGTGGATCTGCGACGTGCGGCTGCGACTGCGACCGCTCTCTCTCTCTCTGCGACTCCGCTGGCTGACTGCTCACTGCCCAGCCGCTCTGTCACTTTGCTCCCCGTGGCTGCGTGGCAGACCCTCTCGTGCGCTCTCTCTGCCTCTGGCTTGGTCAATTGCTCGCTCAATTGGTCCGCCGTCGTTCGGAGCTGGAGGTCTCTCCTTCCCGACTCCATCTCCCAACACCGTCCGCCCATCACCAGCGCAGGTTGATCCTCGTCGTGCTTCGACAGCACTGGTTGCCCCCTTTCCACACCCATCCCTCGGCTGGTCCATTCTTGCCCAAACGCACGTCTGACGACGCAACAACCCACAAAGCCTGGTCCAACGCCTCAGCTGCCCTCCTTGGAAGGAACACACACCAGACAAGCATTCTGGCCGCGCCCATCGCTTTCCACGCAACACTCTGCTGCAGGTACAGCCTCTACGAATCCTTCCCTTGCCAGGCCGCTGTTGCTTCGCACAAGTTGCTTGCTCTGCCTCGCCATCCTTGACGTTCAATCGAGCTCCTGCACGCTACCCGACAATCGACCCCCGTCCCGGTGCGTTTTCGATAGGAAGAACGGTCGAGTTTAGCTGCTACAGTAACCCACCTGCTGCACACGTTATCGCCAAGGTAAGTGCGCCTATCGTCCCGCTCTGCTCCAAATGAAGACCATGGTGGCTGACTTTGGCTCCCGTTTCACATGTCGTGCATATGCACTCCTTGCCTCTTGGCGCCCACTTTGCCCTCCACTGACACGTCGATGCCGCCATCTTTTTTCTCTTGTCGCTTTGCGTCGCCCGCGCACTTGGCGAATCGAATCGCAGTGATGTCCGAGTTTGGCTCCTTGCGCTCTCCTCTCGCTCCATCCAACGCTTCCATCAATCGCGCCAGCTCGCCCTCCTCCGGAACCCGTCCCGTCACCATGAATCCGCACAGCCGCTACTCGCTCGGCAAGGGTGCCTCCACCGAGCAGATGATGCGCCTCGCTCAACAGCAGGGCGCTGCTGCGCACGACAACGCCATGCGCAGCCCTTCCATGGGCGGCACCGCAGCCATGCCGGGCAACCCCGCCGGCCGCAACCTGCGCCCCAGCTCCGAAATGCTGCCCAACATGAATCACCGAGGCACGCCCGAGACCGAAGCCATCGACCGCTGGTTCGAGGATCTGCAGCACTACGAGGCTACGCTCGAGGAGATGGCCGCCGCCTCGCTCGACCAGAACTTCAAGGAGGAGCTCAGCGCCATCGAGCAGTGGTTCCGCGTACTCTCCGAGGCCGAACGCACGGCGGCGCTGTACAGCCTGCTGCAGGAGTCGACGCAGGTGCAGATCCGCTTCTTCATCACGGTGCTCCAACAGATGGCTCGCAGCGATCCCGTCTCGGCGCTGCTGTCGCCCAGCCACCACACCAGCTCCATGGCCGAGCAGATGGAAGCCAAGCTGGCCAGCCTGGGTCTCAAGTCGCCTGGCGCCATGAAGGCTCCCGCCTCTCCCGGCCACCGCGGCTACCGCCAGTCTTCGGACGCCGCCGGCTTCCTCTCGCCCAACGTGGCGGCCATGTACAGCCCGGGCAACGCCGACGCCGCCTCGGCGCTCGCTGCGCAGCGCGCCAAGCTCAAGGCCAACCGCACCTCGGCACCGGGCACGCTCATCGGCGAGAGCCGCAACTTTTCGGGCGGCCAGCTCGACCAGGTGCAGGAGCGTGGCGGCTCGCCCAACCCGCAGCAGCAGCAGCAGCGAACGCTGTCGGGCGACCACTCGTCGCGTCCCAAGTCGACCGACCTGAGCAACAGCGTGGGTCGCTCGCCGCGGGCCAGCGGGCCGCTGGACGACCAGCTGTCGCCGATCAGCGCCACGGGCAACTGGTCGAGCATGGTCAACACGCCGCTCGTGCCGATGTTTACGGACAACGACAAGGCGGGCACGGGCGAGGCCAACGTGAACCTCGACACTGCCGCCGCGCAGCTGGCGAGCCTGCAGCAGCAGCAGCAGGGCGGCAGCGGCAACGGCCGCGTCATGGTGGATCCGGACGTGCCGCGCTACCGCCGCAAGAGCAACCAGAACGCGGGTGGCGGAGCGTACGGCCAGTTTGACCAGTCGAGCCCGGGCGTGTCGCCCAACATTGGCATGCAATCCGGGTGGGGCCAGAACGACAACTTTGGGCGCGGCGGCCTGGGTGCGGGCTCGTCGGGGTTCAACATTCCTCCGATGAGCCCCAACGCGCTGGCGGGCCTGCAGAGCCCGTCGGGCGGGCTGGCCAACCCGATGAATCTGCAGATGATGAACGCCATGGCGGCCATGGGCGGGCTCAACCTGAACAACATGAATGCGGCTCAATTCCTGGCGATGCAGCAGCAGATTCTTCAGAACCAGCAGACGCTCTCTGTGCTTGCACAACAGCAGCAGATGCAGCAGCAACAGCAGCAGCAGCAGCAGCAGCACGGTCGCAACCTGCGCGGATTCGGAGGCGGAGCACTGTCGCCTGGACTTGGCGCTCCGTCGGGCCGAAAGAGTCCGCGTCCCGGTGCGTCGCCTTCGGGGCGGTCTGCGGCTCTGCCCGGGTCTGTGGGCACGGGCGGAGGAGCGGGAGCGTCGGCGGCGGGTGGCGCTGGTGCGGAAGAGGAGGTGGCGGATCTGGCGACGCTGAACGATGTGGCAGCGTGGCTGCGCCAGCTGCGTCTGCACAAGTACACGCCCAACTTTGAGTCGAGCCACTGGAAGGAGATGGTGGTGATGGACGACAAGGCGCTCGAGGACAAGGGGGTGGCGGCGCTGGGAGCGCGTCGCAAGATGCTCAAGACGTTTGAGCTGGTGCGCAAAAAGTACGGGATCAAGATGGATGGTGAGGAGTCGCCGGGTTCGGGCGTGCCGGGCATCCATGGCGACAAGCCGGGCGACGGCGACGATGGCAACGAGACCAAGGATGCGCAGCAGGTCGACCGCGAGCTCGGCGGCGACGCGGCGGCGGCGGCGGCTACGGCTGCGGATGCCGACAAGGCTGCTTGAATGGGTCCCGGCTTTTGCTGAGCTGCCGAGTTATCAACCATCTCGCCGGCGTGTATGTATATCGCAATTGGCTTTCTCTACGGTTTGTCGTTTGTGGCTCGAGAGGCGGAGGAAGAGGGTTGAGGTGAGGCTATTGGGGTAGGGTCACGTGATGCCGCGGCGCGCGAGCGGGAATTCTGACGGGGTGTGCCTTTTTTTGGCGGCGCTGCTCGAGGCTGCGCATTCGAGACGCGTCGGAGCGGGCGGAGGTGCGGGCTGCTCTTTTGTGAGGGAAGATGCTGTGCTGCGCAAAGTGTTGGTCTGAGCTGGACGGGCGAGCGACGGAGTGAGCGAGCTGTGGGACGAGAGAGCAACACAAAGCTGCGGTCCCACCTCCTTGCATGGTGCATACATGCTCTCTTCCATCTCGACCATCATCCCGACGCTTCACCTCGACCACAGCTAACGCACTGGAGCAACATCACGACCTTTTGCTGCTAACGATCCTCGCTTCTACTGTAGTAACGCCGCAACGACAAACGACACCCGCAACGCCCTCTCCACGAAGCTCGACTTCAACGCAGCAACCAAGACATACGACAGCCAGCAACCGGAGCTCGGTCAAGGTGTAACAAGGTATGTCCCAGTGCCTCTACGCAGTGTAGCGTCAGGAAGCAGCCCGCTTGGATGGATCGCATTGGCAAGGCCTGCTACGGCTGCGATAACGGAGGCGGCCGTCTGCGCTGCATAGGGCGGTGCGTCGAGCGGGCGTGAAAGACAGCGGCAGGCGCGCGCAGCCCTTTCAGAACGTGCGTCGCTGCCCTGGCTGGGCAACGGCAGCTGCTGCGAAAAGTCTAAAAAAAAGATCCCCACCCAAAGGCGCACATTCGACGCGTCCATCTTGCGCATCGCTGGCTGGCTGCTGGCTGCTGCCTGCTGCCTGCCGCCTCGCCAGGGTCTAACGCTGCGCTGCGGGCCACTCGAGAATTTTCGCCTGCAATCGGGGCCAAAATCCCCCACTCGGCAGCGCAGTGTGATTTGGAGCGCGTGTCGCTCGCTCGCTCACAACACAGACACACCGCTACACACGCTGTGCCACCCTTCGCTGCTGCCAAAACCCACGCAGACCAACCCGCGCTTCCTGCCACCACCTCATCACCGGCTCAGTCCTAGCCAACCCATTCCAACATCGGCCTGGCTAGCCGCTGCTGCCTCTCTTCACCTTCATTTTGGTCCCATCGTTCTGACATTTGCTCACCTTCCCACGTTCTTTTAGGAACATCACTTTCGATCACACACACTCTCTGGCCAGCCGTCCCACCACCACCACCCCGAGGCTCCGCGCTCCAACGCGCGCTCCTCCATAGCCCAACATGGATCCTTCCGGTCCCGACACCAGCTCCGAGGGCCTCTTCGAGGGCAACCTCCCGCCCTCACCCTCGCCAGCTTCCAGGCACGTCTACCCGGCCTCACCCAAGGATGTCACCGCCTCCTCCAACCTCGCCTTTCGTCCACCACCCAGGCCCGGCTCCTCTTTGCGCAAGGGCAGAAAGAGCGACTTCAACACCCCAGCCCCACCTCCGCTTCCCACGGCACCCATGCCCATCCAGCCCTTCGCCGACGCCACCAACTTCGGCTCGCATTCCTCGCCCTCACGCTCGCTCGCCCGTTCCACCAGCGCAGCCGGCATGAGCCGCAACGACTCGGAGAATGGCGCCACCATCGACCTCACGCGTCTCGTCCGCGAGCGCCTTCAGACCCTGCGCGAGGAAAACGAGAGCCAGGTCAACTCGGCCGGCCTCCTCGGTCAGGGTCTCCTCGAACTCCGCACCAAGATCGAGTCCATGATGGACGAACTCGCAGAGGAGCTCAGCGCAGCCGAGGACCACTCCGAGGACAGCCACGGCGCAAAGGCGGGCAACGCCAGGATCCGCGACCTCAGCGAGAGGATCGACGCAGAGATCCAAGAGCTCGAGCGCCAAAAGCACAAACTCTTCTCCGACATCACCGTCCACTCCATCGACATGGCCAACGGCGACGTCGCACAACACTCCATGCACAATCTCGCAGAGACCCCGTCCAAAGCAACCCGAGTCGCAGACGCCATCCGCAACCTCACCGCCACCCCAGCCAAGTCGCCCGCCGCTCCACAGACAGGCTCCACACCAAGGCAGGCCGACCGTCGCACCCGCAATGCCGCCGCTCGCCAGGCAAAGGCCGACACCGACCTCATCAACGAGATCCAGGCCGGCCTCGTCCAAGAGGTGCGTCGTCTCCAGGGCCTCCTCAAGGAGCGCGACGATCAGCGCGTCTCCCTCGAACGCTCCCACACCGAGCTCGAAAAACAGCTCGACCAGTACAAGCCTCGCGTCATCCAGATGACCGAGACCGAAGACGCGCTCAAGCAGGAAAACTGGGACCTCAACGTCGCAAAGCAGAACCTCGAGGAGCAGCTCTCCGACATCAAGTCTTCCATGAAAAAGGCAGAACTCGACAACGTCCGCCTCTCCAAGGAAGTCTCCAAGGCCCGCGAGACCGTCGATGCTCAGCGCCTCCAGATCGACGCACACGTCGCCGAGCTCGAGCGCCTCAACAAGGCGCGCGAGACCGAGGTCGCGCTCGCACGCAGGGAACGCGCCGGCATGCAGCGCGACGTCTCGGACCTCCAGAGCGAGCTGCAAAAGTTCCGCACCCAGCAGCTCAACGACCGCGGCGGCGTCTCCCGCAGCGTTTCCAACAGCTTCATGTCCGACATCACGCACGACGACGCCAATGGCGACGCCGACGCCCTCGCCGCACGCCTTCGCGCCGCCTCCGGCGAGGCACCCCGCTCGCCCGGCGACTCGATCTACTCGGCCGACGGCGCCGTCCTCTCGCCTCTCGGAAACCGCTTGGGCCGCGACAAGGAGACGCAGGACCTACGAGCCAAGCTCGCCCTCGCACAGCGTAAGGCCGGCAAGGATGCCGCCGAGAAGCGACGAGTGCGCGAGAAGAACGCAGAGCTCACAAAGCTCCTCGTCAAGGCGGGCGTCAAGGTGCCCCAGGGCCTCGACGACGATGCCGAGACCAGCGAGGACGAGGAGCTGCAGTGGCTCGACGAAAACGACGCTCACAGCCCTTCGGCCAAGCGTCTCTCGCACCTCCGCGCCGGCCGTTCCGCCGCATCGCTCAAACCGCGTCTCGGCCGCAAGATGGGTCTGGTCAGCAGCACCTCGACCGACTCCATCATCGAGTATGCCGAGTACGAAGACGACTCTCACATCGGCTCGCCGGCTGGTCCGGAAGATGCATCGCCGTCGCGTGCCAGCCTTGAAGGCATGGACCCGGCCTTCGCCGATCTGGGTCGTGCCGACGCCGCCAACACGAGCATCGACAGCATGGAACCCGTCCGTGGCCATCGCTCCCGGCTCTCCATCGGCAGCAGCCCGCTCGCGCGCAACGCCATGCTGCCCCACGAGTCCGACGGACAGGACAGCCCGTCGCAGCAACGCGCCCTGCCCAAGGGTGGCCGACGCAGTGGAGCCACCGTCCGCGCTACATCCTCGGTGTACGAGCCCACCGCGCTCGGCAACGAACTCGGTGGTCTTGCCGCCGAGCTCGAGCAGGCGCAGATGCGCGATACGGCCGACATCGACGTTCAGACCGACGACTTGCCCGATCACGTGGCTTTGGCTCTTGCCAGGCGCGACCAAGAGCACTCCACCGTGCTCGAGTCGCTCCGCACCGAGCACGCCAGTAAGCTGTCGTCGCTCCAGGACGAGCACACGCAAGCGCTCGACCAGCTCAAGCAGACCCACGACAAGGCCGTGGGCGAGCTCACGGCTGCTCACGAGAAAGCGCTGGCCGACAAGGACCAAGAACACTCGGCCGCAATGGAGGCAGCCTTGGCCGAGCGCAGCACCACACACGAGGCCGCCCTCGCCGAAGCGCGCTCGCGTCACTCGCGCGCGCTTGCGGAACAGGTCGCAGCATCGAGCGCCGCTCTCGCTGCCGCTGTTGCGTCGCACAAGACGTCTACCGAGGACTTTGAACGCAAAGTCAGGGAGGAGAAGGAGCTCAAGGAGGCCTCTCACACTTTCGCCCTGACGCAGAAGGACCGTGCGCACAAGGATGCGGTGAACGAGCTGCAGACAACTCACGCCGGTGTGCTCGAACGACTGCGCGAAGAGCACAGGCAACTGGTCGCCATCCGCGAAAAATCGCTCCAGGAGGTCGATGCACAGCTCGCCGAACAGAAGCAGGCGCACACCGATCTCGCCGCCTCGCACGAAGCTGCAGTAGCTGCCCTGCACGCGACCCATCGCGACACCTTGGACGCGCGCGAGGCTGAGCTCGAGAGCATCAAGAAATCACTCGCCCAGCGCGACCAAGAGCTCGGCGCCGCCAAGCAGGAGATCGTCGAGCTGCAGAACAGCATCGCTGCGCTCCAAGCCGAGACGGCCGAGCTCAAGAAGCAGCTTGCCGAGTGGCAGCAGAAGCACACGTCTGCCGAGAAGGAGCTCGGCGCCGCCAAACAAGAGATTGTAGAGCTGCAGAACAACACAACGGCGCTCAAGGCCGAGACGACCGAGCTCAAGACGCAACTTAACGAGTGGCAGCAGAAGCATACCGCTGCCGAGAAGGAGCTCGGCACCGCCAAGCAGGAGATCGTCACGCTGCAGAACACCACAACGGCGCTCAAGGCAGAGACGGCCGATATCAACAAGCAGCTCACCGAGTGGCAGCAGAAGCATACCGCTGCCGAGAAGGAGCTCGGCACCGCCAAGCAAGAGGCGCTAGAGCTGCAGACCAGTATCACGGGGCTCAAGGCCGAGACGGCCGAACTCAAGAAGCAGCTCGTCGAGTGGCAGCAAAAGCACACTGCTGCCGAGAGGGAGCTGTCCGAGGCCAAGTCGAACCTCGACGTGGTGAGCGACAAGGTGCGCAGGCACGAGGAGACGGCGCTCGAACTGGCGCGCCAGCGCGAAGCCGAGGCCACCGCAGCTGCTGCCGCCGTTGTGGCTCGTTCCGAGGCGCTGACTGCCACCGAGGCGCAGAAGGAGCAGCTCGAGGCCGCTCATGCCGTGGCCATCGCTCAGAAGGAGCGCGTGCACCAAGACGCCGTCAAGCAGCTCGAGGACCAGCATGCCAAAACCGTCGCCCAGATCCGTGCCGAGCACAAGCAGACGCTCGAGGGCCGCGACCAGACGCTGCAGACGCACCAGCAGCTCGTGGCTGACCGCGAGCGTGCTCTCGAAGAGCAGCGATCCGATGCACAGAAGGCGCAGGCTCAGGTGCAGTCGCTTCAACAGCTTGTGGCTGAAAGCGAGCGCGCACTCGAGCAGCAGCGAAGTGACGGCCAGAAGGCACAGGCTCAGGTGGATTCTCTTCAACAGCTTGTGGCCGAGCGCGAGCGCGCACTTGAACAGCAGAATGGCGACGCCCAGAAGGCGCAGGCCAAGGTCGAATCGCTCGAGCAGCTCGTGGCCGACCGCGAGCGCGCGCTCGAGGAGCAGCGTGGCGTCGTACAAAAGTCACAGGCAGAGTTGCAGTCGCTACAGCAACTCGTGGCCGAACGCGAGCGGGCGCTGGAAGAGCAGCGCGGCGAGATGCAAAAGGCGCAGGCCCAGGTGGTGACGCACGAGCAGCTGATCGCTACGCTGCAAGCCGAGGCGAGTTCGGTGCATCAGAACCGCTCGACGACCGAGGCGAAGCTCAAGGAAACAGAGACGGCGCACTCGACGCTGCAGAAGCAGCACGACGAAGCCAAGGCGAGCGTGGCAGCGCTGCAATCCAAGGTGCGCTACCTGGAGTCTTCGATCGCCGCTCAGCGCTCATCGACCGAGCAGAACCGTCTCGCATCGGACAAGGAGCTGCAGATGGCGCAGTCGGCGCTCAACACGGCGCAGAAGAAGGTGCGCGAGCAGGAGGCGAGCCTCACAAAGGCCGAGGCGGCGGCTGCAGCTGCGTTTGCCGCCGTCGCCAAAGTCGAGACACAGCTCAAGACGACCGAGGCCCAGCTGCACGCTGCCGAATCCGAGCTAGAGGAGCTTCGGGCCAAGAATGAAGCAGCGGTCACCGACACCGAAAACGAGGCGGACGATTTCAAGGATGCCGTCGAGGCGAATGATGCTCCGGCCGCCAAGGCTGTCGAGGCCACGATGCCTGCCAAGGAGGTCAAGGATTCGTCGTGCCAGACCGACGATGCTGCTTGGCTGCGATTCCAGGAAGCGCAGCAGCGCAAGGTTGTACCCACCACCACTTCTTCGGCGACGCAGACCAGTGCGCCTTCGTCACCGCTGCAGCCTACGGACGAGAGCCTGGCGGCGCAGAACAACCTCGTGATCCTGGGTGGGCTCAAGTCGGTCAACCGCCAGCGCGATTCAGTGGGTACGTTTGGTGGCGAGCGCGCATCGTCGCCGGCCACCATGGTGTACAGCCCGGATGCGCTGAGCACGCACAACCAGAGCCGCCGACCCTCGGCGGACTCGACGTGGTCTCGCCACGACCGCAATGCATGCGACATTCCGCCTGTGCCGCCGCTGCCGGACAAGACCAAGGTGCCGCTCATGTCGATGCCACCGCCGCCCAGCATGCCGCCTCCGTCGCTCAAGAGGGCGGTTGCACCGCCGCGCCCGACGTCACCGCCTCCCGCGGATCTGCTGACTCGGGCGCAGCAGCGACACCTGCAAGTGCCTGCTGGCAGCGGAGAGCAGCCGAGGTCGGTGTCGCGTGCGTCGGGCCGCAGCGGCCCACCTCCGAGCGCGTACCCCGGAGCGAGCCGTGTGCGCCAGCAGAGCTCGGGGACGGGCAGCGTGCGATCGCGCACGTACTCTGGCGAGACGTCGGCTTCGATGCACGCGCAACCTCTGGACGGCAGCATCTACAACACGCTGGCATCGGGACGCAAGAGCATCGGATCGCGCAAGTCGGCGGCACGTCGACCTGCTGCGGGGCCACGCCAGTCGTCTGCGGCGTCGTTCGTGTCGGACGTAACGTCGGAGGTGAGCAGGCGGCTGTCGATGATGTCCTCGCGGGCGTCGGAGGCAGACGCAGGCGACGAGACGTTTGTGGTGCGCGGCCAGAACGGCGCCGGCAAGATGCACGGGCAGCGCGGATTGTCGGAGTTCGGTGCGGCCGACTCGACGGACCCGGCGATCATCCATGCGATCACGCAGACGATGATTGGCGAGTACATGTTCAAGTACACGCGCAAGTCGATGGGGCGCGGCGGGCATTCGGACAAGCGCCACCGTCGCTACTTTTGGCTGCACCCGTACACCAAGATGCTGTACTGGACGATCAGCGATCCAGGCGGAGCCAAAGTTTCGGAGGGCACGAGCAAGAGCGCGTCGATCGAGAGCGTGCGGGTGGTGGAGGACAGCAACCCGAGCCCGCCAGGCCTGCATCCGGAGAGCATCATCATCACGACGGCGTCGCGCGAGGTCAAGATCACGGCGCCGAACCGCGAGAGGCACGAGGCGTGGTTGGCGGCGCTCGAGTACCTGGTGCACCGGCCGACGATGCAGGACGCGACGGTGATCGCGTCGAATGCGGCGCCGGAGCTGATGAGCGATGCGGAGAACGACCCGACGGTGCTGACGCGCAGCGTGGGGCGGCGTGCCAAGCCGCGTGCGTCTGCAGCGACGCTGGGGAGTGCGTCGGTGAACGGAAAGCGCCGGCTGTCGGCGCAGCGGAGCTTCTTGTCGAGGCGGTCGTCGGAGCAGGTGCTGCGGACCGAGTCTACGCCGCGACGACGTGGGAGCAGCATCGGCGGGCAGAGCGTGCTGTACCCTTCGATGGGCAAGCGACGGGATGTGGCGGCCAAGGAGTGGCTGGAGCAGCACGAGCACGAGCGGGAGCTGGGCGTGTCGATGAGCCCGAGCCAGAGCCTGCGAAGGGGCGTGTACTCTGCGAGCGTGCGGAGCGGCGAGGTGGGCGAGGAGAGCTACGATCTGCTGGACCTGACGGCGACGCAATCGCCGCTGCGCGGTGGGCTTGCGTCGGACGATGCGCGTCTCAAGACGGCCGAGGAGATGCTGGAGGAGGACGAGCCGGAAGAGTGGGATGGGCTGACGAACGTGCGTGCGTGCTGCGACGGCAAGCACGACGTGGGCTCGCTGGCGCACGACCACTCGCACCATCCTGGCGGCAGCTCGAGCCGCAAGTCGTCGCGTCTGCACCAGCGCGAGTCGAGCGGCGGATCGCGGTTTGCGTCGCTGGGGCTCAAGTCGAAGCTGGACGCGGCGGTGCGTGCGGCCGAGGAGCGCGAACAGCAGCAGCAGCAGCAGCAGCAAGTGCCCCCGGTGCCTAGGTTGCCGGTGTCGTTGCTGCCGAATGTGGCGGGGCTGGGCCGGGTGATGGCGGAGCGGGAGAGCATGGAGAGCGCCGCGTCGGTGAGCATGCCTACGAACGCGGCGGGGGACAAGCTGCGTGTGGCCGAGACGAGCTTTGCGAGCGTGTTCGGAGGAGGCTCGGTGGACGGCAATGCGCGGACGGCAGCGGGAACAGGTGGATCGGGCACGGGTGGACCGAGCTACGGTGAGCGCATTTCGCAGATCCGCAAGGCGAGACAGTCGGGAGGGGAGCACGCATGATCGCTAGGCCCAATTTCATTTGTTGGCGAATCGATAATGCCAGTTTAGCCGGGATTTTTGGATGGCGGTACAGCGGCTGCATGCATGCATGCATACAGTACGTACGTACAAGGTGTGGACGCAAATAAACTCCGAGCAGGCTGTCCACCGAGCATGATAAGGACGAGAGTGTGGTGCTGCATGACAGGCTGGGCATGTGGTGTGCGGGAGTACAGTCGCTCGGAAGTTGTTCCTGGATGCCGAGGATGGATTCCCTGGCATTGTCGGGTGGTTGAAAACAACGCACCGAGCCTCTACACTGCACTTTGTAGGGCATTTGCAGCAGAGTCCTCGATGTGACGCGCTGTGCGCTCGTCCACTTTGTGTAGATGTGTCGACTGGGTGGGGCTTGGACTGCGCAGCAACGGTCGAAAGCTTGGGGGAGAGCGGAGGCAAGGCGGGCAGAAGTCTGAAAAAAAAACACGGAACGATAAAAAAAATTGACCGACGCAATCAGAGGCGGTGCCCACATGTATCCGCTGTTGAGCTTTGGACACGGCCGAAGCCTTGGACCACAGACGATAGACATCCGTGTCCTGCCGCATGGCGGCGATACTGCCTCGCGCTAGAAGAGGGGGAGGGGGAGAGGCGGTAGCTTACTGTGCCTGTTCCCCGTGGGCCAGAGGTGAGTCTGCCCAGAGGGGCTGGCTTCGCCTTTCCTTTTGTGTGACACGCTGGTTGCGGCAGTCCCGGATTCCAGCTTCCAATGTGTCGACTGGGCGATGGCAGCTTGCAAAGACAAGACGACATCAGAGAAAAGAACCAGGAACGAACGCCAAAAATAAGGCTCGCTGCAGACGATGCAGGCCGTCTGTTTGTGAGACGCAGCAAACCTTTTTCCCCCCACCGGTGAATTTTCTATTTATCCATAGCTCCTTTTTGATTTTTTCCTTTGTTTGTACGAAGTTGAAGCTTTGCGATGCAGACCAGCGTCGGATGCAAAGCTTCTGTGTAACACTCGGACGGATCCCATGCACGACGGGAGATAGGCTGTGCGGCTCTGAGCTTCACCCGAACTCCATATGCCCAGTGAGGCGCAGGGTTCAAGCTGGAATTGGGTGCGCCCGCTTGGGGCTCTCGGCTGCTTCGCCGAAGATGCCGAACCACCAGAAAATAGGGCATAGCAGAGGTTGGGTGGCGCGGGCGCCCAAGTCTTGCGGTAGAACCACAGATCTCGACATTTTTTTTTCCAGATGTGTACACTTCACGCTCAGCTGATGAGGCGGAAAGAGGATCGAATACACACGCCGTGCGGGTACAGTATGTCACGACAATGGCTGCGTATACCCTCCCTTTCTGCCTAGAGTGGCAGTTGATGATTTGCGTGGGCACAGCTGGTCCGTTTCTTGACTTGTGTTGTAGAGCTAGCACTGCAAGAGGTTCTGGGGGTGTTGGCTCATGGCTTTGCAGCACCGAGAGGCAATCTGCGATCTTGACGCCAAGAAGCTCGGGGTGAGATGGCTGTCAGAGCATCTGACCGATCTGCGCACGTCCGATGTACATGGTGATCTCGCGGATGACACGGCCAGCTCGGCGTTGGTAGGGCGACGCAAATAACCGCACCGTCTCGCTCTGGCGCCCTCGGCAGTCTCTACATCCCGTCCGACGGAGCATCTTGTCCGGATCCTCGTGTCTGCGTGTCTTGGAGGTGAGTCAACACCGGTGACCTTTGCAGCTGATATCCAGGAAGCCAGCGGCGCAGGGTTCAAATTGGATTTTTTTTGGTGGGCGCCGAATGGATTGTCGCAGCACGGATGAATCATGACAGCGCGCGTGTTGAGGCGCGGAGAGGGGCGTGCCTGAGCGCTGACCCACCGAGCCCTGAGCGAAGCCGCCCTGAGCTAAAGTTCGGAACCCGGGCGAGCGGCGCCCAAATCGAAAAAAAAACAAGCTTCGTTCGCGCGCGCGCGCTCGATTTGGCGATTTGGCGATTTGGCGATTTCCTCTGCCTATCGCCGGGTGCGGTTGTGGCCAACTTTGGGCCAATTTGGGCAGGCGCTGACACTGGCGTTTGGACCAACTCGCTGCAAATTCCGCTCCGAAGCTCCGACCGCTCTCCGCCGCGATTTGCCGCGCGTTTGGGTGCGAATCCCTCTGCCAAACGGCTGCAGCGGCGCCGCTCAGAACTCGCTCGGTCGTCTGCTCGTCTGCCCGTCTGCCCGTCTGCCCGCTTGGGTTCGGCTCGGCTTGGCCTCCGTTCCGCACTGCCGCTCGTGTTGGCGTCGTCGTCGACAGCTTTCTTTTTCGCCAAGACCAACCATCCATCCGCACTCCCACCATCGCATCTTCGCTTCGCAACGCATCGCTCACATGCGCTGCCCTCGTCACGCTCCTTAGCAATCTCGCCCGCCATCATGTCCAATCATCCCGCTTGGCACGACCAGCAGCCACAGTACCCACCCCCTCCACCGCAACCAACGCGACATCACTCGGGCATGGATGCCTACCAAGGACCATCGCCCTCGGCCTCTACACAGCAGCCATCACCGTACAACAGCGCGCCCCAACACACTGCATCCTATCCGCACGCGCATCTTCCACCCCCAGCAGCCAGACATACCCCGCAGCAGCAGCAGCAGCAGCAGCAGCATCCACAACAACCGCAATGGGCGTCCGGCACGAGTCAAGACTTTGGCGGTCCTAGCCCCGCCAACTCGGCGCCGCGTTCCAACAGCGGATACACAGGCTTCGACCCTCCGTCCGCGTCCAACAACAGCCCGATGCGCCAACATGGAGGCTCGCACAGCTCCGCTTATACCTCACACTCGCCCTACGCACCCTCACAGTCGCACGCTCCCGACGCCGCCATGCATCCCCAGCGCTCCTCCATGCCCTCGCACTACGACTACCAAAACAATTATCCGCATCCGCACCATCCGCAAAACCCACAGATGCCACCACAACACCATCCGCATCCGCATCCGCATCCGTCTCAACAACAACACCACCAACAGGCGCACTGGAACACTGGCCCGCTCCCTTCGGTGCTTCAGCCCCAGTCCGCACCGCTCTCTTCAACGCCCAGCAGCAATCGTGGGCCCAGCGCTCCGCCGCCTCCGCAGCACCACACCATGGACCGTGCCTACCCCAACATCAAGCACGACGACGACATGGACGACGACGACACTGGCAACTACGACGACTTTGACCCCAAGGGCAAGGCGCGCGCCGCTGCCGATGCCACGCAGGCCGCCAACAAGGGCACCAGCGATTTCGTCAAGAAGCTCTTCAGCATGCTCGACGACAAGGCGTACGACAGTGTCGTCGCCTGGTCGCCATCCGGCGAGAGCTTCATCGTCAAGGACATGAACGACTTTACAAAACACGTCCTCCCGCGCAACTTTCGCCACTCCAACTTTGCCAGCTTCGTGCGCCAGCTCAACAAGTACGACTTCCACAAGGTCAAGAATCCCGAGGACGGCGCCGCCACCGTCGGCGAGCACGTGTGGGAGTTTCAGCATCCGGACTTTGTGCGTGGCCGCGACGACCTGCTCGAAAACGTCAAACGCAAGATCCCCGCAAAGAAGAAGCCCGCCAAGCCCGGCCTGGTCGATGCCGACCGCGACGACAGCCCCGCCATGCCCGCGCACGTGCAGATGGAAGCACCGGAACGGGCAGAGTCGAATGCAGAACTCAGGGCGCAGGTGGCCCATCTCACCGCCGCGCAGGACCAGATGCAGAACCACATCCTCGCACTCACAAAACAGTACCAGGGCGTCATCGGCGAAATGCTCACCTTCCAGCGCAACATGATCCAGCAGGACCAGCTCATGCAGAACCTCATCCAGTACCTCATCAACCTCGACCAGGACCGCCGCGTGGATGGCGCACCCGCCCCACCCTCCGCATCCAGCTTCCTCGCCCACATGGGCGCCAATCAGGGCTTCCTCGCCACACCCGCTCCCGCCAGTGCGGGCCCGCATACGGTGGGGGTGCCCGCGCCCGTGAGCGGTGCCGACGCTGGGCCATCCAGCCATGCTGGGGCGGCGCCGCCGCTGTCGCCCAAGAGCGTCGCGTCTCCGCTCGACGCCACAGGCAGCACGCCCGAGATCTCGGCGCAGCTGGCGTCGCTGCGAGAGAGCAATCCGCTGGCGCCCATGATGCTGCATCCGCCCCACCTCGATGCGGACCCGGCCGATAGCTCGTTGGTGAATGCAGCGGCGAGCGCGGCGCGCAACCCGAGTCTGTCGTCGTTCGAAAAGGCGGGTCTGCGCGTGTTTACCGTGGGAACGCTGCAGCCGCGCGACTCGCCTGGCGATCCCACACCCGCCCCGCCACAGGAGCTTGCGCCGGCCGGGCTGCGCAACGGGTCGGCGGGGTCGTCGTTCGACGTGCATGCCAATGGCAAAGGCAAGGAGGCTGCTGACGACAAGAAGCGCACGCCTACGCCCGGCGAGGGTCACCCGAGCAAGCATCTGCGCGTGCGCCGATCCACACTGGTTCCCGGCTGGGCGGTGCCCCCGCGTGTCCTGCTGGTGGATGATGACGAGGTGTGTCGGCGTCTCTCGAGCAAGTTCCTGCAGGTGTTCGGGTGCAGTATCGACTATGCGGTGGATGGCATGTCGGCGGTGAACAAGATGAATCTCGAAAAGTACGATCTGGTGCTTATGGACATTGTCATGCCCAACCTCGACGGCATGTCGGCGACGTCGTTGATCCGACAGTTTGATCCGCGCACGCCCATCATCAGCATGACGAGCAACAGTGGGCCTTCGGAGCTGGTCAACTACATGTCGAGCGGTATGACGGATATCCTGCCCAAGCCGTTTACCAAGGAGGGGCTGTTGAATATGCTCGAGAAGCATCTGTTGCATCTCAAGGCGGCGAGGGGTACGGGGCAGGAAGGGCCCAAGGGTGTTTCACCTGCGCCGGCGGCGACGCCCAGTGGGACAGCGCAGACGGGTGCGGATGATGGGACGCTTAACCCGTTGGCGGGGATGGGCTTTACGGATGAAGAGTACGTCGCCATGCTGCAGAACTTGATCGCTGCGGGTACTCAGGATGACGAGGCGTTTGGCATCGACCTCAAGGACGGCAAGAGGATGGCAGACGAGAGTGGCGGCGAGAACAAGAGACAGCGCTTTGTCGATTCGTAGCATGGTTGTACCATCCCACACAAGTGTATAGTAGTCTGGGACCGTGCACATGTGCACACGCAAGTGGGAACACGGATACCATTGTCAGAATGCGAAAGCCCGCCTGGGTGAGTCTGTGAAAGGTGCTTAGGACCGCGCGGTGCGGTTAGGTCAGATTTGAGGAGGTTCGAGCGGGAGAGTGCGCTAGGTGGATTAGGGGCTTGTGCGTGGTGGCAAGAGCGAGGATATATCAACACCCTCGAACCTCTTGTCCATCCGTGCTTCGAACTACCGCCGCTGGTCGCGAGGAGGGGAGAATGGATGCTGCTGATCGATTTTTTTCCCCACCGACGATACAGTACATCCTTGACAGCTACAAGTATGACCGATTTCTTGACAGCATTCTTGACGCAGCGCACAGATCGTTTAACGGCAGTCGGGGTTCATTTGCCCCCTCCTGTAGGTTCCGTCGACCTTAGGGGCTCGTTTTTGGCCGACGCTGACCACTGCACATCCACTTGAACGTGAGAATCGCCATCACTGCGCTGGATTGTCTCCCAAGTACAACGCTAGACACACTCATGCCATCATCGGACGGGGTGGACACAGGTATCCTCTTCTACGCATGCCTGTCAGTGTTACCGACAAACATACGGCAGAAGCATCAATGCTGTGCTTGGAATGAGCGTGCAAAGCCAACCCCGAGCATAAGGGCGTGTGGGCTGGGATCACTCTTCCAGCCTCCTTTGGAATGATCACACCGGCAGTATCGAGCAAGTGGACGCATGCATGTTTCACAAGGTCTTCAAGTACTGAGCAGCCAATGTCGATGCTGAAGAATGACACCATCTCAAAAGGAAGCATGCCACTTTGCACTACGTCGCTCATAAGGTATTACTGTAGACATGGTGTAAAGACAAATGCTGCAGATTTGCGAGTACGTGACGTCGACGACTCCATCTTTTGCATCAAGCGCGAGCTGCAGAAGCGCCGTGATGCGCGGCTGCTTGGTCCACGCCCCAAACGTGACTGCTCGGAGGATCCGACTGGGAGGTGAACATGTCGACACGGGGCACATGGGTCACTGCATCGACGCACTTCCAAATTTCTCTCATGCCGTTCATTCCGGGCTTCTTCAGCACGACCATCACCATCGCCTCCACCCATTCTGTTGGCTTGCATTTGTATTGCTTGTATCGCTAGGCTACGCGAGACTCTGCACAAGCTCGGCGATGCTGACGGGCGTCCATCCGTGCTCGTCGCTTCTGAACACGACATCGTCGTCGATATACACCTTGGCCGCTGCGGCGGCTGTCGCTTCAAACGCGCGCGCCACCCTCCACACGGTCGCCGTGCTCGCCGGACCCGTCCTGTGCACCTGTGCGGTCTTGAACAGGAACAGATCGTGCACAGCCAGCTCCTCGGCCAACACATCGCGCAGCGTCGCCACCTCGGCCACCTGCACCCCCGCTGCAGCTGGCTTCACCTCCGACCGGCGAGATGGCAGGACGTACACTGGCGGCTTGAGCTGCGCCCTTTGTTCGGGTGGTGTATCGAGCGCAAGATTAATCCAATCCAGCGCGATGGCAAAGCCAGCATTGATGGGGTTCGTGGGATCCGACGTGCACAGCGGCTCCAGATAGCCGCGCCAGAACTCGTACCACTGCGCCACCTCGTCCAGATCCGCACCCGGCTGCGTAATCCATGCACCCAGCACACCCAGCCATTGCGGGAACACCTCGGCCGCCACGACGCGCGCCACCACCGACCGCCGCACCACCTTTGTCCACGCAAACACCGCCTCCAGCACATCCATCTTCTGGTCTGCAGGGTCCACTTTGAAACCACGCAGGTGGCTCGACAGCCGCGGCACGACCGTCGCCAGCATGAGCGCGTCCCACTCGCCGCCGCTCTGCGCGTACAGCTTTCGCCACGCCTCGAGCCCTCCATCGGGTCCGGCTGGGATGTCGGCCGTCTTGAGCGCACTGCGCAGCCGCCGTTTGGCCTCGCCCATCACCTCGCCCAGACGTTGGGTACCCAGCACGGGCAACCAGGGGAACACGACGTGGTCCAGCCGCCAGCTGCTCTTGGGCTCCCATGCCCCGAGCGCGGAGTGCAGCTTGGGAAGCACGATCTGGTCCACCAGATTGTCGTACACAAACTGCGGCACGACGCCGCGCCATGCCTCGAGCAGCTCCACGGCCGCCGAGGGATGGTGCGGCTTCCATGCGTTGAGCGCACTGCGGACGGGAGGCATCCAGACGTTCCAAATAAGCGCCTCCCACGCCGTCATGACGCGCTTGCCCTTGCCGCCCGCTGTTTCTTGCGGGTGCAACATCCCCGCCCACGCCTGCAGCATCGACACAATCAGCTGCGGCTCTTTGAGCGGTCGCCATGCCGTCCACACCGCACGCAGCAAGGGCGCTGCCGCACCCACCACCGCTTCGTCCAGCGCCAACTCGGCCATCCCGCGCGCGTGGGCCTCGAGCCGCGCGACTATGGGCGTAAACGCCTCGAGCGCAGCCAGGCGCGCGTCTTGCGTCGCGTCGGGGTCCAGCTTCGCAGCGCGCGCATGCACCGCCTCGAGCTCGCGCACGAGCACCAGCGCCTGCTGCACACGCTGTAGCTTTGCCGCGTCGGCCGCGCGCTGGCGCTCTGCCTGCTCCGCCTCGCGCCTGAGCCAGCGTCGCCTGTCCTGGATCTGCGCGCCCTCCCGGGCAAGCGCCGTGAGCGTCTGGGCGTTGGTGGTGCAGATGAGGCGCAGATTGTGCTGCAGCTCCGGCAGCTCGTTCGCCTCGGCCGTCGGCGCACCCCTGCTCCCGAGTGCCGAAGCCAGATCCGCTACCTCGCGCAGCTCACCGCTGCTGGCATCGTAGATCTTGCCCAGCGTCGACGGTGCACGTACCGCGCCCACCTCGGCGAGGATCTGCTCGTACGTGCGATGCTCCACCCTGGGCTTGCGCGGCTTCTTCTCCTTCTTGGTCCATGCGCGCGGCGTCTCCGCTGCCTCTCCGTCCGCCTTGCGTCTGTGCTTGTCGTGGCGCTTCTTCCCGTGCCCACGCCGCGCGTGCGTCTCTTCGTCGCTCGATACAGCTTCGCCGCGACGCCGCGCTTCGTCCTTGGCCTGCTGCGTCTTTTCCTTGAGCCCGCCGTACGCGATACCGGCGCGCTCCGGTCGCAGCTGCACCTCGATCGGGTTCACAATACCCTGGCCCGCCTTGCCCAGGCCTCCGCCCGTCCAGCCCATGGAGGCCAGGTACGCAGACGGGTCGAACTTGCCGCCGAACTTGATGCTCGTGCGTGGCACGGCGGGCGCGTCCGGCTTCCGTGTGCGCTGAAACGCCGACGACGGTGCCACCGAGGGCCGGGAGAAGGACGTCGGCAGGCCTGCAGCTGACATTTGGTTCTCTTGGTCGTCGACGGCTGCGATGGCATCGGGTTGCTGTGTTGTTGTTGAGCTTGGCGGTTCTGGTGCCGTGGTCGATGTCGCTGCGTCTGAAGTGGACGCCAAAGTCGCGGGTGGTGTCGGTGGTGGTCCTGGTGGCGCTGGTTCGGATGGCCTGGATGCTCCGGCCGAGACGAACATCGAGAGCGAGGTGAGCCCGGTTCTGCGCGGTGCCGAGGCGGTATCGTCGCCGTCCCTGTTGCTGGAGGAGCTGCCGATGCCTGCGCGAGCGCCAATCCCTGCACGTCCCGACCGCTTCTGAGGTTGTTCTGTTGGAGGAGGACGCTGAGGACGTGGCGCTTGCTCGTTTCCATGTGATCCAATACCTCCGCGGCTGGATCGGAATGAGGCAGGCTGAAAGTCGTCTTCCTCACCCGCTTCTGCGCCGCCGGCATCTTGCAGCATCTCTGCCTCCGAGTTCGAATCCGAATCCGAGCTATCTGAGCCGCCCGAACCACTCGCTGCAGCTTCCTGCGTGTGCAAAGATTCACCATGCTGTGTGCTGGCAGCTGCTGCAGACGCCGAGGCGGGAATGAAGGCCTGTCCGCGGCGGTAGTCGATCTTCTTGCCTCGCGCATCCCTGGCTCGTACGGTGCGACCTGCGCTGCCGTTGTGCTCGTTGTGGTCACCTTCGCCAAACATGCCGTAGATGGCGTCGTCCTTGGTGCGGCGTGGCCGCTTGTGCGCGGGTCGAGTCGAGGAGTTCAAGCCCGAAACGCCGTTCAAGGCCTCGTCGTCCACGTCGGCCACGTCGAAGCTGTCGTCGTCGGTGGAGGTGTCGTCATCGCTGAAAGGGTCCTTCTTCCTCCTCGCCATGGTCCTTGTGCTGGCGCGCGACTAGAGATGGACAGTCCCATCGGCCCGTCCGGGATGGAGTCGATGCGATGCGATGCGACGCGAGCAAGGTCGTGGTGATGCATGCAGTGATGCAAGTGGACAGGGTCGCATCAACCAGACTCGCCGACTCAGCTTTTCCGGGTCCCGAGTGTGGAGATTTCCACGACCAAAGAAAAAGGTAAAAACAAAAAGCGGCAGAAAAAGAGGGCGAGAAATCCGGGTGGAAATGATTCAGTGGATCGGTGCGCATGGGCCGGCCTTTCTCCGCTCACGGCTTCCGCTTCCACCAGCACTTGACTTACAAGCACATCCTCATCCCGTGCTGATGTCGTAGCTTCAACAACAATAACGCTTGGATCTGCAAACGGCAGTGATCAGAAGGTCAGCCTCGGCAATCTCATCTTCGAGCCCGGCGATGGCAGGTACGAGTCGCTGTGGCCCCGGGCCGGGGCTCGGACTGTGGCTTGCCATCTGGACTTTGGTCTTGACAACAAGCGTCCATGCTTCCTTCCTCGGGACACTGCTATTTGGCAAGGACACGCTCGAGCCCGTGCGCGAGGCGATCAGGCAGACCGAGCACATGCGCAGCCAGGTGTACGGCTGGTACCACCACAATGCGACCGAGGCGGCCAACTTTAGCGTGACGCCCGACCCGGCGGAGCTGTACACGCTGCTGCCCGCGACCTACTCTGGCCGAAGCTTGGTGACGCCCGACGGCGCGTACTACCGCGACATCGAGGGATACTACAAGGGCTCGTGGAGCGGCTGGGACATGAGCACCGTCGCGAATCGGTCGCTCGCCATCGACTCGCGCCTCAACCGCACTGCCGCCGAGAGGCTGGCCACGAATGCGCCTCCGCAGTATCTGGATGACGTCGAGCGCGAAAAGCTCGTTCAGGACCGTGGCGCGTTCGACTGGCTGACGGTGGACCCGGGGCATATGGATCTGCACCTACAGGAAGAGCATCTGTTAAAGGGCAATGTCTCACTCGTGACAGGCAGCCTGAGCTTCTCGGTCCCAAAAAGCGAAAAGTCGACCGACTTTTCGCTCGAGGGCCTGCACTACATCCCGACGGGCAGCATCTTCCTGCACGCCATGGGCGACGAGGCTGTGAACGGCACCGACGTGCGCACGGTTCTGGGCATGGTGCCCCGGGCGAACAACGCTACGGCCAACGCCACGGTGGCTGCGATCGACAAGGCGTTCCAGCTGCGCATCGACATGCTGGAGCGCATCATTGCGAGTGGGTCGTACGATGCTCCCGACGCGAGCTCGACGGGCGTGGTGGCGACGCACAACTGCTCGCTGCACGTGTATGCGCAGCTGCGCTCGGCGGGGGCGTACGACGAGGTGCAGGTCTCGATCAACGCGCTGGAGCGCGAGATGGCGGTATCGACGGGGATTTCGACCATCGCGCCGCCGGCGCTGCAGCTGTCCATGCTGGCGTACTCGCCCGAGTGCCGGTTCGTGGCGAGCGCCAAGGAGGTGACGGGACTGCTGCAGAGCCGGGTGTGGAAGAAGGCGGTGCGGTATGCGCTGATGTACATGGTGGTGGTGTTGGTGCAGACGTGGTTGTTGGTACAGCAGATGGAGGCGACTACGACGCCGAGTGGACTGGGCAAGCTGAGCGACAAGACGTTCCTGGCGCAGTCGGTACTGGATGCGTACAGCTGCCTGGTCCATCTGAGCGTGGGCGTGGCGCTGGACAACGAGACGACGGTGCCGCTTATTGCGTGCGCGTTCATGAGCGGCATGTGCTTCATGGCGTTCGGGTACAGGTATACCATCACGATCTACAGGACGCACATGGACGCCGCCCCCACGCCGGCTCCCACACCCGCACCTGCCACACCCGCACCTGCACCTTCAACAGCAACAGCACCAGGCTCAGAGGGGCAGCCAATACCAGTCGACGCCGCGGGTGCTACAGCCACTCAACCTCAACCAGCTGCAGTCGAGACGCCCGAAGAGCGGACGGCACGGCGTCGGGGCCGAGCGATCTTTGGGGTAGGATTCTTCCTGATGATGGTAGCGTTCTTCCCGCTGGTGACGGTTGCGATTCTGCTTCCGATCGTCTACTCGTTCTGGGTGCCGCAGATCTGGCGCAACGTGGAGCGGGGTACGCGCAAGGCGATTCTGACGCGGTGCGTGGTGGGGACGACTTTGGCGCGGCTTTTCGTGCCGCTGTACGTGCTGCTGTGTCCGGCGAATGTGCTGATGGCCGAGCCGAGCGCCTGGGGGTATGTGCTGGGCGCGTACGTGGTGGTGCAGATGCTGGTGCTGCTGGGACAGGACGTGCTGGGCCCGCACTTTTTCCTGCGCGCCGCGTGGGTGCCAGAGCATGCAGCGGCGGGGTGGGAGTACCATCCTGCCGTCGGTGGGGTGGATGCCGAACAGGGAGGGGGTGCAGAGTACGGAGACTGCGCAATCTGTCTCGCCGAGATCGAGGATAGGGCCAAGCCGACCAGAAGGCCAAGTGGGGTTGCGACGAGTTGGTGGCCCTTTGGCAGGCGCGATGGTTCATATGGCTACGACCGTGTTGCCGAGGCGGAGGAGTTCGAGGTGGACGAAGAAGCGACGACGAGGCGGGACGAGGAGAAGCAGGAGAGTGGGTGGGCATGGATGGCGCGGTTCAAGCCCGATGTGGGTGCAGCGGGCGCACTGCGACGGCGCAGGATGGATGTCATGGTTGCGCCGTGCCAGCATGCGTTCCACACCGAATGCCTCGAGCGCTGGCTGACCATCAAGAACGAATGTCCGAGCTGCCGAAGCATGCTTCCACCTGTGTAGCGTGCGCCACTACTCATACAGATCAGTTTAATCATGGTGACATTGTTGGTGGGGTATCAAGGGCGTGCAGAGTAACAAGAGTGATGCTGTGCGTGCGTTAGGCAAGAGCAAACGAGACGCTCTTTCGTGTCTTCTTTTCAGTCTTCTTTGGGCTTGTTGTAGACTCTTTGGCGTCTGCGGCTCTTTGCTTTCGAGCGTCTTTTCTGGCTTTGGCCTTTTCGCGCTTGTTGGACTTGAGGGCGGCCTTGATTTCTGCCTTGGACTTTGCCTTTGCCTCGGTGGATTGTGTGGCTTGTTTGGCCTTTTTGCGTTCGACGAGCGACTGTTTCTTGAGCTGCTGCTCGCGTGCTTTTTGCTTTGTATGCTCGATGCGTTTCGAGAGCGTTTCGTCCTTGGCGTTTGTGATGGCCTGGCTGAGCTCTAGAAGGTGGGATATTCCGGCGTCTTCGGCGAACTTTTTGGACTGCTTCCCCGGACCTGGAGCGGGTGTCTTGGTGCGTGCAGGCTTGCCCGCCTTGTTGACCGCCATACTGTCCGATGCGAGGTAAGAGGATCAAGATGAAGGGGGAAGTCGAGAAGCAAAGGCGGGCGAAATTTTTGCGTGGGGGAAGCGGAAGTCGGGCGGAAGGAAAAGGCGAAAGAGTGGTGTGGAGGTGGGTGATCGATCTAACAGAGAAGAAAATTTGCGCTATCTCAATCATGCAGCTGTCACCGCTTGGCCAAAAAAACGACGCTCGGTTCGGGGATAAGCCCCGTCGCCATTTCGAGTCAAGTCGAATCGCGGCCCCAGGTTGGAGGTTGGAGCGGCTGGCCCAATGGACAAGCCCAGATGAATGTCGCGGGCGTCTTGGGTTGATTGTCGGAAGCGGATGCACCAAAGAGGCGAGGCTCTTGCGGTGTAAAGTGACTTGACCCAACCGCACGTCGAGGAAAGAAAGGCTAACGCACGCACGCAATCCAACGCAGAATTGCCAGCTGCATTCTGCTGCACTCGCCTCGCTGCCCCGCGTTGTGGCGGCGCGGCGGCGAGGCGGCGAGGCTGAGACGCTGCGAGGAGGCGGTGAAGTGAGACTGCGACCAACGGCGACGCGGGTGGGGCTGAGAAATTCGGCGAAATCACTTTTCTTTTTTGGTTTGGCCCCCACTCGCGCGTTGCGTTCTGCTGCTGTCGCAGTGGATTGCATGCGTGACCTCAGTTGGGTCGGTCGGTCGGTCATCCGCAGGAGTCGCGATGCTGTGCCGTGCTGAGCCGGTCAGCAGCTTCGCAAGAGAGAGAGAGAGAGAGCGGGAGAGAGAGAGAGAGAGAGAGAGGGGAAATCCACTTCATCTGCTGCCAGGCTATTCCGTCGACTCGACTCGCTCGGATCTCGCCCTCCGCCCTCTCCTCTGCTTCCTGTCAGGCGCATGCTCTTGCAGCTAGCTTGAGTAGCTCGCTTCCATTCGCCCCTCTTTCATCACCACACCCACCTTCACCAGCTTCGTCGTCGCCGTCGTCGTCGCTGTCGTCGCCATCTGTCCAATCGCTGCTGGCTCATGTCCATTTCATCTCGCCACGCGCTCGTTGGTCTCTGGCTCTGACGCAGCCCATCTCCCCCGCGCAGCATCGTCTCGCGACCCATGACGCCGGCTCCCACTTCCTCCACCTCCAACCATCCCAGCGCAGCCGCGACCGCAACCGCAACCGCTGCCGACTCCACCAATTCGCCCCATCGCACTCCCTTTTACGCTAGATTCGCAAGGCGTCCCAGGACCTCCAGCAGCGCCGTCAACCCTGCCTACGCAGCCAGCACCTCCAACCTCCTCTCGCCTCCCGCACGCGGAAACAGCTTCTCCGACCTGCTCAGAAGCTCCTCCTACTCCCAGGTCAACCTCCATTCGCCTGCCAACAACTCCACCTCATCCTCGCCGCACCGCGAATCCCCTTCGCGTCCGCCCCGACAAGCCACCTCGACACACATGGCAAGCACCAACTCCTCCCCCGCGCCGCCCGCAACCAGCGGCAGCGCCCTCGGTCGCATGTTCCGCCGATACTCCCAGGGCGGCGCTTCTCGCAACGACAACGCGCGTCCGTCCACACGCGATCGAGACTCGTTCAACGTACAACGCAACACCAGCTCGCCCGCACTCGACAGAGACTCCACCGGCAGCCCCATGCGCCCCCAGCCCCACCACATGCCCCGCTCCGGCTCCTACGCCACCAACATTCCGACACAACAATCCTCCGAAAACCTCATCACCATGCCTGGCTCGCGCACCTTGACCGCCATCCCCGCCGCATCAGCTGCCCCGGCTAGCTCGCCCGTCGCCTCGCCCGCGCCCGCCGTTGCTGCAACCGCCGCACCAGCCCAACCCAATCGCACCTCCCAAGACGCGAATGTCGCCAGCCAAGCTGATGCACCACCAGCTCCTGTCGAAGCCTCTTCTGCTGCTGCCGCCAACCCTGCCGCTGCCTCCTCGGCTGCCCCGGCATCCGGCTCCGCCCGGCCCTTGAACGGCATGCATCGCATCCGCCTCGTCCCTCACCTCGAGGCCACACGCTCGCTCCACTTTGAGCCCATCGAACGCGACCTCAAGGAAGGCGCTGGCGTCGTCAAGGTCGGAAGATTCACTGACCGCCAGCCTTCGCAACGCGACAACTCGGCCGCTGCTGCTGCTGCTGCCGCCGCCGCCGCCTCGGCCACAGTCGGCGCCAACGGCGACCTCACAATCCCGGCAGGCACAGACTCGTCCCTCACCCCACAGCAGACTCGAGGACAGCCAGGCGCACGTGGAGGCGCCATCCCCATCAGCGGCACCAACGGCGGCGGCGGTCGCATCGACTCGTCGCGCATCGCCTTCAAGAGCAAGGTCGTCAGCCGAGGCCACGCAGAGTTCTGGTGCGAGCCCGGCGGAAAATTCTTCATCCGCGACACCAAGTCTTCCTCGGGCACCTTCCTCAACCACATCCGTCTCTCGGCGCCCAACACCGAGTCCAGGCCGTTTGCCATCAAGGACGGCGACATCGTACAGCTCGGCGTCGACTACCAGGGCGGCACCGAGGAGATCTACCGCTGCGTCAAGATGCGCGTAGAGCTCAACCGCGGATGGCAGCGCGAGGCAAACCAGTTCAACGTAAACGCCCTGCGCCAGCTGCGCGCGCTCCAGGGCTCGCCCCTCTCGCCGCCGACCGAAAAGGGTCAGCCGTCGTCGGCGTCGGCGCTGCTGCCCACCAACCGCCAGGGCGTCAGCGTGACCGACTGCTGCATCTGCCTCTTCTCCGTCACCGTGTGCCAGGCGCTCTTCATCGCTCCCTGCTCGCACGTCTTCCACTACAAGTGCATCAGGCCCTTGCTCAACCTCCACCATCCCGGCTTCTCCTGTCCGCTCTGCCGCACCTTTGCCGACCTGGATGCCGACGTGGAGGAGGACGAGGCGTGGCAGGAGGCGCTCATGCGGGAAGCAGCCGCTGCAGAGGCCAGACTCGCTCAGGGCAAGCTGCCAATCGAGGTAGGCACGCCTGCAGTCGAGCTCGATGCTCCCATCACCGCCGCCGCGCTTCCTTCGCATCCCGAAGCGCTTGGTGGCGACGCAGCCGTCACAGCCGGCGCTCCCCTCACCAACGCCACCGCCTCGAGGCTCACCGCCGTGGCGCTCGCCGAGGCGTCCAACTCGAATCCGCCTCTGCCCAGGGCCACCGTGGCGCCAAGCAGGCGTAAGAACGACTGGGCTCGCCCGGACACTGCTGTCGGATCAAGCGCCGGGCCGCTCGGAGGAGACGAGACTCTCGCCGTCGCCGAATCGGCAGATGCAGCGCGAATGCCAGCCAGCGTCTCGCGCATTTCGGCCGAGCTCGGCGAGATGGCAGTGGCTGACCGGCTGTTGGACGAAAACACCTCGGTGCCCGCCGCAACGCTTCCGACTCTGTTGGGTGCCCATGTTCCCCGCACCAGTTTGGGAGCCGGCGATGGCGGCTCGCCCGCGCGCAGGACGTCGGGTCCCATTGTCATTGGGCAATCGCACCAGCAGCGCGCTGCTTCTGGCGGCCTAGCGGGAGGACAGCCGGCTCTGGACAGCCTCGAAGAGGGCTGGCCCAACGTCGGTTCGCTCGGCGGCTTTTCGCCCGGTCTGGAGGAGTCGGGCACGCCGCTCAACCACACCTTTTTGAGTACGTTAGCAGAGGCGCCGCACGTCGCGCCGACCTCGTCTGCGCCGCGGGATTTTCCGCCAGGCCGATCGGCACCGGCCCCGAAACTAGTGCCGGCCGCCGCCTCGGTGGGGACGAGTCGAGTGCGCCCCGCTGAGCACGAGGCGAGGGAAGCTAGGGAAGCTCGGGAGGCGAGCGGTGGCGAGGCTGGCGCTCGCACCAAGCGCTCAAGCGACGGAGACGACGTCGACACGGCGGAAGAGGAAGCGGGCGGGATGGGCAACGGTGCTTCGCCCGAACATCTGGCCGGAGGCGATGCACCCAAGGGCAAAACGAGGATGGGCAACGACACGTCGCCGAGCCGCGGCGGCGCGTACGATGCCATGTTGTCTGGAGACGCCTTGGGCAAGCATGCGGCGCACGATGCGCTTGCCTCGAACTCGCCGCCGGCCAAGTCGGCGAGCGCGAGGCGACGCAGCCGCAGCCGCAGCCGCGCTGGACGCGAAGCGGGGCCGAGCGACTCGGACGAGCAGGAGGCCGCGCCGTTCCAGTCGTACGACCTGCCGCGCACGCCACGCACCGGTCCCAACCTCAATGCGAGCGCGTACATGTCGCATCAGCTGCACCATGGTCATGGCCACGGCCAGCCTGCGGTGCAGGGCGCCAGGCAGCCGGGCGACCGCAGCCAGAATGCCGACGGCGGCTCCGCACCCACGTCGCCCTCGACCGAAGGCAAGATGGCGCGCTTCAAGAGGAGGATCTCGCATGCTATCTAGGCTGCAACATCCACATTCCGGCTGACAGGAATTGCAGCAGTCTTTTCGGTTTCTTCAGTTCCTCGTGATCGCGGCGAGTGTGCGATAGCGCAGAGAGAGAGAGATGAGGTGTGACTAGGACGAGTCGAATCCTGCGTGACAGGCCGAGTGTGTGGAGGTCGGCAGCGCGATTCACATTACAGGCCGCGCGGGTGGATGAGGCACAGCAGCACAGCACTTGGGCCGATGAGGCCAAGCGAGGATTGGGTGATTTCAGGGTCCAAGACGCGAGAGGGCTCAGCCGGCGCCGCCTCCATCACGCACGGCTCAGCCGCAATCACCTTCCTTGCTACTCAGCACCTTCCGTCCCTCCGAATCATCGACTTTGCCAATTGGGGTCCCTCTCGACAACAGATAGCGTCGTACTTCCTCTTGTACGCGAAGCCGCCTTGGATCCATTCTCGTTCACCACCTTCGATCTTCACGCACGCCACCTGCGTATGTCCCCAAGGATCCATCTCATCAAGGCAGTGCACTGAGCTTTGTAGCACGGTCTGCCAACTCATTTCCCCTTCGCCCGACCAGGATAGGACCGGAACGACCGCATGCATCATCATAGCCACTGCGCAAGTGCCGCTGGTCCAATCCTTGCGTCCCTCGGACCTTATCAACCATGAGGGTCGTACGTGCTCACGATGGGCGCTCGATCCTCGTCAACCAGCCGCTCTCGCACTTCGCATCGCTCGATGACTTGTTGGACTGTTTCTCCCTCGCCACAGAGATCCCTTCCGATGCCATCATCTGCATGGCCTCCGACGGCAGCCAGCTCAAGCAGGAACTCCTCGACCGCATCGTCCAGCAATCCGCCACGTCCACATCCGCTTCCTCGTCCACCGTCGCTGCGAGACCACATCCGAGCGCCTCCACCTCAAATCCTTCCACACCGGAAGCCCATCCGGAATCGCATACGCACGAGTTCTTCGTCTACAACCGCGACTTTCTCTACACGGACCCAACAGAGCTCGCCGCCGAGCTGGCCGAGCATGCCGTGCTCGACCCCGTGCCGCCCTTCCCTCAAGCAGAGATAGCCTTTCCTCCAACACCCAAGTCGCTCGAAGCCCTCGTTACATGGACGGCAGAGATCTCCACCCTCGTCGCCGATCATGAGCACACCTGTCGCGACCTGCTCAGCCGCATCACACTCATCGCACGCAGCCTCCAGGTGGCGCTCGCCAACCTCAGAGATCACGCCGACAACATCGAGAACGGCGCCAAGGCGCTCATCGACGACGTCGCACAGAAGGAGCTCACTCGCATGAACAGCCTCCTGCAGGGCTACGAGCGTGACCTGCGCATCCTCGGCATGGTCTCCATCCACCCGCGCCTCCAGTCCTCGGGCGCACAGATGGCCACCACCTCCGCCACCACCACAGCCTCGGGCTCGGCACAGAATGGCCAGTCCAACGGATCCGCCGCCGCTGCCAAGCCAAAGCACCGCACCCTCGGCGACTACATCAGCAAGTCAAAGATGAGTGCGGTCGCGGATGCCTGCCAGCGTGTCTTTACCGAGCTGCGCGAGCGCATCGAGAGGATCGACGTCGACCTCACACTCATTCGCAACGACACACAGGGCCTGTCAGACGAGGTAGAGGCCACCACGCCAGAAGTGGCCGACGAAACGTACCAGCGAGTCGCAGAAGCTTTGGCGCGAACGAGGGAGCTGCAAGCTTTCATCGAGTCCACATGCTCACCCGATGCACAGGGCTGGCCCGTCGCCGACAAGATCGACCGTGCCACGTTCGACCGCATCGTCAGCAGCGCCAACGAGCTCCTCCTTCTGAACGAGGTGGTGCGCGAAGCTGTTCAGCGCCTCACGCAGGATCGCAACGACATCCTCGAGCGCAGCCTCCACCTCCTCGTCGACATCTCGGGCATCCAGTCCGAGTTCACAGAGACTGGCTCCTTGCTCGCCGCAGTCGATGCCGATCTGCACTCCAACAAGCTCGACGGCTTCAAGCATCTGCATCGGCTCAAAAACATGCTCTGGGCGTACGGCGCCACCGTCGTCGAGGTCGTCAGGCGGCGCGAGTTTGCCAAGCACTTCCTCGGCAAGTCGCAGTCCCTCGCTGAGCTCATGGCCAAGCTCTCCGCGTCCGAGTGGAAGCGACGCCAGTTTTATCGTAACGACGTCTCGTCGCTTCTCCCGTGGGAGGTCAAGGGCATGGACGACAAACCGCCGAGCCTCGAGATCACCACGCCCCGCGTCAGCAACGAAGGCACCGCTGATCTCAGCCTGGCAGACCTCCAGGCTCTCTACGAGCTGCTCGACCAGGTAGATCTGCGGCTACGCGAAGAGGCTGAGGGTCAAGACGCAGCCGCGAGCCCGATTCCCGAGGTCAAGGCGGCATTGCAATCTCTGGCGGCCGCGCTGCAGGACCTCGACGACGAGTTTATTCATCTCGTCAACCTACAGCTGCTCAACAAGGAAGACGACGAAGACGGTTCCGACGACGATACCGACGAGAGCGGCTCCGACACGTCGATTCGCGCGCGCAAGCGTGAGCGTCGCCGCCAACGTCTCACTGCCTCGCTCGCGGCCGCTAACGACCAAGAGCTCGCCCAGCTGCGCCGCGAGCTGGCGGCCGTAAAAGCCGCCAAGGACGAGGCAGAGCGCGCGCTCAAGGCAGAGGGTGAAAGCCGCGCCTTAGGCCTCAAAGCCGAGATCGAGACGCTCAAGCGCCAGCTCGAGACGGGCAAGTCGGACGCGACCCAGCGCGAGGCAGAGAAGCGCGAGGCGCAGGATCGCATCGACACGCTCGTCGCCGACCTCGAGGTGGAGCGCGAGCGCAGGCTCAACATGGTCGACGAGGTCAACCAGCTGCGCCGCGATCTCGAGCAGAGCCACCGTTCCGAGGCCGAGGCGAAACAGGAGGCCATGGAGGATGCAGAGCGCGTCGCCGAACTCGAGGCACAGGCACACGAGCTGCACGTCGAGCTCGAAGAGGCCAAGGTCGCACGCATCGACGCGAGCAAGCGCATCGAGGCGCTGCTCAGCGAGGGATCGAGTGCCGAGGACGAGCTCCGCACCGCCCAGGCGCGCATCGACGAGCTGACGGAGCAGCTGTCGAATGCCCATGCGGAGGCAGCCAAGGCGCGCGAGACGACAGCAGAGATCGAGGCAGTCAAGGAGCGACAGATCCGTTCTTATCGCGCCGAGGCGGATGGCGACCGCGCCATCCTGGAGGAGAAGGTGCGTGCGCTCAAGGCGGATCTGGATGCCAAGGTGCAACTGCTCCAGCAGCAGACGGCGATCGCATCGCGCGCAGAGCAAAGCCGCATCCCGGATCGCGAGGCCATCGAGCTGCTCCGTGGACAGTTGCAGGCCGCCGACGTCGCGCACGAAGAGATCGTCAAAGAGATGGACCGCGCCAAGGAGATCGCCGACGAAGCCGAGGCGTCCCGCCGCGATGTCGAGGCTAGCCGCCAGCAGCTGCTCGAGCGGACGCGCGGGCTGCTCGCCAAGGTCAGCCAGCTGCGCAAGACGGTGCGTGCCATGCCGGTCCACTCGTCGTCCCGCCAAGCATCGTCGTCCAGCAACGCAGCTGTCGCTGCGGGCAACGGCGCCACGTCGAGCTCGGCGCCCGCAGGCTCCGCAGCTGCAGTGGCTCAGCGCGCCATCGCTGCGTCGACAGGCAGTCTTTCTGCATCCGACCTTTCAGAGTCGCAACGCCAGGCGGCGCTCGATGCATTCGAAGCCGAGGCGGAGGGCGCCAACTTTGAAACGACGCTCGATGCGCTGCGTGCGTTCGATGCGGTCGAGATGTACAACGAAGTCAAGGCGAAGCTCGACTCGCTCAACGTGCTGGTGCGCAAGTGGCAGAAGGCGTGGAAGTCGGCCAACGATAAGGTGACCAAGGCGAATGCGGCGGCCCGAGACAAGATCGCCTTCCGCAACTTCCAGTCGGGCGACTTGGCGCTGTTTTTGCCCACGAGGAATTCGAATCTGGCTGCCAAGCCGTGGGCTGCGTTCAACATCAGCTTCCCGCACTTCTTCCTCAACGCCAAGGGACCGCTGGCGGAGCAGCTGAGGACCAAGGAGTGGATCGTGGCGCGCATCACGACGATTACCGATTGCGTTGTGCCCGCGGCCCCGGATGCGGATGCGGATGCCAAGGAGGACGAGGCGGCGAATCCGTTCCGTCTGCCGGCAGGCGTGCGCTACTTTTTGCTGGATGTCGAGACGTACAGCGGGCACAGCTCGGCGCCACAGCTCAAGAGCAGAAAGAGCTCCTCGGCTGCGCTTGATTCTGAGTCCACGTCGGCCTTGCGCGGGTCCGACAAGCAAGCTGCTCCCGCGCACCCTAGGAGTCAGAGCGAAGGGACGCTGACCGGTCTTCAAAAGGTCTCGAACGAGAGCCAGACGGTTCCCACCGATGTCAAGGGTGACCCACCGACAGCAGCACCCACAAATGAAGCGGCTGTGGAGGCGCAAGATGCGCGTGGCGGCTCGGACGAAGATAAGGCAGGGCAGACGAGCGGCTTTTCGCTCAGGTCCGAGAAGTCCGAGAAACTCGATGTGCCCGACCAGCCGACGCCGCCGATGCAGACGCCGGACACGTCGCCGCACATTGGGTCGGCCAAGCTGCCAGATGCCGCAGCTTCCGCATCGGTAGCCGACTCGCGCACAGCTGCCACGTCGGCAGCGCCTGCATCCGCACTGACGCGGGCAATCAGAAGCACGTCACCCGCTGCGTCGATGAAGACGGGACGGTGGCGTGCGGGCTCGTCGGCCTCGGCGAGTGGGTCGCCCTGGGCGGCACGCGGGATCATGGGCATCGCTGAGGAGGCCGATGCGCGGAACGAAAGGGACGGCGACGCTTCGAGTGCAACAGGGTCGACGAGCCACCGGACGGCGCTGATCGAGCACGCTACGCTCGCACCTGCATTTGGTCGGCCGAACAAGCACCGTGAAGGAGGGTCGCGCGGACGTATTGCCTCTCCATCTAGTACTGAAGGCGGGATGGAGGGGCGCGGGGTGACGTCGGCGCCTGCGTCGCAGACTCGGTCGGAGGGGATCGCGATCCGCGTGTCGCGTCCGCTGCGCTCCGAGTTAGTAGACACGGCCGTGTCGAATCCCTTCTCGCAGTCGCCGGGGCCGGCGTCGCTGCCTGCGGGTCGGGAGGGCTTGGGAACGCTCGGCCGCAGTGCGCAGCGCAAGTCGAGTCTGAACATCGCCACGACGGCTGCTACGGCGGCGCCTAGCGTTCAGCGGTGGCCGGGTGGGAGCGACGGCGTGGTGAAGCGCAGTGCGTCGTCGGCGTCTACGGCGTCGAATGCCGGTGGCGGGATTAGGATCAATGGGCGCAGCATTCTGGTGGATACGCTGTCGATGGGGCGGCATCAGCGGCAGACGTCGGCGTCGTCCGCGGCGGTGGCTGCGACCTCGGCGGTGACGGCGCATGCGGTGCCGGGAGCATTCCCGTCGTCGTTTTCGTCGTCTGGCTCGCTGGCTGAACCGGCGTCGCCGCAGCTGGGCGCGCCGGCGCTGCCAGCAGCGGAGGATGCAGCTGCGTCGCCGCGAAAGCCGAGCCGGTCGTTTTTCAGCCAGACGCTCGGGCGGTTGAGTGGCGTGGCGGCGCAGACGGTGGGTCCGCCGTTTGCGCCCGCGGGCGATACAGCCCGGGAGGCGAGGAAGCAGCCGCGGCCGTCGCTGTTTGCGGCGGTGGCGCCGTTTGATGAGCAGCAGCCGCAGCAGCCGCAGCAGCCACAGGGGGCCGAGGGCGGCGCGTCGGGTTTTTCCAATGCGTCCGCCTCGAGTGCCGAGGGTTTGCTCAAGCGGGTTAGTGCGTCCGCTCAGCGGTAGCTCAGCGGTAGCTCAATGGGGTGCGGTAGGAATGATGCAGCTGCGATGTGCAGATTGGTGTGGTTGAGGAGTGTAGTTGTTGAACAAAGGTTGGTGGCGTGGAGCTGTCAGCTGTGTAGAGCATCGAAGAGACAGGAGCGGTTTGTGGATTCAGCCACTTGGGTCCGGGGCGAGGGCTCAAAGACACGGGGGAGGGGTGCAAGCAGAGGATGCTTGTGGTTGCAGTTGTGATGTGATGGGAGTAGCTTGGGTCTCGAGCATCGTTGGGCGTATCAGAGTCGCACCAGCAGCGATGGTAGCTCGCAGTCGAGCGGTTTGTCGATTGTGCTCTAATGAAACCGGCGCGAATGGTCAAAGGCGTTGGCGAGGTGCGGCAAGTGCAGGCAACTCGTCGCATTGGTGATGTGCACTTCCTTGGCGTGATTGAGGCGTGCGGTCGTTGAACAAAGGTTCGGTGGCGTGCACGTTGCAGCTCTGTGGGGCGTAGTAGAGACGCCTCGAGTAACGTTGGTAGCTCACAGGCAAGCGAATTGTTGATACAGCCGGCTGAATCCGACGAGCTCTGATCAGTGCAGGCATCTGGTTGCATTTGTCATGTTGAACTCGCTGGCGTGATAGAGGCGTTGAGTTGTGGAACCAAAGTCGGGGCGTGAGTCTCTGAGCTCGATCAAGGTGTACTAGAGAACGCTCGAGCAATGTTGGTGTCAAACCTCTCAAGCTCTGTGGAGCCGACGCAATAGCAACGCTGATAGCTCACAGACGAGCCGTCTGTCAAGGACTCGATTTAGCGGCGAGGTGCAACCGGTGAATGCTTCTCGTCGCATTGGTCATGTGCACTTGGTTGGCGTGTTGGGTGCAGTTGGAGTGCAGTCGTGATGCGAGGGTCAGTGGCGTGGACTTCTCAGCTCCATCAAGGGTGTACTGGGGACGCACCAGCGACGTTGCTAGCTCACAGTTGATCCGTCTGTCGATACATGCCTCGGACCCAGTGTCGGGAATTGGAAGCATCGGCAATGTGCAACCAGTAGAGTTGTTCCGTCGCAACCTGTTGCCACTGACGCCAAAGCCGTGCCGCATGCCCGTTGTGGCGGCGACCTCAGCGTTGGTGCTCGCAGCACTGTTCAATGGCGAGGTGTGGACGTTGCAAGCGACGATGCGCGAATCGTCACGTCGACGCAGCTTTCCACCATGGCGAGAATTGGGTCCTCGGCGTGGATCCCCGCAATGGGCACGCCAAGACCTCTTTCAAGTGCGGCAGGCGCGCGCGCTCGTGTCTGCAAGCAATTGCTCAGATGGTCATTTGAGGCTGCCAATGCTCAACAGGTCTTGGATCGCCATTCCGTCGGGCCATGACCTCAATAGCTGATACCTGCTGCGCATCGCCGTAGGAAAGCTCGCTCTGCTGTGGCTCTTTGTAGCAATCGAGATACAATGGTCAGTAGCAGTGAACGTGGTGCGGCCCTGACTGGGCTCTGGTGCGAGAGGCGGGTTGCGGGCGAGGTGAGCGGGGTTCCAGCAGCAGCGGCACACACGGGTTGGTGCTGCGCCAAAGATGCTCTCTGGGCGGTATGCTGGCTATTGCGCCTGTGGAATGATGCTATAGCGAGGGGCTGGATTGCGAGCACGGAACCGAGGAAACCTAATGTACAAAAAGAGCGATGATCAAAGCTAGACAGCGAGGGCGACCTGGTCGCTGAGGGTCTGCACCTGTTTATGCAGCGCAGTGTAGTCCTCGATGTAGTCCTCCTTGGGCTTTGTTGCGTCCTTACCCTTTGCGGCCGCCTTCTTTCCTCCACCGGGGACGATCATGACGCAGCTGGTTGGACGCTTGGTCGCGCTGGCCGAACCGAGCGCCTCCTTGGAACGCACAAAGATGTACGGGTTCGAAGTATCCTCGCACAGCACTGGGATATGGCTGAGAATGTCGATCGGGCTAATGTCACCCGCAAGAACGACGAGACCCTTCTCGCCCTTGCGAAGCGCTTTGACCACTTCCTTGACACCGCGCTTGACGTGACCGCGCGACTTGGACGCCTTCTTGGTGAGCTTGAACAGCTTCTTGGCCACCTTGGGCTGAGCCAGCGGCTGTGCAATCGGCGAAATCTCGAGCGTATCCTCGCTCGAAGAGTCATCAGAGTCATCGCCGTCGTCGTGCTTGGGCTTCTTGTCCTTCTTGGACTTTTTCGAGGGCGTAGCGGAGAGATCGACGGAAGCGTCGACGTCCATGGCAGCCACTTCGGACTTGCGCTTCGACTTCTTCTCCTTCTTTGCCTCGTCCTTGGCCATTGTGGATGTAGCGACGGTGGGGGAGGGATGCGGGTAGGTGGGTGGTGGTGGATTGGTGGAGGTTGGGATGGTGATCACGAGGTTCCGCAGAAGAAGAAGAAAAGTCGACAACCAAAAGCTGCAGAGAGGCACAGCTCAAATTTCGAGCGAGCGGCGGCGAAAAAGTCTTTTTAGCGCCCGCCCCACTCTGCCGAAATTTTTCATCAAGCCTTGATAGAGACTCGGCCTAACATTTATCAGATTTGCCGAAAATTGCTCAAGGCGCCTCCTCGATCACGAGACTTAAAAAAGTCTTTCTTCCGCTGTTTCTTGGATTTCGTGCTGCAGAGCCGCTTGCTGGCCGCAGTTTTTTTTTCTCTGCAGCCTTTCTTCGCGCCGCACTGCGCCCCGCTGGGAAGGGCAAAAAAGGACAAAGCCAGGCACGGCTCTCCCCGCTCCCTCCTGCTCCACCACCATCGCGCACCTCGTCGCGCCCGCAACATGGTCACCCATTCGCCCGCGGGTCGGCGCAAACATCCCTCGCCAGCACGCACCACTTGTAAGTTGGCACATACATACATCGGCGCAGAGGCGCGCAGCTTGGAAGGATTACAACTATACCACGCATGATGCCCGTGATTGCGTACACAATCAGAAATTTTTATACACGAATCAGATGATCAGCCAGCCGCCTCGGCGTCAGCTTTGCGCGAGAAAAGGAAAAAGACAACTGACGCTAGTCTTGTGCCTCTTCGTAGAAACGTGGTCCGTTACAACCTCTCGCCAAGGACACCCAAAACAATCTCACTGTGACAAGGTACGCAACCGTGGCCCGCTCCGATCGCACGCACCGCTGGCAGCTACATGCACGACGACAAGAGGATGCTATAGCATTTACAAACTAGAGTCTCGCGGTCTTGGTTCGCGTTAACTTGCATCAGCTTACTGATTCTCGTCGTGCGGTAGAGCTACGAGGTGCTTGGCGATCGAACCATTCAGCATGGTAGAACACCACAGCTGACGATCCCCATGCCTTGTCGGTCTGTAGGATCCCCACGAGTATGATGATGTCGACCTCGCCGATGTTGGCAGCGATTAGGGCTCTGGCAGCGCCGCGCTTGCCGATCCGCACAGCCCCTGCGCTGTCGCGATCGCTCGCTTCGGGCCCGCCTTCAAATCCCGCCCCGGCTCCCAAGCATATGGTAAGTTGGCATTCGACCTTCCTTTGAACCCACTTTCCCCCTCCATCACTTCCACCTTGGCGATGGTCGCAGCCTCGCTGTTGGCCATTGCTTTGGCGCCGGTGCACGTGGCGCGGTTGAGCCTCGGCTCGACCTGCGTCCCTAGCACAGTATCGTCTGATTGGGAGCGACATCCTTGATTGGAGGCCGCGAGCCTGCCTTTGCGGGCGGGCGAGCGGACGTGTAAACAACGCGACAACCCTGGCGGCGGCTGCCTAGATCCATGTGCCCTCGTCACCTCTTCGCCTGTGTGTGCACGCCCTCGGCGCGGCCGGGTTTTGCGACTCGGTCGAGCCCGTCGAGGGCGTGCGCCGGGATGAATGTACTTGGGCTGGCACCCTAATTTCATAGCACTTGGAGTCAGGCACTATGTGCCCATGCTCGTTTGAGGCTACAACCTAGGGTCCTGGCTACATTCCCTCGCACTTCTCTTCCTTTTTCCTTCGCGCTATTTGCGGTTTGAGATAGGATAAGAAGGCTGACACGGTTTTCCTGCGTGTCCAACAGATCAAGAGGATGCCTCAGGCTTCGGTGCGCGGCAGCTACATGTTCAAGCGCAATCGCAACGATCCTTACTATGTGGTGCCCGAGTTCATCATGATCCTCAAGCATTTCCAGCCCGACATGCGCGACAGCATGGGCAGGTTGGACGAGCGCAAGCTCGTGCCGTCGTGGCTGCCCGTGCCGCCCCACCCGGCTACGCACGAGCGTCGCTACCTCCGTGCGCCGTTCTACCCGCCCACGGCGCCGGCCGGGCGCAAGAATCGATTGGCGTTTCAAAATGCCGAGGCTGCGTGGACGGGACCTTACGATGCCAGCCCCGGTGACAGTGGCAAGTGGGAGTCGGCGGCTGCGCCCATAGTGTCGGCCGAGATTCGACCGGTGCTGCGCGTGCTGGTCTCGTCGAGCGTGCGGCGCGTGCACAAGCTGGCGGTGATCCGCAACCGCGTGCGCACGCGCCTCACCGAGGCGATGCGCATCGCCGTCGCGCACATGGAGCAGCGCGGCACGGACATCGACAAGATGCTCAACCCGCGGCGCAACCTGCTGCTGGTCTTCGCCGGCGCGGCGGCGCACAGCAAGCCGATGGACGAGCTGGCGCAAGAGATGCGTGACGGGCTGCGATTCCTCGCCGCCGTCGCGGACGGAAGCATCGATGCCAAGGCGCAGCGCAAGCACATCAACATCAGCGCCGAGCGCAACCGTGCCGCCCAGCTGGCATTGTAAGCAAAGGTATGTACCCTCCGGGGATAAAGGGGGGAGCAGCGGCGAAGATTACTTCTGTATCATCCCTTCGGGGAGATGCTGGAAATTACCGTCCGACTTTGCTTCGTGAGGACAATTTTATGGCTGATTAATGAGCCCATTCGCTCCCCTCCCGCTGTCGTTGTTGATACTGGACGAGCCGAGAGCTGACCTTGCGTTCATGCTCTGCATTTCCAAACAGCCTCCCTCAAAGTCTACTATCCAGACTCGCCGACGATCAAGATGAAGAAGATGAAGCTCTCAAGGTATGTCACATTGGTTGCGACTGGCTGGGGAAAGGGGGTAAGATAGCATGATGAGTTTCAACCAAATCACGACGGTCTTCGTACACAACCATGGCGAATCCGCCCTGCCACTAAACCCATTTTTCAGGGCACCCGTACTGAATCCCATACCCCCAAGCCAAGCCAGCGCTGCCGGCGCCATCAATGGAAAGGACGAGGGCTGACTTTTGGGTTTCATTCGGCGTCTGATCAGATTTTATACCCCTGCAATGCAACGATACCCCGTTCTGCTTTCAGCCCAGATGTCTTTATTCGAGACCAGTTCGTGTGATTCCAGTGTGAGTGTGCGCGCCGGATGGGGACTAGAGGTTGGAGTGTGCAGGAGCATCTTTGGCGTCATTGGGGACGCTGATCAACCACGGCATAGTGAAGGCATTGAGTCTCCTGAACGGCCAGCCGAGTTTGCCGTTCATCTCCTTATGTCCCCACCTGTCCTCGAACCTGGTGACCCTATTATCGCCATCTCGTTCGATCACCACTGTGGACTTCATATCCTTGACGGTTCCCAGTCCTTTCACCTTGTACCTCTGCAGCTGGACGTATTCGACGATGCCAGGTTCTTGTCGGGTGAGTTTCCAGGCCTTGGTTTCGGAGAGGCTGAAGGCGGCGGGCATGCCGTACCACTGCGCCATGTACTGTTTGGCGCCCACGGCGTGGCAGATGGGATCGGCAAAGATCGCACCCGCACTCCAGCGCGCAAAGATCGCGGCGCTCGGTCGGGCGCCGAACAGATCCATGCTATCGCGGATGATCTGTGCGGTTTCGGGCGTGGGCTCGATCAGAGGCGATGAGGCAAAGCCCTCGAATTCGGCCGTCTGAGCCGGCAGCGATGCGGAGGCAGACATGGCGGCTGCAGGATGTCCGATACGAAAATGTCGTTGGGACGCAGGAATTCCTGGCTGTACGGGCGTGGCGAGTACGGCTCGAGGGATGAGCGCCGATGAGAACAGAGCCGGCGTGAGCGCGAGAGTTGGACGCAGCGACGGTGCGGCGCGTGCAGGTGCGGCGGTGAGCGAGAGCGCAAGCAGAGAGAGAAGCGGGGCGAACACGGCAAGTGAGGAACGAGGCGACAGCGTGCTCCAAAGTCGCATCGTATGGCGGGGCGCAGATGGATGTAGTTGCTGAGCGAGATGCAGTGCAAGTATGGCTGGGTGAGGGGCAGATTGATATAGGGCAGCACGCGCATGAAGGCATGAGTGTGCCTCCACACGTCGAGGGCTGGAAAGGCGCCGCCTCTCACGTCAGCCTATGCGACAGCGGTGACGCCGTTCCGCGGAGATTTTTTCCCGAACGTTGTTACATCGATGCGACAGACAAATTCGGACCAAAAAAGGCGACTCTCGTGCGGCTGGAAGGAGTGCATCCTGCGGCCGATTTGACTTTTTTGCATAGCGCCTTTCATCCCGTAACTCCACCCTATCCTGCTCCTCCTCCATCATCCCCCATCTCTGTACCGCTGCGACCATGGCATCGGCACGCACACTCTCACGCAGCCTGTTGCGCACACGCGCATTCTCATCCTCCGCCCCCACGTCCTCGTCATCATCATGGACGCCCGTCCTCAAGCCGGGCACCCTCCCCGCGTACGATGAGGCGCTCTCGTTCCTCTCTTCGCACGCCGACACGGTGCGCTCCAAGGCTTCGGCGCTCGACACGACGCACGCTAGCCTCTCCGCCGAAGACAAAGCGGCGCTCAAGGAGTCGCTCGAGGTAGCGGCGCGCATCAACGACCCTGCGACGCTGGCGCGCTTTGCGGCGTCGCAGCCGACGACGTACGATGCGGCGGATCCGGTGCTGCGCTACCTGCGCGAGCGCGTGTGGCGCAACGACTCGGGCGTCCTCGCCAAGCTCATGCAGCGCTGTACGCTCATGCATGTCTTCCCGGACGTGCTTCCCGGCATCACACCCACCGCGGACGTGCAGGTTGCCTTTGGAACGGGCGCTGGATTTACCGACCACACGGCCCAAGGTGGAGATGTGTTGGCGGGAGTTTTCGTCCCCGTGCAAAAGACGGTTCAGCCTCCGACAGTGGCGGTGAACGTGTTCCATACCGAGAAGAAGTTGTATACCGTCGCACTGGTGGATCCAGACCAGCCGCACGAGGAGAACCAGTCCTTCACCACACGCCTGCTCGCACTCAAGACCAACATCGAGCTGTCCGCTGCAGAGTGCAGCGTGGATATGACGAGCGATATGGTGGCCGAGTACATCCCACCGCATCCGCAGCAGGGAACCAAGTACCGCCGCTACACCACCGTGCTCCTCGAACAATCCGACCGCATCACCGTCGATGCAGCACCGAGGGACGCATTTGATCTGCGCGCCTTTGCCCAGGCGAATCGGTTGACCCCAGCCGGGATCCACTTCTGGCGCGCCAAGTGGTCCGAGGCAGACGCAGAGACCGTCTCGATGATCTACAAGCAGATCCTGAGTAAGTTTGGCATCCCGATCAGCGAGCGCAGCCAAGAAAGTGGGACTGACAAAACTCTTGTGCCGTGCGCAATACAGAACAAGACCAACCGCGATACACACGTCCACCTACGCTCGACAAGGTGCGCAAGCAGATCGGCGATATCGGCTCCAAGTGGTTCTGATCCGCTCTCCCTACGCACGCCCTGGAATGAGAACACCACGATTTCTAACCACGCTCCTTGGCACACACGATCGCGAGCAGAGCGACATGAGCATGCATGAAATTGAGGCAAAGGCAAAGATTGATGGGAGAGTAGGATCTAGGTCCAGAGGCCGTACTTCTTCGACGGCCAGGTCTGCCACAGCCTGATGGTCCCATCTTCCGAGCCGCTGGCAGCAAGTTCGCCGTCGGGGCTGTAGCTGACTGCATGAGCAGGTCCATGGTGGCCCTTGTGTAGTTCGCGCTCCTGGGCCGTCTCGTAGTCAAAGATGCGCACCCAACCATCAGCGCTGCTTCCGGCGACGAAGCGGTCTGCCAGCGTCGGGTGGAGCGATGCGCTCGAAACAGGCACCGCGAGCGTGTGCTTCTTGCGCACCGCACGCGTGGCGGCATCGATAAAGTACACATCCTTCCCACTCGTCACCGTCAAAAGCTCGCCTGCGCTACCCGCACTGCGCTCCATGGACGAAATGGGTTCGGCGAAGGTCATCTCGTACGCGCACTGCAGCGTGCGCGTGTCCCACCAACGCATCACCTTATCCTCCCCCGCCGAAACCACCACGTCCTCCGCACCACCGCGGTGCCAAACACTGCTCTTGATCACGCCCTCGTGCGCAATCGGCTTGTCGGCCGACGCCCCGCGCATCACAAATTCGTCCGCAACGGCATCCGGCCGTTGCAGATCAAACAGCCTCAGCTTCTTTTCGTGCCCCGCCGTAACCACGCGCGTGCCCGGCGCATTGATCGCCACGGTGCGCACAATGTGGTTGTGCGGAAACGTGTGCAGACAGTCGCCCGTGAACGTGTCCCACACCTTGGCCGAAAAGTCGGCCGAGCCCGTAACCGCCACCGAAGCGTCACCACCCGATAGCTTGCCGCACCATACGGCACCTTTGTGGCCCAGGAATGTGCCTACCCAGTCGCCGAGCCAGTCGCGCAGCATGGGGTTGCCGTCCTTGCACGACGACAAGAGCGAGTACGTGCCGTCATCCTGCAGCTCCGAGAACTCCAGGTGCACCACCGGCCGCGTGTGGCCCGAACATGTGAGTGGCACCGACTGTCGAAGGGAGAAAGCGAGGCGTCAGTCTGCACTGTCGGGAAAGCTGCGATCAGAGCGAGGTGGGACTTACTTTTTGGACGGGTGTGGAAGTCATGCTGAGGTAGTGTGTGAGGGACGACTGCGAGAGTGCGACGATGCTGTGGCTGTGCGATGCTGAATTTGAAGAAGAAGCTGATGGTCCTTCCGTATTGTTCGTGTGCCAATGCTAGGTGGTGCAGCAGCAAGGCTGAAGCGAATAGCTGCCGTGTCGGTTGCTCAACGTTGGAGCTGCGGTGTAGCGTGCGCGCGAGTGGTCGTGACCGAACGTGGGTATATCGCGAAGCGCGTCGATGGAATAGGGAGGCCGAGCACAAATGGCTCTAGGTGTAGGTGTGCACGACTATGCTTAGGCAAGCTGCCGTCGCCAAGGGGCTGTGATCACTGATGTAGAGGCGGCGCCGATGGTTTTGTCACTGCAGGAACGTGCTGCTGTAGCTGGCGCAAGCGTGTGCGTGGTCGTTGGGTAGACGGCAAAGCCGGGGTGGTGTTTGCTCTGCGCGATCAGCCGTGTATCGATGTCGTTGCGAAGATTTGGATCCAGAGGTGTGCTCAAGTCGAGCGAAGTAACAATGCGCGTGATGGTGGTGATCTGCGAAAACGGAGCCGGTGACGCGGCAGAGAGCCCCAGATGCGAAGCGAATGAGATGGACGAGGTCCGGCAAAGAAGGAAAGGCAGAGCTGCGAATCGCAGTGTTGGTTTGTTGGAGAGAGACACGCGAGTGGGCTGCATCCTCCAACTCACCGCTGCCCTTCTTGCCACACCGAACGAAAGAGAGTTGGCCGAAGCGTCGCTTTGATTCGGTGCCTCGGCGGACCTCTTTCGACCTTACACCCCTCGGCTGCGCGCGACCATGCCAGCCGAAGAAAAATGCAAAAACATCCCGCCATCTTTCTTTCCACAGCCCCCCACACGCCCCGATGAGCACTTGCCCGATCCAGCTTCAACCAGCTTCAACCACGCATCGTTCTCACAACCTCGCCTCCTCAGTGGTTCCTCACGTCTGTTCCCTCGACAGCTGGCTGATGCGATGCTTCAATTACCCATATGCAAGGAACGCGAGCGTGTCGCAGATGGGCGCTATGCTGTCGGCCTCTCCCACTGCGTCTTTCGCGTGGGCTTGTGCACGTAGTAGGTGCTGCCGAGGTTGCGCGACTGCCTCGCCTCCCAATCGGGCGGCAGAGGTGGCTCGTCCGACTCGGCCTGCGATGCTGCGCCCATGCTCTCCGCCAACTGAGCCGCCAGCGTGGCCTGAGAAGACATTGCTTGGGTCGTCGCATCCGTGCCAACGTCGTTTCCAGCCCCCACATCCCCGGGAGCTGCTGTCGCCAACGCGGCAGCAGCAGCCTCGATACTCTTGCGGGCCTTCTTGGCGGGTGTCTTGGCGGGCGACGAGGTCCTGGACGCATTCGCCTCGTCGTCCGACTCATCGGGCTCACCGGAAAGCAACTTTTGCACGTTTTCCCGCGCCAGGGTCAGCGCACCCTTGAGGCTGAGCGTGCGGTTGTACGTCAGCACGCTTCCGCGCATCGCCTTGACGCAGCCGCTCAGCAGACCCGCCAGGCTGAGCCGCGCACGCAGCTCCAGCTGCGTATCCTCGTCCGCCGCCTCCTTGCGGTCCCTCGGCCGCAGCTCCATCTGCTCCTTGACGCGCGGTCCGTCCGAGTGCATCCCCAGCGACGGATACAGCCGTCCCGCCACGTGGCCGATGCTCAGCGTCGTCTCGCGCGGGATCCTCGACTGCAGCCGCTCGCTCAGCGACACCATCACAAACCCGGGCGGCAGCGGCGGCATGGGCGGGAAGCCAGGTCGGCCACTCAGGATGCTCGGCTTGGGCATGCGCGCTTCCAGCAGCTTGGCCTCCTCCTGTCGCATCGCCTCGTCCAGCGCCTCGTTCGCAAGCACCTCCTCCTTGCTCGCCGCCATGGCATCCTGCAGCTGCTTCAGCTTGGTCGTCGACAGGATCTCGTACATCTCGCCCGCCACACGCTGCACCTTGGGCGCACGCGGATCCTCGTAGATCTGCGACAGCTGCAGCACGTACGACCCATCCTCGTCCAGCACGATCGCCTTGGGTTCCGGCGCACCCGGCAGCTTGTCCGCCACCAGCACCGAGTTGAGCTCCCGCTGCAGCTTATGCACGTCGTTCGCACTCAGCTTGAGCCGCACCACATCGCCCACCCAGATGCGCTCCGTTCCGAGATACAGGCCCTGGTAGAAGCGCGGCCCCTGCGGCAGCCCTTGGCTGTCGCCGCCTACATCGCTCGCATCCATGTCGCGCAGCATCCCCTCGGGCGTAGGCGCCGCAGAGAAGGCATCGGAAAGACTGTACAGGCTGCGCAGCAACCCCACCGTCGTGATTGCGTATCCGAACGCGAGCAACGCCGTGACGAACGGGGTGGTCGGCAGGTGCGGCTGCCGCGCCAGGTTGGTCGTCGGCCATGCGTCCGCTTCGTACACCCATGGGTGGTCTGCTGGTGTGCCCATGTCGCATTCGACCAGCCGCGGCGGGATGAAGCCCGCCAGATAGGGCGACAGCGAGCTTGCCGGCACCTTGGCCTTTTCGGTTGTGCCCAAAAAGTTGATTTGATACGAGATCTTCTGCTCCACCGACCCGCCCAGCACGGGAAGCGATTCCTCGGCCTGGCTCGGCGCCGACACCGCCCGCAGGCTAGGGTTCTTGTCGTCGTCGTCGCCGTTGGTCAGCGCAATGGTAAAGTCGATCGAAGGATCCTGCACCACGGCCGGCCACGAGACGATCTTGCGTTCCGGATCGGTAGGGTCGACGAAGGGTTCGTCGAGCTCGCACCACACCACCTCGCCGAGGCGGAAGCGCTCCTGCTCGCCGCGCTGATACTCGTGCATCACCTCCTGGTCGCGCTGCGGCACCGAAGCAATGCCGTCGCCAGGCACGAGCCGACGCATCTCAACGGCGCGCACCGTGATCGAGGTCTTGTTGGGCAAGTCCATGCCTTCCTTTGGTTTCCTGCCGCGGCGACCCGCTACGGCGGCGGTCGAAGCACTCATTACATCCGCCTTGCGCTTGCCCACTGGCGTCGTTACAGGCCGCGGTGTCTTGTCGCAGTACTTGCAGTGGCAGTTGGCTTTATCCATTGTGGGATCGAGCACCAGCCAGATCAGGTGTTCGCACGCCTCTTTGGTGGAGCGGAAGCGATGTGCTTGGCTTCCGAACAGGTACGGGTCGGTGCGTGGGCTGTGTCGTGGTCCTTTGCGCTGCTCGGTGAACTGGTATCCTTCGGGAAAGTCGTAGAGCTTCCACTTGGCCTTGGATGGCGAGAGTTGCGGAAGCTTGAAGTGCTGCGCAAGCTGCTCGCCAAGCGCCGCACGCCAAGAGTCGTGCTTCCTTTCCTCGCGCTTAAAGACGTTGTAGTAGTTGACTTCAGCCTCGTTGGCAGCAGGCAGAGCGGTGTTGGGAGGGCCGTAAGAATCGTCGCCATCGCTGCGCGGAAAGTGGATGAAGCCATCGGGACGAAAGATCGTGGCGTCCTGAGCCACTTCCTCCGGCTGCAACATGGCGGGCAGAAATAGGTTGAGAAAGAGGTCCGAGCGGATAGCAACTGATGGTGCTGATGTGACGCGATGCTATGCGAGGGCCAAAGAGCTCCGTACTGCAGCTACAGGCACAAAAGCTGGTGCCAATGAGAGGCGGCCGCAGCTGCGCACGACACAAGTTCTGCGCCGAGCTGGTCCAAATGTATATGTAGCCGCTCAAGCGATTCAGGAGCAGAACATACTGTGCTGACGGCAACCCTTGCGGTTACAGTAGAGACGGTGTTGCGAAGAGGATGAGCAGGGTGGATGGAGGGTGAGAAGTAAGGTAGTCGCTTTACATGACGAGCTAATTTCAACTGAGCCGGCACCAAATGAGGCTCGAGCGAGAAGGACGTGTCGGCCGCACTTTCTGCATTTCCGCAGAATGCGCACATTTCCACGACTTCTTCTGCGCGTGTCGCGTCCAAAGCTTCTGGCTCAGGGTCACCTTGGACCCTCGGGCTCTCACCGCAACCGCAAATGCTTTCTTCTCGCGGCAGGTAGCTTTGGCCCTCGTGACCAGTATTTGCGCTTCAGACATGGATCGGAGTGCTAGAGAGAGTGCATGTGCATGGACGTACAGGATCAAGGGGAAGAAATGGAGGTGAATGCTGGGTATATCGGCGATGATGCACAGCACACCATCGTCTGTGCGGGCATGTACGCGCTAAAAGTCGGTGGCCTGCTGCTCCTGCTGAGCCCTCCGCAGAGCACGGGTCTCCTTGGCAATTGCATTGCAGTGCTTTTCAAACAGCTGCACGAACGGACGCAGGCTCGTCTTTTCCCAGTCCTGCTTGACGCTCCCGCTGGCCGCCTCGTCGTTCTTGTAGTTGCTCTTGGCGGGCTGGTGGTCGTCCTTGTGCGCGGCCTCGTACGAGTTGAGCTGGCGCAGCAGCTGCGCCACCGTCGGGCAGTCGGTATCCGGGTCGAACTCGAACACCTTGGATGGCTCGAGCGGCACACAAACCTTGCCCGTGGCAGGATGCACGACAAAGGGCGACTTGAGCAGATGGTTGAGGTGCTTGGATACCTCTGCGTCGATACGAGGGTAGGTGTACTGGAGGATGATGTCTTCCAGACAGGGTCGCCAGAGACGCTGGCTCTTGTACTCACCCGCACGCTGCGCACACTCCATGACGTCCTGCCACTTTTCCAGACTGGATCGGCTCGATGCGCGCTCCCACTTGGAGCGCAGCTTTTCGATCGCCTCGGCCTCGCTGGAAGGAAGCAGCTGAAGAAGCACCGCCCACTGCTCTGGTGTGCGGAAGCAGTCCTGGTCCTTGAGCACCGTGTCGACGAAGGCGAGCTTGAGTGGGCCACTCTCGCTGCCCTCTCCGCCGATGGCGCGTCGCAAGCTCGGATGCAAGCTCCTGCCGCCCGCACTGCCCATCCAGCCTGCATCGACCTTTTTCACCTGGCTGGCACCGCCCTTGATGACCTCGAGCCATCCGACGATGGCCTTGCGCGCGTCGTCGGCGAGGTCAAACGCTTCGCGGTCCGAGATCCACACGTGGATACCACGACGACCCGAGTAGACCCAGAGCAGATGCTTGAAGCCAAAGTCCTCGCGCAGCGCCTGGTCGAGCACCTGCACCGCGACGGCGATAAACGCCCAGCAACGCTTGCAGATGCCCTTGCCCGAACAGCATGTGCGCACCTCGTCGTAGTCGGTCATGTCGATATCGAAGACCAGCTCGCGCTGCACGGGCTTGAACGACGCCTTCTGCACTGTCTTGCGGTCCTTGGGCTTGGCCGTGTACACGGGCCCGATCTCGAACCGCGCCGGGTTTAGGCGACACACCTCTTTCTTGAGCTCGTCGGCGGAGGAAAACGAATTGTAACGCAGATAGGCCTCGTTCTGAAGCGTAAAGGCAAACTCGCGGTGCGTAAAGCACTTGGTGGCCGGCATGTGCGCCAGGTCGTGGTTGAGCCAGGAGAAGAGCTGCTTCCACGGGAAGAGGCGGCGGTAGAAACTGAGCATCGACATGGGATCGGACGAGTCGCGCACCTCGATGGCGCGCTCGTCAATGGCACTGAAGGCGTTGTCGGGAAGGTCGTCCTCGTCCAGGTCCATGTCGGGAGGAGGTGGGCGCACGGCGGGAAGCGCCGACGAGGACGCCATGACTGCGGCGGAGGCCATTGCGAGCGTGTGTAGAAGTGAGTGACTGAGATTGTCAGACTCTTGTTCCAGTAAGATGTCTCGAGAAGAGGGAAGCGGGTGAGGTAGCGGGTGGTGGTGGTACTTTTGCTTGCTTGGTCGAGTTGGAGAGGAAGTGTTGGTTGGGCCCACAGTCGCGTCACGCCCAGCAAGGCCGCCAAATTTAGCTTCGGCTCAGCTGCACTCTTCTTGTTGGACGTGTCGTTCGCGCAAAGCGCAGTCGAGTAAAGTGGCGCGCCAGGAAGAGGCGTTCGTGAGACGCGTCCATCGAATGCCAGATCGGGTTGGGAGGGGCCGATGTGAGCAGGGGCCACTTGCTCTCTCCCTCTCCCCCACGCCCTCTCGGCTGCAGCCAAATTGGATGGCTGCATCGGCCAATTGTCCGGCGACGCGCTGAACCGGCTCCTCCTTCTCCACTCCACCACCAACACCCTAGCAGCGAGGCGCTTTAGCACGATGGTGCCCTACAACAGTGCTCGCACCAAGGTGCAGCTCAAGCTCACCATCCAGCGATGCAAGATGCTCCAGGAGAAGAAGGTGAGTCACACGAACCACGCCGAAGCATTTACTGTCTCCGATGTTGCTGACCTTGGATCCCGCTCAATGCTGTCAGGAGGCGATGGCGAAACAAGCGCGGCGAGACATCTCGGCACTCGTTGAGAAGGGCAAGCTCGAAACTGCACGCATCAAAACGGAAGGCATCATCTCGGAAGACATCCACCTCGAGCTTCTCGAGCTCATGGAGCTCTATGCCGAGACGCTGCTCGCTCGGTTTGCGCTGCTCGACCTCCCCACGCGCGAGCCGGACATCAGCATCCTCCCTTCCCTCGCCGCCGTCATTCACGCTGCACCACGCACCGAGCTCAAAGAGCTGCATGTGCTGCGTGAGATGCTCATGGCCAAGTTCGGCCGCGAATTCGCACAGGACGTTATGGATAACACCGACTCGTGCGTGCCCGAGCGCGTCTTGTCGAAACTCCTCGTCGACACGCCCGATCCCAAGTTGGTCGACTTGTACATCTTTGAGATCTGCAAGGCGTACGATGTCGCCTTCTCCTCCCCGCACTTGCCCGAAACCAAGATCGACGAACCAGCAGAAGAGCCCGCGTCGGGCGACAACGAGGTCTCCACCGACTCCAATGGCACCGATGACAAGTCCAAGTCCGAAAAGACAGCTGCCACAACGAGCGCTGACAAGGCTGCATCCACCTCCGCAACAGAGGACGAAAAGAAACCAGCAGCACCACAATCGCCGGCAGCATCACGCAAAAAGTCGGAAAAGGAAGAGTACGACTCGCTAGAAGCCCGCTTCGCCGCACTCAAACGGCGTTGAAGCTCGACTGCAATGCACATCCTAGATTTCACACGTGGTGATGGCGCTTTAAGATGCGGTGGCTGCACTGGGGCAGCTGGGTATATTGGATTGTGAACAAGTGTGTGAGATGGTGCCTACTGTGCGGTTTGCGCTTGCGACTGTCGAGCGGCATCGCGCAACCTCTGCAGCGTCTGTGCCTCGTAGGCTTTGGAGTAGACCCCTGCGCGAGAGGCGAAAGGTGGCGCATCCGACGGCTCCGACGCTGTTGGCGCGTCACTTTCTGTTCTTGCAGCATTTGAAGCGGTCGGGCGAACGCGACCGACATCCCTCGGCCGCGAGATACCGTGGTCCTTGTACCAGCGGACGCGCTTTGGCTCGACGTACACCTTCTCCTTCGCTTCCGACTCGGCGCCTCGCTGCACCTTGGTATAGTTCGCCCAGCCGATGAAGCATTCCTGGAGCAGACCGGTGCAACGCATCTCTCCGCCGGTTTCTACCGCCTGCCACGCGTCGCGCAGCGTCTTGAACGTGGCGAGCGCCATCAGCTCGCGCTTGAGCTTCTTGCCTGCCGACGGAAGCTGGAACTGCAGATGCTCCAGCGCTCCAAACTGGTTCGCCAATGCATTGGCCAGCGGCGACGACAGCGGCACCTCCGGCGGTACGATGGATCCTGCGGGCGTTCCAGCCAGATGCGAGAGCTGGGTTGCGGGGAACTGGATGCGTACGGTCTTGTCGAGCGCATGCAGCTCCGGCTCACGCTCTGTCTTGACGAGCTCTTCGTCCTTGCGTCGCTTCTCGGCGGATGCCTCGTGCTTCTGCCGCGCCTTGGCGTCGATCTCGTCCTGCTTCCGCTTGACCAGCCGGCGCGACTCGGCCTGGAGCTCCATGATCTTTGCCGCCCGCTCCCGTGCTGCCTTGTCGGCATCTTGCCGATTGCGCAACGCTTCTGCCTCGCTGCGTTCCAGCTCGTCGGCCATCTGGCGTCGTCGGCCTTCGTACTCTTGCTGCCGCTCGCGCTTCGCGGCGTCTTGTGCGTTGCGCTGCACCGCACGTGCGCGCGCGACCGGGTCCATGAGCGTCTCGTACGCCAGGTTGATCTCGTGGAACCGCGCTGCAGCTTTCGCAGGGTCGACATCTTTGCCTGCCTTGTCCGGGTGATAGCGCAACGAGAGCTTGCGATACGCCTTCTTGATCTCGGCTTCCGTAGCGGTGGGTGGCAGCGAGAGCACGCGGAACGAGTCGTCCATCTCGAGGTTGGATGTCGACATGGTGTCGACGTGTGCCTACCGCTGGCGTGGATAAGGAGAATGACGGTGGTGGCAAGCAAGTGAGCTTTCAAGGTTCTGGCAACAGCTCCACCGAGGGTCCAACAGCATCCGCAGAGCGCAGTTCCGTTTCCCGACGTTTTGCTGCGCCTTTTTTTTCGAGGAATTCTTGTGGAGAGTGCGTTTGCTGCCTCGAAATTTCGGTCACTTTGCCCGGCAGGAAGACGAAGGCGAGCCTAAAAAACTTGGGCGGCAGCCAACGTCATTTTTGTTTTGCTCCTGTTCACTTGCAAACACCATCACCATCAAAGCCAGACGTGCCAGAGATCGACTTCCGCAAGCATGGGATTGATAGCTCGAACGGCGAGCTCTGCTGTGGTGCAGCTGGCCTCGGGTCTCCGGCCACCTGCGTCCAGGAGCACGCGCCGCATTCTGACGCTGCACATACCGATGACAGCGAGGACGCTCTACAGCAGTACGGCAGTGGCATCCTCCTCCAAACCATCTTCGTCGTCGGATGAGCAGCGACGAGCTGATGCCTCCGATCGCGCCGAAGAGCCAGCGCCGAAACCAAAGCGCAAACGTCGCACCAGTGAGGAGGTGCAAGCTAGCAGACTGGCCAGTAAGACCTTCGGCCTGCCTATACGCCCGACAAGAAGAACAAGATCTTCGATTCCAGGTGCGCCCGGGCACGAGGCGGGCAAAGCGCACGAGATGGTAGGCTCTTCCACAAAAAGTGCACGTTCGGCACCTGGAAAGAAGGCAGCGGGAAAGAAGAAACAGGCCGACGATGTGGAGCAAGACGAAGCAGGCAGCGCGCTCGACGATCCGTGGCGGGATGCCGAATCGATCGGCGAGCTGCTCGAGCTGATGAGCTACGACCATCTGCCGCCGCGTCCGGAATGGAAGAAGGCATTCCCGAACGGCAAGCTCCAGCAGACCAGCTACCGCTACTTTGTCAGCAACCGCTCCACGATCCAGCAGATCATTCCGCATCTGGGCATCCACGATCCAGAGCGAAATGGCGAAAAGGTGACGATCGTCGAGGGCTATCCGGGCCCAGGCACGTTCGCGAGCGAGCTGCTCAAGATCCCCGAGGTGGAGAAAGTCGTGGCGCTCGAGGCGACGCCGTGCTATGTGGACAGGCTCGAGGTGCTCAAGACGCAGCTCGAGCAGCAGCAGCCTGGAGGAGGCGAGAGGCTCGATATCCTGCAATCGTCTGCGTACGCGTGGGAGACGTACGGCGACCTCATCGAGTCCGGCAAGCTTGCACACCTCAATGGCCGCGTGGCGCGTACGGACGGTGGCACCATCGATTTTTCGAGGGACGACTCTATTCCACCGGACCACTCGGATGCGAGCTGGAAGAAGCTGTCGCCGGTGATCTTCCTGGCGCAGCTGCCGAATACGGTGTATGGCGAGCAGCTGTTTGCACAGATTGTCACGGGCATTGCGAGTCGTTCGTGGCTCTTCCGACACGGACGCATCAAGCTGGCGTTTGTGTGTGGCGAGTCGCTGGCCAAGCGCTGTTTGGCGCCTGCAGGCGACAAGATCTCGCGCGGCAAGCTGGGTACGACGGTGCAGTGTCTGGCGGATCTCGAGGTGCATCGATACGCGCACGAGTTGCAGCCTCATGCGACGCACTTTTACCCCACCGTCATGACTGTCGGCCCACGAGTGACGGTGTCGGGTTCATCGCTGATTCCCAACAGCAATGCTTCGACCGGCCTCACACGCACAGGCATGGTGATGTTGACCGTCACGCCGAAAAAGAAGCCGCTCGTCAAGCCCAACGAGATCGAGGCGTTCGAATACATCACGCGCAGTCTCTTCATCCTGCGCACCAAACCGGTGGGCGAGGCGCTCACCCACGTCGCGCCCGGTGCACAAAACGTGCTCAAGATGACGAGCCCCGAGCAGGTGGAAGCAAAACTCATCAAAAAGAACCAGGTCATCCTCCCCTCGGACATTGTCGCCGACCTCACCAACGTGCAGTGGGCGTGTCTCGCCAAGATGTTTGAAAAGTGGCCCTTCCGTCCGCGCCACCTCTTCGAAGAAGGTCGCATCAAGAGCGACAAGGACAGAAAAGGCTGATCGCTTCAAGCTTCACTCGAGCATGCGCAAATACCACCCCTATTTTGGCGCCTCATCTTCTCGTCGAGATGAAGTTCAACGCAGAATTGTGAATTTGAGCTTTGGATTGGAGCTGTGCGGCTGGATCATGCATCCTGCTCGAGGCCGTGGGCAGCTTTGCGTCGGAAGGCGGCCTGGTCACGAAGCCACTGTCGGTACTGCTTGATGCTTCCGATCTTTTCGCCATAGTAGTCTGGCACGGGATTCTGCACCGACTGACGCGTGGGGTCGACGCGGTTGCGCTTGATGTGCTCGTAGAAGTCGTGGTCCTTGTGTGCGATCTGCTTTGCGTTCTTGCGATGCAGAAGGCCCCAGATGGCCGTGCCCACGGTGGGGCCGGTGAGCCAGCCGAGACCGGTGCATGCGAGCGTAAGGCCGGCGTTGATGTAGATGGGATCGAGACCGGCGATGGTATTGCTGGGGTCAATTTCTAGCGTGAGAAAGTACGATCCGGCAGCCGCACCGGCTAGCAGCGTGGTGGGGATGGTGGTGACCATGCCGGCGAGCCGACGCGACCTTCGCAGCTGCAGGTAGTTGTCCCAGCTGAGATTGTCTGCCGAGCTGCTGGACGGAGATGGCGATGCGGACGACGATGCAGAAGAGGATGCAGAAAGTGCAGCGGGTACGGTGGCGCGGAACGGGCCGGAGCTGCTGGCGCCAGCGACATGATCGGAGCGAGAGGATGAAGAGAGTGTGCGGGTTGGGCCAACAAGGGCGCGCGGACGCATCGCACTGGCAGCGGCGGTGCGCGACGACGAAGCGCCCGCAGAGATGCCGATGTATCTTGCAGCAGCCGACATGATGATGAGAATGATGATGGGGGAGGCTCGTATCGGAATGGCAGTCGTGAAAGGAAGAGAGTAGCTCGATGCGCTGCTCGGACTCGGAAGATGCAGGAGAGGTGGAGAAGGCCAAAGCTTCAAAGCTCGACTGCGCCTGCCTCCCTGGCTGTATCGGCCGTGAGCGGCTCCCCTTGGCTGATCACAGTTGGTCGGGCGATTCGCGCTGCTGCTGCTGCTGCTGCCAAAGTTGGATTTGCATGCGATCCGATTTTCGTCGCCTGTGGCCCGCACTGACAGCGCTCTGGGTGCGGGTCAAGTGACCGCAGAGCAGCCGACGATGCGTTGGAGCGATTCCTTCTCGTCCGCAGAGAGTCAGGCAAGGCAGCTTGGATCGGGCGACCCGCAGCTTTGCACGGATGGGCCGACTGGCTCGCAGCCGGCTCGTCTCACGTCCCTCTCTCTCTCTCTGTCTCGCACAAAGCGCACTTTGCTTTCCCTTTACATCGACCCCGTCGTCTCCATCCTCGACTATTCGCCCCGCGCCTGTTTGCTCATCTCCCTCATCTGCCGTCTTCTCCTCTATCACCGATCTACAAACCAACAACCAGCTCCTCGCTTTTGCAGCTCTCTCATCATCCCTCGGCAGAGCCTATTTTCATCTCAAAGCGACCTCGTCAATCTCACAATCACCTGCGCCCCCTCTTCGTCACACTGGAGGCCGCACACACATCTCAACACGGTCCCCATCGCGCTCAGACTTGCACGTTCTGACGCTTTCCGGTCGCATCCTAACTCTTGACCAACTAGCGGTTCCAAATCGCACCGCCACGTCCCAACGTTTCTCCAGCGTTTGGTACCGTATCAGCCCGCTTTCGCCTCACACTGCCTACAAATATCTGTGCAGTCCGGCCACGCAACCTTTCTCCCAGCTAGTGTCATCTTTCTGCAGCTCAGCTCCTCGACCGCACCTGCTACTTGTACCGCATACCCTCTTGCTCTGGCAGTCTCTTGAGCTTTGGCACGCCGCACCTAGCAACGCATCCTCCTCTCTGGAATCCATCACGACTTCACCCTCTTCCCTCGCACGCGCATACGCAGTCATCCAGACCGCCTCAGCACACCACTTCAGCGTGCTCCTCTCACCTCGATCTTTCAACAACCACCGTTTAAGTCTCCACCACCCCATTCCACCATCTCATAATCACAATGTCGGCATCAGGACCAGCGCCAGGGCAATCCGAAGCCGCCTGGAAACAGCAGATCACCAACAAGGTCGCCAAGGACGAACGTCCCCAGACCGAAGATGTGCTCAACACCAAGGGAAACGAGTTCGAAGACTACTTCCTCAAACGCGAACTCCTCATGGGCATCTTCGAGGCCGGCTTCGAACGCCCTTCCCCCATCCAAGAAGAGGCCATCCCCATCGCCCTCACCGGCCGCGACATCCTCGCGCGCGCCAAGAACGGCACCGGCAAGACCGCCGCCTACGTCATCCCCTCGCTCGAAAAGCTCAACACCAAGAAGAACAAGATCCAGGCCGTCCTGCTCGTCCCCACGCGTGAGCTCGCGCTGCAAACAAGTCAGGTCGCAAAGACGCTCGGCAAGCACCTCGGCGTCGAGGTCATGGTCACCACCGGCGGCACCACCCTCCGCGACGACATCCTCCGCCTCGGACAGACCGTCCACATGCTCGTCGGCACTCCCGGCCGCATCCTCGATCTCGCCGGCAAGGGCGTCGCCGACCTCAGCCAGTGCACCACCTTCGTCATGGACGAGGCCGACAAGCTCCTCTCGCCCGAGTTCACGCCCGTCATGGAGCAGCTGCTCAGCTTCCTCCCCAAGGAGAGGCAGGTCATGCTCTTCTCGGCCACCTTCCCGCTCATCGTCAAGGACTTCAAGGACCGCAACATGGTCAAGCCGTACGAGATCAACCTCATGGACGAGCTCACGCTGCGCGGCGTCACCCAGTACTACGCCTTTGTCGAGGAGCGCCAGAAGGTGCACTGCCTCAACACGCTCTTCTCCAAACTCCAGATCAACCAGTCCATCATCTTTTGCAACTCGACCAACCGCGTCGAGCTGCTCGCAAAGAAGATCACCGAGCTCGGCTACAGCTGCTTCTACTCGCACGCAAAGATGCTCCAGTCGCATCGAAATCGCGTCTTCCACGACTTCCGCAACGGCGCATGCCGCAACCTCGTCTGCTCGGATCTGCTCACGCGCGGTATCGACATCCAGGCGGTCAACGTGGTGATCAACTTTGACTTCCCCAAGAACGCCGAGACGTACCTCCACCGCATCGGTCGCTCGGGTCGTTTCGGCCACCTCGGTCTCGCCATCAACCTCATCACGTACGAGGACCGCTTCAACCTCTACCGCATCGAGCAGGAGCTCGGCACCGAGATCCAGCCCATCCCGAGCAACATCGACAAGCGCCTCTACGTCGCCCCTTCGCTCATCCAGGAGGCCGAGGGCAAGAACCAGAACGGCAACAGGCAGGAGGGCAGGCCCGTCATCCCGCCAGGCCAGCAGGCCATGCACGCCGCCGCCATCCCGCAGAACCAGAACTTCAGCAACACCGTCCCACACAGGCATCGCGGCGGCCGCGGCGGTGGAGGCGGAGGTGGCGGAGGACGCCAGCACCACGGCCAGGGCAGCGTGCCTGCGCAATGAGCGAGCGCAGCTCAGCTCGGCTTTTCCCGCAGGCGTAGCTCGTCTGCAAGGTTATCCTTTTCTTCATCTCATTCTTGTAGGCGACCGACACGCTGCACACAGATCCACGCGTTCGTAGTGTAGCACGTTCGTCGTAGTCCTGCTGCCACCACTTCTTTGCCTGAGTGCGACGCACCGTCCTTCTCTGGCCTCCCTCACCCTCCTCGTCGATCTTTTGGACTGTTTAGAGTCTTGCTGTAAAGGCACGACTCGTGCGCAGACTCGTGCGCGCAATCTTCCGATGCGCCGCGTCCATCTCTCCTCCCCCACTACCGCACCCCTTCATTTGTGTGAGCTTATCACGCACACATCCCATCCACTCATCTCCTCATCTCCTCATTTCGTGTCGCCTTCTCCTCCCATCTTCTTCTCCATTCCCCATCACCTCGTCCCGTCATCACCTTCGTCCGCCCATCACACCTCATCCTCACTGTCGCCTTCACCTTCATCCGTCTTCCTCGCCATCACTTCCTCCCGCCGACCTCATCCTAATCATCACCATCATCCCTCCCCCTCTGCTTGCTGCTGCTTGTGCGTCTGCATGCGTGTGTGTGTGGAATGAGTTGAATTGAGCTTTGAGAGTAATGATTGGTGAAAGTGCTCGGTGGTCGAGGGGTATATTGAGCGTTTTGGTGTGTGGCGTTGTGAAGATTGGTTTGAGGGTGGGGTAATGTGGATTTATGCTTCCAGAGTGTATGTATTTTTCTCGAGCTGATGCACGCACGCCGACGATGTCAGTCGTCTCCAGTCATGGACCGATTTGAGGTGTTGTGGGACTTACTTCTAGTTCGAGTTCGCTTCTTAGCCAATCGATTCTTTCCGGCGAGATGAGGAGGTGGGTATCGTCGAGGTCCATGATGATGAAGCGGTTGCGTTCGTCGAGTGACAGGATCAACTGTTTCACCGCCGCGTCACTACAAACTTCCACTTGAGTCAGTTCTTGTTGAGGCTAGATGCGGGAAGGGGGAGAGCGAACGTACCAGGTCAGTAGCATGCCTTTGTACGCCTTCATCTTTCGAACGCCTGCCAGATGGAGCCGGTTAAAGGAGGTGTTGGTGGTCAGATGGAGGTGTGGTGGATGCGCGCGTGCGAGATGGACCGAGCATCCAAACCTCCACCCCGACTCAGCCTAGAAGCGACATGCCGGCAGGATGCGAGACTTAGCCGGGAAAAAGGGCACGTAAAAGCAAGCCAAAAAAGGCACCAGAAAATGGGCAAAAGCGGGCCAGTGCGAATATGAGACCTGGCTGCAAAGCCATATGTGCCGCCATTGTATGATAACCACCGGATTTTTTCAACTTGCAACTCATGAGCGACATGTCAAAGCCCGCCGAAGCATCAGGGAGTGCTCAGCGAAAGGCCATGCTTCTGGTCATGATTGAATCTAGCGCCAAAGGACGAGACCCCCACACGGACCTCGCGGCCAAAAAAAGAAAATGAAAAAAGGTGGGATTTCCCAGTCCACCATCTCGACCCCGTGTGCCAAAATCAGCATCTTCCAACGCCGTTTTCTCGTCATCCTACTGATCAACTCGCAAACAAATTGCAGATTCGTGATCTCCTCGGTCATAGCTACCCGTAGCATTTAAAAAATTGGCAAAATTTTGAACTTCGACGCCTGAGAGATTCGAACTCTCGCCCTCAGAGAGGATATCCTAACACCAGAAAACTGGCTGCTAACGAGTGTGTATAGCAGGGATACGTGTTAACCACTCCACCAAAGCGTCAAGAGGGTCACGTGGAACGGGAAACCTACAGGCGTACATGTACTAATGCTCTTGGAGCTTTAACAGTTGGCTGCTTTGCATCGGAGCTGGAATCTAGGCTGCGCCTGCTTGCTTCGTAGAAGATCACACAGCAGCGAGCATGGTCCATCCCCACTCTAGAATTTGGATAGCAAGGATTGTATCTCGAGTGAGTGGAAGACTGCACGGATGAGGCTCCCGTGATCGTTGGGTTGGTGAGGCGGAACGGGCGATGCCTCCAGCTTGGGCGGAAGGGGGAGAGGCAGGTTGAGAAGAGGCTGCTGGGCTGCAGCCAAGCGAGGGTCGAGAGAGAGGGTGGAGGTTTTGCTGCTGGGTGACGCTTGGCTGCTGATTTAGCACGCGTCGATGCACACTGCACACAGTCTCAGCCGCCTATGCACGGCCTCCTGCTTTTTTGCTGCCGCTCCACTTGTTGCAACTGCACCGCCATCTTCCACCACAACCACGATCACTACCACACACCGCGCACACCACGCGCATACGCCCTATCACACGCTCCGGGGGGCTACAACTTGTACCTGGATGAACGCCATCTGAATACCGGGTGCTCCCACCCCACCGAATCTCCTACATCGCCTTGGTACGCAGCCGCAACCATGGCCTCTCAACATCCTCTCAGCCTAGCGGCCATTAGCGAGGCAGCTGCGACCGCCTCCTCTTCGGCTGCTGCCACCACCACCGCTACCCTTGCATCTGCCCTTCTCTCGCTTGGCCGCCATCCTCCAACCGGCACACCCGGCAACAACGGGTCCACCGACGACCCGGCCATTCCTCTGCCCAACCAGCGTGCCTTCGAGGGTCCCTGGTTCTCCCAGCAGGTCTCGCTTTCGCTCTTCATCGGCCTCTTCTCCTTCTGCATCTTTGTCATCGTCCGCCGTCGCAATGCTGCGCTCTTTGCACCGCGCACAAAGCTCAAGGGCTTCTCTCCGCTCGACGACGGCCACGACGCCGGCTACTTTGGCTGGATCATGCCCACGCTCAAGACCGAGGAGATGCGCATCCTCCAGACCGTCGGTCTCGATGCCGCCATCCTGCTCAGCTTCCTCAAGATGGGCTTCTGGCTCTTCTTTGCGCTCAGCTGCTGGAGCGTCGTCGTGCTGATGCCCGTCAACTACTGGCAGAACGGCGTGCTGGACGGCGTCAGCCCGGCAGAGGACCGCGACAATGCCACCGACCCCAACAGCTTCAGAGATACGGTCACCGGCGTGTGGACACAGCTCATCTACGACACCTTCACCAAGAAGCACGACGATCCCAACGCCCCACTGCCCCAGTTACCACTGCCCGCCAAACCGCCCCAGGCACAGGTGTACCACGCCGTCCATCTGCTCTCCACCTACCTCTTTACGCTGCTCGCCATGCGTGCTATCTGGATCAACTACCAGCGCTTCGTCAGAGCGCGACAGCTGTATATCCTCGAGATCCTCGAGTCCATCCCGGCGAGGACCGTCGAGATCCGCGACCTCCCCGCCCACCTCCGCGATGAGAAGGCGCTCGCAGAGTACTTTGAGAACATGGACATGCCCGTCGAGTCCACCGCCGTCGTACGCAACACAGAAGGCCTCTCGCGCCTCCTCAACCAGCGGTCCAATGCGCTGCACAACCTCGAAAAGGCGTGGGTTCGATGGCTCGGAAACCCGACCGATGCAGAGGGCTACGACCCGGAGAAGATCATGCTGCTCGCTGCAGGGGCGCACGACGACGTTGTCGAGCCGTCGAGCGACGATGCCGAGAGGCCACGGCAGTCGAGGGACGACCTCGAGAGCAGCCGCCTGCTTGGTCCGTCTGCCACCACCGTGTTCACGGGAGCCGATACGATCCGCACACACCGCCAGCGGCCTACGATGCGCCGGAGCTGGTGGAATCCGTTCAGCGAAAAGATCGACGCAATCGACGAGCTCACGCGCCAGTTCAACGCGGTCGACCGAGCCGTGCGTCGGCGACGCAAGACCGGGCGATTTCCCGGTGGCAATGTGGGCTTTGTCACGTTCCAGAGTGCGGCGAGTGCGCAGATCGCCGCACAGACGGTGCACTACCCGATCCCGGCGTACTGCGCCACCTCAATGGCGCAGGAGCCGCGCGACATTATCTGGAGCAACATCGACCTGAGCAACAACGACCGGCGCGTGCGCCAGGTGGTGGTGTCGATCTTTATCGTGGCGGTGCTGGTGTTCTACATCCCGCCGCTCGTGTTCCTGGCGAGCTTTGTGTCGCCGGGCGCGATCAAGAAGTACATGCCCTGGCTGGATCGGTTGCTGGATACCGACGAGCGGCTGCGCGCGCTGGTGCAGAACAACCTGCCTTCGCTCGTGGTGATTGGCTTCAACGCGCTGCTGCCGCTCGTGCTCGAGTACAGCTCGTACCTGCAGGGGCTCAAGGCACGCAGTCTGGTCGAGTACAGTCTGCTCAAAAAGTACTATCTCTTCCTCATGGTGTCGGTGGTGTTCATCTTCCTCATCGCCACCACGGCGTGGGGTGTGCTGCAGGAGCTCGCCGAGAATCCGATGCGCGTCATCGACAAGTTTGCAGCCAGCTTGCCCAAGGCGCGCTTCTTCTCGCTGTCCTACGTGATCCTGCAGGGTATCGCGCTGCAGCCGTTGCAGCTTCTGCAACTGCCCACGCTCATCTTACGCGGGTTCTACCGGCTGCTGCTCACACGCACGCCGCGCGAGTTCGCCGAACTCAATGCGCCGCCTACGCTCGCGATGGGCAACGTGTATCCGCAGGCACTGCTCATCTTCACGCTCTGCATCCTTTACTCGATCGTCAGCCCGCTCATCGTCGTATTTGGCGCGGTGTACTTTGGCATCGCCTACGTGGTCAACAAGTACAAGCTGCTTTACGTCTTCTACAAGCCGTACGAGTCGCAGGGGCAGGCATGGCCGATCTCGGCATCGAGATGCATCTGGGCGCTGGTACTGTTCCACGTGTTCCAGTTCTCGCTATTCAGCGTGCGCAAGCAGCTGCTCATGTCGACGCTCATGCTGCCACTCATCGTCTTCACCTTTTGGTTTGCACAGCACCTCCAGACGACGTTTGGCCCGCTCACCGAGCACGTCAACCTCAGCAGTGTCGTCGAGGTGCTCAAAGAGGTCGAGCCGGATCCGGCCACCGCCGGGCTTGCACAGAACGGTCCTCCGAGTATGGCGCGTGCCGACGAGGTGACCACGGATACGTCTGGGCCGACAACGCCCAGGCAGGCGCAGGGACTGACGGGCGCGAACAGCAGTCGACAGTTGCTCTCGCTCGATCCGTCGCACAAGATCGATCCTGAATTCACCAAGCTCTCACTCAAGCGGTACAGCCACGACGAGGAGGACGAGACGCTGTTTGTGGCGCAGCGCGATACCAAGACCGACTACCGCGAGCCGCCTGGTGCGGGATACTATCCGGGTGTGCTCAACACGGGTCGCCGTCGATATGGTCACCCTGCGATTACGGGAATTTTGCCCGAGCTGTGGCTTCCGATCCCCAAGCATCGCATGGATGAGGGTGGAGACGACGTGACTGCGCCCGATGATCTCGAGGGTCAGACGGCGTTGGCGTCGGGTACGACTGCGCTGGGTGCTCCTGCGCGCGAGAGGGTCGAGAGTGGCACAGGCGTGCAGAGCGCTGCTCGCATCCGGGCACGTGCGCTTAGCAAGGCAGAGCCCCTGATTCTGTCGCTGAGAAAGCGCAAGAGCAGCCTGCTTTCGCGCTCGACCCGCACTCCGGCCTCGGAGTCTTCTCCAGCACATCCCGATACCGATGCGCTCGGCGTTTGGTCCGACGGCGTGGCGGGGCCGCAGGGCTCGTCGTCGAGCGCTGCGATTGGAGAGGCCCTCAGTGGACCGTATGCGGTGGCTCCCGCCAGGAAGCACGTGCGCGAAAATCAGGGCGCAGATACGGATGGCGCGGATCTCGACCAGGAAGAAGGCGTCTACATCCACCGTGCCGCCTCGCTCGCGAGACCCGCCCGCCCGCGCTCCGGCGTCCCCACCTCGAAAACTCACTACCATGACTGATACCGTGCAAGCAGCCTCTAGCGCATAATCTCATTCTAATTGCAACTTGAGTACTACCGACACCGCAGCTAGCTATCCATGCGGCTACAGTGGCTGCGTCAATGTTGTTTCTGAGCACTATTGAGCGGGAAAAGATTGGTGCTCGTAAATCTGTTGGACTTGTGAAGCGCCGAGATCAACATCATGCGAATTCCCATGGCTTGCTTGAGATGGTGGCGAGTCCTTGGTGGTAACGTCGACACTGCCCTTTAATCTGCACTATGCAGACATACGAGAATACATCCTTGTGCAGCCTTGTCTGAATCCCCTTTTTCCACACCATCAGGCATGCCGGGTGCCGCATGGCTTGATCGTAAATGAAGAACTTGCGAATGAGGACGGCGCGGCAGTTGTCTGTGCAACTCGCGCGTAATCGACCTGGAACTTCATTTTGCATGTTGAGATCCATGGAAACAATAGCCTTCCAAGCGCGAGCTTGCCTGGCGTTCGAGCTCTCAAAGAGCATACCTCTCCCGTCTCGCATCTGACGCCCTCCATCCCTCCATATTCTCCCCACTGTTGCAACCTCCTTTGCGAACTATCGACGATGGCAGCGGTATCCAACGGCTGCACAACATTTGACCTCATCGTCGTGGTGAGGCCGAAGGACAACATTGCAATCGACGCGTTCAATGGTCTCCATGGCAGCCTTGCTACGGGCCTGGAAGGTTGTCCGTGGTTTTCCGCCTCCGATGAAGAACACGGAGTGGGACTCTACTTTCCCCAAGTCACGACGACTGCTCGCAACAACGCTGTCGCCCTTCGCAACGTCTATCCAAATCTCCAGATGTTTCTCATCCCCACGTCTCGGTACGCCGAAGTCGTAAACGACGACACTTCAGAACTGTCCTACACGTTGGCACGCCTCACGGCCGCAGACGAACTTGAACCCGTTGCTGCTGAAGCTGAGACTCAGCCCGATGCTAAAAGCTGACTGGGCATCGAGGCGGCGGACCTAGCAGGCCTTGGAACTGATGTGACGGGAACACTCGCCCCCGTCTGGTCCTGCTCCGGCGTCAACCAGCTCTGCCCGACTGGACCTGGTTAATGACCCCCCCCCCCCCTCCTCCCCCTCAAACGTGACAATGGATTGGTGCGGGAGCCACACTTGTCCGGGATGAAGACAGAACTTGCGGATATGAACGTCGTGTGGGTTGTCGTGCGGATGTTGTCCGCGCAACCCGCATGTGACCAGCCCGGACATTCATTACGGATGTTGAGGCAGATCGTATCATGGCGCTTGAACCCCTAGCCAGCCCGGTCTTGGAGCTCTTTAAGAGCGAACCTCTCCGCCCCGCATTCTCATCTATCTCGCATTCCCTCTGACGCCCTGCTTCCCTACCACTGTAGCGATAGCGTTTGCAAATTACCGACAATGGGCGCGGTTCCCAAAGGCTGGTCGACCGATGACCTTATTGTGGTGGGGATCCCGGACCACTTTCCAATCGGCGCTTTGACTGGTCTCTTCGGCAGCGGCTCGGATTCGGGAGGTTGGGCATGGCCATTCCCCCCCAATGCAGAACATGGCAACGCCATGTACTTTCCCCGAGTCTCGACAACGAATTGCAACAACGCCATAGCCCTTCGAGACGTCTATCCGACCCTCAGGCTGTTTCGAATCTCCACGGCCCGGTACGACGAAATCGTAGCCGACAACATGGACCTGTCGTATACGATGTCGCGCCTCTCGGCCGCAGACGAGTTTTGACCCCTGGCTGCCAAAGCCGAGACCAAGCCGGACGCTACCGATTGATCGCCACCTTCCGCGTGGCAGACCCTCCGTATACAATTCAATTCTTCCGGCGCTTCTTCCCCGCCAGTATTCCAGCGTTGCAGCGGAGTTTGACGTTGGAGGTCTCAGATGATTAGAGTCAGTCATTCCACCTTGGCCTCACAACGGGCGTCGATATGAATCTAGCAAAGCTCAAGCGCAGACGCGGCGGCATTGCTCCTGCGTCGTCACCACACATGTTCTGAGCAGGCCCTGTTGGGGTGCGGAACGAATCCCGTGGGGGAGGCAAGAAGCGCAGAGCGTCGCATGCTGGACGCAGGGTCTAGAAGCGGTCCGAAGGCCACCGCACAGGGCTCTACGGCAGCACTGGACCACCACGCCTACCCAGGTTGTTGAGGAACTGAGTTTCAGAATGGAACCGGATTTGCGGGCGCGATCAAGAACCGCGCGGTGCCTCTAGACTCTCCCGGCCCTTCCTTACGCCTCGTGTCCTCTCCTACACCGCATGGCATAGTTGCGCGCTGTGGAGCCAGGACATGCCAACCTCCCACACACTCCAGGAACAAAGTCGATACGGTAATTTTGGCCAGTGACGACGTCTGACGACATCCAAGCTGGATTGACTTTTGGAAGGGGGTACCGAAGCATCCTGGATATTGATACATTTTGTTGCATATGAATGCCAGAGGGGGGGAAGGATTGGGCGCTGGGTTGGACCAGAAGACGCGGGTATCAAAGATTACAAATGCAGAGAGAGAGAGAGAGAGAGAGAGAGGGATGCGGAGATTTGCGAAACCCAAGCGCCAGCGCGCAGAGCGAGAGACTAGAGCAGATCAAAAGGAAACGGTGACGGGATGTTGAACCATGCGCAACGGAAAAACGATGCGAAAAGAAGCTGCCAGCGAGGAAGCGGCAAGTCTATAGAGCGTGAGGGGAAGGAAGGAATGATTAGAAGAGCCAGGCGACAAACTTGCCCCAGGCAGTGGTGGGGATGTTTTCCTTGGGCTCGTTCTTGGGGTCGCTGCGGCCCGAGTCGAGATCAATCTCCGCAAGCTTGACCACCTTGGTCTTGTGCCAGAGCTTCCATCCGATCCAAGGCACGAAGAAGACGGGGATGCCAAGGTAGGAGCTGAGGAAGCCCGAGGCGGTGAAGTTGCCGTTGAGGAAGACCGACCAGCCAGAGAAGAAGATCACGATCGCGCACACGATGATCGAGAACCAGCTCGAGTAGGGCTGCAGCCTCGCGCGGTAGGGCAGCTCGGCGCGGTCGTAGCCCTGGAGCGAGTAGGCCTTGCGGAAGCGCAGGTAGGCGTAGCAGCACGTGGCCCAGGCAAACAGACCTGCGACGGCGGACAGAGCCGAAAGCCACGAGAAGACGGTTCCACCACCGGAGCTGATGCCGAGGTAGGACAGGGCGCCCACGAGCCACGAGACACCGACAGCGACGTAAGGGATGCCACGCTTGTCGACACGGCGCAGGATGCCGGGCGCCTGTCGGTCGAGCGCCATGGCATACATGGTGCGGCTGGCAACGTAGATGTACGACGAACCGGCAGAGAATGCCGAGATCAAAACCACCGCGTTGAAGATGTGCGGCAGCACGGAGACGCCCGCGTTCTGCATGGCAATGATCCAGGGCGAGGCGCCGGTGTACGAGCCGTCGCTCTTGAGACCAGGGTCGTTGTAAGGCACGATGAGGCCCATGATGGCGATACCGAGGATGTAGAAGAAGAGAATTCGGTAGAGCACCCTGCGCGCGGCCTTGGGGATCTGGGTGGTCGGGTTGCGTGCTTCGGCAGCGCAAAGTACCACGGTTTCCGTTCCGACGTAGGTAAAGGCTGATTGGAGGAATGCCGAGAAGAAACCTAGGAAGCGTCCTTCAGCGCCGGTGATGCCGTTGAACTGGTTGAAGGCACCGGGGTTCTTCCAGTATCGGAATCCGAGGCGGTCGTGCTTGGGTCCTCCACCCAGGTCGATGACAATTCCGAAAATAATTAGCATAATGAAGGCCAAAAGTTTAATTGTCGAAGTGACAACTTCACTTTCGCCGTAAATGTTCACGCCGGCAAAGTTGAGGAGGGCGCCGACGACCATCATGATGGAGATCCAGGCGGCGATGTTGATGTCGGCATTCCAGTAGCCGATGACGGCGGAGGCGGCGGAGAGTTCGGAAGCCCAACCGATGGCGTAGCACCACCAGTAGTTCCAGCCAAGAGCCATGCCGAGGGAAGGGTCGACGAAGCGGCTGGCAAAGTGCATGAAGGAGCCGGAGACGGGGAGGTACGAGGCCATCTCGGCGAGACCTTCCATGACACCGAAGATGGTCATACCGGTGATGATGTAGGCAAGGAGAACACCGACGGGACCAGCGTTGGCAAGGGCAATGCCGGAACCGACAAAGAGACCAGTGCCAATACCACCGCCGATACCAATCATCTGGATGTGGCGGGCGCTGAGCTTACGCGAGACGGCGCCGACGCCGGCCTGGCCAACGGGGACCTCGAAGGGCGACTCGGCGTTGCGGCTAGACTTGGCCTCATCGCCTGCGTTGATCGATGCGGTCTTGGAGGCATCGCCGTTGTCCTGGGCTGCGGCCTGGGTGGCGGGGTAGGACTTGCCGACAGTGGCGATGCCGTCGGTTTCGAACGACTGCTTAGCGGAAGACATGGTGATGTGTGATCTCCTCCTGACGAGCCGCAAAGGGGGCGAACTGACAGATCCTTGGAGAGGGGAAAGGGGCGAAAGGGAAAAGAGGTGGTGGGGAAGAAGGAGGACGTACGGGGAAGGGAGGAGGGATCTATTTTATTCGTGCGACCGTCGATTCGTGCACCGACGGTCGTGCGCTCTACAGGAACCGGACTGGGCAGGTCTCGTTCGGCGTCCCACATGGCGTTTGAATGGCAAAAGCGGGCAACAACGTGATTCGCTTCTCCCATCCGAATGTCGCCCTGATCGAGGCGATGGCGCCATTGCACCATGCGCAGCTGCGCATCAGCAAAGCTAAACGGAGTGGGGGCAACTCTGTCTGGCTCCACCGCTCGACTTCATTCCAGGGGGTTTTTGCGATGAACTGCGATTGGTCAAGGAACGGGGCGTGGTGGACAATTGTGGGCATGCATCTCTCTGTGGATCACGACATTTCGGTCCAATGGCAGCGCCCATTCGTTTCGAACTTGGGGCGAATCGGCCGTCCCAGCTTCGGGCTGGACCCGGAAAAAAACAAATCCACCGCAAACTTTTCGAGCCACCCGGCAATTTTCCGAACCGCTTCTCGCCTCGTCTTCTGCGCTCCACCGGCTTTTCATCTCGAAAGCCTATGAAGCGCACGGACGCAATCGATTCGGGCAATGACTTCCTCGGTGGGACCGACTATATGATCTTGCGCCATGGTCTAGGCTGCAGATTGGAGCGTGCGCAGGTGGCGGATTGGCGAGGAGAAAAAAATTGCCCGGTAGAGCTGTCAAACACCCCAGCCGACAGACCCTTTTTGCAAATCTGCAGTCTTGGCAAAATCCCACCCACCCGCCTTTCGCTTGCTCCATTTGTCGCTCAACACCACTCTCCTGCGCATCATCTTGACTGACCTAAAGTAGAACCTTCAATATGAGAAAAGCCATCGCTTCGATGGCCAGAATCAAGTTGGAGAAGCTGCCATGAGTATGAAGTCTTGCCACTGGCGGGAGGGAAAAAAAAACTCCGCTAAAAAATCCGCCGGTTTGCTGAAAAAATGCAAACTCCGCAGGTCCAATCATCGCGCCGCGGTTCATCTTTTCGGCCACCGCCGACACCATCTGAATCGGGCACACCCCGATCCGTTGGTAATACGATGCGCAAAGCCAAGCCACAAATCACGCCAACCCTTGCCCCCCACCATTCCCTTACGCCTCGCTATTCAATGAGCACGCCTTGTCCAGATCAACACATTCATGCGCTGCCCAAGTACAGTCTCCTAAGCAGAGAAGCACCGTCAAACTCGATCGGTTACCAAACTCGCCTAAGCTGGATGAACATGGCTCGAATTCGTGCAGACAGAATGCGTGTGTGAGAAGGACTTGGAATACACGTGAACCGACAAACGGGAAACTAGGCGCAAGACTGTGGAGGTATACTGCTGATGAAACGGGAAGGAAGTTGCGGCGAGGGGAACATGCATGCAGGTTGCGACGGAAATCAAGGAAGGCCCACCAAAGTTCGGACGATGAGCTGAGGGCTGGACGCGTTCAGAAGGTCACGTTCCACGACCAGCGGTCCTCTTGGAAGCCTTCGGCGGTGTCGGACAGCAGGATGCCACGGCGCTTGTGCACGTACACCGTGAGGTCCGTCACCTTCTGCCGCAGCTCGGGGATCGTCTTGGGCTCGATCGGCTTCTCGAGCTGCTCCGACAGATCCTCCACCGCCTTTTCCAGGTCGCGCTGGTTGTCCTCAAACAGCTCCGTCATGTTGTTGCGCGCGAGGTAGTACGCCATGCAGTACGTCCACTTGAGCGTCATGCGGCACTCGCACAGCTCGTCCACCGCCTTCTTGAGGAACTGCACCTCGATCCACGTCAGATCCGTCGTCAGCTGCATCTCCTCCATCTTCTTCTCCGTGCGCCCGTACAGGTCGCGGTCCAGCTTGGCCGACTGCTCGTGGTTCGCAAAGCGGTTAAAGTAGTGCAGGTAGCGCTCCAGCTGCGCCCGCGACTTGGCCTGCGAGTCGCGCGCCTCGGCGCCGCTCTTCTCGTCGAAGCGGTTGCAGTTGTACCACGAATTGCCGTGCTCCGACCATGGTCCCGCGCAGATCCAGCACCACTCGTACTTGCACTTGCGGCAGGTCATGTGGTTGCATCCGCCGTTCTTCTCGATCGTCGAGTTGCACTTGGGGCACTCCTTGGTGTTGGCCGAAATCCAGTTGGCCGTCTCGCTGTCGTCTTCGCACTTCTTGAGCCACAGCTTGGCGATCGGGCAGATGGCCGGCGCGTGGGCCGCATTGCCGCATCCAAAGCAGAACGCATGGCCGCAGTCGCATCGCACCGAAGGTACAACTTTGTTGAGCATCTTGTTCGACACGTGGCACTCCACCGCCAGTTCGCAGTTGGGCGCCGGACACCATCGAAGCACGTTGCTGTCGTCGACATACGTGCGGTTGAGCAGGATCTTGTAGCGTTCAAACACCTCTGGCACCACTACGAGTCCGACGGTGCGTTCGTCAATGACCAGGTTGCACTTTTCGCGCATGCACTGCACGCGCCTCGACTCGCCCTCGGCGCGGATCTTCTGCTCCAGATAGTGCTGGTAGCAGTCGCGACAGTAGCGGTGGCCGCACGCGAGTGCCAGCGTCTCCATTTGACCGTCGGGCGAGTCGTCGGAGCTCATGTAGCAGATCTCGCACGTAAAGTCGGGCAGCTTCTGAAGCTTCGGCCGCGCTGGGTCGTCGTGCACGCCCGCCTCGAGGTTGACCTTGTCGGGTGAGTCCATGAAGCGCTCGATGAGACGCTCTTTGTTCCAGCCAAAGTGGCGAAGCAGGATGGCGGCATCGGTGTCCTTGATCATGAACATGCTGGCGACGTGCTCGACCTCCTTCTGCTGCGCTTGTTCGATCGACCCGATCGTGTGTGACTTGTATTCGACTTGATAGCTCTTGGAGCGCTCGGCAGCCGTGTCGCCACCAGCAAATGCGTCCTCGGCGACGCCAAAGCCTAGGTCATCGTCCCGCTCTTCTTCCGAGTCGTCGACGCCCTGGTCGTAGTCGCCGTAGACCGAGTCCTCGTCCATGGTATCCTCGACATCATCGTCGAGGAGGTAGTCATCGCTGAGGTCCGACATTTGTAGTTGAGTTGTTCGTGATAAGCGTCGGAGTTAAAAGTCCGGTCCTACGGGCGTTGAGCAGATGCGGCTCGCAAGCTCAGTGCCCGAGAGTCAAGGTCCGCAGCTGCTTGGCACGCAGAGAGAGAGGCTCCTGATGAGCCGAGATGAGGGGTAGCAGCCCTTCCGAAGTAAAAAAGTGGGCAGATCTGATGCTGCAGTTGCGAGAACGGGTGTGTTGCTGAGCCTAAGCCTCGCGATCGGTGGCGAGACTCGATGTGGAGGTGAGATGCACCGGAGGTATGCTAATGCCGGAAGCGTGCTATCGACTCGGTGGCGATGCGAATGCAGCGATGACTATATATGCCAAGATGTGAGGATGTTGCAAGAGGGTAAATGCACTAGGGCGCGGCCAAGTTGGGGGTTGAGGATGCGATGGGCGATCGGTAGTGAAGGTGGGTGGCGTAGATGTAATTTGGGGCCGAGCCAAAAGGATATGCAAGCGATGAGAGGGAGTCGGAGCGATGCAGAGCCCAATGCTGGAAGCCGACGAAACGAATGCTGAGTTCTGGAAACGGTGCCGTAGTCGCAGTCGCGGTGGGAGTTGCAGGTCAAGGATGAGGCCGGTGATAGTATGCGCCTAAGATCCCTTGACGCGGGTGTGAATATGCGAAATGCACGGCTGAGCGGGGACGAGCGGTGCCGGCTGAATGCATTGTGTGAGATCACGAAAGCGAGCTGCTGCTGGCGTCACGCTTGGGCTGCTGAGCCAGGAACGCTAAGCTTTCTCGACTGCAACTGCAGGGTGGCAGGTGCGCGCTGAGCTGCTGAGCTGCTGATTTTGAGATGCGCTGCTGGCTGGCTCCGTTCCGTCACATTTTTCGATTCCAGCAGCCCGCCCGCGCCCAAATTGGAGAGATTCTGCCCGGCTGCGCTGACGCACTCCCGTGCAGAGATGATACCGGCATCAGCATCGGCTGCTGCGCCCACCCTTTGCGCCCACATCTCAATTGGCGCTCCATGTCGCCGACCCCGCCAGTCGCATCCAAAGTTCTCCAAAGCTTTCACCTCTTCGCTAGCATCTTCGTTTTCTTTCCAGGATGGGCGTAGAAACTGAATTCACGGTGGCAATAGTATCTGACCTGCTGGCATCGACAATGTGACACTCGCTCACAGATCGATGCTCTGAAGCGCCATGAGAACATGAAACCGGCGACCCTGACGGGCAAGTCGCCAACATCCGCGTTACCTCACATCGCAGATCTTCACCGCACTGAGAAGATGCACAGGCCGAGTCCGAACAGGATGGTACAGAACGCATGACTTTGATTGGCTCTAAAGACATGACAATGTTTTGGAAGAATGCGCGGGGGCATGCTATGAACGAGGGTCAACAGTGCATCGGTGGCTGCGCAACGAGGGCCGACAGATCAAGGATCGAATCGTCCGTGTGACACCAACCCACCTACACCACTGCTAAGGAGCGAGCGGATCGAGGAGCAGACGTGTGAAGGAAGCAAGACTTCTTCAGCACGCTTACTTCTGCGAAGCGATACGGGCCTGGAGACGGAGGTTCTTCTCGAGGGGGCCGTGGTTGTTGATGTACTGGAGGTAGCAGCCGTCCTTGAGGATGCGGTTGGACTGCTTGGCCTCGGCGTACTGCTCGCGGTTCATGTTGGTGAAACCCCACTTCTTCGAGATGATGATCTTCTGGCGACCAGCGAACTTGTAACGCGAGCGACGCAGGGCCTCGAGAACGACGGCCTTGTTGCTGTCACGGGTGCGCACCGAGAGCAGGATCTGGCCAATGTTCACACGGGCAACGGTGTCGTAGGGCTTGCCGTAAGCACCACGCATACCGGTCTGGAGCCTATCGGCACCAGCGCACGAAAGCATCTTGTTGATGCGGATGACGTGGAAGGGGTGGACACGGACACGCAGGTGGAACGAGTCCTTACCCGAGGTCTTGGTGATGTACTTGTTGGCACAGATACGGGCAGCCTCGAGAGCCTCCGAGGTGATCTGCTGGTGCTCGTCGCACACAAGGTGGGCGCAGAAGGGGAAGTCATCGACGGAAGCCTTCTTGCGGCCAAGATCGTAGATGCGGATCTGTTAGAGGGGAACGCAGTCAGAGTTAGTTGGCGCCGTCGATCGCGATCTCGATGAGCTGGCCTGTAGCGAAGATCCAGGGTATCCACAACTGTTCCGACGTGATGGCGCTGGATGATCCTGCTCCTCCGACATTCGGTGCAAGCGCATCTGGAGCCTGGTCTGCCTAGCATGGCCATCGCAACCAAGACCCATCCTGTCTACGAGTGTTGATGCTGTGCATGTCCCTCCAAGATGCTGCCAGCGATGCCAGGAGCAAATGTCGCGTATCGACCTCCAGTCCGATCCCACAAATGCGATAGACGTGCTCTCGAATGTTGGTGCGAGAGCCACATGTTCGATATCCCTGTCGATACCATTGCGAATGTCCGACGAGCAATGCGAGCAAATCCTTCTCTCCAATGCGATCCTGTCCCGCCTCTCCTCCAGTGTGTTTTATGCTATGGCACGAGATGCATCCCTGGATCATCGCTGTGCAGGCGTTGGTTCCAACGTACCTTGGGGTCGGGCACACCACGGTTGTACCTCGACTTGGGGAACGGCTTGTTCTTGCAGTAGCGGTAGCAGCGGGCAGGTCGTCGTCCCATCTTGAATACTATTCAGTCGAAGGTCGATGCAGTGAAGTTGGTGTGGGTCGTGCGATGGAAAGGTCGAAAGGAATCGAGGCAACGGGTACGGATCGTAGGAATACGAGGTCAGTTGCCTGTTGCTGCTACGAGTGCCGAGGATGCGGATCGTTGCTGGGCCGTATATGTAGATGCCGGGGATAACGGTGCTGAGCAGGTCGATTGGCGGCAGAGCACTTACCTTTCTTGAAGGGGTGATGAGTGGGTGGAGGGAGAGAAGGGAAGGCGGCACGGCTGCGGCTCACAAGTGGCGACGAGCTCCAACGGATCGACCGTCACACTCTCGCGCCTGCTCAGCGCTCTCTGTGTGTGTCTGGGTGACTGACGTGCTAGCAGCTGGCGCACATACTGGCGCTGCTGCCTCAAGGCTTCAAGCCCAGTCTCTTGCTCACTTGTCCACGGATTGAGGGCAGTCCCATGCCTCCATTGCAGCTGGTCGCTCTGCAGGCCCTTATGTCCGGACTGAGCCACCGGCAATGTACCTCCATCACAGTTGAGGCAGCCTGTCGCGTTGTGGGCCGAAAATCACTTGCCCTGGTCACGCCAGATAAACGTACACGTGACCTCGGCCGAAGTAGTAGAATACTCGGCATTTCAAATTTTGGCAGTAATACAAAAGTCTATTGCGACGACTCGAGCCTCGCTCCCCAGCCCGTTGCGAGGAGCCTGGTCGAGCCTGAGTGACTGGCTGATGAGCTGACCAGATGGCAAGCTCGCGCAATGTCGCCGCGTGCAGTGAGGATGGAGCGGCGCCCGCCTTGGCCAAATTGCGCAGAGTGCCCAGCAGCCCCAAAATTCGCAGACAAGCTGAAGGCGCTGCGACGCCCTGCGCGTGGCCCACTGCGAGCCAAGGACTGGGAAGCGGCTGAATGTGCGATTCGAGATGGCGAGTTGAGCTCGACACCATCTGGTCAGCCCTGCTTCTTCCACCTTACCATCAAGGCCACCCCAATACACACGTCAAGGTTAGTAGCATCTATCGACATCGAACGACTCGCATTGCACCGTGCAGAGTATTGCTGCTGGCGCATGGCACCGTCTCCTGGTCAACAGCTGCATGCAGAACCGGCACATTTGCAAAGTCTTTCGATGATGGCCCTCTCATTTTGACGGCTCAACTCGAGATTGGTCCGACGTTTCAGACAAGCAGAGCAGGCCGTACTGACAGTTTCGTTCCTTTGATCGTCCTCCTGTTCAACCACCGACCCCCTCGCTGCATTCCGACACCTTCGATTTCGCCTTGAACTGCACTTTGCATCTCTCTACCACTCTGCACCTTGTTCGATCCAACTTCGACCTCGCACACGCACTTGCATCTTGCATCTACCGCCCATCTATCCCGACCTCCTGCATTCACCACCAAAAGATGCCCACTCACCTTTCCAAGACCCGCAAGCACCGCGGCCACGTCTCTGCCGGTAACGGTCGTGTCGGCAAGCACCGCAAGCACCCAGGTGGTCGCGGTCTCGCCGGTGGTCAGCACCACCACCGCACCAACATGGACAAGTACCACCCTGGTTAGTATTGCATCAGCACCAGCACTGCTCGACCTCCATCCACGCCAGCCGTACAGCATGATCGTCAGGACAGGACAGACGGAGGAATAGCATGGAATAAGGACGACCAGACGTGGGAATCTGGCAACGATGGCAGCAATGAACCAGCGGAAAGCAGCACTGGAAGGGCAGACATGCACCACAGGGGATTTGAGGAAGGATTCAAACATCGACGGCGTTGCTTTGGTGGGATCTGGTGTGGATGAACCAACGCAGCCTGGATCGAACAGCCAGCTACACAGGCTGTGGATCACTTTGGAAGTCGGCTGGAGGAAATGGATGTGCAAGACAAGACGTGCATCGCATCAGACCATGGCAGTCGTGGATGGTGGTTCTTTCTTTGGCAGTTGCTCGCATCTTCTCTCGACGCCAGAAACAGGCATGCTGACATTTCGATTTCGCGCACTCGTTGCCAATCCGTCTCAACAGGTTACTTCGGTAAGGTCGGTATGCGCCACTTCCACCTTACGCGCAACTCGTCGTACCGCCCCGTTCTCAACCTTGACAAGCTGTGGACGCTTGTCCCCGCTGAGCAGCGTGAGGGTCTGAGCGCCAGCTCGACCGAGGTGCCCGTCATCGACACCCTCGCTGCCGGCTACGGCAAGGTGCTCGGCAAGGGCCGTCTGCCCTCGCTCCCCTGCATCGTCAAGGCTCGCTGGGTGTCGTCGCTCGCCGAGAAGAAGATCAAGGAGGCCGGCGGTGTCGTCAAGCTCGTTGCTTAAACAACGTCACCCTTTCCTCATTTGTGTTCCTTTCTTCGTCCCGAGTGCGCTTTGGCAAAAAACTTCTTTTGTACACCATCAACCCCCTTTTCACTGCACTCCCGCGCTTTCTTGATGCGGGTATTGTGCGCATAGGCTCGCCAGAGCATCGCATCACACAACCACCGACAACCCCCATCTACACCCAAAATATCAGAACACCTGTTCTTGCACCGAATCTTCCTGGTTGCGCGCGCGCATGTGTTTTTCTCAACTTCGTATCAGCTTAGGATTCTTTTCAGGCTGATGATGATATCGAGTCTGGGATGGGATGACATTACAAAGGATGGCGGTTGACGCCCATGATACCGGGGAAAGAGTCTACAAGATGGGAACGTTTTGGTGGGAGGAAGCGGTTGAATTCCACCACTGGGGACTAGGCCGCGCATTTGGGCGGTGGAAACTAGGAAAGGCCGATGACCTCGCCGTCTTCGGTGAGGTCCATGTCGTAGTAGCCGGGCCTTGTGTTGAGGCCGGGCATCTTGGACATTGCGCCGCACATGACGACGAGCAGACCGGCACCGACGGAAGCATACACCTCCCTGACGGGGATGGTGAATCCGGTGGGAGCGCCCTTCTTGGAGGGATCGGCCGAGAGGGACAGATGGGTCTTTGCCATGCAGATCGAGAGGTTGCCGAATCCGTTCTTCTCGATGGTCTGGATCTGCTTCTCAGCAGCTTCAGAAAGCTCGATGCCGTCGGCGCCGTACATGTCGCGCGCAATGGCCTCGATCTTCTGCGTAATGGGCAGCGTAGGCTCGTAGAGGAAGTTGAACTGGCTCGCAGTTCCCTCGAGCTGCTGAATGACCGCCTTGGCCAGGTCGATGGCACCCTCACCACCCAGTGCCCAGTGGTTAGCAGGCACCGCATCGTCAGCGCCGGCCTCGAGCGCCTTCTTGCGCACGAGCTCGAGCTCGGCAGGCGTGTCGGTGGTAAACTGGTTGATGGCAACAATCACCTTGAGACCAAACTTCTTGGCGTTGGCGATGTGCTTGGCGAGGTTGACGCAACCCTTGTCGAGGATCTCGAGGTTCTCCTCGAGGTACACCTCGCTGAGCGGCTTACCGGGCGTCACCTCAGGACCGCCGCCGTGCGTCTTGAGCGCACGCACGGTGGCCACGATCACGGCCGCATCCGGCACCAGCCCGGACTCGCGGCACTTGATGTTGCAGAACTTCTCCATGCCGATATCCGCACCGAACCCAGCCTCGGTGATCACGTAGCCCGTCCTCTCGACAGGCTCGCCCTGCTCGACACCGGCGAGCTTGAGCGCAATCGCGTCGGCGAGGATGGACGAGTTGCCGTGTGCGATGTTGGCAAAGGGACCGGCGTGGACGAAGACGGGGGTGCCCTCGAGCGTCTGCATGAGGTTGGGCTTGATGGCGTCCTTCATGAGGATGGCGAGCGCACCGCCCACGCCAATGTCGTCGGCGGTGACGGGGTCGCCGGCGCGGCTGGTGCCAATGACCATGCGGCCGAGACGCTCGCGCATGTCCTTGAGGTCGCGGCTGAGCGCGAGCACGGCCATGCACTCGGAGGCGACGGCGATGTCGAAGCCCGTGCGGCGGGTGATGCCCTTCTCGGTGGCCGCCTGGCCGACGGTGATGTCGCGGAGGTAGCGGTCGTTGGTGTCGGTAACACGCCTCCAGGTGACCGTCTCGGGGTCGATGTCGAGACGGGCGAAGCGCGCCTTCTCGTCGTCGGTGAGGTCGTCCGGGTTGGTCTTATTGATGCCGAGCTTCTTGAGTCTGCGGAACATGATGGGGGCAAAAGTGCGCACGCCCTTCTTCTTGGGGCACAGACGGTCAAAGAGCGCGGCGTCCTTCTGGGTGGCCTCGTGGAACATGCGCGTGTCGATGGCGGCGGCGAGCAGGTTGTTGGCGGCCTGGACGGCGTGGTTGTCACCGGTGAGGTGGAGGTTGAACTCCTCCATGGGGATGACCTGGGAGTATCCACCGCCGGCGGCACCGCCCTTGATGCCGAACGTGGGGCCCTGGGAGGGCTGACGCACACAGGCGAACGCGGGCTTGCCGAGGTGGGCGCCGAGCGCCTGTGCGAGACCGATGGTGGTGGTGGACTTGCCCTCGCCGAGCGGGGTGGGGGTGATGCCGGCGACGACGATGTACTTGCCGTTGTTGCGGTGGGCGAGGCGCTTGAGCACCGAGAGGTCGACCTTGGCCTTGACGGATCCGTACGGCTCGAGCTCGGACGAGATGAGGCCGATCTCGCGCGCGACCTGGGTGATGGGCTTGGGCGTCTGGGAGCGGGCGACCTCGATGTCCAAGGGCACCTTGGCGAGCGGGGTGATGGGGTTGGGACGGACGACGCCGCGGCCGATGCCGAGGGCGCGGCCGTCGGCGAGGCTGCGCTCGGCGCTGATCAGCACGTTCTCCATGAGCATGGCGACGGTCATGGGACCAACACCACCGGGGACCGGGGTGATGGCCGAGGCGACCTTGGTGGCGGGTTCAAAGTCGACGTCACCGACGAGGCGGTAGCCGGACTTTTTGGAGGCGTCGTCGACAAAGTTGGTGCCTACGTCGATGACGACGGCGCCCTTCTTGAGCCATTCTGCCTGGATGAAGTGGGGCTTGCCCATGGCAGCGATGACGATGTCGGCCTGGGCGAGGTGGGCGGGGAGGTCGGCGGTCCTGCTGTGGCACTGGGTGACGGTGCAGTCCCTCGCGCGGAGAAGGGATGCGACGGGGTTGCCTACGATGTCGCTGCGACCGATGACGACGGCGCGGAGGCCGGCCATGTTGGTGATGCCAGCGTTCTCGAGGAGCTTGATGCAGCCTGCGGGAGTGCAGGGGAGGAAGAGCGGGTTGCAGGCCTTGGAGGAGAGGTGGCCGATGTTGAGGGCGTGGAATCCGTCGACGTCCTTTTCGGGGCTGATGGCCTCGGTGACGCGGCGCTCGGCGTCCGAGTTGATGTGGTCGCCGAGGGGCAGCTGGACGAGGATGCCATCGACGCTGATGTCCTCGTTGAGCTCGCGGACGCGCTGGATGATGTCCTGCTCGCTGGCGCCGTCGGGGAGCTGGACGTGGGTGTAGCGCATGCCGCACTCTTCGGCGGCGAGCTTCTTCATCCTGATGTAGGTGGAGGATGCGCTCTGGGAGCCGACCTGCATGATGCAGAGGTGGGGCTGGAAGGAGGAGTGCTGCTGCTTGAGCTCTGCGATGCGCTGGGCGACACGCGCGCGCACCTCCTTGGCGAGGGCGGTGCCATCGATGAGCTTGGCACCGCCGGGCGTGGTTGCGAGCGAGGCCATGGCGTCGGTGAGCAGCGAGCGCGATCGAGGTGCGGAGAAGCGGAGGAGCGAGGAGGAAGGAGCGACGACCGGACGAGCCGATGACGAGAGGGAGCGAGCGTGGAGGGAGCCGAACGAGAGCGAGGCCGAGGCGAGAGAGTGGGCGTGGACGAGGAGGCGGGAGCTTCGCTGCTGGGAGAAGGAAGCGAGATGGATGCAAGCCGAGCGGCGGAGGAGCATGCCAACGACGGTGCGGGACTAAGGCGCGGGTGGAGAGCGAGAGGGAGAGGAAGAGGTTGAAGAGCTACTACGAAGCGTCGATCGGAAGAAGGCGAAGCAGGCGAAGCAGGCAAAGCATATCGGCGCTTTCGGCTCACGCTTTGCCCCGTTCACACTCGCATTCGACGGACTGCAGCGAGCCGACGTCGAGCGGATTGTTGGCATTCACTGTTGCAGGCTGCACTCGCCCGCTCGGCTACTGCAGGATACTCGACTCGAATAATAAATTTCTTCGCGCCTGGCCAAGGGCGAAAAGACGAAAAAGGCCGCGTCGGATGTCTGTGCGGACGCCAGTTGGAGAGAAGTTGGCAGACTTGACTCGACCCGCTCCGCTTCCACGCCCGGGGCCGCCCAATGAAAATCCAGCGCTTCAGCGCCGCTATCATAGGAAGGGCAGCGAATCGCACGTTCGCGAAAAAAGGCGCGTTTGTTAGAGCGCCAACGACATGCGCCAGCCACGAAGAAATCTCAAAGTGGAGTCCAACACTTGAAGATGAAGCGCGGGCGTGTCTGCATGCCGGTGTGCTTAGCATCCCACCTCCATCTGTGCATCGGCTGCAAGCACTTAGAGGGCGATGCCGGTCATCGTCGCTGCATCGCACGGACCCCGACAGACAACATGGCCCCACTGTAAGCTGCTTTCTTCCTATCTCCTCGCTGCCTCATACGTGTGGATGCGGCCATGTCGCTGCTTCGTGCTCTGCAGAGCAGCGGTATCCTCACCGACCAGCACTCACATCCTCCCGCCCCACGAGGCACCGTCCGACTCGTTCCACAGGCGCTGACTTCTGATTCCTTTCTCTCGCCATCCGATCGTACCTCTGTCGAACCTTCTACCATCTCGCCCTCGCCCTGCAGACGCGACAACCTGATCGTAGGCACGCGCGTCATCATTGCGCAGGACGCCGACCTTCGCGGCGAGATCTCCGTCGGCAGCGGTACTGTGATTCACCCCAAGGCGACCATCTTAGCGCTGCAGGCACCCATCTCGATCGGCTCGGACTGCATCATCGAGGAGACCGCCGTGATCGTCAATCGCACCTCCCAACCCATCAAGATCGGGGATGCCAACCTGTTCGAAGTGGGCTGCCGCATCGAAGCCGCCTCCATCGGCTCGTGCAACGTATTCGAACCCAAGAGCAAGGTGGCACACAACGTTGCTATCGGGTCGAATTGTGTGGTGGGGGCGGGATGCACGCTGCTTCCGCGGCCCGTCACCGACGACCAACTAGCGAGTCTGTTTGACGACGAGGACGCCTTAGAATCGACGCCAGAGCAGAATGGGGAGGCAGAGACAAAGGACAAACGCGAGAGAGTGTTTGAAACGCTGCCGGATCGGACGGTGGTGTACGGGAGCGACAGCCGGCGGCGGGTGTGGAGCGGCGAGGGCGCCCACCAGCAGGCGGCGCTGCATGCCAAGCATCTCGAGTACCTGCGCGACACCATCCCGCGCACGCACAAGCTCAAGATCATCCAAGGCGTCAGAGCACCTCCTCCCACCAGCACCGCTGCATCATAAATCGACAGCCGTGTCCAAAGCCAAGCGTGCTCATATCGTAGCAGCTGAGAAGCCGATCTAACAGATACGCAGAAAAAAATCAGCGTGTTGGGGGGATGAGCGGCCCGATTCGACCGATGAGATTGAAGCCTCTTTTGACTCGAACGGAAGTTGGGGAACGCGGCGAAAGAGAGGGCCCAACGGGTTGCGAGCACAGACTCTTTTGGTGGGCTTGTTCATCTCGCCTCGCTGACATCGTTCACCACCATCCTCTTGCGACTCCAGTCGGACCTCTATCGCCTCCCTTCGCATCTCTCATCCTCTCCACACACCACCTCTGCAATACTCAAGATGGCGTCGGCAAGCGGATCCCGATTCCAGGCGTTTATGAACCACCCCGCCGGTCCCAAGACTGGTAAGTCCCGCGCCTTTCCCTCGTGCTCACCCTTTGAACTTTTTTGATCTGACTTTTGGTTTTGGTGGGATAGTGTTCTTCTGGGCGCCTTTGATGAAGTGGTGTCTCGTCGCAGCGGGATTGAAGGATCTTTCGCGACCGGCGGACAAGATCTCGGTGCCGCAAAACGTCGCGCTCGCAGCAACGGGCATGATCTGGGTGCGCTACTCGCTCGTCATCACCCCCGTCAACTACTCGCTCGCCGCAGTCAACTTCTTCGTAGGCTGTTCGGGGCTCGCTCAACTCTACCGTGTTTGGGACTTCCGTAGGCAACATCCTGTCCAGGCAGCTATCACCGATAAGACCAACGAAGCCGCCAACAAGATCTCGAAAGAATCCCTGCCCCTCACCTCCAAGTAAACGTCTTGGCCACACTTTCACTCCGCATTGTAACATAAACCTCCTTTCCGCTTTCGAGAATTCTGCATGCTTTCCTCAAAACCCTCATCCACCGGCAAGTATACGCCGGGCGCTGCGCAAAGACAAACTGGTCGCGTTGGGTCTATCAGGGACGCAGGGGGTCTACATGTTGGTGGTGGGCAATCCGGCTTGGACAGTAACATCTTCCACAGGCGCTGCACCTGTGGAGCGCAGCACGTGTTCTACACCGCCAGGCATACTACGCAGCGCCTCCTGCTCTTCCAATGACCGTGTGAGCATGAATCCCGCGTATCCTATCGCCATACCAAAAGCAAAATCGTCAGTTTGCGGCTCGTTTCCTCGATACTGCGAAACAACTTACCGAGGGAATTGATCGAGAGGCTACCGATCTTGCCGTCCGAGTCGTGTTTGCCGGGAAGTTGGTCGAACTCCTCGTGCGCACGGGGGATGAGGTGCATCGCCCGCCGCGTGATCAGCACGTTAAACGCCGGCTTACCCGTGGCTGCCTCTTGGCTGCCAAACATGCGTGCGCGGAACAACGCATCGAGCAGGCCCATGAACTTGTTGCCGATATACTGCTCCATCTCTGCCTCGCTCGTGCGCGCTGCAGGAGGGGGATTGAGCAGCGCAACAAAGTGCTGCCACGGTAGGGGGAGTGCGTGGACCGCATCGTGTTCCTTCCCGTCGCGCTCGATACGGTCCAGCAGCGCCTCGACCGGTACCTTGTGTTCAGCGTCGACAATGCGGTCCTGTTCATCCTGCGAAATGCGGCCCTTTTCCACGGCTTCTTCCGAGGTAGTGTCGAGTGGGGGGCACTGGACGAACTGCAGGTGGCGGTGGGGTTGGCTTGCACCCGCCGTGGCACCGCAGTTGTAAAACGCCAGCAGCTCCGTAGCGCCCGCCCTATGCGCAGCAACAGTCCTGTACGCCAGCGAAAGCGTAGCTGGAGAAGGTGGCAGATCCTGCGACGCAAACTCGCGCGTCACCATGAGAAAGTGCTGCGGCACCACGCAGAACTTGTTCAGCAGCATCACGTGCTCGCCCACATCCTTCACGTGCAGATTCGGCACGTACGGCGGTGCAAACACATCGCTCTTGTTCTGCTGCGGCTTGTCTTCCGGCGACTTGCTCTCCGGGGTTTTGTTGTCCGAAGGCTTCTTGAGCAGCGCAGGGACCGTGCGGATCTGCCACGCCACACCGGACGCCTCCGACTCTTGCAAGGTGATCTTGTCCGACGGATAGAAAAAGGCGTCGCCGGCGGCGATCGCAACGTCGAACTTCTTGCGCACCAAAGTGGCGAGCGTCTTGAGCTCCGTGTCTGCCACTGTGCCTGCCGACGACATGGTGCGGAGGAACGAACCGGTGCGAGGTGGGGAGGTTGCGAGCGGTGCGATGCGCAAAGATGGGGAAAAGGCAGGTCTAGAGGGTAGCAAGGGTGCGATCGAGCGGTAGATGCGTTTGCTGTGCATGTATCAACGGCAGCTTCGAGGTGGTGTAAGACAGGCTGTACGATGTGAGTCAAGAGGATGACGACAAGGAGAGCTTCGCCTTGGTCACGCCAGACCAACACCCCCAAAAAATTGCTCCACATGTTAAGTTTGTAAGCCACCACCTCCTCGTCACCACACATGGCCTTCCTCAATGCCAACACTGTCACAGCCCTCTTCAGCATGGCCGAGTCGAGACGCAGAGGCATTGACATGATTTCGGCGACAATGTAAATTTCTGGATTTGTGCGCTGCTACCATGCGTAGAACGACATCGACTGTGCCGACGGCTGTCGCTGCTGCCGGACGAGTTCAGCGCGCCTAGGCTCGTGTGGATAGCTGTGCGCCTCGGCCACTTCGACCTCGACACCCCTACTTGCACGCACCAGCTCCACCACCTCGTTCCTCGACCCAGCTCCCTCCTGCTCTGCGCCTCTGCTCCCCGGTTGCGGTACTGGCGACTTGGACCCGATCCAGTCCTGCGCCGGCAGCAGATCGAGCGTCTGCCTATGCCTCGCCCCCTCCACCGGGGCTGACAGACGCCCCTCGAACAAGGCCGAAGTGGGTGAGGACGCAGGGGAGCAGCCAAAGAGCCGCTCAAAGCGGTCCTGTGCACTTTCTGCCGGGTCGGCGCGGCGGGGCTGCGTGGACTCGGCCGTCGACTGGGCGATAAGGAACGAGAGCCACGAACTGCGTTCCCTCGGCGTCGGCGTGTCCATCGCATCCCGGTGGTACGGAGGTGAAGCAGCGTCTTGTGCCGAAAGTGGGCTGCTCGATGCAAAGCGCGGAGATGGGGTGCGTGCAGCCGTGCTGAGCGAGTGGTGGATCTGGAACGGGTACGAGATGCTGTCCTTGGCGATGTGGCCGCGTCCAGCCACGCGGGCAGAGTCGACGATCGAGCCGCCACGCACATTCCCACTGGCGTCAGCAACGACGGGAACTTGCATCTGCTGGCGTTCATCCGAGACCGTGCGATTGGAGCGCTGCGATCTCGTGGGGAAGCGCAACCATCGTGGCGGCGTAGGTGCCGGGCCGCGAGGCTTTTCTGCATCTCCGCCCGCCGCATCGCAATCTCCTTGCTGGACATGCCTGCCATCTGCTATCGTCGCATACACAACCACTACGATCCCACCTGCAGCCACTGCGATCCACACGGCAGTAAGCACCGCGAACAGCACGCGTTCCTGCTCGAGGTGGTGCAGGTACTTGCCGACCACCTGACCTGCCAACCCACTGCCGTCACTCCCATCCCCGACCAGTGCCGACCTGATCGGATGCAGCACTAAATCCTTCTGCAGCGCCGACGGCACAAACACATCGTCAGGCACAAGGCTGAACTCGACGTGTGCATTGTTGTGGATCCACGTAAGCGCCTTTTCGATCCCCGCGACCTTTTGCCCAAGGATGCACTGGACGAACGTCTGGAGGGGAGCGTTGAACGGCGTGCCTCCGAACGTGGTGGTGAGGGTGTCGGTGATGCCATCGACGAACTGGTTGAGTGTGGCGTTCATGGTGAGTGTGGTGGTGTCGACCCAGCGAAAGACGTGCGTGTTGAGCTCGTCTGACACTTCGGTGATGAGCGCGTTGGCCGTCGTGGCGAAGGCGACCGAGGCATTGCGCGCGGATGAATCGACGAGACCGAGCACTTCCGAAGAGAGGTGCGTGAGCGTGTCGTCGAGCTCGGAGGTGTAGCGGTGCGTGATGCGGCGGATAAGCAGTGTTTGCACCCAGACGCATAGCAGACCGAGAAGGCCGGTGAAGAGACAGGCGAGCGCCGCGGGGTGCGAGACGAGCGCGCCGAGCCACAACAGTCGGTCTTGCGCCCAGCGAGACCGCATGCCGAGACGTCGACTTGCACCAGAGACGAGAGTGTGCGCCAGCGGGCTGCGCGAGATCGAGACCAGCCTTCTGACGTCGGCCTCTCCCATCTCTTTCCCGATCGAGTGGGGCGTGTCCTTTTCGGTGTACGAATGTTGCTGCTGTGTGCGCCACAGCGCGGTGGTCCTCTTGATTCCCTGTTGCTCCTTGTGCCAGGCACACCACTCGCGCGCCGCCGACACGAGCACCACCGCCAGCGCCACCACCGCCAGCATGGCCAACGCCCACCTTGCTGCCACCGCCAGCTCGTGGCCCAACCTATCGATGGGCGAGGTATCGATCTTCTGGCAGAACGACAGATTCTGCATCTGCGGCACGGGCAGCACGGTGTGGTTGAACCTAAACCCGGCAATGGTGGCATTGACGTCCTGGCGCATCTGCTCAAACGGCGTCTGTATGAGCTGGTTCATAGTCTGCCTCAGCTGCTGCAACGTTGGCAGGGTATCGTTGAGCTTTACCAGTCCGTCCTGGATCTCGTGGGGCAGCTCTACGTTCTGCAGTGCTGCCAGACTGGGCACGGCGATGGAGGGGACGTTGAGGTGCTGTCCAAACACGCCGACTACATCGTTGATCCCCTGCACCGCTGTGGCGAGCACCGCATTGACGCCCTGTACCGACTCTTGGATGGCTGCACGAATGCCCTGTGCGGCGGCATTGACGGCTTGCGAGATGATCTGGACGGCTGCGATGAGCACCGCGAGTGCGCCGCGCACGAGCAGCTCCATAAAGCACAGCAGCAACGAGCGGTACGAGTTGACCATGTACGCCAGCGTCTTTTCAATCGCCGTGAGCGAGAGATCGAACACACGTGCGGCACCGTGCACCGTAGCTTCGACCGACTGTGCGATTTGTGCGTTGACGGTCGCTGCGGTGAGCGAAGGGAGGGAGGCGGCGAGAGAGGCGCGGTCTTCGACTGCATCGCATGCGGCGAGCAGCTTGGCCTTGGTTGAGGCGACCGAGCTGGTCACGTCCGAGGTGGACATGAGCACGCGTGCGCCTACGAACACGATTGCGATCATTGCCACTGAGATGGGAGATAGGATGAGACGCGCACGCAACCCAAGCCAGGGCTGCAGTGTAGGTGAGCGCTCGCGCATGTCGCGAGCAGAGCTAGTCTGATGGTCGTGGAGGGAAGATGTGGATGGATGGTCGTGGTACGACGGCGGTGTGTCTGTGTGTTTCTCTGGCGGATAGGACATGGCTGCCGATGCTCAAGTTGTAATGCACCGCAGATGATGGTGTTGTCGAAGCGGACGGAGCCTTTAAGCTTGGCCCTGACGAGGACTGCGTCGTGTCGAGCAGCGCGCTAGGCGAGCGCGCCTGGCCAACCGCGCATGGGAGCGCGAGGCATGACGAGGGCAACGACGACAAAGGGACGGGCCATTGAGCATGGTCGAGTCCCTTTGTGCCTGGCGGCGCCGCTTTCGGTGTTGGACAGGTCCACCTCGGCTCCCTTGTCTCGCGTTGTATTTGGGCACAAAGGGAATATGCCGTTGTCGCCGCTGCACGCTTATGAGCTGCGGCGAGTTGTAGGCTTCCTGGTCCCGCCGATGCGGTCCCCACCGAAGGTCTGCCTTTCTGCAATCAGACTTTACGTACGTTGCAACGGCAACTGCCTCTCGAGAGGTCAGCAGGTTCACTTATGTCGGCACATGTACGTTTTGGCGGTACTGACAAAGAGAGCGGAGTTGGACGCTGGACCCTGCATGTTTATGATTGCGTGTGCAGGCGCCTCGCCCACTCTTGGCCACCATGCCATCGTGTCTCTTTCGCAATGTCACCTCCTACCACGATGGCGGGTCTGTGTCCTCTCTCACTGAGTGTGTGGCGTGTCTGCGAAGCTTCACTTGCTGCGCTTCTGGCTGCACGCGTTGCAGGGCTGGCTGCAGTCGGCGCCACGTGCGGCTTTGAGGTGATCGTGTTGTTGCGGGCAGCGCGTTATCCGGCAGCGGTGCAAGCAAAGACGCCCCCCGCGTGGCACAATCGTTCGCGCGGACGTAGTGAGCAGTGCAACCATGGCGGCACATGCGTTCCAAGCCAGAGCGCAGCCAGCTCACCAGCTCCACCTGACGTCGAGGCGGAGACACGGGTTGAGCTCATTTCGAGCACTAGCAAGTCGAGATGAGCGTGGGCATGCCGGGGCTCGTGCACAGCTGCAATACGTGCAGAAGGACGAATCTTGCGCCGTGCAGTCGTGCGGATCTTTGAGCCTCTGCCATTTGGTGGTCAGAAAGGCCGATGCAACCGAGCAGCAGCCTGTTGAAAAGTGTGCTTTTCGCGCCGCCGTGGCGATGTGGAGAGTAACACTTTTTGTCGCGAGCCCAAATTCACGCTTCCTCTCACCGCACCATCTCCACCCAAACGACTGCCGCGACGAAAGGGGGGTTGGAACCATGTCGTCTGCACTCCGCTTTGTGGTGCACGGTCTTTTGGCCACGCTGCTCTACACTGCGTACCGCTTCTACACCCCCGACACAGGCTCCGTACTCGATCATCCTTCTTCCGGCTCGCTCGGGTCCGGCGTAGTCCTTTCGGACGGACGGCAGTCTCTCCACCGGCGCACGGTGGCAGTTGCCGATCTGCACGGCGACCTGCAGCACGCACTCAACGTCCTCTCCATGGCATCTCTCATCTCGGGCAGTGGAGATTCGATCGCCTGGACGGGCGGACATGACGTGCTTGTTTCGACGGGCGATATAGTCGATCGTGGAGACGATACAATCGCACTGTATCGGCTCTTCCAAACCCTCCGTTCCCAAGCCGCCACCGCAGGAGGGAAGGTGGTCAATCTGAAAGGCAACCATGAGCTGATGAACGCACTTGGCGATTGGAGATACGTTACCGAGGGAGACGTCAAGTCGTTTGGCGGGGTTCAGGCTCGTCGAGAGGCCATGTCGGTCCACGGCTGGATAGGCAAGGAATGGTTGGAGCATTACAACGTCACTGCTGTAGTACCGCTGTTGCCAACCGACCACCCCGCACTGCCGAAAGGGTATACACCACCGAAAGCGAGCTTTGTACATGGAGGTATCACCCCGCTCTACGCCGCACGTGGAGTCGATGCCATCAATACCATAGGCAAGTCGCTCCTCCACAAAGCCCTCTCAAGCACCTCACACTCGTGGCTTCCACCAGACGTCACACCAGAAGAACGCGAGCTCTGGTCGGAAAACGGTCCGCTTTGGTATAGAGGTTACGCCACAAATCCCCCCGAAGAGGCTTGTCCAGATGCCGATGCCGCACGCGCGAGTCTGGGCGTACAGCAGCTCATCATGGGTCACACCCCACACTTTGACGGCTTTGTATCGAGGTGCAACGATTCAGTTCTGCTTATCGATACCGGCATCTCGCGTGCATACGGCGGCGAACAATCCGCCCTCATCATTGATACAGACCTCACACCCTTCCCTGACCATAAAGGGCAGTGGATAGAGGAACAGACCCTCACCGCACTGTACAAAGGTCGCAAACCAAAGATCCTCACCTCCTCCAAACGTCACATCCACCTCTAGTCCACAGCTGCAGCCAACAGCGCGCCAACAACGGTGACATTGATAAAAGAGCGACGTGAGAGTTGGACTAGAACGAACGTATGTGTCAAAAAATGAACGTGTGTGTGTGTGTGTGTGGAACGAAACCCCCGAATAGCAAAAAGAGAATGTGAAAGCCCCATCACAAGATTGGGCGCCGGTGGAAAGGAATGTGTGGTGGCGAAGTGTAAAAGCGCCGGCACAACTACCTCTGCCTTCTAACTCAAAACCAAAAGGATGTAGGTGTTCACTGTGTGAACGGGTATAGCCCTCTGCCTCGGCCCAGCGCGACTCGCCGCCGGCGGACAAAGGTTCTTGACTGCTTTACGACCGGTGCGACGCCGGCTCAAAAAACGTGGTGAAGCGCTTGATCTTCTTGAGGCGCGCCTGGTGCTTGGTCTCCTCGCTGCCCGACAGACTAGGCGACGCCGCCGAGCGCCGGTTCAGCTGGGTATTCGACGATGCCGACAGCGCCGACGCCCTGCCTCCGCTCGCCGCCATCTTCTCGGCCGCATGCTCGACCGCCGCATCGCGCGCCTCTCCCTGCTCCCCCTGCGCGATCGTGTTGACGCTGCTCGCCGCCGTCAGCTCGCCGCGCGACGCCCTGGACCGCATCGACGCTCCGCCGTGGCCCTCGCGCCGCTTGCCCAGCCGATTGAACGGCCGGCTCGACGTCGACGAATGGCTGCCCGACGTCGGGATGCGCGACGTGTCCTGTCGACGCAGCAGCCGGTACGTGTCCACCACGCCGCGCGCAAACAGATTCGTGCCCTTGCCGCCGTTGAGCTCCGACTTGAGCTCGCCGTCCGGACCCGAGAGCTCCACCATGTCCCAATCGTCGTCCTCGTGGTCGCTCTCGCGGATCACGCCGTGGCTCGGTCGCCCCACCGCCGACGGCGCCACCTTGCGCGGCGCGCCCGTGCGGCTGGCGTACGAGCTCGCCGGCGAACTCTGCACCTGGCTCGCCGAAAAGTCGCTCTGCGAGTCGGAAGCTGTTGTCGTCGCCTCGCGGCTGTGCGCCGTCGCTCCAGCCACCGACGCCGCCTCCATGCTCGCCTCGTGCTCCAACTGAGCCAGCACGGCCGCGGCAGCGCGCACATCCGAGTCGTCCTCTTCCTCCTCGGCGATGGCGACGTCGGCGATCGAAAGCTGCTGCGCCGCCTCGGACGCTGCGGGCTTGCGCACCTCGCCCATGGCTGGCTGATGATTCACAGCCGTCGTGGCCGCAGGAGCAGCCGGCGCCGTAGGAGCGATTGAGGCGGCATCCACGTTCGAGGCAGCCGTCGCCGACGACACCTTGGTGCTTCGCCTCGTGGGTGAGCTTGGGGCGGCACCCACTTCGGACGGCTCCTCCGGCTGATCGGCCGACACGAGCGAGCTGATCGACTCCGAGTCCTTGCGGCCGCGGAACGAGTAGCCGTCAAAGAGGTTGCTGTGCTCCGACGCCTCCCTGTCGTCCATGCTCTGATCCGGCGTGGCTTCAAGACCAGCGTCATTCGCACCAAAGGCTCCATCGACGGTCTCGTCCGCCTTGACTCCGTTGGCGTCTGCTTCGGCCTCGCCGGCGTTGGCGTCCAGGCTGGGATCCGCCTCGTGCGCCACGGTGGGCTGCATCTCGAGGAAGGTCTCGTCAAAGTTCTGCGTGTCGATCTCGTTGTCCGGGTCGATGGGCGGGATGTAGGGCGGGATGTATCGCTTGTGGAAGATGTGATCCCACTCGATCATGGAAAAGTACGGATGCTTCTTGATCCGCGGCTCCTTCATGCGCAGCTGCGGATTGCGCTGCAGCAGACCGCGCAGGATGCTCTTGGTGTCCTGGTCCAGCACGCGGTCCTCGGGGAAGACGAGCGGATCGCGCAGCACCTTGGCGTACATGTCGGCGTGCGTCTCGGCCCAGAAGGGGGTGATGCCGGTGAGCATCTCGTAGAGCATGGTGCCGAAGCTCCACCAGTCGACTTCGTACGAGTACGCCTGGCCCTGGAGCACCTCGGGCGCGAGGTACTCGGCGGTGCCGCAAAAGGTGGTGGTGGTCTCGCGCTCGTCGAGCCAGCGAGTGGACGACGATCTGGAGGGCGCTTCGGATGCATCGTCCGAGGCGGACATCCAGTGTGCGGATCTGGACTTGGGCACGCTGGCGCTGGAATGCGAGCGGCCGGGCGAGGTGGGCGGAGGCGTGACGCTGCCGATGGAGCGACTGCGGCTGCTGAACTCCTTCGAGAGGCCAAAGTCGGAGAGCACAATGTGACCGTCGGCACCGATGAGGACGTTCTCGGGCTTGAGATCGCGATAGATGACACCAGCCTTGTGGAGGCCTTCGACGCCCTCGACGATCTCGGCAGCGTAGAAGCGGGCACGGTCGCGGCCGAGCCGGCCCCATCGGGAGAGCTGGGTGGCAAGATCGCCTCCCGGGTGGAAGTCCATGACGAGGTAGAGGTTGTTGCGGTCGTGGAAGGACCACCAGAGACGCACGACGAACGGGTCGAGCACGTCCTTGGCCATGCGCTTGAGGACGGACTGTTCGGTGAGTGTGTGTTGGAGCTCTTGATGGGCAAGCACGTGTCGCTTGTGGATCGACTTCATGGCGTAGAGGCCGCGCGATGCCGAGTGACGCACAAGGAGCACCTTGCCGGCACAGCCCTTGCCGAGGACGCGGATCATCTCAAAGTCGTCGACGGTGACCTTGTTGGAGCCCTTGCGGCGATGGTGGGGGCGCTTCTTGAGCGATCGCGCCTCGCCGAGCTCGGTCTCGGTGTTGGCTTCCGAGTCCTCGGCGTTCTGCTCTTCGGGGATCATCTCGATGTTGGTGTTGGTGGAGCGGGCGTCGTCGGCGAGACCACGTCGGTCGGAGGAAGCGGTGTCGACGGATGCGGATCGGGAGGCGACGGTGGCGCGGCTCAACCTGCCAGCTGGAGTGCCCGACGCACGCGAGGAGTCGTCTGCCGAGTCGAGGTCGAGGTCGTCTTCGGTGGGAGCGCCGTCCTCTTCGAGGTCGGACTGGGCCGGGGCGACGCCGACGTTGGTGTTGCGGGGAGCGACGGAGGACTTGACGTGCTGTGCCAGGTCGCTGCGAACCTTGCGCACGCGACGCTCTACGCGGACGCTCTGGAAGTCGTCGCTGCCGACGCGAAGGAAGCGCTTCCAGGTCTTGTGATCTCTGAGCTGAGTGTTGTTGGCGAGAGCGGTAAAGTAGGTGGCGAGCTGAGTGGTAGTGGAGTGCGATGCAAGTTTGGCCATCTCGGCGGGCTGGGGCGAGAGGGGAGCCGAGGGCGGAGGCGAAGCGGCGTCGGCTCTGAGTGCGTCGGAAGCGGGCGAGGCGGGCGAGGCTGGCTCTGCGGCGAAGCTGGCAAAGGTGGCGCGGGACTTGGAAGCGCCGGGGGATAGGGTGCGGGAGATGGTCTGGAAGAACTTGCGACCGCTGGTCTGGGGCGCGGCTACGGGCAGGACGGGCAAGGGAGGGAGGGAGTGTGTGGAGAAGTCTTGGGAGATCTTTGCGTCGAGGTCGGTGATGTCGTTGGCGGAGCGAATGAGGGTGAGGTTGTGGGTGGGGGTGGTGACGTAGAGGGTGTAGGAGGCGACGAGCTGCTTGCGCTTGCGACCTTCGCGCTTGTCCTTTGCCTCTGCGACGCTGATGCTCCAGGGCCCGTCTAGAGACCTGGCGAGGGAGGAGGGAGGGATGGCGTCTGCGATCCTGGAGTCGAGTTCGGCGGCGGGGATGCGGGGGCTGGCGTTGGTGGAGCCCGGATTGCCATCTTCGTCAAAGAGGCCGCGGATGCTGGTGCGGTTGCTGCTCGAGTTGGGTGATCCGGCGTGATTGGAGCTGCGGGTGGAAAGCTCTCTGAGTCCTGCAAAGGTGCTGAACTTCTTGTGGGCGGATACGGGCGAGGCGGCGCGGGCGGGCGGCGCGGCTGGAGCCACCGAGGTGGGCATGATGACGAGGCGTTGCGAGGGCTGCAATGACGTAGCGATGGGGAAGGCTCGCGGCGGGATGCTGTCCAGGCCAGAGAATTAGATGGAGGATGAAGGCATCTAGCTTGCGAGAGAGCTGCAGCCAGAGAAGGTGGGGTTGATGTGCGGCGAGAGAAGAGACAGGCGGCCGAAGTGCGCTGGTGAAGATGAATACGTCAGAGCGCGTGAGATGAAAGTCGTCGTTTGCAGTAAAGAAAAGCAGAGGGAAGCAGCCGATGGACGGGGAAGATGCAAGGCGAGAGGGCGAGCGCGCAGCTATTGGGAAGGATGGATGCTGCGACAAAGGTGGTGGCGAGGCGCGGTGTGGAGGACGATGAGGGCAGGCAGAATCGAAAATGGGAAGCGGGGACCGGTGGATGAATACGCTGAGGATGATGAGGATGGTGATGGGAACGAGCTGGGCTCTGAGCTGAAGTGAGGTGAGGTTGGGTTGGGTTGGGTTGGGTGGGGTTGAGGATGCGCAATGGCCACCGACCAGAGACACTCTCTCGCAGACCGACACGCCGACACGCAGGCTCACTAGGCGGCTTCAGCCCAGCAGCAGCAGCACAGCAGCAGTGGGCCCCAGCAGACCCACACGCAGGCGAGAGGCGAACCCTCCAAAAAAAAAAGGGTTGAAAGGCGGAGCGGAGAGGTGTGGTGCGGTGCGTGCATTTCCAGGCAGCCGCGACCCATTTTCACGCCAGCCCAGCGCAGTTCGCCTCGACAAAGGGGTCTCTGCACGCAACTCGCCGCCAAAGTGTTGTTCTGCTGCTGCAGCTGCTGCTCTTCATCGAGTCGGTGCCGGGCGTTGCTGAGCGCGAAATCCAATCATTAAAAAAAAGGCGCACAGCAGAAGATCCCACCAAAAAAAAACACAAAATCCGATGCGTCGAAAAAAAAAAAGTGGGGGGCGCGACAGCCGCACACGCATGCATCCACCGCAACCGCACCTCCTCGCAACCTGCCAACCTGGGACGCTGCATCTCGGTCGGAACCGTGTCGTGGAACCGACGTGCATGCCTCTCTGCATCGACCCATCCTGCCTAGCCGCACACTCTCGTTCATCGATACGCTTGCTAGCCTTCACTCTCTGATTCTCTGCTTCGCCGTTGCCCGTCTTGTGCTCGATGCCATGTCAACCTCATTCGCCTCACACCAACTAGCGATCTCGACTCTTCGCCATTCAAAGCGCCTCTCTCTCTAGAAAATAGAAATCGAAAAAATGAAGAAAGAAAATGGCCGCACCAAAAAAAGGAGCCTAAAAATGCACGCAAAACCTTGCTTCTCCAAAGCCACAGTCACAACCTCGCCTTCATCCGACCCCAGCAACCAAAATACTGCAACATCACATCCGAGCTCCAATAGAGAAAAGACTGACGATGGATTGGATAAGACTAGCGAATACGAACCATGAATGCGGAGGAAAGCAGCACTGATGCGGCATGCTAGAAAGGAATGGATAGGATGGCGGCGCGATAGAATGAATGAATGCACGGTGTGTGAGATGGAAAGACTTCAGAATCCATCAAGCGCAGAGAGGCAGCTGTTGTCCGCATCGCCAAAGCTCTCGCCAAACAGCTTCTTCTGGCGACCTTTGGCCTGGTCGCGCTCCCACTCGCGGTCGCGTTCGCGCTCCAGCTCGCGTTCGCGCCGCATCTTCTTCTTGAGCCGCTCCTTTTCGCGCTTCTTGTCGCACGTACACATGCTCGCCACACCGCCGCCAGCCGACAGATACGCCGACTCGGAACAGCTTTCGGCAGGCGAGTTGGACGACTCGCGATCGTGCTGCGGCTCGCGTCCGATGCCCAGATGCGACAGCGCATACCCATCGCGCGACCGAGAGCGCGACGTGCCCGACGACTCGATGCTCAGCGAACGCACGCTCGCACGCAGATGCGAGATGGGCGAGCGCGATCCCCTCTCCTCCTCCTCCATCTCCGATACCTCGGCAGAGCTCGTCGTCAGATCACGCACGTGCAGAGACGCGCGCGCCGTCGAGCCCATCGCACTCGCACTGGCACTCGCACTGGCGCTGGCACTCTCGCTCTCCGCGTCCGTCATCTGCGCAGATCCACCCGACGACGTAGGCGCAGACGACTCGGCACTCGACCCCTTGAGCCGCTGCCGCAACGAGCGGCAGAAGCGGCACTTGGTCGACTTCTTCTTGGCATGCCCATCGCGGCTCACCGATCGCACGCGCATCACCTGCGACTCGTCCTCGTCCAGATGGTCCAGCGCAGACCCCGTCTCGCCAAACGACGACCGCAACCTCGGCGATGAACGCTGCACGCCCATCTCGCCATGGTGAAAGCTCGGTCGACGTGACGACTCGGGCGTCGTCGCCTCCGAAGTCGACACTTCGCCGCTCGACAGCCCGGCGAGCACCGACGCCGACGCCACCGCCTGCACGTGCCTCGACTCCCAGCTCGTCGTGTGCACCGTCTCGACCGACGACGAGAACTTGGCCTCGTCCGCAAACTCGAGGCCCTTGGGCGTGTTCTCGTGCTCCCAGCTGCTGCCTGCTGCGCCGTCCGCCTCGCCTTGCAGATGCAATGCATCCGCCTCGGCGCTTGGCTCAACGCGCCTGTCCGGCGAGACAGACAAGGCTCGAGCTGCAGAGCTGCCTCCCGCAGGTTTGCCGTTGAGCCCTTCCACGATCTGCTCAAACGGGCTCAGGTCCGGGCTGGTGCAGTTGCTGCTGTTCCAGCTGTTCTCGTTGCCCGGCGATTCAGTGCCGTCGCAGTCACCGTCGCTGCTCAGGCTGCTCCACGGATCCACCGAAGAGCAGCGCGACGAAAGCGGCGACGAAGTGACGCCCAGCACACTGTTCCAGCCCGGAGATGTTACCGATCCACCCGCGTGCGAGTGCGCCGGAGGCTGCAGCGTCGAGATGCGCGTCGTCTCCTTGTCGGCCAGTCTTCGTTCCATACCGACGCGCCGCGGCGTCGACTGCTGCGTCGACGCGTCCGACATGCTTGGAGTGGCTGCGAGCGTCGACGATGCGCTGCTTGGGACATCCGGCAGACGTGCTGGGCCGGGTGAGTGAACTTCTGCTGGTGGCTGCTCGGCGGTGGAAGGGCTGGGCACATCACGCAGCACCTCCATCGCGCCTAGCACCGGTTCGACACTGAGGCCATTGACCACGCTGCCCGAAGAGAGCGAGGATGGTTGCGAGCCGTCCGAGTTGATGCCAAAGTAGCCCACGCTTGCATACGCGCCAATCGACTTGCGCAGACTCGGGCTCGGCATGGGCGTCGCATCGGGTGACGCACGGCGAGGCGTGGGCGGCGTGGTCTCGGGGCTGAGCGGCAGCTTGCTTGGAGGTGGAGATGGCTCGGCGAGGATGGCCGGCGAGGTGACCTCGGGCGCCAGGCTGTTCTGCAGGCCGCCAAACGAGCGGAAGCCGTGGACGGGTAGGCTGACTTTTTGAGACAAGGCTTGGCTGTTTGTCTTGTACAGGCTGGAGCTGTCCAAGCCAGTCGAAGACGTCTTGGACTCGTCGGATGCGAGAGCGGAAGCATGCTGCAACGACGAGAGTGCGGAAAAGTGGAGAGACTTGCCGCTGGCCATGAGGCCCGACTGCTGCTGGCGAGGCTGGTATCCGACCGAGGCGATGACCGTTCCGTTCTTGATGCACGCCCAATTCTCGAGCGTAGGGTCGCGGAAGAAGCCTACGTCGGGAGCGGGCTCGTCGGCCGACTCCATGGCGCCTGCCGACTCGTCGACGGAGGAGGCGTCGTCCTCGGCCGAATCGTCGCCATTGTGCGAGGTGGAGCGCGGAGGTAGGCTCATGTCGAACTCGGAGCCGCCCTGGGTGCACTTGATGGGCCGACGGTCGTACGATGCGCCGGAGAGCACGTAGAACTCTTCTGGTGGCGATTCGTCAAAGTGAACATGGCGCACACCCGCGGCGAGGGAGAGGTTGCGAGGGGCGGCGAACGAGGTGGGCAGAGGGTTGGATGCGACGCGGTCATGGATGGGAGCCGGCTGGAGGCGTTGAGCGGCCAATTCGACCGAGACGGTGGAGATGGGCACCGACGCCTGACGCTTGAGGCAGGGGGCGCGGACGCAGGTGGTGGTGCGTGCAGGGATGAGGTGGTGGCGCACGCGATCCATCTTGGGCGAGAGCTGCGCGGCCTCGACGGCTGGGAGCTCCGCGCCCGTGTCGGGGTCAGCGAGGCTGGCGGACGAGGTATCGATGCGCAGCTCGTTGGCGGCGGCAAGGAGGGCGGAAGGGAGCATGATGGCGGTGTTGATCAGGGTGGTATAACTGGAACCGATGCCGGGATGAATGGGTTTGAGGTTGTCCTAAGCTATGCGCAGGTGCGGAAGGACTTGGACTGAATGCAAACGAAACAAGGCCTTGTGCGAATGTGTGTGTGAAACCTCGACTTTAGGGGCAGGACACGAGCATGCCGCTTTGGCCGAGTGTAAGGATAGTTGTGAGACGGGCGCGGCCAAGGTTGGGTAGGGAGATGGCGAAAGCGAGAGCGGAAAGCGCCAGAGGGCCGCGTTGGCTCGCCTAGGTCAACAGACGTCGAACATGGCAGGCTGCGTGGAGATGGGCTGGTGTAGAGATGCGGTCCGGATGAGAAAGATGCTTTGAGATGGGAGATGGTCGACTGAGCCGGTAGGGTAGCGAGGGATACGGAAAGGCGTATAGGTATCGAGAGCCGGTGGACCGCACTGTATGCGCGACTGGTCTGCCACCGAGCGAAGACGATGTGCGCCGGGTCGAGGTGCCAAGAGACGAGCCAACGAGATTGCGGAGCGGATGTGTTGGAGGGGGGGAAAGGGATAGGTTGGGACGCCAGCGAGTGCGCAGACGAAGGCGAGAAGGGAAGGGAGAGGGATCTATGGATCGCAGTGACGAGCGAGCGAGCGAGCGAGGGAGGGGGCCAGCTAGAGTAGCTGGCGTTGACGAGCGGCTGCAGCCAGAGGGCGAGGCGAGACGAGGATCAGGACGAGGATGACAGGCGTTGGCAGCGGCAGCGGCAGCAGCGGCGGCGGCGGCGGCGAGGTGGATGAAGGGCGCAACTCGCGCGGACTGCAGGAGCAGCGAGCGACTCGGGCAAATTGAGCGCCGCCTGACTGTTGCAGCGTCGAGGCACTGCACTGCGCTGCGCTCTCGTGGCTTGCAGGCTCAAAAGGCTTGCAGGCTCAAAAGGCTCTCGCCGTCTCAACAGGCTTGCAGATTGGCTGCGAAATGCGCTCCGAGCCAATTGCGGGACCAGCGAGCGCAGAGAGAGAAAAAGAGAGAGAGGTCAGGCGAGTCGAGCCAAAAAAAAAAACGGAAGCAGCGGCACCAGCGGACGAGGCGCGCGGGATTGCGTGGGTGGATTTGCATGCAACCCAGCAGCACAGCGTGACTGAGCCGGTGAGCCGATGAGCCATTGTGAGCCAGTGGCTGCCAGTCGGGGCCAGGCCAGGTGGGGCGAGTGAAACCTAGCGCGCCAAAATACAGTAGCTGGAAGCAGCAAAATGCCAAAAACATCCGAATTTCACAACCAGCGCAGGAAAATTTGGAAATCCGAGAAAGAAAAAAAGAAAAACCCAAAATTCAAGGCACACGCACACCACACCCACACACACCCTCGTCTGCGCCTGCAAGCCCCACCTCTTTCCATCTCGCCTCGCCTCGCCTGCTTCCCCACCCTGCCTGCGAGCCTCGCCAAAGCGCTGGGACAGCTGGCGATGATCCCTTTTGGACCCGCCCTCGGCTCCGTCGGACGCACCCACGGACGCTTGATTGCCGTGGGTCGCAGTGGGTTGGCAGCAGCGGGCATTGGCGTTCCGTGACCTCCGTCTTGCGTGAGCCTACGGAACGGAAAGACAGCGAGTCGCAGCTTGATCTCGATCTTGTCTCGGACTCGGCGGGAGTGTGCGTGTGCTGCAAAGCGCAGGGCTTTGGATGCAGCTGCACCCACGCGGATCCGCACGCCATCGCTGCCACTCAACTGCACCTCAAAATCTTGTCTCGGCGAGTCCGGAGCGAGCCGCCGCTGCCGCCACCAAAATATTTCAAGAAATCGATTTTCAGCAATTTCCTTTGGTCGAGAGCCAGGCCTCCAAGATCGAGCTGTGCGCGTTCACGAGAGGCCGCGGGCGAATTCACGCCCTGAAACTCGGATTGCAAAGCCATCACCCGATTCATCTCTGGTGGGGCAGGCATCAGTCCGATTAATGCGCTTGCACTGTCACATCCGCAAAGGTGACATGGATGAAAATTCGCACCCCAAAAAAAAAGTGTTACTTTCGAGCGTCGCGTTCGCTTGGCGCCTGCATCTTTCGGTCGTTCTCAGAAGAAAAAGAAGGCGTGCGTGCGTCGATGCGTGCCGTGCATGCGTGTGTGATTTGGCGACAGAGCGCAGCACATGCATCCTGCTGGTCATGCTCAGCAGCTCAGCAGCTCTTAGCACCAGCCGCGACTGCTTTCTATTGTCACATCGGCGGACATCTGAGCTTCTTGCGTGCGCACGTCCACCATCTCGAAAGTTCATTGCCACGCCACCTCCCGACAGGCCTTCTCCATCCCCTCAAGATACCCACGGTCGGCTGGCCTCCCCTTTCGCTCCCTCGTTCGCACACTCTCTCACCGCTCAGCCTCCGCTCGAGCTTTCAGCAAACGGTCGCACAACGCTCGCCTGCTTCCTCCTAGGTGTCCGCAGTCAAGATGGCCGACTCGATCTATGCGCCCCACAACCAGCACAAGCTCGACGCCGCAAGAGCCGCAAACACGACTGCCGATTCACCCGCATCCCCGGCCTCGCCCGCGCCTCCTGCTGCCACAAAAGCAAGCGACGCCGATGCTGCTAAAGCCTCCTCTCCGCAGCCAGACCAGCACGACGATGCCGAAGACCGCCCGCACCCTCACCTTACCCGGCCTCTGCTCTACATCAGCGGCGTCGACCCTGCAATGACGGACAAGGAACTCGCCGGCCTCGTCTTCGAAAAGGTGCTGCCCGTCCGACTCAAGATCGACCGCAACGTCGCCCAAGGCCAGACCGCCAGCGGCACCGTCGAGTTTCAAACGCTCGACAAGGCCGAGAAGGCCTACGCCACCGTCCGTCCGCCCTTCCAGCTCTCCATCGATGCAGCCGGCGCCGACGCCGACCCCGTCGCTTCCGCAAAACCCAGGCTCATCAAGCAGCTCCCCGCCAACTCCGACGATGCGCTCGTCTACGACCTCTTCCGCCGCTTCGGTCCGCTCCGACGCGCGCACTGCCTGCTCACCAACCCCGCAGGCGTACACACCGGCTTCAAAGGCATGGCCGTGCTCGACTTCTACTCGGAGCAAGACGCTCAGCTCGCACAGACCGAGATGCACTGCGCCGACGTCGGCGGAAAGACCATCTCGGTCGCCCTCGACACCTCCGTCCGCAAAGTGAGCTCCAGCCTCAGCGACTTCCGTGCCTCGGCCCAGCCCTTTGTGCCCGGCAACGGCTTGAGTGCCGCTGCGCCCTCGTTTGCGCCTACCGTTTCCGGCTCGCGCTCTGTCTCGGCTGGCTCCTCGGCCTCCATCTACCCCAATCCAGCCGCCGCCGCAACGCATGACAACCACGCCGCCGCCGCTCCCAAGGGCGCGCGCTCGCTGCAGTACTCGAACCAGGCATCCACGTACGTCGACCCGTGCAATCTGTTCATCAAGAACCTCGACGGCGCCATCAGCTCCAACGACCTCTTTGACACTTTCAAGGCGTTCGGCCACATTGTCTCGGCGCGCGTCATGCGCGACAATGACGGCAAGAGCCGCGAGTTTGGATTCGTGAGCTTCACCACGCCCGACGAGGCGCACCATGCGCTCCAGGCCATGGACAACGCCAAGCTCGGCGCGCGCAAGATCACCGTGCGTCTGCACGAGCCCAAGACGATGCGCCAGGAGAAGCTCGCTGCGCGCTTCGCCGCCGCACACGGCGAGACCAACGAGGCGGCCGACGCGTCGGGCAGTGCGGCCAACGCGCGGACGGCCGAGCCGACAGCCAGGGCGGACAAGCGCCAGAGCAGGAGCTACTTCCAGGCAGGCGTACCGGCTGATGCCAACGGGCTGGCGGACGAGGAGCAGCTGCGCTCGCTCACGGGCGTCGTGCGCGACGAGCTGCTCTCGGGCGAGTTCACGCGCCGCGTGCAGAAGCTGTCGTCGGTCGACGACGCGCAAGTGGACGGCATCGTTTCGGAGCTGCTCAAGCTCAGGCTGGGCGAGGCGGTCGAGGCGCTCAACAACCCCATCTCGCTCGTACAGAGGGTCAACGAGGCGCGCGAGCATCTGCCTGCTGCTGCGGCGGCAGCGTCGCCTACCGCCCCGGCTAGGGGTGCGCTCTCGGCAGACAAGCCGGGTCAGCTGGGCGTGCAGACGCAGCGCAGCGTCTCGAGCACCTCTTCCATCGGCGGCGACGGTACGGCGGCGGCATCGGCCAAGGAGCGCGAGCGTCTGCTCAAGGCGGTGCAGTCGGTCACCGAAGCGGGCGCACCCGTCGAAGACATCACCGACATGCTCGCGAGCCTGCCCAAGAAGGACCGTGCGCTGGCGCTGTTCAACCCGGAGTACCTGCGGCAGAAGGTGGACGAGGCCAAGGACATTATCGACATTACCGACGACAGCGGCGAGGACCTCACGCCCGCACGCCCCTCCGAGCCCACGCCTGCTGCTGCAACCCCCACAGCCTCTGCTTCCTCGGAGCCGGCGGCAACGACCGCAAGCAACGGCGCGTCGGATGGCAAGGAATACACGCTGTCGTCGCTAGCGGCTCTTCCCGCGGTGGAGATTGTGCGCCTTGCGAGTGGCGGTGCGATTCGCGGCGTAGACCTGCGCGCGCCCGATGCCGCCGTGGTGGCGGCCACCGACGCGTTCATCGACTCGCTGCAGGGCAAGGCGGCGCACGACCAGAAGCAGAAGCTGGGCGACCAGCTCTTCAAAAAAGTGCGCAGCTTCGGCGTCAAGGGCGCGCCCAAGATCACCATCCACCTGCTCGATTCCGAGGACTTGCGTGCACTGGCGCATCTGATGAACGAGTACGACGAGGTGCTGCGCGAAAAGGTGGAGCAAAAGGTGGCGGCGGGGCTCAACAAGTAGTTGCACGGTAGAATGGTCAGCGTGTCGTGAATGCAGAAGCTTTTCTCCAAGTGCCGAGTTGATGGGATGCGCAAGTTGACGGCTTTGCGCACAGAGCGGCGTGCGGGGTTGCGGGTGACGTGCGGCTATGCAGTGCGAGGGAGGGGTGACAAATTGGCGCCCGCGCGCGTGTGCGGGTGGTGGAGGTCCGAGGGGGGGGGGGGGGGGGGGRGGGATTTTTGACAGCCGATGGTGTGATTTGGTCATCCGACTCGGCTCACCTCTTCCTGTTGCACCACCATCTTTTTACTCGACGACATGTCATCTGCGCGGGTCACCTCTCTGACGGAGCCACTGCTTTCGCACCCAGAGGCAGAGATAACGCCGCTCGAGATGGTTCAACACGAGAACCCGCGCGCGATTGGCGTGCAAGCCTCAGCTCTCCTCTTCGTCGGCGTCATCTGGTCGATCGTCTTTTCCTCCTTCTCACCCCTCTCCCTACCCCTTTTCGGATTTCATCCACTCATCCAGTCTTTCGCGATCCTTCTGCTCGTCCAGGCGATCGTCGTGCTCCAGCGAACGTCGGCTTCCCAACCCGCGGCGAAGAGGTCGGCGTTCAGCGCGCATCAGTGGCTCAACCTCGTCCTCGTGCTACCGCTCTTCACGGCGGGTGCGAGCATCATGTGGTATCTGCACGACCAGCCAGGCACAGCGCACTTTATATCGTACCACGGCATACTCGGCACTGCGGTGGTGGTGGCCGCGTGGGTGCAGGCTGCGTTGGGGGCGGCAAGTGTGTGGGGCCGGGGAAGGATGGTGGGTGGAGAAGCGCAGGGGAAGAAGCTGTGGAAATGGCACCGACTGTCTGGATACGTGCTGGTGGTGATGTTTGCGGCGACGGCGGTGTTGGGCGTGGTGGAAACGACGTGGGCGAGCAAGAACGCCTCGATGGCTCAGACGCTGCTCGTGGTTGTGGCGCTCGCACTGGCTGTGGTGGCACTCGCCATCCGCATCCAAAAAAGCAAGCTGCCCAAGTTTTAGTGCACAAGGAATGGCATTTCACAAAACGGAGTGCGGTACTACAAGACGGTGCGAAAGGTGGAATGAACGGAGTGGTGGATCTGGGCTTACTGCTTGGTGCCCCACAGATGAGCCAGATCGAAGAGCGGGATGTTGAAGGGGAAGTCGGTGGCGGCCAGACACAGGTGGAGCAGGATATACAATCCGCCCAGACACGCCACGAATCCACACGCGCCCGCCGCCGTGACCAACTTGGCAGCCTCGCTCGCTGCGCCCTCGCCGAACTTGAGATACGCGCCACCCAGCGTGCTAAACGCCAGTGCGACGAAGAGCAGGATCCAAACCAGCACCACGTTGGTCCTGAACGCGGCGAAGGTCAGGAAGTACGTATACACCGCCCACCAGATCAAGTAGTAGCCGAAGGGCACGTAGTACGTGGCTGGACTTCCACCTTCCGCCGTCAGGAGTGCAGTTTGGACGGCGTTCCGGGGGTCGAGGAAGCCGCCGAGCGTGAGCCAGAAGGTGCCGAAGCTGGTGAATACTAGAGCGGGGAAGGTGTTTCCGATGATGAACTCGAGGATCCCCGCGACGTACAGCGCCATGCCACCCATAAAGTAGTAGGCCCCAATCAGGGCCAGCAGCGAGTTGGCAGATGCACCCCTCCATCCCATGAGACAGCACGAGGTAGGGCCAAAGGTGATCACGAACGAAACGATACCCAAGGCAGTAGGGTTGCCGAGGGTCTTGACGAGCCCAAGCTGCTTTTGGGACTTGATGCCCGGCTGAAGATACATTTCTATTCCCCCATACAACCGAGGAAAGTCAGCATGGTGTTTGGAAAGGGGGAGAGGGAAGGGAGAGGGGAAGAGCGGGGACGTACCTTCGAATTGCTGGGGGGTGAGAGTGACCGAGATCTGTCGACCGAGGTCATGGCCGTTGGTGCCATCGGCGTGCGAGTACGTCGGATGCTCGGTCGACGCCACCTCTGCCTCCTTTGTAGCCATCTTGGAACAGGGTCTAGGTCTGTACGGTGGGTAAGTTGGTGCAAAACGATCTTAGGGAGAGACAGAGAGAGAGAGAGAGTCGCCGCAACTCTTGGTGCTACTCGTGCCAGCAAAGATGCGGGGTTGGGGGAGGGGGCTTTATATATTGGCTGCTTTGCAGAGTGCTCAAGGAGCTTGGCTCGAGCGGCATTGCGCCGGGCCCAGCGGCAGCTTCACACCCCCCCACCACGCAGCTTCCTCCCCTGGCCAGCGCTAATGGTGCTCGCGGTGGCACTCGCGCGCGCGCGCGCGGCACGGACAACCACCCAATGCGGCTCGCGGTGCCAAGCAAGACTCGGCGCTACTGGAGGTGGAGCTTTTGCGGCACAAGGGACGTCAGAACAAGCGCCCCTTGCTCGCTCGAGCCGAGCTTGCATGGAGCCGAAAGAGAAAAATGCGGGGTAAAAGAAAAGTGGGAAGCTCCACAAGGGTCAGCTGGTCCAGTTCGCCGAAAAATGGCCACCCCTCGAGGCGCTTGTGTGCGCGGAGGGGAGAAGCTCAGCACGGGACCATTCCTTGGATCGGAGGGCCTCGAACGCAACCCGCCCTCGCCCAGCGGTAGCGCTCCTCGACACTGCAAAGCCTCGCAAAATGGCGGCATGCTGCCGAACAGCACTTCGGCTCCCTAGCGCCTCGCCCTTTTATTTTGGTTTTGGCGCGGTCCAAGATTAACCGCCTCCAACATCCCGCCCAAGCTGCAAGCATCCCAGCCAAACAGCCTTATTGATTCAGACTTGAACCAGATCGAAAAAGACAGTGGGAGAGAGATTCAGAGAAGCGAGGAGGTGTCAAGGACGTGTGCAAGGGAGCTTAGCGACGCAGTGAATGGCCCGCGCTACGCTGCTGCGTAAATGCGCAACCCCTCCATCCACCACCAAGAGTCACGAGATCTCTAAACGCGCCCAAGAAATGTCCCGCCCCGACCCTCTCTCTCCGACGGGAACCCTTGACTCGCCTCAACTTATGCGCAAAACACACGCTGCCGATCAAAGCGCTTTTTTCTACCGCTATCATTGCTATGCTGCAGGTTCTAGACCGCTAGAACAGCTCCGACACTTCGCGCGCAATGCTGCTAATCCTCGCCTCGCTCCCCAACGCCGAGGCGCTCAGAGCCGCGACAAGGTTACGGGTTGTATCGAGCTTACTGCCGTTGAGCGAAGCACCGGAGGATGAGCAGAGCAGGTTGCCCAGTGCGACGAGGATACGGTAGACCGCCTCGCTGTCGCCGTCGTGCTGCTCGCGTGCAAGCACCTCGTTCACCAACCCAAGCACTATCCCGGCTGCACTGCTGCGCGTCGTCGAGGCGACCATCTGCGCACTGGCATTGTACACAACGCTCGCGAAGGCAACCCGCCCATTCTTGCCCAGCACCGCGTAGTGCGTCTCGCCCAAACTACCCAGCACGCTCACTGCGTTGGCTTCGAGTGCACCCAGAGCCGTAGCGTCCTGCCACAGATTCGCAATCGTGCGCAGCGCCAGCATCGAGTTCACATCGCGCACCTTGGCTTCCGCCGACCCAGGGGCAGGCCAGGCTTCGGCCCATGCGCATGCTTCGAACGCCTCGCGCGCCACTTCGAGCGGCGTCGTCGTCGTCCCCACCGCCGCCGCACACCGCAAAAGATCCAGCGCTGCTAGTCGTGACCCGGAGCTCCATGTGAGTGCCTTGCGCACAGCGTCGATCTGCAACCGCGGCCCGGACGCACCCGTCTCCAGCGCCGAAATCACCGCATCCACCTCGGCCAGCTCCGCCGCCGACAGCCGCACCGCCTCCTGCTCGTTGACCTGCTTCAGCTTGCTCCGCATCGCGCCAAAGTTGGCCGTGCGGAAGCTGAGGAACGTGCGCTGCGGCAGCACTCTGGTGCCCGCCCCGACGCCGGCGCTGCTGTGGCCACTCGCGGGTGCGGCAGCCGAGCTCGTGTACGGATCCACGTTGCGCGCTCCAGTGTATGTGCCCGCAGTGCTGCCGCTCGTGGTGGATGGTGGTGCAGCTGCCGTGCTCGCCGTGCCCGATGCGCCGCCACCAGGCTGGTATCGGCTGGCACCCGTGTACGGATCCACATATTGCGGCCCACCGAGGCTAACGCCCTGCGTGTTGGTCTCGATAAACTTGACCACCTGGTCGATGTACTGCTGAGGCAGATCGTTCTTCTCCAAAAACCGCTGCGCCGCCGCATACGGATTCTCGCTCAGGTTGAACGGCAGCTTGAGCGGTGGCACGCCATCGGCGATGTCCACATCAAACACGTAGTCGTACTCCTTGCCCTCGTGCAGCTTCTTCTGGCCCGAGCCCACGCCGCCCACCACCTCGCCGATCTTGACCCACTGCTGCGACGCCGCGCTCCACTGGTGCGCCTCCACCACGTCGCCGTTCTTGATCATCTTGGTCTGCCCCTCCTTGCTCCCCGGCTGCGCCAGCGCCTCGGCGCCCGGCAGATCCTCCTTCTTGATGTCGCCTACCTGCGTCGCGTTGAGCGCCTGCGTCGAGATAGCGTGCTCGTACGCCTTGAGGCTCTCGTCGTCCGCGACGCGAGCTGCATCGCGCGTAAAGACGCGCGCCGTGGCGTCCGAGGCGCCGCACACCACGTCGCCGTTGGCAAGCACCGCCACCGACCACACCGAGATCGCCGGCAGCGTGATGGTCTGCACCAGCGCGCCGTCGCGCCACACGCGCACGCTGCGGTCCTCGCCCGCGCTCACCAACTCGCCGCGCCCGCCCGGCACCGTCGCCAGGCTGTACACAAAGCTCGTGTGGCCCGACAGCACCTGCACCGGCTGGATCGGTTTGGCCTCCGACGATGCCGCGCCGTGCAGCGAGAAGAGGTGGATGTTGCCGTCGTTGCCGCAGCTTGCAAACGACTCGCCGCCCTCGAGCAGAGTGAGCCCGCGCACGGCATCCGTGTGCCCGCCGAACACCGCCAGCGGCTTGGCCGGCTGCGCGATCGACCACAGCCGGATGGTCTTGTCTGCCGACGCCGTGAGCACGCGGTCGTGGTCGACGGCGAGCACCGCCCACACCGACTGCTCGTGGCCCTTGAACGTGGCGACGCACTCCCAGTTGCGCCACACCTTGGCGGTCCTGTCCCAGCTGCCGCTGACGAGGTACTGCCCGTGCGGACCCACGTCGAGCGCGCACACATTGTCTTGGTGTCCGATGAGCGTGCGTGTGGGCTGTGGCTCGCTCGACTTGCCATCGAGCTGGACGCTCACCTGACCGTCGGCGGTGAGCAGTTGATACGCGTAGATGATCTTGTCCTGGCCGGCGGTGATGGCGTACGAGGCGTCGGAGCGCAGAAGCGCGCATGCGTTGACAAAGCCGTCGTGGTTGCCCAGCTCGACCGCGGCGGTGAAGCGGTTGGACGAGGAGCGGTGCCACACGATCGCGCGGCGGTCGCGCGATCCTGTCAGCACAATGTCGCCGTGGCAGTCCTTGCTCGTCTCGGCAGAGCTCGCCGACACGCATCGCACCTGCAGTCGCACAGCACGAAGGCAGAGAGAGAACAAACGTCAGCTACATGCTCGAAGGAGTGAGAGACAGAGCACTGAGCAGCGCGTCTACTTACGTCGGCACCATGCTGCTCGAGAGTAGCTGAAAGCTTGTATGTCGCCGCCATGCTGCGATGCGTCGCCTCGTCACGCTGTTTTGTGTTTGACGTTGAATCCTTTTCAGCGCTGTTCTTGATGAGCGTCTTGCGTCGAGAATGAAGCTGTGTATGGATGTGGAAGCAAGGCAAGCCCAGGTAGAAGGCAGACCCTGGAATTCCACGCTGCCCACGACGCACGGACACGCACGCCTCGATCACGCTCCCCACACTGCGCACTGGACCTGCACTGCGCAGCAAAACCTCCACACGGCCCCACTTTGCCGCGTTCCGAGAAACCTGCAAACCGACACCCTCGCAGTACTCTCACTACAGTCAAACACTCTCACCGTCTCAACACAACGCTCATCGTAAGATCACGCAATACGTCTGCAGACACTGTAAACACTTTTCGTATTCCTCGCCACGCACAAAGCTCACTGGCTGGCAGCGATGCGGCGGGCAAACTCGACGAGGGCACGCACGGGACGGCCGGTGAAGCCCTTGGGCTGGTAGTCGGTCGTCGTAGTAGGCGTGGCCTCCATGCTGCCGGCAATGTCGAGGTGGGCATAGCGCAGGCTGGGAGCAGCACCACCACGCTCGCCGAGGCCGACGACGAACTGCTTGAGGAAGATGGCTGCAGTGGAGGCGCCGGCGAGACGGCCGCCCGTGTTGCACAGGTCGGCGTTGCTCGTCGAAATTTGCTTGAGGTAGGCGTCGCTGAGGGGCAGACGCCAGAAGAGGTCGTTCTCGGCCTCACCAGCAATGCGCAGCTCGTTCCAAAGGCTGTCGGACTCGGTGAAGGTGGCCGAGTAGACATCACCCACCGCGATCATGCAGGCGCCGGTGAGCGTGGCAACGTCCACGAGCGTGTGCGGCTTGTAGATCTCCGAGACGTAGGTGAGCGCATCGGCGAGCACGAGGCGGCCCTCGGCGTCGGTGTTGTCCACCTCGATGGAGAGGCCGTTGCGCGCAATGATAATGTCACCGGGCTTGGTCGCCTTGCCCGAGGGCATGTTCTCGGTGAGCGGCGTAGCACACACGACGTTGATGGGCAGACCCAGCTTGGCGATGGCCAGCGTGGTGGCAACGACAGCAGCGGCGCCGCCCATGTCGGCACGCATGGCCTTCATGCCCGCGCCGGGCTTGAGGCTGATTCCTCCCGAGTCGAAGACGATACCCTTGCCGACGTAGGCGACGGGCGGCGCGTCGTTGTCCGGAGCACCCTTGTAGATGATCTCGACAAACTTGGCGGGCTCGTCGGTGCCGGCGGCGACCGAGAGGAACGAGTTCATGCGCTGCTCGCGCGCCCACGCCTCGTCGTGCACAATCACCTGCGTGTTGGGCACGTTCTTGAACGCCGCCGTGACGCGCTGGCCAAAGATGGTCGGGGTCATGAGGTTGGCGGGCGTCTCCTTGAGCTCGCGCGCCCAGTTCTGAGCCTCGGCGTAAACCTCACCCGTGAACCAGCTGAGCGGCGCCACACCGGCCACCTCGTCGCCGGCATCCTTGAGCTGCTTCTTGGCCGAGTCGTCGGCGGCGCCCTCGACGGGGACGACCTTGATCTCCTTACCGCCCTGGACAGCGGCGTCCTTGTCGTGCGCAGCGTTCTTGCCGCGCGTCTTGAAGTGGTTCACGGTCCACAGGCCGAGGTTGGCACCGACGGCAGCGGCGTGAGGGCTTTGCATCGAGTCGAGCGCCACGGTCCTCTCGACGGGCGCGTTGCCCTTGTCCTCAGGGCCGGCGCCGAGATCGCGGATGGCCTTGACACCCTTGGCGGCGGCGAGGCGGACGCGCTCGAGCTGCTCGTTGCGCAGGTACGTCTTCTCCGAGGGCAGGAGGTCCGGGGTGGTGGCAGGTGCGGCCTTCTGCTCGCCGAGCGAGACGGCGGCGACGGGGGCGCTGTTGTCCGGGTAGAAGACGCGGAGCTCGTTGGCGCGCGACGACGACGCACGCGAAGCCTTCCACTGCGCCGAGACATCGACGTTCTTGGCGGTGGAGGCGCCGTTGGTGTCGACACCCACGACGACACCGGCGAGGTTGGCAGACGAAGACATGGTTCTGATGTTGGCAGAGGTGGTGTTGGTGGTGGTGGTGCGGAAGGAGGCGAGCGAGGTGCGCAATGCTTGTCGACAAGGCAGCATGGCGTGGATCGCAAGCAAGGAAGGAGACGAGAGGCAGCTGCCAAGTTGGGCAGGGCTTGCAGGTCGCCTGCTTGCGCGGCCCCCACCGGCTGCCTCGGAAGGAGGAGGAGCGCACTGTCCAGCTCTCGGCTTCCAAAGGCTCTCCTTCCTTTTTTTTTTTCTGGCGACTTTATTCCTGGCTTTCCAACAGCTTCCCTGCGCCAGAAGAGCGCGGCGACCTTTTCGGTAATGCTGCTGCCGGCTCAATGCGCTCCGAGTTGGAACGGCAGTGCATCAATGCACCAACGCACCAAACGCACCAATAGCCGACTCGTTACTTTGCCAGCCGTGAAGATCCCTCAACCGGCGGCGGCGCACCCTCCTCCGACCCTGACCCTCGCCACGCGGTCGCTCTGCTGCCAATCACGGGTCCTGCTCAAGACTGCGCAAAACTGCGCGAGACCGCACACGTTTGACCGCCATGCCCACCACATCCGAAGCGCTGACTCGGACGGAAGTTCGGCGTCTACACCGGGGCCCGTCTCGACGAGCATCCACACTGTACACACACTTCACGCATTCGGCAGATTCGCTTTGGACGCTATCATTCTCATCCTCATGGACGCCATCGTGAGGACGGAGGCAGAATCGACGTATCTGGCGAGATGATGCCGTCGAGGATGCGATCGCGCTCATCGGCTGGAACTCGCTCGGATGGTGGGAGGACCTGTTCGCGCAGCGCCAGCGCCACCGTGACGGGTCCATGTCTTCCCTTGCGGGCGGCCCACTCATCGGCGCGTGCGAGGTAGCGGTCGTAGTAACCCTTGCCATGACCAAGTCGGCCTCCGGTCTCGTCGAACGCGACTCCAGGTGCAAGGATGAGGTCGAGACCGTCTCCTCCTGATGCTTCGTCCAGAGCTGTAGTCGCACAAATACGCATGGCTTGGTGTCAGTGCATCCGACGGCCAGACGGATAGTACAGAGCGTGGCGACTTACCTTGTTCGCGCATGGTGCCGTCTTCGTACGTGAGTGGTGGTTCGCGAATGCCCCATCGGTTCGCGGCCATCGACTCGTACTCGGCCACGTCACGCAGCCGCAGCATGATCATATCCGTGGCGAACTCGCTCTTGGCCGCTGCGGGGGCCTCGGGCACTGTTGGCCCGCTCGCGACAGCTGGTGCAGCGGGCGAGGCAAACAGCGGAACGTAGAGGCGCTTGCCGTCTTTGAGGATGGACCTGCAGATGTGGTCCGTCACCACCTCGCCGACGTTCATGTGGATGTAGACGCTGATGGCGCGCGCCTGTGCGTACGTCTGCGAGCGCAGCACCTGCTCGGCGACCTTGTGCGACTGCGAAGCGATCTCGTCGGCGCGCATGAGAGACAGCTTGTGCGCCATCGACTTGCGCAGCTGCCGTTTGGCCGCGCGCAGAGCCGTTGCAGAGTTGGACGCCATCGTATCGTCAAGTCTCTCCGACGTGTGCGGGTTGGTCGGGAGAGAGAGAGGTCGCCGAGCCGGTTTAAGGCTACTTTTTTGGATTCAGGGTTCAACCCGCGTTTCTTCCAACATGGACCCGATCTAGACGCAATCGAGTCGAGAGCAAGCCGTGATTCCCGATTCGGCGCCTTCGACCGTTCGGTGCCGAGTCGGACGGATGCGAATTTTTTAGGCTTTTTCGCGGCTTGTGAAGGGCTTTCAAGCCCACCTCTCCGTCCCAAGAAGGAAGGCCTCCTCAACCAGCAGCCGAGAGAGCGTGCGTTTGTGGTTGCAGGAAAAAAAGTGGGGCAGCGAGCCGACCCGCACGGAAGGATTTCATATTTGGTTGCTGTTGCGGTCGGGCGGGGCATGCTATGCTCTGACTCCAGCGAGCATCTGCTGCTTCACTTTCCGCCGTCACCGACCACCTGTCCACGTCTCGTCTCGGCGCTGGCGCTTTCTCCTCCTCTTCTTCTACTATAGCCACCACCACAGCACCTGCTCGCCTTCTCAGCATGCCCGGCGTCAACTCGATCAAGCTCCTCACGGGCAACAGCCATCCGGAGCTGGCGCAGCTCGTGGCCGACCGTCTGGGCATCCCGCTCACGCCGTGCGTATGCAAGAAGTTTGCGGACCAGTCGATCGACGTGCGCATCGGCAGCTCGGTGCGTGACGAGGATGTCTACGTGCTCCAGACGGGCAACTCGCCGTACACCGACCCCAACGACTCGCTCATGGAGCTGCTCATCATTCTCTCGGCGTGCAAGACCGCATCGGCACGCCGCATCACCGCCGTCATCCCGTCGTTCCCCTACTCGCGCCACGACAAGAAGGACAAGAGCCGCGCACCCATCACCGCCAAGCTCGTGGCCAACATGCTGACCGTCGCAGGCGCCGACCACGTCATCACCATGGACCTGCACGCGAGCCAGATCCAGGGCTTCTTCGACATCCCCGTCGACAACCTCACTTCCGAACCGAGCGTCGCGCGCTGGATCCGCACCAAGGTCGACAACTGGCGCGACGCCATTATTGTCAGTCCGGACGCTGGTGGTGCCAAGCGCGCCACTGCACTGGCCGACTCGCTCGGTGTCGACTTTGCGCTCATTAACCGCAACCGTCGTCGCGAGCAGCACAAGCGCCAGCGTGCGGCGCAGAAGACGCTGGGTCTGTCGAGTCGATCGTCGTTCGACGACCTGCGTTCGGGCGTGAGCACGCCCATGTCCAACTCGTACCTGCTCGACGGCACAGGTCTCAACAGTGCCAACGCTGCGGTGGGGGCGGCGACGGACAAGCTCAACGCACTGAGCGTGTCGGCGGAATCGCACGGCTCGGCCATCTCGTCGTCGCACTCGTCCAAGCACGTGTACAGCGATGTGGCCAACGGCATCAAGTGCGCCGAGACGGGCGAGTGGATCATGACCGACGAGCAGGGTCACCGTGTCCGCAGCGGGCGCTCCAAGAAGAACGTCGCCGAATCCGGAACCGAGAACGACGACGATTCGGAGGACGACGAGAACTCGTCGCGCATGGAGATCCTCGTGGGCGACGTCAAGGGCAAAGTCGCGATTCTTGTCGACGACATGGTGGATACCGGCCGTACGCTCGCGCTGGCGGCCAAGACGCTCGAGGCAGCAGGTGCCGACAAGGTGTACGCCATCATCACGCACGGCCTGCTGAGCGGCCAGTCGATTGAACTCGTCAAGAAGCTCAGCCTCGAAAGGCTCGTGGTCACCAACACCATCCCCAACACCGAAAAGGCCGCGGCGAGCAACAGCAAGCTCGAAATCATGGACGTCTCGGCCGTGATTGGCGAGACCATCCGTCGCTCGCACCACGGCGAATCCATCTCGCAACTCTTCCGCCAAGACGCCGAGATCATGTTCTAGATTTTTTTTTGCGACCTCTTCCCCTTCTCTGCCTCGCTGTTCAAACCGCCAACTCGTTGAAATTTGCATTCTGTATATCCCCTCCTGCATCCTGCTTTTACGCTCGGTGTTTGTGCGAGATACGATAAAACGATGCCATTGCAAAAACGAGAGAACGTAGCCAACGCAATTCCCGGGTCACCATAAACACTGAACTCTACCCGCTACGTTCGACTAGCGCATGATCTCGTTGTAGATAAGGCGCTTGAGTTCCGAGCGCGACAGCTGTTCCTTGCAATAGTCAAAGTCGAAAAAGCTTGGGTCCAGCGGTTCTGCGGTGGGTTCGTCTTCTGGATCGTGATAAGGTTCGAGATACGGATGCGCCAGTGCCTCTTCAACCGTGATCCTCTTGCGCGGGCTGAACGTCAAGCATCGCTCCATCAGATCCACCGCGAGCGGGTTGGCGTTGGGGAACATCTGTGAAAAGTTGCGCTTCTTGCGGAAGGGGAGGGCACGGATGTAGTCGCGCGAGCGCGTGGATGTGATCGCGTAGAAATCGTCGAGCGAAGGTGTACCGAGGATCTCGAGGGTGAGCGACAGCTGATGGTGGTAGTCGCGTCCCGGAAACAGCGGCTTGCCCGAAAGCATCTCGGCCAGAATGCATCCGACCGACCAAACGTCGATGGCCTTGGTGTACTCCTTGAACGTGAGCATGATCTCCGGTGCGCGGTACCACCTTGTTGCGACGTATTCGGTCATGAAACCCGTTCCCTCCGCTTCGGGCTGGTTGGCGGATCGAGCCAGTCCGAAATCGCAGATCTTGAGGTCGCAGTTGGCATTGAGCAGCAAGTTGGACGGCTTGAGGTCGCGGTGAAGCACCTGTGCCGAGTGGAGCGCCTTGAGTCCACGAAGAGTCTGGTAGATAAAGTATTGGCAGTGATCGTCCGAGAGCTCCTGGGTGCGAATGACGCGGTGCATGTCGGTCTCCATGAGCTCCTGGATGAGGTAGACCTCGGAGAAGGAGTCGTAGTCGTCGGGCTTGACAATGTCGAGGATCGAGATGATGTTTTCGTGGTTAAAGTGGCGCAGCAGCTTGATCTCGCGCAGCGTGCGCAGGCAGAACATCGAGTGGTCGAACGGCGTGATCTTCTTGATCGCCACGCGCGAGCTCGACGGCACGTGGATCGCCGAGCACACCACGCCGTACGCGCCCTCGCCCACCACATCCACAATCTTGTACGTCTCGCCCACCTTGAACGACGCCGACTGGTTCGACTGCTGTCCGTGCGCCATCGTGGTGGTCTCGGTGTGTGTGTGCTGGGTGTTCAGTGAGGGTTGAGTGTGCTTTGCTTGCGATGGTGCGATGGCGCTTCCTGTCTACGGGGTTGGCGCTGCTTCCGTCCGTTGGAGAGGTATGCTGGGGTATTGACCACGCGGATGCTCGTGTAAGACGACTGGGATGGTGGTGCGGATGATGGCTAGGGAGACGGTGGTGGTGACAGGGTGAGCAGGGGTCGACGCCTTTTGAGTGGTTGCTGCAATCCCAGGGCCGAGCCAAGACGACGAGAGGAGGCTTTTGCTGCAAGTGACGCGCGCAGCACGCGGAGTTGGAAGGATGCAAAAGCCTCTCTCTCGAGAGAGGGCGGGGTTGTGCGTGCTGGTGAGACAGGGCGGCTCGTGCCTGCCTGCCCTGTGCTGGCGAGCAGGGCTGGTTCCGGTCTCTTTTCGAGCCGCACGCACCACGCACACGCATCTGATGCATGCGTTTGTCGATCCGCATTCTTTTTTGGCAGCGCAGCAGCAGCAGCACAATTTAGAGCTAAGATGCGTTGGATGCGTTGGTCCGTCCACCGATTTTCCAAAACCGGCCAAACGCGCGTGCCCCCGTGTCCGAATTTTTTGAGGCGAAAAAAAGCTCCGCCTGCCCGTGGCTGACTGGCAAGAGCTGGTTCCGGTCCCACAGTCCATCGCCGAGGCTGGCTTCGCTCGCTTGGGCCGCGTCTGACAGGCCCACAGCAGCCGAACAAAGGCCTTCTCGAAACGCACAGCTCCTTTGTGTCGGTCTGAATGGCCATTCGGCCCAGCATGGGAACAATCTCCGGCTCAGACCTCACCGTTGGCACAAATACAGCACATGAACGCACCGGACTCGTCACACTCGGGATGATGGTCTTCCGGGATTGGTGTCCCTGGGCGGTTGCGTGAAACCCCGCTGGGAGCCCTTCTCCGTCCTCGTGGGAGACGCCGCCTCAAACACCGCGACACCGCTTGCGGCCCAGCGTGCAATCACGGCTTGTTCCGTTCCTGAAGTCGTCGTGAGGTCTGTGTCTCTTCTCCGCGTTCATGCACAGAGGCTTCTCGTGCGCTTGCGCTCGTTGGTGCCACGCGCACCTTCCTTTGAACTGCATCTCTTTCATTTCATTGTGAGATGTTCAGCGATCATTGCCAGCGACACTTTACTTGCCGAGCATGCTAGCCAGGGCGCCGAGGCCACCCGAGTTGCCGCCGCCGACAAGTCCAGCAAGCATGGCGGGGTTCTTCATGGCGAGGCCCATGGCCATCTGTGCCGCCTGGTTCACGGCGTCCTGCTTGTTGCCCTGCGCCTGGCCCTCGCCGTCCTTCTTGTCGTACAGGTCGGCAGCATGGCTCATGGCAGCGCTCACCAGCTTCTGCTGGAAACCACCACCGCTGTTGTTGTTGTTGCCGCCACCGCCGAGTACAGACTTGATGGCGGACAGACTGTCGCAGCCCAAGTACAAGAACAGATTGAAAGCAGATGTCAGCAAATCGAATATAGTCAGACGAGCTGAAGATCGACTTACACGGCGGCGTTGCCGATCTGACCGGCCGAGTTGGAGCCAGGGTTGTTGTTGACGTCCTCGTGGTCCTGCATGAGCCTCTGCTCGTCCACGTTGTGGTTGCCGCCCTGGTTCTGCAGGAACGACGCCGCCTGCGAGAACAGCGAGCTGTCGTGGTTGCCCGAGCTGAAGTTCTGCGCAAGACCGGCGAGCTGGCCCACGTCGAAGCCGCCGTTGCCGCCCTGGTGCTGCTGCTGCTGGTTGTTGTTGTTGTCGCCCTGCTGCTGGTTCTGGTTGTTGTTGTTGTTCAGGAAGCCCTGGGCCATGTTGCCGAGCTGGTTGAGGTCGAAGCCAGACATTTTTGAGAGTATCGATGTGAGGGAAGCGAGTCTACTTTGTGGAAAGAGTCGTGGGGGCAAAACGCACGCTATGACAGACGGCACGATCTTATACTTCTTGCCATTCGACCTTCGACGCCCGGCCAAGCGACGCTGGGGCCAACACCTGCTGCCGAAAGAGCAACACCTCAGGCCAAGTGAGACAGAGCCAGAGATGTGTGACGTCTGTCGGGCTGTCTGTCGGCACGCCTCTCTGCTTGCGTCGGGTGCTGACGCTCGCTTGGGCGAAACAGAGCCTCGGAAGGCGCTTTGCAGCTTTGGTCTTCCTGCCTGTCTGCACGTCTGTATGCGCGCACGGCCCCACTCGCCACCCGCCTCTCGCCATTCGCCAACAGATTTCTTCTCGCCCACCAAAGACGCAGCTGATGCTCAGCTTGCAGCCTAATTTTGGCTGGCATATCGTGTGGCAGTCGGCCGAGCCGAACACAAACCAATCGCCTCCTTGCTGCCCTGACACGCAGCTCAAGTGGCCTAGGCCCGGGCATTCTGCACACTCCAGCCCGCACCTCGACCGACTCGACCGCTCGCTGGCATGCCTTCAGCAGCGCCAGCAGAAGCGAATAAATTTGAAACGGTCACGGATGAGACTCTCGATCTCACAATGCTTCAGGAAGCAAAATTGACGCGTCGGGCGCGCCGCTCCCTCCTCCAAAAAAAGTGTCGATCTGCAGTCAGGAGGGCAGATACTGCGCTCGCCTGCGAACCTCCACCAACCAAGCGCGACGCTGCCATCGTCCAGGCTCACCAGCGACGAGTGGCTCGACATGGCGCCTGTCGCAGGGTCCTCCCGAGGCATCATCGCCAACGTCGGCACATCGAGGAGCGCTACGACCCGATCAACGTCTGGCCGCGCCAAGACGAACAAGCGCGTCGAGCAGGAGCGCATCGTAGACCGCCTTCTCCAAGCCTTCTTATCCGAACGCATAAACGATCCGACTCAAAAGGCAGCGCAAAAGGCCAAAGCCGTCCGCACCATCGACAAGGATTCATGGTCGCCCGCCGACGCCGACGAGATCGCCACTGCCTTCCAGGGGCTCTCGCTCAAACACAGCATCCATCTCGACCATGAGCTCTCCCTTGCTCTCCGAAGGTGCCATGCAGAGCTCCTCGTCTCTTGCGACAGGTCCATGCATCTCGCCGACCAGGCTCGAGACTCGTACAAACGCCGCGGCCTCGACACTCGCCACATTCACGATCCGCTTATTCGACCGGACAACGTCTCAGATGCAGTGCGCTTGCTGTTGCTCCTCTCGAAACCGCCAGATGTCACCGCACGCACCGCTGCCAATCTCATGCTCAACGCAACCCATCCAGCTCGCGCACAGTACTTGACGCCCGAACAACGCAGGCAGGCCGAAAGACGCGAGTGGCTCGACATCCTTGTCGACGAACCGCTCCAAGGTGATGCATGGATTGATCACCACGACGAACACGACAATTCAGACCTCTCAGATTGGAGTCAAGAGGACGATGACGACGATGAGCGACGGAGGCGGATCGAGCTCGAGTACGACAGCGACAAAGAGAACCGAAAGCGCAGAGAGCGACTCAGAGCCGCTTCCAGCGCCATGGAGCTCACACCTGCCACCACAACCAAGATGCAACATCGCGATCGCTGGACTGAGCAGCGCTCCTCGCGTGCGGATGCGCTCAACAAGCTGATAGGCGCGGATGCGCGGAATGGACCGAAAACATGGACGGAGGTCGACGCCGTTCGAGAAAGCCTTTCGGCCCTGATGGGCTGCTCGAGTGTCATGTATGACCACGGCGACGCTGGCCAGTACAGCGTGGCCGACGGCGCATTCGCTCCCTCCAGCCTCTTCCTAGGCATTTCCGAGCAGATGCAAGAGGTGGCCACGCTCGCCAGCACCTTCAACACCTTGCGTCGTTTCGTCAACACCACTGTCACGCAAAGCATCCACGCAGTCGATGCACTGACCCGAACGCCTGCCGTCGAAGCCTTTGCAGAGCAGCTACAATTACTGCTTGAACGCCTGTCCTTGCGCCTCTCGGAACTGGATGCAGACTTGGCATCGATATCTTCGTCCAAACCGCAGCCCCTTTGGCAAGCACGATACTCGACAATGCTGCAGCTCGTCGACCACGTACACCGCGAGGCATCCTCACTCCTGCTCTTGTCCCGGCTGCTACATTCGATCGGGTTCATCGCTTTCAACGATCGCATCGGTCATGCAGGCATCGGAGCCGGACTCGCGCGGATCTCAAGCGATCGTGCGCTCATCGACGGTCTGCAAGCCTTGCTGGACTTTGTCCACCAACAAGACACGATGGCTGTACCGGACACGGTCGTGGCAGACCTTAGCAGGTGTCTGCTTGCGGCTTGCCGACCAGCATGGAGCTCGGTGTGTCAACTCATACGACGAGGTCTGAGCTTCGCGATCGTGCGCGAGGACGACCCCTTGTTCGACGATCGCCTGGTCCAGCACATGGTCAAGCACGACGTCTCCCTCGCCACCTCGGACAAGAGCTTCTGGACTTCAGGCTACCGCTCTCGCCAGGCGCAAGCCGGCGAAAACCTGGATGAAGACACCGAAGACGGCTACAGCCCGCCGGCATTCCTGCAGTCGATTGCAGACGATGTCATCACCACGTCCAAGGGCGTTGGACTGCTCCGCAGTCTTGGCATAGATGCGCTCGGCGAGGTCCAGCCCGACTCGGACCTGGGACGCATCCTCGACGTCGAGGTTTTGTTCAAAGCAGATCAAAAAACGAAGGGCCTCACGGTGGACAACGTTCTAGAGGACGATGAAAATGCAGATGCGACGCAAATCCAGCACGCCGCCAAAAGATTCACAGGATCGGAGGCGAGAAGCAAGTTGCGTCAAATCCTGTTTCCTCACGGCACGCACAACAGCCGCAGCATGGCCGAGGAATTGCCCCTGACGCCGGATTCCCAGCCGGATGCCGACATGTTTTGGCATGGGACCACAGCCGGGACTTCAAGGAGCGCATCACTGCGTCTGCTCGAGCCTAGGCTAGGTCGGGCGCTGCGTCAGCACCTGTCGCCGATCAGTGCGATCGTTCGCAAGCGGCTGATCGAAGTGCTCACGTCGCCGGCTCCGGAAGGTGGCTATGCTCTGCAGTCGCACCTCGAAGCCTGTCACGGCCTGCTTTTCATGCAGCGCGGTGCCGAAATGTCGAGCTGGACCGAGTCGCTCTTCCTCGATCTCGACCGACGCAACGGTGCGATTAGGGCGATCGAGCCGAGTCGGCTCACGTCGGGCTTCCACGATTGCATGGAAGACCACCAGCAGCGCACTGCCGGTCGCGCCTGGATCGACACGAGTCTCGTACGCTTCCACACGGGCGATGATGACCGCGATATGCGCGCAGCCGCGCGGAATCGGTCCAGGATCGGGCGTCTTGCCGACATTCGCGTCGAGTACGACGTGCCGTGGCCGCTGTCGTTCGTGTTCCTACCGGAGTGCACGCGCTTTCACCAGAGCATCTTTACGAGCCTGCTGCAGGCCAAGTATGCGCATTGGAAGCTGGCGAGCACGGTCAAGCTCGCGCGGCCCGAGACTCTGCACATGCGCAAGTACTGGGCGTTGCGACGACAGGCGCAGTGGCTGGTGCGCACGCTGATCGAGTTCGTCCAGCGCGACGTTGTGCTGGACGGAAGCGAGCGGCTTTGTGTGGATCTGCAGGGGGTAGTGTCGTTGGACGATGCCATCCAGACCCACTCGGCGGCAGTGGCCAAGATGGAGATGCTCTGCTTTCATCGCGCGGATCAGAGCAAGGTCAAGGTGCTATTCGACGCAGCGTGGCGGTTGGGCGTGGATGTGGTCAGCACATACGAGCTTTTCATCGGCGCGAGCGGGCGCGAGGAGGAGCGACTTGCACGGAGGCGACGGCGCGAACGCCGCAGAAAGCGGCGCGATCGAGCCAAGCAAGACGGTGCACCACTGGACGCGATCGCCGAGGCAGATGAGGAAGAGGAAGAGGAGGAAGAGGCGGAGGAAGAGGAGGGGGACGACGACGAGGCGGCTGAAGAGCTCGTCCGAGACAAGTCGATCGGCGAGTACGAGGCCTGGAAAGCCCAGCCAGACGCACGTCCGAAGCGCACCGGCTACGAAGGCTTTGATGCGAGCATGGCGGATGCTTCGATGAGCGCCGACGTCTCGGCGAGCTGGATCGAGTCGGAGACGCACAAGCGCGAACGCTTCCGCATCGAGTGTGAGCGACTGCGAAAGACGCTGCAGCGACTCGTCGAGGAGCTCACGGTGCGGGTCGACGAGCAGATTGCACGCACCGCCGCCACCGCTGCCCTCGAAGCCCAAGACGCGACCCAGGCCGACCACGCGCTACACGACCATCACTATACGCGACAGAGGTGGCAAGGTCTGCTCTATTCGCTCGCCTGGTCGGATCTCACGTACTAGCCTCTCTTCACAGCCACCAACGGCCGTCTCTGCAGCAATTGCAGCATCGCAGCCTGGCATTCTTGAAGCCATTGTCGAACGACAGCAGAGAGCAGCAGTGGGAGGGGGTGCCCAACATGGTCCTCGCCGCGTGAAGCGAGGAGAGCAACGCGAAAGGGCGTTTCGAGGCGAAATTGTCGCGCCTCTGTGTTTGGGCGGTGCGGGCAGCTGAGCAGTGTGCGTGTTGGCATTCGTGATTCTGGCGTGGATGCAGTGCGCAGAGCCTCGCGCCACTTTTTTCCCACTCAGACGCGCACGGCCGCGGCACGCCAGCAGTCAAGTCCGCAAAGTGGAGCGAGAGCGAGGGTGGGAGCGAGAAAGAGCGGGAGCGTGACTGTGACTGTAGCCAGCGTCGACGCGGCTCTAACCGCCAAAGCTTTCATCAGATGCTCAGCTCGCAGCCCTCGTCATCATCCTCGCGGCTTCACTTCATCTCTCCTCACCTCACCTCGGCCTCATCGGCGCATCAACAGGCTCGACCGAAAGCTTCCATCCACGCTCACCACTGGCTTCTGCACCATCCGAGTGCAGGTCGGAGTAGGGCTGCGAGCACGCACCGCAAGCGCGTCATCACGCTCCAAAGCGTCGACTGCCGGCCTCGTAGCGAACGCGACCGGGCGTCGAGCAAGCGCAACCTTGCCTCCTCTGCACCTTCGACCGTCGAAGAGAACGCATTGATTCCGGTGCTTACGTGTCTCGTCCAACCTATCCTACCAACCTGCCATCACTCCGGCAGCGAGCGGCAAAGTCGACCGACCATGACATGCACTCCATGCACCCCTCTTCCGACATCAGAGCGATGATGACCGTTCAGCCCGTCAGCCTCGCTGCGGACCCGCTTGCAGCGAGGCAGACGCCTGCTCCAAGGCGTTCCGCCTCGCCTTCCAAAGTACCCAGAACGAATCACCTCGCCAGCACGCTGCAGAGCCCCGCAAAGAAGCGGAAGCTCAATGCAACACTGTCACCTACAAAGCCTCCGTCTACATCTATACCTGCTAGGCGCGCAGTCGTACCCTCTTCGCAGCGTGCCGAGCCCATGGACTTGTGCGCCTTCTGCCAACAACCTGCCGACCGACCAAAGGAGAATACGCCAAAACTGCTCATCTCCTGCTTCGAATGCGGCAGCAGCGGCCATCCAGCTTGCTTGCGCTGGGGCCGCAACCCGACCAAAGTACGCAGTGCTTTGTCCTACGAGTGGAGGTGCATCGAATGCAAGAAGTGCGAGATCTGCTGCGACAAGGGCGACGACGTGAGTATCCTCCCACCACCCGCACGGCCCCCGCCTTGACTTCATTTCGTCGCTCGGCACACAGTAGCGCTGACCGACTCTGTCTCTGGCTTCTTACTTCTGTTTCCCATCTCACATTCATGCCTACAATAGGCACAGCTCATGTTCTGCGATGGCTGCGATCGTGGCTGGCACCTCTATTGCCTCTCTCCGCCTCTTGCCAAGCCGCCAAAGGGTCAATGGCAGTGTCCCACATGCGAAGCGGGCGACACGCAACCAACCCGTGCTTCGCATCTGTCCTCTCCACACCCTGCGCCGATGCGCGCCTCGAGCTCCGGTCGACCAAAGAAGCCGTCCAATCCAGATCGAAGCATCGACTCGCTCCTCTTGACGCCCGTGCATGCAGACGCCAAGCTGCGATCCCAACCTGGAGCCAACTTTGCCGTCATGAGCTCGCTCAAAAACGGCCTCCTCAACGCTGCAGGCTCCATCCTCAATCTGGCGCCTGCCTCGCCGTGGATGTCCAGGCAGGCTGGCGGTGGCCACGAAAAGGATGCGGCCGATCTCGCCTTGCCGCTCAACGGCAACTCTCGCAAGGCCGCCGGCCCAGCCAGCGGCTCGGCAAGAAGCGGCAAGCGTGGCCGTCCACGCAAGTCAGCAGCTGCGTCGGGCTCCCATCAACGGTCCAGCTCGACTTCCAATGGCGCCCATCCACATGCCAGCGGCAGCAGGCATACCCTCGACCACGACCGTGACGGATCCGGATCCGGATCCTCGGACGGCGAACATCACTCGGAGCGCCTTGCGCATGACGCCGATACCCCGAAAAGGACTGCTGACGAGGATGACGAAGAGCCGGCGAGTGATGACGAGGCTAGCAAGAGCCCAGAGGAAGAAGACCCGTTTGGCGGCGTTCTCACAGGTACGGATGCCTTGACGTTACCGTACAAACCCACACCTCTCGACACTGAGCGCTTCCATCGCGCGCGCAAAGCCGCCGAAGACCGGCTCGGCGGTACGCTGGCCAGTCTTCCGGGCATGTCCGGCAGCCGCGTGGTGAGGCGGCCCGACGTTTCTAGCACAGCAAGCGCGGCTCCCTCGCCTCGCCATCCTAGCGCATCCTCGATGCCAGACACACCCGTCGGTGGCTCCCGCATCTCGCGTGCCCAGCTCATCCCTCGACATTCACCCTCGAATATGACGCCCGGCACTCCCATCGCAGCATCCCAAGTCGAAATCACAACCTCGGCGTCCAGCGCCGAGACGGGCACGGCTTCGCCCATCAAGTGCATCCGTTTTGGCGACTTTGACATCGACACGTGGTACCAAGCGCCGTATCCGGAAGAGTACAGCATGGTGCCCGACGGGCGGCTCTGGATGTGCGAGTTCTGCCTCAAGTACATGAAGAGCCGCTTCATGGCGCAGCGCCACCGACTCAAGTGCAAGATGCGCCATCCGCCCGGCGACGAGATCTACCGCGATGGCAACATCTGTGTCTACGAGGTGGACGGCAGGAAGAACAAGATCTACTGCCAGAACCTATGTCTGCTCGCCAAGATGTTTCTCGACCACAAGACGCTCTACTATGACGTCGAGCCGTTCCTCTTCTACATTGTCACCGAGGGAGACAGCACGGGCGAGCACTTTGTGGGCTACTTTAGCAAGGAGAAGCGCAGCCCCATGAACTACAATGTGTCGTGCATTATGACGCTGCCCGTGCGCCAGAGGCGAGGCTGGGGCAATTTTCTCATCGACATCAGCTTCCTGCTGTCCAAGAAGGAAGGCAGGACGGGCTCGCCCGAGAAACCCCTCAGCGACCTCGGCTTGCTCAGCTATCGAAACTACTGGACGCTGGCGGTGTTCTACTTTCTGCGCATCGCGTCGGACCACGTCACGCTCGAGGACATCAGCCGCGCCACGGCGATGCAGCTCGAAGACATCTTCTACGTGCTGCGCGAGCAGGACATGATCGTTGTCTACGATGGCAACAACGGCAACAGCCGCACCCCAGCCACGAGCAAGTACCGAGCGCGAGACGGTCATCCTTCTGGCAATCCTGCCACCTCGGCCATCAAGGGCGGTGGGCAGGCGACTGAGGCCAAGCAACCGCGCAAACGTGGGCGGCCGCCTTTACATCCGAGGCCACCGTCGACGACCGCGGCGCCGAGCGCGCACCTGTACAAGGATCGGGACAAGAACGCGGCTGCGTACCTGCCGCAAGACTACAGCATCCACTTTGACCGCGACTACGTGGTGGCGCATCTGAAGAACTACGAGTCGAAAGGCTACCTCAAGGTGCGAGCGGACAAGCTCAAGTGGACGCCGTTCCTGGTGTCTCGGTCCTTCCCACAGCCCATCGCGGCGCCCGCCAACGGGAACATTGGCGCTTTGAACGGCACGCCCGGCCCGTCGGGATCGGGCACGTACACGCCGGCGGAGATGATGGCAAACCTGGGATATTCGGTGCTCAGCCAGGTGCAGAGGACGCCGGGGCGCAGTGGCGCCACCAGTGCGCGCGCGAGTCCCGCTGCCGCAGCTCACAAACGCGTCTCTGCCCGCGCTACAGCCTCGACGCCCGCAGGTCACGTTGCGGCGAGCGCCACGGTGGATGCCGCCGAACGGAACACTTCGCGACCAGCGTCGGTTGCCGCGTCCACACCCACTCCATCGCCGACGAAGAGACCGCATAAGTTGCTGCCTCCTGTGGGTGTTCAGCACTCGTCCGCAAGCTCTGCTTCGACGGTTCACAGGGACGCGGCGCGCAAGAAGGCGACAGAGACGGCCAACGGCGTTGTCGCTGCCGGGCCTGGCGAGTTTGACCATGCTGATGCTGATGCCGAGGTGGACCTGGACGCCGATGCAGATGCGGATGCCGATGGCGACTACGAGGAGGACGAATACGAGGCCGAGGCCTTCAGCTTGAAAGCGACCGACTTTGCGTCGACGGCCGCCTCGCGACTGCCCATCGACCCCGAGCACCTCAAGAAGGTCCTTGCAGCCAGTTCCAGCGGCTCGTTATCCTCGGGTCTGGCATCGGCTTCTTCGTCGTTTGCTGCCAGTGCGACGCGTTCCGGCGATTTGAGCCGGGACCAGGCGACAGCTACACCGGAACCGCACGCGCCGTTGGACGAGCTCGTGGACGAGGACGCCGACGGTAGCGACGAAGATGCGCCTGGCAGCGATGATCCCGGTCTCGACGACATCTGAGTCGGCGTAGTGCGTAAGGCGTAGTGCGTAGCGATAGGCGCAGCACGCATATTGAGCGGCGCTTTGGGCACCAAAGCGACATCAATGAGGCGGTCCTTGCTGCTCCTCTGCTCACAATCTATCAATCACATTCCCCTTCAGAAACTACGCCCATGACCAGCCTCAGCGACGGCTTTGAGCGTGCTGAGCCATGTCTAGCACCCACTTCGGCAAGCAAGGCAGTGTGACGAGACGACCGAAGCGTGCAGGACTCCGACATGGCGGCAATGGCCTCTGATTCCGATATAACCTTGAGGTGATGGGATTGGGCGCGTGTGGAGACGCTCGCAAGATCACACGCTCACGACTGCGGTGATCATGCATTAAGCTGACGCACGCGCCGAAAACAGGAAGAGCGCTCGGCTGCCTCGAGAAATCGCAAGAAATGCAAAATGCGACGGCCGAGGTTTTGATTCGGCCCTTGCAGAAGAGGATGAATCTGCGTACACGCAACAGAAAGGGAGAGACGTGCAGCGCCCTTCAGTCGAGTCGGGCTGCTCTGTCGCGAAAGTGAAGGAGAGAAAGAGAGAGAGAGAGACAGCGGAGAGGACCCTTCTTGCCGCGGCTGGTCGGCCAATGCTCTCCACCAACACTCGTCCCTCTGCTCACCATCTGGACCGTTCCTGCACTGCTACAAGGACCTCATCGACATTCTTCCTTGTCGCAGGACGCCAGGACCGCTTCGACTCCCGTCTCCGACCGTACACGCACGACAAGCCTCGGCCCCGCATATTTTGATCGCGACCTCTTTCGAACACTTGAACCGCTTCCGTCCGGCTTTCAGCACTTATTGCTTCGACCAACGCACCATCGACCCGTCGATTCTGCTCAGCGCTGCTTTGTCGGCTCTGACCTAAACCCAACCAGCTCCATCCCGAATCTGAATGGATACTGCGCAAACCTGACAAAGCGCAAGCTCATCTGCCCTGGACCTCTGCAACGCCAATTGGGACGCAGAGACCTGGACAGTAACGACCTGCCTTTGCACAAGCCGCCACGCTGAATCCGCAGCATCTCCATCACTCTGAGGGTGTAGGGCTGCTTCCGCGTCGGACTTCAAAGGCATCATGTTTGTAGGTATCCAGACTCCCGCATCCTTGCTCTGCCATCATGGGCAACATTCTCGACTCGCCCGCATCTGCAGATCGCCCTTGAACCGGAATGGCCATACTGATCCTTCTCTGCCTTTCCATTCCGTGCCCGCTTGCTTGTACGTCTCCACAGTGGCGATTCGGCTTTTCGTCGGTCTCGACGCTCGAGACGCTGCTCGACAAGCCCAACGTCACGCTCGAGGACGTCCTCGACGAGGATGACTTGCTCCAGGAGTGCAAGTCCCAAAATCAGAAGCTCATCAACTTCCTGAGACAGCCGCGCATCGTCAAGAGGCTGCTAGAGCATGTCGTCGGCACCGCCACCGTCGGCGGCACGGGCGGCAAGGAGTGGGAGGAAAAGGTCAAGTTCAAGTATCCTTACGTCGCTTCCGAGGTTCTCAGCTGCAGCGAGATCTGGCCCATCATCGACGCCATCTTTTCCGATCCCAACCAGTACCTAGTCCCCTTCTGGAATGCCGTGCTCACATCGAGTCCATCGCCTTCGCAGGCGCCCTTGCCTATGCACTCGCATCCCCTCTTTGCCGAAAACGCAGCCTCATCTTCGCACGGCTCGGCAAGCTCCTCGGCCTCCACCTCGCCCTTGCCGCATCTCAGCGTCACCAACTTTGCCGACTACTCGAATGCGGCATCCGGAAACGGCGCCAGCTCTCGATCCTCCTCCGACTCGGAGTCCGAGCCCGAGGGCAGGTTGCGCGCCACCAGCGCGCTCGAAAACGGTCCGGGCCGAGGCGTGCTCGCCGGCTACTGGGCCAAGGTCAACGGCGCTTACCTGGAGCGCAAGCCCATCGAGATGCTCGAGTTCATCAAGGAGCAACCCCGCATCGTCGAGCGCTTTGTGGCTCATCTCGAGACGCCCGCTGTCGTCGATCTGCTCTTCCGGATCATCCAGATGGAGGAGACGGTGCGCACTGCTGGACAGAGCACCGACATCATCGACTGGCTCTCGTCGCAGGACTTGATAGCGCGCACCGTCGATCTGCTCGCACCCAACTATTCGGTGGATATCCACAACACCGTGTCCGAGCTTCTCAAGGCCATGATCGCGCTATCGGCACCCTCCCCCGCCGCGCTCAACCAGGGTCAGGGCCAGGAGCTCGGCGCCGGCCTCGGCGAGCAGCAGGAGAACGCGGGAGGCATCAACAACCGCCTCGTGCGCGAACTGGCAAGCGAGCCCATCGTCCGCAAGATGGTCGGCTACATGCTCGATTCGCAGCTGCCTCGACAGCTCCATCGCCGCCTCACCGACGTAGCCGACGAACAGCTGTCGCAGCTCTCTGTGCAGGATCTGCGCAAGCCCTCGCAACGTCGCGACGCCTCGCTATCGACGCTCCAGGAGGACGTCGTGTCGTCTTCTGCCGTGGTCGACGACGAGGACGAGGACGACGAATCCTTCGCCCGCCCTTTGAATCCGCGCGAGTTCCCCGCTTCCGAGTCTCGCTCGCCAGGCAGCTACGACCACCGCGGTTCCACTGCCACAGTGCGGCCCGACAATCTCGTTCCTCCCGTCTCGGCACCCACCGTGCCCATCACTGCCGAGACGTGCAGCTCGACGCTGGTGACTTGCATCGGCGTCTTTATCGAGCTCATCCGCAAAAACAACAGCGACTACTTTGAGCAGCATCTGCTTCGCACCTTGCACAACCATCTCGTCAAGAGGCAGAGCGAGCTCACCGAGAAGCGCCTCCAAAAGCGGGAAGAGGAGGAAGCCGAGAAGGCGGCCGCCACCCAGCAGGAAGCGTCGGGCGACCAGGCCGCGGAGCCGAAGCAGGATGACGAAGAGTCGGCTCAGAAGATGATGGACGCGCTGGACGAAGAAGAGGAGGATGTGCAGGGCATGGAAGAGGCCATGGCCGAGATTGTCGACAAGATGGGCCTCGTGCATTTGGGGCCCATGCTCCGAGTGCTTTCCGAACGGCTTTCTGACTTCCAGCAGCTGATCAACGAGCCTCGAGAGCGCGATGTCACTGTGCCCACTTCGGTTGGTGACGTCGCTCCGCTGACGTTCGAGCGATACAGGATCACCGAGCTCTACGCCGAGCTGCTCCACTGCTCCAACATGGCTCTTCTCAATCGCGCACCAGGCGAAGGGCCGCAGTATTCGGCAGACGGCGTGCTCGCGGGCGGTCTGGAAGGCTTACAGACCTTGGCGAGGACGTTGCAAGGAGGAGACGGTCCCGAGGTCGGCGACACATCGGCTGGCGCTGTCGCCGAGGACGGACAGAGCAGCCTCGGCCACGGTGCTCCCAAGACGGATGCATCCGCTAAGGATGCGGTCGGCGAGTCGTCCACAGCTTTATTGCATGCTGGCTCGGGGCACGGTCGGGAGAAGTCGAGCACGGATGCCTCGACCGAATCGACCAACGAAGAGGACGACGAGGCGCTGCTCAACGAGGTTTCCCTCGGCGACAAGACCAGCTCTGCTAATGAGAGTAGCCCGGGCGCTGCCGGCGACTCCTCGCCCCAGGACAGGGACCCATACAGCAGGAGCCCGAGCATCACCACGAGCGACGCGCTCGAGGAGGACAAGGCGGATGCCGCTTCGATACGTTCCGCCGTCTCGGGTCTGTCGCTCGCCGAACTGACGGCACCCCGACTGTCGGGTCCACCCAGTCCCATTGACGATGCCAAGGAGTACGTAGTCGGCGACCTGCTGAAGCGCAAGTTCCTCGAGTGCGGCATCCTCCCGTCGCTTCTCGATCTTTTCTTCGAGTATCCGTGGAACAATTTCCTGCACAACGTGGTGTACGACATCCTGCAGCAGTGCTTCAACGGCCGTATGGACGTCGGCCTCAATCGCAAGCTCACTGTGGCGGTCTTTGATCAGGGTCACCTGACCGGACGCATCGTCGAGGGCCGCAGGCGCAACGAAGACTCGGTAGCGGGACCGCGCCGCATTCGCCTCGGCTACATGGGCCACATGAACCTCATCGCCGAGGAGACGGTCAAGCTGCTCGAGCGCTATCCGCTCGAGATCGCGCGGCCCGTCGAGGCGTACACCGAGCGCGAGGAGTGGCGCCAGGTGGTCTCCGAGACGCTCGAGGAGATCCGCGAGAAGGAGGGCGGACCGCTGGCGTTCAACCGCGGCCACGAGGGCATGTCGATGTCGTTTGGCTCCGGTGCCGACGATGACGACGATGACGGCGGCATCGGAGGGGCGGGCAGCAGCTCGTTCGCCAGCTACCTGTCGTCGCAGATCGGCGGTGCGGCGGGCTCGGACGACGACGACAGCGACGACGAGGGATCGTGGCTGTCGAGCGAGATGAAGCGCGGCGGCCCGGGCGACAAGGATGGCAGCGGCTTCGACGACGCCTTCGCCCCGCACCACGGAACGGGCGGTGGCAGCGGCGAGCTGGGCGACGAAGACGAGGACGACGACTGGGGCCCCTTTTCGGACGCCAACGCATCGGGAGGCACGCAGACGTTGGGGTCGACGAGCTCGAATGCAGCCACCTCGAATCCGTTTGCCGAGAACCTCACGCCAGCTGATTGGGCCGCGCAGTTCCGCCGCGAGTACCACGACGAGGAGGGCAGCAGCGCCGTGCAGGGCGCAGACTCGGACGACGACGAAGACGACGACGACACCAACAACGAGGTGGGTGAGGCTGACGGCAGTGCGCAGCCCGACACGCTGAGCTCCAGCCCGCTGTCGCCCAAGGCGCTGGCGGCGATGGTGGGCGATGTGGACGTTGTTAGCAAGGCGCATGCTCGACGCCCGCCGCTGGCTCAGCTGGAAACGGCGGCGCTGGGAGAAGCGGTTGCCGGACATGGCCGCCGCGGCTCGCTGGGCTCGGCGGGCCCCGAGATCTCGGAGGTGACGGGGGCCGAGGATCCGTTAGGCCCGGGCATCTCGACGACCGTCTCGCAGAACGAGGACGGCAAGCTGCAGCGCACGCTCGCCGACGGCACCACCGTCGTTGTGCCGCTCGACGATGCCGCGCTGGGCGCTGCGGACACGCTCTCGCCCACCAAAGCGAGCGAGGCCGAGTCGTAGCGACGCATCCACCTACTCACAAAAAGCATGTCTGATGCTCCTCACAACAGCCGTGCAATGTTCAGATTTCCATAGATGCGCCTCGCTCCGTTTTGTGTGTCGTGTCGACGAAACGACGTGTGGGTGTGAACGAAGCGTTCAACTCGTGGGACTGGGCGGTAGGAGCTTTGAGATCGGCTTCATATTTAGGATTGGAGCTCGCGTGTTTGTAAGAGGGGGAGCATTAGTATCCGACAGAGACGAGGTAGTCGCCGAGGCCTTCTGCGACCTTGTTGGCGTCTCCGGGGACGATGGGGGCGATGTAGACGCACACGAGCACCGCCTGGTTGGTCTTGACTGCGACGAATCCGTCGGCCTGTGAGCATGCGAGATCGAGTATCCCAAAGTCGAACGAGTCAGTGACGAAATGCGTGGATGGGGGAAGAAAGGGGTGGACTTACGCCTTGCTTGCCGTAGATTGTCTTTGGTGTGACGCCGAGGGTGAAGTACTTCTTGCCGTTGGCACGGACGCCTCCGGCCTGGAGACCTGAGGGGTCGTCAAAGCCTGCAATGATTGCCTTTTGCTCCTCAGGCGCAACCTGCATGTCCGGACACAACAAAAACGCATCAGCATCCTTCTCTTCCTACTCGGGGTTGGGATGATGGACTTACGTTGAAGTCGGCGCTTGTGGCCCAGACGCCGCCCTTGAGACCGATGATGGCGGCCTGGGTGATCTTGCCCGTGCCGACGAGGTTGTTGTCTACGTAACCCTGCCAAGACATTGTTGCTGAAAAGGTGCGGTGAGTGTGAAGCGGAGGAGGGGATTCGAATTGGATGGTGGATTGGTGCCAGGTGTTGGTTTCGCCCGATGACGCTGACCAGCCCCTCGAGTGCAGTCAGAGGCCAACGCAGCGACACACCCACACGCGTCAAAGAGGTTCCCGGACGACAAGAGCAGCCAGTGTTGGTCCAAGCGCGCGCCAGAGTGGATGCACTGCCTACTAACACCCAAAGAAAAATGCAAAAAAGCTGACGCGGAGCCGTGCCCAAAGTGGAGGACAAAGTCGACGCGAAAGTCGAGTGGGCAAAAAAGCGAAATCGATCTGCGAACCGACGCAAGCTGGATGTTTCCGCCAGAGGCCCCTTCTCGGCGCTATCCCGGCTGATCTCGCACATCTTGATCGGAATCTCTGCTTGGTGCCTCTGCTGCACTACTACTGATGGCGTCGGATTGCGATTTTTGGGCACCCGAGCGCAACCGCACAGGTGGAGCTGCCAAACCCGCTCCTTGGCGCGCATCCCTCATATGCCCTATTCTTCCGCGCTCCGAAGAGGTTTCTTCGCATCCTACACATACACCTCCACCATCATCACCACCCAGCTTACAAAGGCACACTTTGCAACCATGGCTCGCACTTTCTTCGTCGGCGGTAACTGGAAGATGAACGGCTCGCTGGAGTCCACCAAGCAGCTCACCCAGACCCTCACCCAGGCCAAGCTCGACTCCAACGTCGGTGAGTACGCAGATCCCCTTCCGAACTCTTCCGCGCCAATAGCTGACCGTTTTCATTGATCATGACTTTGCAGAGGTGGTTGTGGCTCCCCCTGCGCTGCACCTGCTCACCGTCAAGGAGCAGCTTGCTGGCTCCAAGGTGGCCGTGTCGGCGCAGAACGCCTACCACAAGGCGAGCGGCGCCTTCACGGGCGAGGTGTCGGTCAACATGCTCAAGGACGCCTCGATCCCCTGGGTCATCCTCGGCCACTCGGAGCGCCGCACTCTCTTTGGCGAGTCGGATGCCAACGTTGCCGAGAAGACCGCCGCCGCTCTCGCCGAGGGCCTCTCCGTCATCCTGTGCATCGGCGAGACGCTCGAGCAGCGCGAGGCCAACGAGACGGTCAACGTCGTCGTTCGTCAGCTTAACGCCGCCGCTGACCAGGTCAAGGACTGGTCCAAGATCGTGGTCGCCTACGAGCCCGTCTGGGCCATCGGCACGGGCAAGGTGGCCACGTCCGAGCAGGCGCAGGAGGTGCACGCCGCCATCCGCAAGTGGGCCGCCGACAAGCTCGGCAAGGACACGGCTGAGAAGCTCCGCATCATCTACGGCGGCTCCGTTGCCGCCAAGAACTGCAAGGAACTCGCCCAGCAGCCCGACATCGACGGCTTCCTCGTCGGCGGTGCCTCGCTCAAGCCCGAGTTCGTCGACATTGTCAACGCCAACAACTGACTAGCACGCTCGCCCGCCAGGATCTAGCGGGTCCTTGGTGCAGGCGGCCGCATTACACAAAGTGCCCCCCGGAAACATAGCAAGCGGCACTCTTTCAGCGCACAGACACGCGCGAAATCCAAAAATGTCCCCATCTCACCGTCTGTGTGTGTGGCGCAGCGAGCTCGGATCGGACCGGGAGCGGGCTCAAATCGGCATGATCCAGCTTTCGCACATTCCGCACTTCGGCTGATTTGCTCAAACGTTGTGCATTGAGAGAAGGATTGATTCAGGTGCGGCCATTCTACGAGAGTGTGACACGTGCGCGCGCGGATTAGACACGCTCGATGACGATGGCGATGCCCTGGCCGCCGCCGATGCACGCAGCGCCGAGGGCGTACTTTTTGTTGAGGCGGACGAGGTTGTGCGTGAGGTTGGCCATGATCCTTGCGCCGCTTGCGCCGAGCGGGTGACCCAGTGCGATGGCGCCGCCAAACACGTTGGTCTTGTCGTTGGGCAGTTCGAGCTCCTTCTGCACCGAGAGGAACTGCGCAGCGAAAGCCTCGTTGACCTCGATCAGGTCCATGTCCGACACGCTAAGGCCGGCGCGCTTGAGCGCCAGACGCGTAGCCTCCACGGGTCCAATACCCATAATGCTGGGCTCGCACGCAGTGACACCGTACGACACGATGCGCGCAAGAGGCTTGAGACCAAACTCCTTGACCGCCTGCTCGGACGCGACCACGTTGGCGGCGGCACCGTCACAGATACCGCTGGCGTTACCTGCCGAAACAGTGCCCTCCTTCTTGAAAACGCTGGGGAGCTTGCCCAGGCTCTCGACGGTCGTCTTGGCACGCGGGTGCTCGTCCGCATCAAAGCTCTCGGTAGCCTTCTTGGACTTGATCTCGACGGGCACAATTTCGTCCCTGAACGCTCCGTCCGCCAGCGCCTTCTGGTATCGCTGCTGCGTCTGCAGCGCATACTCGTCGCACTGCTGCCTCGAAATACCGTACTTGGCAGCGAGGTTTTCGGCAGTGATACCCATGGGCGTGGGCGTAGGCACCTGATCCGTCAGCGCCGCAGCGAGCGAATCGACCAGCTTGAGATCCTGACCGTAGCGGGTGTTTCCGAACCTCACGCCGGACAGAGTGTAGGGTGCTTGGGACATGGACTCTGTGCCACCGGTGAGCACAACATTCGAGTCTCCCACGCGGATCTCGTGCACCGCATTGATGATGCTCTGGAATCCCGAACCGCACAGCCTGTTGACCGTCAGCGCAGGTACGGTGACGGGCAGGCCGGCGTGGTGGCCAACGTGACGCGCGAGGTACGCGGCCGTGTTGTCGCTCGCATGCACGTTACCAAAGATGGTCGCGTCCACCTGCGTCGATGCCGGCAGCTCCGCCAGCGCCGCCTTGGACGCCAGTCCACCCAGCTGCGATGCGCTGAACCCAGCGAGCTTGCCGCCAAACGCGCCAAACGGCGTACGCTTGGCCGCCACGATGAATGCCTGAGATGCCATGATTATGAAAATAAGAAAAAAATGAGGGGCGAGGTTGATGCAGAAGGGAAGGAAGGCGAGGTGGACGTCCGGCTCAGCCCAAACGTCGAGCGCGGGCCGCGTCGACCGACGAGAAGAATCGCCGCCTTGCTCTGAGCCGCGGACGAGGCCTGGCAGAGTGTGTGCTGTAGCGCCCGCCTCGGCCGGTCGATCCTTGGCCTTTCACACTCTGCTCGTCATTCCGGCCCCTGCGCGCCTCCGGTTGCCGAACCTCCATCCATCCCCGAGCGCCAAACTGGAGACCCCACTTTTCCGATTTTTCTTCAATTCGACAGGAAAGGCGGCGTAACATTTTATCTTATTCGATCGACTCATCCTGCGCTGCACAATTCCTCCTCCGTATCTCGTCTAGCCCCATTCTCAACGACCCGACCAACCCACATGCACACACACACACACGCACACACTCCGCACAAGTAAAAATGACTGATCCTAGCTGCAGCTTTGCAGCGTCCCTGGCGAGTATGATTAAGAGACCCATGCAAAAAAGCCTACGAGTGCGAATGCGAGTGATACAGGATGGAAACATGCGACAAGAAACGACAGCGAGCAGTAACAATGATTAGCGAGTGAGAGAGGTGTGCGTGCATGTCACCCATGGAGGCCGAGAGAGAGAGAGAGAGATCGACGGAACGAGAGTGGGCCGAGACGAGACTGGGGAAGGGAAAAGCGCAGAGCAGCCAAGTGCGTGGGGAAGCCCCTTCGAGTATGCTTGGTAATGGTACAGATGATGCTGCCCTGGCTGTGGAAGAAGAGATGGATCGAGATGAAACGACCGAGGTTTTTGAATGCGAAAGCGGAAGAGCTGATTAGAAGGCGTCACGCACCAAGCGAGGAGCCACCTCGCAAGGGGCCGAATCAAAAAAGCACGCATGGCGATGCCGACGGCCGGGGCGGCGCGTATCTGTCGACGCCCGCACCAGCCTTGCATAGCATACACGAATGAACGACGAAATGCCAGCGAGTACCGAGACTCGTTACCCGAGACTGTGGGATCCGGCTCAGAAAAGGCCGAGGGCGAGGTCGAGAGCGAGCAATGACGCAAAACGAGTCTTTGATGAAGCCTTGCTTCGTGCCACAACCAGCTGTGGATGGCGCAGCTCCGTGTACGGTGCGCCATCCTCACAGTGTGGGCGTCTCCAGCTCCAGGCTACCAGAGAACCCGCGGCGAGCAGCGAGCGACTGTCTGTCGCCAAACTCCATACCCGCATCGAGGCGCTGGCCATCGCCATGCAGCCGAGCAGCGCCCGACTCTGCATCGACACCCGCGCCGGCCGCCGAGGGCGTCTGGCTCATGTTGATCCACGGCGAAATCGTCCATCCATCGCCCGAAGCACCGCTGCCGCCCATCGCGCTGATGTTGGACAGACCGAGCGCGCCCGGGGTGATACCCATGGGCTTGGACAAGCCAGACATGTCGGTGTGGCGAAGTTCGGAGAGTGCCAGCTGGCCAGGCATTTCGGGGGCCGTCGACATCCAGGACCCACCACCGTCGTACTGCATCTTGGACGGCGTTGGCTCTGCTGCCGAAGGCTTGGATTCCTCGAGCGTGCCGTATGGCATCGAGTGGATGCTGTCCAGGCAGCTCGCCATCACCTCGTCCGAATCTGGCGCTGCACTCGAAGTGCCAACGTCCATCTTGTCGCTGCTGGCTGCCGCTCCCGCAGTCCCTTCCGACGATGCGATGGCAGCAGAAGCAAGCGTAGAAGAAGACGGCGCCGTAGGTGCGCTGACTAGATTCGACGCGTGGTAGGCGCGCTGGATCTTTCTCGAAGAGCCTCCATTCTCGGAATCCGAATGGTCGGGCGGTACGGTAAGCTCGGTCATATCGCTGCCGTGGCGCGAGAGGTTCCCGCGAACGTCAAAGGGACTGAGCAGCGTGCTGCTCCGGCGATGCGAGAGGGGCGTAAACGAGCTCCGGCGACTGGCGTCTTCGGATCGAGGCATGCTATCGTCCGCCGAGTCGGTCATCGACGGCAAGGCGAGTCCACTAGCAAAGGGCGGCGCACCCGCCATCGACGTGTTGCTTGCGAGCGGGACGCGATGCGTGGAGCCAGGTGCAATGGTCGAGGCAAAGACAGGATGCGTGGCGTGCAGAGGGTGCTGCGAAGAAGTCAGCGACCACGGCGCCGGTGCGGGACCTAAGCCCAAGTTCTGCATGGCAGTGGCCGTGACACTCTGGGATCGGTTTCGGCCGCGATCCAACGGTGCATTGGGAGCGAAGAGATCGACTCCGAGATCGACTGGTGCACGCTGAGGCAGAGGATGTGTGGTCTGGGTGGATGGGACGGCTGGGTGGATTAAGGAGATCTGCTCGACCAACTTGATGTTATCGGCACGCATGCGGGCAAGCGCCTCTCGGAGAAATTGAGACTCTTCCTCTTGGCTTTGTGCACGACGATGCAAGTCGGTGAGCTGCGCCTCGAGCTGCATCGTGTATTCCTCTTTGCGCTCCCTGAGCCGACGTTGGGCGTTGCGGTTCTGCTCTTTGCGCCGTGCGATCTGCCGGAGGCTCTCGGCGTCGAGCACCTCGTCGTTGTGTTTGCTGGAGGATCGCATTACGATCGGCATGAGATTGAAAGGCCGAGTGACAAGGATTATGGCGCTGGAGAAAGGCTAGACGATTGAAGAGTTGGAGCGTCTGCGATTATCGGAAGCAACGTGTCGACAACGTAGTTTGTGTGGTGACTGTGCGATGGTCGAAAGGGGTGGGCAAGTGGGCGCAGAAGGAGAAGGTGAGGAACGTCGACAGGGTATCGAGATGAAAACGCTGCAAAGGCGTAAAGTTGCAGACTTGCGACGACGGCAAGCACGAACGGAGCAGTGTCGGAAGGTGTCGAGGCGAGACGGTCAAGACAGTAGCTGTGGTGTGCGATCGAACGGATGATCACGACCGGACAGAAGAACGGGCGACAAGGCGATGCGTAGTGGACAGGGACGTCGCGAGGCCCTCGAGACTTGGGTCTTTTTATCGGATTGGCTGTTGAAGGCCGGTGCGGTGGAGCCACCGAGGAAGAGGAGGGGGAACAGGAGAAGAAGAAGGTGGGGGCCAGCGGCAGCGGTGGAAGTTTTGCGCAGCCGTCGTCTTGATCTGCTTCGGCTCGGTGTCGAGAGCTTGGATGAGATCGAATGCGGAGGATCGAGAAGGGTGCCTGAGGATGCGTCAGGATCGGAGTTGACACCGAAGTGGCTAGCCAAGGGGCGCGTGAATGAAAGCTTGAAGCTTCGGTAAGCTCTGGCTGGATGCCGATGCGACGGCGAGGTTCCGATGCGGCGACGTTCCGATGCCGTGGAAGGTGTGGCGCACGCTGATGGAGAACGGTGGCAAAGATGTGTCAGGATGCGCGTGCGGTTGTCAAGAGGCGCTTGCGATGCCCTGAGGAGGCTTCAGACTGCTGCTTCGAAGAGGTGTGCAGCGGGCATGGAGTGGTGGAGGGACGGGCGGATTGGAGTCAAGAACGTCGGCGGGTAATGTGCAGGGCGAGTTGCGGGTCAAGTTGTCGCTTCATGAGACGAACTGAGCATGGGAGCGAGCAGCGAGCCAACGAGCGCAACCGCCGTCAAAGTTGCCACCGCTGGAGCCTCAGCGTGTACAGGAGCGGCTGCGCTTTAGGCTTCGGATGCCAAGGAACGGGTTGAGAGGGAAAAGCAGAGGACGAAGCTCTGTGTTTGCGCGCACGATGCGGATGAGCATGAGGAGGAGGGCGGCAGGGAGAGGCAGGGGAGGTGAAGGAATGAAAGGAGGGCGGAAGGGAGAAGCGTACGGAGGGAGAACTCTGAGAAACTCAAGGTTGAACCGAGCGACCTTGGCAACGGCGATGCAGGTCCGCAAAGTCGGCTTGTCCCCTTGAACACCGTACAAGGCTGGTGCCCGCTTGAACAGGATTCTGAAGCGCGCTTTGGGATGGGTGTGGCGTGGAAGCGCGCAGAGACGATCGCGAGCGGGCCACGTTGACGTGTGCGGCGTGTGAGGGTGGGAATCCACGCTTCGTTCGCTGGGCTGGGCTAGCCAAGCGACAACAGACGCACGCTCGGAAGGCAGGTAGAATCGGCACGGCTTTCGGCTTGGGGCCGTTCGGGAGGGGCACAACACCCAGAGAATCACACGGGCGGGCGGGGCAAGCGTGCACCATTCGAGCGAGCTCGCAGGGTCGCAGGGTCGAAGGGTCGCAGGGTCACGGGCCGGTCGAGCAGCGGATGTGGAAATCGGTGCGGACTGCCGGCACGACGTTCGCCACGGTGTCGCCACGGTGTCTCGACGTGGTTCTGCAGCTGTCTTTTTTTCTTTTCCTGCGCCGGACGGCATGGCTCGAGTGTCAATCGAGTGGAGGAGGAGGAGGAGCGCCAAATCTTGCAGAATCGTCCAAGCGATCCAGGGTGCAGAGCCGACAGAGATCACGCCGCGCAGCGTCGGTGCATCCGAATCCGCGGTTGCGACGCCCGACTCGAGCCGAACGGGCCACACACGCACACACACACTCTCTCTTTACCACAGCAACGCGGACGGGTGGCGAGATGCTGCAACCCAGCCCGCCTTTGCAGCGCGCCGTTGAAAGGCGGTGCTGTTGGCGATGTGGATGGAAAAACTGAGCTTTGCGGCGGCCATCGTGCGGCACATGGCCGACCCTGGCAGCTCGCAAACATCCTCCCCGCCCGCGTGCTGGCCCTCGTAGACCTGCGTGCCAAGATGGCAGTCGGCCACCTTTTTTGGCCAAGCTAAAATCTCATCCGGGTGGCTGGCATAAGCATTCGCCAACGCACCTAGGCTACCGATGACCGGGGGCAGCACATGTCAGGCATGAGAGGAACGGCCCATGTTTTTCCAGCACGGCACTTGAATTACTGACGTCGACCCACTGCTGGTCGGTGCTGGGGTGCAGCCAACTTCGGTGCGGAATTTACCGTGGCACGTCCGTAGCCGAGCCCAACACACTCCATGTGCCCAATGCAATGCGGAACTGGTCTGTGCAGCAGCGCATGTGCGCTGGGGCGCTTTTCGGATCCCACGATCGAGACGGTCGAGACGGCACCTGCGCAGTCACGACCAAGCGAGGCTCGCAAAGAAGACGCGTCGACGGCTCATCCGGCGTCCGCTCTGAGGCCGACGTGCGATTTCCTCGATCGAGCCTCGCGACTGCCACGCAACCCCCCCGTCTTGGCCCTCCTCCCCGCCGTCATCATACCGTACCGCCGTCCGTCTGCTCTTGAGAGGGTTGTCTTTTAGCCGGCCAGCTAGTCGGCCAACCGCATGAGCGTAGACCGCATCCTCTCTCATGTACATCCTAGCTTGGCGCTTGGGCGATCAAACGTATGCACCCGCTATCATGCTTCTAATGGCTTGACAGATGAATGCGACGAATCTTTGATAGAGGTAATGGACGATAGCCGAAGCTGCTTGGCATGCAGAGGCGAGGGTGGCGTTGTGGGATTCAAAGCCACGTCGGTGGCGTTCGGCTGCACGATCAGAAATGAGCATCGGACCGCGCATTCGGCAAGCGGCGCTTCCGATAGGCCAGCTGCTGCTGCCATCCTATCCGAGCCCAATCGGCTGCCGGGCTTGAAACTCAGAAGCAAAGTTGCTATCGGTTGGCGCGTGTCGGCAGGGCCGTAGTCCAAATTCGGCCGGCAGGATTTGGGAAAGCAGAACAGACGTCTGCACTTCGGCTCGTCACGCAACCCGCTGCACGAAAGGCCTCATTTCGGTCGATGCATTGGATTGGGTGTGAAACCGAAGCAACGTCGCCAAGGTCGAGAGAATTGCGCTTTTGCCCTGCGCATCGGCCGCTGCATGTCAAGCGCAGATATTCGGACTGTCAACGCGCGGGATTGTACCACAAAACATGCCTGCCGTCCGGTTCACGTTGACACCTTTCCGATCGCCGCTCAGCTCCGCCCGCGTCACATTTGCATCCCGACCCCCTCTACTCTCGTACGTACCGTCTCGCCGATTCGCCACTCCTCTCAGCCCCGTCGGCATGCAAATTCTTGGTCGTCACACCGCTCTGTCAGGAGCAAACGTCAAACCGCAATCTGAAGAGCCAAAGCGATGGAATTGATACAGTGTAGTCGGAACAAAGAGAGCTAGAAATACAGTAAGTGTCGACATCACTTGTCGGCGGTTGCTACGGCAGCGTGGTTGCCGCCGCGGGCGGTGAGTTTTCGCAGGTTGGCCGCCCACTCGTCGGCGCGCGAGTTGGCACGCTGTCTTGCGCCCAGGAATCCCGAAGCCGGCGCCTTGACGGGGCTCGTCTCGGGGCTCCATCTCGACGCCGGGCCCTGAGCGGTAGGAGTGACTGCTGCGTGAACGAGGTGGTTGGACGAGTTGGTGGGGGTGATGCTTGCGCTCGACGCCGCCGGTGCAGGTGCGGTCTGCGCAATGAGCGGCGAAGGCTTGGTGTATGCCAGACTCGAGTCCGAACGGTCGGAATCCAAGCTCTGTCGCTCAACCCTCTCCCCGTCGGCCAAGGCGAGGAGGTCTTTGAGGCTCGACGAGCGCGGCGTGATAGCTGCTGACGCTGCCGAACCGGCACGGATCGTCTCGTCGGTGGGGTTTGCGGCCCAGTCCGGAATCTCGGGACGCAGGTGCTTCGATGCGCCCTGGGGAGACGTGGGCTTGGGCGGGCTGACGAGCACCGCGTTCGACGTATGTTCGCGGCGGAACTCGGGTCGTACTTTCTGGCGCGGCGTCATCTGGGTAGCGTGGCGGCGGCCGTAGTCGTCGCCCATGCTGTCGTTGCTGCTGATGCTCTCGCCGCGCAATCGCGATGCACCGCGCACCGTCGCGCTGCCATGCACGGGGAATGCATCGGGCGAGTCGGAATACGCGCGCACCATGCGACCGGGTACAAGCCCCAGCGCAGACCCCATCGACTCTGGCCCGCCGATCACATGCGTGCCCTGGTGCGGCACGCCGTGCAGCTCGCGAGGAATTCTCACGTCGCGCGGCGAGCTCGGCGCGTGCTTGCCACGTCCATCTTCACCCGTGGCGAACGGCAGCCCACGCAGGAACGTCGCCGAGTGCGGCGTGGGTGGCAACGACTCGGTTCCCACCGACGAGCCGTACGACTCGCGCGACGATGCAGGCAGCAGCGGCGGCAGCGGTGCGACTCCCGTCACCGGCGACGGCATGGGCGATGTGGTCGGCAAAGCTACCGGCATCCTGCGATCGCTTCCCGGGCGCGGGTAATTCGACCTAGCCAGCCGTGCCGATGAGAAGCCCGTCGACGATGCTGGATCGAGATCGCTCCTCGACGGTGCCGCGCCGGACCTGGCTCCATCTCGCAATGCTCCGTGCGACGCTCTCGGTGCGAGCCCGGGGCGCTGAAGCACCGCGCCGGCCGTATCGTGGCTCACGCCGCGCTGCATGGGCGTCGGGCGCTGCATCTCTGCCACGCGGCTGTGCACGGCACCCCCCGCGCCCGAGCGCGCCTGTGCGTACGCGCGGTGGTGCGCATCATCGAGCGTGCGCGCCGACGACGGCGGACTCATGGCATGCTGTGGCGAAAGCAACCCATGCGAGTGCTGCGCATACTGACTCGGCGTCGGGATGCCGATCGTCAGATTCGCCCCACCGAAGCCTGGAGGAGCCGGCCCGCCCACGGCCCACTCCTGCTTCTGGCGGCGTCGCAGCTCCGCCGGGTTGTCGAACGACTTTTGCTTGCGCAGCTGGCGCATGCTCCCTGGCGGTGGACCCGATACATTCGTGCCGGCACCCATCGTGACCTTGACCAGGCTCGCAGGCTTGTGGCCGATATCATCGAGCGTAGCGACAGCTCGTGGCGGGGCTGGAAAGCCGTACTGGCCCACACTGGGCGGGGCGAGGCCAGGCGTCGATGCGCCCGATCCGGGCAGGCCAAAGCTGGGCATTAGCGGCGAGATCATCGGTGGCGATGGCAGACGCAGACCACCCGTCGATGAGGTGTTGCTGGTGGCGGATGCAAAGCGCTGCATCTGCGACGGACGCGGCGTGGTAAAGTCGTAGGCGCATGCAAGTTGGCGGTCTTCCTCGTTCTGCGGTGTGCGCAGCTCCACGCTCGTATCCGCCGACGAGTTGTCCCAGCCCGACATGGCCTCGAACGACGAGTCGACCCCAGACGTGAAGGACGACGAAGACGAAGACGAGCGGTCGCCCGCCTCTTCATCGTCATCGGTTGCTGCTGAGTCGCTGTGTGCCGGGGTCGGGCAAATGATGGAGCTGAGGTCGAGGAAGTGTGGCTTGACAGGTTTTGTCGACGCCTGTCCCTGCTGTGCGCCCTTCTTGGGCGCTCGGTAGCGCGCACTGAGCTTGTGGAACGTAGTGTCGAGCCACGCCTGCTTCTTATCGGTGTTGTGGGCGTGCTTGGGAGCGGCGTGCAGATCCGCTGCCGACGCACTGCGCGCATCGGCGCCGCGCTGGCGGTCGAACTCCTTGCTGAGCGAGCAGGTGAACGAGAGCAGCGACGCCGTGTCCGAGAAGGCGCCGGCCTCGGTGGCTGCTCTGCGTGCGGCAGCCGAGGCGGCGAGGATGTGCATATAGCTGTCGTCGCTGACGGTGCGCATCATGTCATGCGAGGGCGCGGCGGCGGGCGGCAGCGGAAACGCAGGCGTGGTGGGTGATGTGACGGTGCTGCTGTGGGCGCTGTTGGTTCGACTGGCCTCGCTAAAGTTGGGTCGCTTGGTGGAGCTTGCCGCAGACGGACGGCGGAGACGCTCCCACCGACTCATGGTCGGCTGCGCGTTGGTATGCGCCTGGCTGCTAGCATCCTCGGAACTCGAGGCCGAGCTCTGTGAGAGGCTGGTTTTGTGTTTCGTGCCCATTGCTGGCTGCACGTCGACTGCTTCGACGAACGTAGGGATCAAGTGCCAAGTTGGTGATCAAGCGCGGATGATATGGAGCATGCCCTCGGCGCGCGTGGAAGACGCGAAAAACGCTGGTGTTCCTGGTGTTGTTCGCAGTGCGATCAGCCGCTAGCACGCGATACAAGAGAGGCAGAGAGGATCGTGGATGGTAGCGCTACAAAAAGGTTGTCGGGAGATAAGGAGGCTGATGGCCGAGCAGAAGGCAGCGAGGTTGGGAGGAGGGTCCGGCGTGCCACCCTAAAAATCTCGGGCGGTAGCAAGGCCCAGGTTCAAGCTCGACTTGTTGCGCTCCCGCTGCCAAACGCACAGGATCGGATGCGCGCGGCTAGCCTTCCCTGCTGCGCTCAAGCTCCTATGCAGCGAACACGGCTATCCAGGGGAGCAGTTGGTGCAGCTGCTTGGCAGAAACTGCAACGCGTCCCGCTCTCGAGCGTTGCCCCTGCTGGACGAGCCTAGGTGCTGCCTAATGACGGCACTCTTCGAACGCGCAAAAGGATGAGGCGTTTGCTCAAAGTTCACGCGCAGATCGAGAGGAGGTCTAGGGCTTATGGTGCCGAGCCCATTGTGTGGTATGGCCTGGATCGCGGGGCGGATGTGCCTGGGCGCTTAGAAGCGAGCAGGCGGGAATGTGAGCGTGTGAGCTTGTGCCACCCACGCTCGTCTGCTGGCCTGCTGGCCTGCCCGCCTGTGTGTGTGGCAAACGTTTGGTGTCTCGGAGAGAGGCAGGCACGACATGCGCAAACTGAGACTCTGTCTCTGTGCTGTGTCCGTGGTGGGAGAAAAAATGCCAGTCCGACGTCTGCGCGGCTTTGCATGCATTTTTGAAATGATGCGCAATACCAACCGACACTACTGCGCCCTTTTGCCCTGTCCAAGAACGCCGAGGCTGACACTACAAACTGGCTGCACCCTTGCATGCTGCACTGCATCCGTGCATCCACCTCCGCACATCGCCCTCGTCTCAGCAGTGGGGGCACTGTAGCACCATCGCCGCTCGATTCGCTCCGTCCATCAGGCATCACGGCCAGCGTCCCGATTGTCTCTTCACCCCCGGTCCTCAAAATGAAAAGAACAGAGGGGCCGGGGCATAAGACTCCTCAGGTCAGACGAAAGATTGGGGGTGAGGGCCCCATCAATGCAGCCGTTCGTCACGGTATTGGGTTTTAAAGCTGCGAGTCAACTCCGCCTCGGTGTGCGAACTTTGTGCGACAAGGGCCTCACGCCCTGCGCCTTGCCGAACCACCCGGTCCGCTCTCCCTCTGATTCCCCTCACTGGAATGGCTTGACCTACTGAATGCCGCGCAAAGAAGCTTTTGGTGAAATTCCTGCCTGTTTTTTTTTCTGCCAAGCCAACACATGCACCGACGCGTCTAGACGCGACGAGTCCAACGAGGGGACGTGACCATCGCCTCGAAAAATTCCACGCCGCCTGCAGGCATATGCAGCCACTCGCAGCGAAGCTTCATGCCGCCAACACGGCTCTGCGCATAAGCCCGCTCCGTGGTCGCAGCATGGCTCACACGCACCGCACTCTTCCGAACACACCATCCACTCTCTGGAAGTCTTCGCCGAAATCGACATCGCGATGGATTGCGACGACCAAGTGTGCGGTGTTAGAGCGATAGAGCCAGCCGGTGCCCTGCCTGCGCTTGAGTGTCAAGTCGCCATGCGACCATCTAGCCTATGGTGTCTTGGGCCTGAACAAGCATAACGTAGTTGAGCGGAAGACGCTGGTTTTCTGCTGCACTGAGCTGTTTGAGCTTTGATGCGTCGATAGTGTCCGTCCTGCGCTTGTGCATCCGGTTCGAATCGGTTGGACTGCCATCTTGCTGCTGCTGGGTATCCTTTGCGGCGTCCTTATCGGTCCGTCCGGCCTGCGTGGATCCCGTGACGTAGGTGTTGCACCGAGCTTCAGCGCTGAGCTTAGCCAGGTCGTCGTACGAAGGCGTGTAGGTGAGCTTGCAGTCCGGGGTGGCGGAGAAGCCCAGCTTGGCGTGCTTATCCACGCGCAGAGCCAGGAGGCTAAACGAGCCCGAATCCGAGATCTTCTGGCACACAGCATCGGGCACAATCGCATGGGCTGTAGCATGTTCGGCGTCGCCACATGGCTGCAGGACAGTGACCCGGTCACCATCCGCTGCTACAAAGGGCAGCACAGCTGCCCCGAGAAAAGCCAACAGTGCGTACGCAGACACCATCGTATATAGTCTTGACCTGAAGACGATTCACACTGGTGCGGACCTAGGCTGAGCTATGGGGCTACATATATATACTTTGATCCCCAGTGGGGACAAGTGAAAGAGGAACTCGCGGGAGGTCGCCGAGATGAACAAGGGGGTCCCCGCCACTCCTCCGTATCCTAGACAGCTCCCGGTGTCGTTTCATATCCGCACTTGCGCTCGGTCCCCACCCGCATAAGCACAGCCTTACAATGCAATGCGAGCCACTTCCCGCTGCGTTGGTCATCGTCGTGCGTCGTTGCACGCTGTCAAAATAGGCGATCCGTCCACCGCCATTGCATTTCGCACTGCTCCCGTCAAATTCATCCAAATCTCGGACCCCAAAATTCCACCATCAATTTGACACCTTCGACCGCCCCCTCTCAACGTCATCAACAATGTCCCCTGCCCTTGACACCGATCTGTACCGTCCCTGAAACCACGACCCACGCCCATCGCTGTTCAACAGACACATGCACACGCCGCACGCACCGCTGTCCATTGTATACAATCCGATTAGAAAACGAAAACGAAAAAGAGAGTTAAACCACAGCCCACGGGCACACCGGCGTCTAGGACGACTGTGGCGCAGCATGCTCCTCGGCCACCTCATCCTCCTCCTGGTGAATCATGGTGAGCCGCTTGCGCTCCTCCTTCTTCTTGAGCAGGCTCCTCCTGAAGACATCCGGGACGAGCCTGTCCTTGACGCTCTTCTTCTTGGTGGGCTCGTCGGACGAATACGTGTAGCCGCGGTTGGGCCTCTGCTCGCCCGTGAGCATGTCGTAGTGCGTGCTGCTGGCGCGCGACGCCGTCTGCCGGAGCTCGTGCATCTGCACGCCGCCGGGTGCGGCCTCGTCGACGCGCGACGCCGATGTCGCGGCACGCACCAGCGGCGCAAAAGTGTGGTGCGTCATGCTCGGCCTACCCATGCTCTCCGCGTACTCGGGCCGCGCGTGCGGAATCGCCGGATCCGTCGTAAAGTCGTGATCTTCATCCTGCTTGTCTACGTACCGCAGGATATCCACGTCCGTCGGGTAGTACGACTGGCGGAAGCACTTTGCCAGCACGCGCGGCAGCAGCGCCAAGAAGCACGTCAGAAGCCCAAGCATCCAGAACTGGATGCTCGGATACAGGAAGTGGTTGTTGCCGTACGAGTAGGTCGACGTAAACGACGCGTAGATCGGCGCAAAGGCGAACATCACCACCGTGCCCAACCACACACCGCCAAAGATGAACCACGTCCATGCGCGCGCATTGATGCCCACGAACAGGTTTGCCACCAACACCGACGCGATCGCCATGCCCGTCGACCACTCGTACAGGTTGATGTCGTATCCATCGCTCCTCACCGACGTCGTGTTGTACGAGTAGGCGAAGAAGAAGAACAGAATCACCGACTGGTAGATGCCGTCAATGAAGTAAATGATAAACGGTCCGAGTCCAAAGTACGCGCGCCTGCGCGACTGGTGGTACAGCTCGGGCACCTGCATGAGCACCTTGTCGTTGATGTTGCGGTCAAAGATGCCGATGCAGATGACCGCCAGCACCGTCCAGACGGCGTTCCAGAGCAGAATGTAGACGTAGTCGATCGCCTGCGTCGTCGACCACGCACAGTAGATCTGGAACCAGAAAAGCGTGCCCACCTGGATGAACTGCTTGTAGAAGAAGTTGGTGATCATCGTCGCGTTGCGGTAGTACGACCAGTGGCCGTGCACGAGCACCAGGCGCTTGAGATAGCGGAACTGCGCGATGGCGTAGTCGGACGAGTTGACCGCCTGCAGACCCTCCTCACCCGCGATACCCACACCCACATGGGCGGCCTGGATCATGCTCACATCGTTGGCACCGTCGCCGATCGCGAGCGTCATCACGCCCAAGCCGTCCTTGATGAGACGCACGATGAGCGCCTTCTGCAGCGGCGACACACGGCAGCAGATGACCGCCTTGCACTGCGTCGAGATGCGCAGCAGCAGATCCTTGCTAAAGTCCTCGCTGAGCGCATGGCCCAACGCCGTTCCGTCAATCACGAGTGCGAAGCCGCCGGAGCGTTGACCGTTGTCCTCGCCCACCAGCGACACCTGACTCACGCTGCTGCGGCGGTTGCGGTGGTACGACGGCCTGCGCGACATGAACGACGATCGTCGACTTTCGCTCTCCTCGCCTGGAGGCTGGTGCTCCATCTCCGAAAGCACAGCCGGTCCGCCAAAGAAGCGCACCACCGCCTTGCGGAGCTGTTCGTACGCCGAGTTGGGTTGTCCGTACTCGCCGCCGCGCACGACGACCAGGTTCATGTCCTCGGTAAGCAGCATGGTGCTGTAGCCGATCGCGATGGCCGTCTCGAGCTTGTCGCCCGTGGCCACCCACACGTTGATGCCGGCGCGCTTGAGATCCGCAATGGTCTCGGGCACACCGTCCTGCAGCTTGTCCTCGATCGCCGTGGCGCCGTACAGGTCAAAGTCCTTTTCAAGCTCGCTCGCCAGCGCCTCCATCTTCTCCTCACGCTCCTGAATGGAGACGGAGGCCTCGTGGAAGCGGTGCGACCAGTCGTCGTAGAACTGGCCCGAAAGCTCCTTGCCACCCAGGCAGAGCGTCCTGAGACCCTTGTTGGCGAACTCCTCGAGCGCTGCGTCCGTAGCCTGCTTGATCTCGTCCTGACCGGGGCGGGCTCGCTCAAACATGATGCTGTCAGCACCCTTGGCCAGCATGAGCAGCTGTCCGTCCGACTCGCGGCGGACAATGACGCTCATTCTCTTCCTGGCGGACGAGAATTCGTTGACGGTGAGCAGCTCGTAGGTCTCGGGCTCTTTCGAGTAGGGCGTAAGGATGCGGAGCGTCTGGCGTTCCTTGCTGAGGAAGATGAAGCCAGCATCGGCAGCCGCCTGGACCAGCGCCTGCTCGTCGGGGCTCTGCGCCTGGTACTCGATGCTGCCGTCCTCCTGCTCCTCGACGAGCACAGTGTGGCACAGAGCCAGGCAGCGGAAGAAGCGGCCGAGCTGCTCGCTGTGCTCCGAGTTGGGGTCCTTGAGCGCGTCGATGAGCTTCTGGTCGCGGAACGGAGGAATCTCTGGGTTGAGAGGCTTGACCTTGACGCCTGACTCGTGTCCCTGCTCCGAACCCGAAGAGCCCTCGTTGCTGGAGAATCCATCCTTCTCCGACACGACATTGGGGGCGTCGCCTGCCGTCGTCTCCGAGGTGCCGATGTGGGGAGATGCAACTTCCCCGTGATAAATCACGCCCGAGACGGCGCACTCGCGGAAGATCATGACGTTCTGCGTAAGGGTACCGGTCTTGTCGCTGAAGATGTACTCGATCTGGCCGAGGTCGTCGGAGAGATTCCAGGATTTGGCGGTGGTGCGGCGATTGGTCTTCTCGTACCAGATGTCGTAGTCGTCGTAGATGAAGTAAGCCTGCGCGAGGCGGACGAACTCGAACGAGATGTAGAGCGAGATCGGAACGATGTTCTGGAACGTGATGAGCGAGTTGGCAAACGCCACGAGGCCGTTGATGCGCGGATTGTCGTCGCTGCGCGTGGCTCCATACTCCCAGTAGGCGCCACGGTCAAAGTAGCGCTGCTCGAGGAGCGAGTCGGCGATGGCGCAGGCGACCGAGACGCAGGCGAGGACGACGAGGTTGAAGTAGACCATGGGGTTCATCTGCTTCTCGACCATGGAGCGCTTGCTGGGGGTAACACCAGAGTTCTGAATGATCTTGGTGTCCCAGCCGGTCATGAGGACGACGCCGACGATCCACTTTGTGTTGCGGAGGTTGCAGCCACGGAGGAGGATCTGGTTGAGCGTGACGGGACACTGGAGCGGGTTGCCATTCTTGTCGAATCTGTCGTTGAGGACGACGCTGGCGTTTAAGCGGTACATGTTGACGTCCTGGGGCTCTGCATCGATGCGGAGAGAGGCGCGAGCGCAATCCTCGGGCTTGCGAAGGGAGGTGAGCTCGGGCACGGCGTGGCGAGCCTTGAGGTTGGTCTCGCCGTCGAGATTCTTGGTCTCGATGAAGCAGCTGTCCTCCTCTTCGCTGGTGGCGCAGATGATGATGTCGGCCGGGATGCTTTCGTTGTTGGTGAGGTAGACAAAGTCACCGACGGCGAGCTCCTCCCAATTCTTGTTCTTCCAGCGGGGCGCCTTCTTGGAGAAGAAGGCGTGCTCTTCGTCGGCGGTGAGGATGCGACCCTGGTGCCTGATGCGACCGTCGTCGAGCTGCTCGTAGTCGGATTCGAACTGGCTGTGGCGTGTGGTGGAGCGTCGCGCGAGCTGGTGCGACATGCGAGGAGGCGCGTTGGCCTCACCGGGCACGGGAACATTGCCACCTACGGCGGTGGTGGCGCCGCCGCCGGGCGCGTCTGCAGGCGGGGCGATGGGCTCGTCTTGCTGGTGAGCGTGGCCTTCCTCGGCAGCAGCTTCGGCCTTGGCAGCCATCTCCTTCTGAAGCTTGGAGGACTGCTTCTTCTTGCCGCCAAACAGCGTGTCTTTGACGGATTGGAAGAGTGCGGAAGCGCTCCTGCCCCTGGGCTCCATTGCGTTGGGGTTCTGCCAGCCGCCACCGGTGAGTGTGCGTACCTTGAGCCGGTTGATGTGACGATCGGACTGGTGGCGCTTGATGTCTTCGTAGCCGTCCTTGGCCATGGTGATGGCGAGGACGGCGAGCAGGGGCAGCATGGAGACACCGGGGTTGATGGTGGTGAACTGCGGGAAGAACTGGAGGATGACGATGAGAAGGAAGAAGAGGTTGGCGACACGACGGAACTGCTCGAGGAGGTTCTTGAAGACGAAGTTGTAGAGGGTATATTTGGCGGTCAAGACCTGATTGCTGGCATAGATCCAAGGGTATTTTGGCTTGCCCTTGTGGTCGAAGGCCTGTTCTGGAAGAGGCTCATTGAAGTAGACGGAGCGAGGTGCGGGTGGCGGTCTCTGCTTTTTGAAGACGACGTCGGGGTCGAGACTGATGTTGGCGAGCCTGGTGCGGAAGGCCTTGATCTTTCCTGAGGCTGACGAGGCGGGTTCAGCGGAAGAAGCAGCCTTGGACTGCTTCTTGTTGGATCCACGCTTGCCAAACATGGTGGAAAGCGACGCGGCTGGCTGACGAGGATGCGCAGCTGCTTAACGCCGAAGCTTGGCCGGCAGCCCGTACTGCACAGGTGGCTTGCAGCGGCGAAAGCTGTCGGGAGAGGGAAGCTGCAGATGGAGGCGCCGTTACAGGTGGGGCAAATGAAGTCTGGGTGCAGCTGGACCAGTGACGGAAGCGGCAAACTACCCCTGTTCGTTCGTCTGTGCGTTCGTGTTTGGATTGGGCGTAACGTTGGAAATGAAGTGACGTAAAGTCGGACGGAGCGCTCCCAGATCTCGTCGATGGTGACAGGAACGGCTTAGTTGAGGTTGCCCAATGTCTGAAGCTGAAGACGTGGCCGCTATGGTGGAGATGCTTCCTTGGCGGCAGTTGCGATTCGACCAAGAAAGGAGGCAGGCCGGCGACGCTGTAAAGCAGAGCACCTCTATCGCAGGGTCCGAGGTGGAGCTTGCCACTGAGTGTTATCACTCAAGCGAGATGGTCGTCGCAGCCGAAGGAACGGGCGTTGCGATGGGTATGTTGAGGATGCAGATGGTGGTGGAGGGCAGGGAGTGTAGCGAGGCCCGGGGCTGTACACGGAAGAAGCAAACAGAGGAGGAACGTGGCTCGACTCTTACCGACCGACAGACACGCGCTCACACGCACTCAGCCACCCTCGCTGCACCACCCATTCAAAAAAAAAGCGCCTGACTCCGCGGCACCACGGCGCTTTTGGCATCGCAGAGAGCAGCAACGCGCGCTTGGCAGGTGCATCCGGGCGCTTGTATCCGTCTACGCTTCATTTGCCTCTCGAGCGACGAGAAGAAACGGCCAACTGAACCGGCGAAGGCTTTGGTTTGGGTTTGCGGGTTCGACACAGCCTGGGCTGTGCTGGACACACGAAAGGGAAAAAGGTCCGGCTCGGATTTGGCGATCCGGTGGTCGCTGTGGTCGCCGCTTGTTTGTCAGAAGCACCCACAGCTGGTTGGCTCTGTGTTGTGCTCGTTCGGGGTCGAGTGCAGTGCAGTGCCTCAACTGCAGACGCCGAGCAGAGTGAGCCAGTCGTGCATTTCTATTTTTTGTACAGACGGGCCGGCGCGTTTTGAATTCGAGCCGAGCGTCGAATTTCCGTCACCGCTCTGCTGCTGCTGCTGATTGCTGCTGCTCCTGCTGCTTGCCTTACGGCGCTTAGGCACCCGCGGGCAGCCCCTGTCATCATCGCGTCCACGGAGGAATACTGTATTGGATTCGCAACTCAGCCTGCAGCCGTGCAGATGCAAGGAAAATCGGGCCGAACTCCCTCCACCTCATATCGAAAATCCAAGCCTCGGCGTCGCTCTGCCCGCTTGTTTTGATGCCTCAAGCGATTCCAACCGAGCAGCCTGTCTGTCGTCCCGTGCACATCCAGCCATCCTTTGCTCCTTTGCACCCTTCTCTGCATCGGCACCAAGCATCCAACACATGGATGAATGCGAGATCTCCCGATTCCAGGTCCTGTGGTGAGACTGATCCAGTCAGGCGGCACCTGCAGAGGCCTGTCAGGGGACGCACCGACACCTCCGCGGAGCAAACACGTCAAGCGTCCGGCGGAGATTCGTACTGATCTTTTTGGACCATGAGGTACGAGCATCGAAAGAGTCTTCCGGAGTCAACCCTAGCAATGTTGCAACCTGAGCCGACAGCTCCGCGTGGCTCGAACCGATAGCTTTAGATCTGGATTCTCTGAGCGGGGTCCGGAAGCAGGCTCCGGAAGCAGGCCCCGGGTGGTGCCATGCAAGACCCTCGGTCATTCGCATGATCTCACCAACTCTGTGGCGCTTGGACCCTTGTCGTGTGCAAGTTGCGATGGGGCAAGCCAGTGCTCACAACCTTCCTGATTCCACAGCTCAGTTCTAGGCACAGTCCGCTGGCCTTGGTTGACGACAAGTGAGATTGTATCTTGGGCTAGTCTACTGCTGCTCACTTGTTCGAGTTGAGCGTCTTTTGGAAGAACGCACGCACATCCTCCTCGCGCACCATCTTGCCCGTGCCGGCAAACGGCTTGAGGTGCTCCCACAGCGCATCGCGGAACTTGCTGTACGCATGCAGCGAGTTGATCATCTTCTCTCTCGGCATGGCACGCAGCGCAGCCATACCTAAATCGTACGTAGACGACGTCACCGACGCCGCATCGTCGTCGCGAACTGATGCCTGCGGGTCCGACGGTGGTGCGTACGTCTCCTCGGCCTCCAGCACGTGCGGAAGGGCGCTCCACTGCGGCAGGCACGCTGCGCAGCGGCAGATCCGATCGCGAAAGTCGTCGCTCAGGAACACATCGCAGCGCTGCGAAGGCCTCGTCTCGGATGCTTCCGAACTCAGTGCAGGCACCCACTCATCCACCACCGACGCCCCGAGCTTCGCGATCATCGATAGACCCTCTGGCAGAGTGCAGCCAGCATCGGTCGTTTCGAGCTTGAGTCGTTTGCTGCCTTCCCCTGCTGTCTGATCGTCCTTTGGATCGTCATCGGCACGTCGCTTGCCATCTTTCTTCTCGGCCAGGCCCGCGCCTCGCAATGAGTGTTCGGCAGGAGCTTCAGACTCGGCTCCATGCGCGTTGCCCTGCTCCTCCTTTTCTGGCTTTGTCAATGGCAGGCTGGCCGAGGAGCGAGCGATCTCGGCGACAGACTTCAGCAGGGCGCCGTTTGTGGCAGCGCTCACCTCTTCTTGCGTAAGAGCCTGCTCTGGCTCCACGGCAAGTCCAAAGATCCTCCAGCTTCGCCCTTGGTACGGTCCTCCAGCGTTTTGCAGCTCCTCTTCCGTCGGCACTTGGATGCTAGCGACGCCATCGTACTGCCCCGCTTCACCCGCATCTTGGCTCGTCGCAACGATCATCCAGCCTCGTGCTCCAGCGTAGCGTCGCAGAAGCTCGTTGCCCGGCTTGCGCACGCATGCGTCGCAGATCATCAGGTCGAACAAGTCGTGGTCGATCAAGGGCGCTTCCGGCTCGGTTGCAGTTGGGGGCATCGCTGCCGTGGTCGATGCGGCGGACGCTTCACCTGCTCCAGCATCGCCGCTGACAGATTTGGGCAGCGTGGCCGGACGCAACGAGGTGCAGCTCTCGTGAAGCCACTCTTCGCACACGATGCATTGGAACATCGTCTCGTCCTCCTTCTCGGGATCGTATGTCTTGCCACGTTCGCAGTAGCAGAAGCTTCCATCAAAATTGTGGTTGTAGCTGTTGGTGTCGTTCTGCGGATCGAATCCTGGCTTTCGCAACGTGCATGGCTTGGCACCTTCGGGGTACGACAGCTGTTCGGCCAACCGTGTCGAGCGGCCAGCATGGTTCGGTTCGCGCTGTCGATACAGGTTGGGCGTGCCACAGTCGCAGCGGAACTTGCGCTTGTTGAAGAGCTCCACCAGCTCGTGCTCCGCGTGGCACGATACGCTGCAGCCGGCACATACGCCGCCACCACCACACGTCTTGCACGAGTACACGGGTTGACGGATGTAGCCTCGCTCGTGCGTGCAGGTGTCAAACTGAAACGGGATCGCCTCGTTTGCTTGCGCCTCCAGCTTGGATTGTTGCGCGATCAGGTCGGCGGCGGTGAAGCCTACTTCATCTTCGCCCAGATTGGGCGCTGGCAGCGAAGGGTCAGGGAGCTGGGCCGAGGAGGAAGATGGCAGGTTCGATTCCGATGCATCCGACACGGACGCCGAGCCTGACGCCTGGATGTCGGAACTCATACTCGGGTGGGATGCTGCCCTCGAGCCTTGTGTACAAGCGAGAAGACGTTCAGGATGAGGAAGAGTGGGTGAAAGAGCCAATGTCGAGTGGTTGGAAGGATCCAAGGAAGGCAGTGGCGGCGCAGCGATTTTGGGTTGCGCGACTTTCGACTCGATCCAACACTTTACGCGTCTCGAAGCGCGCCTGACGCACGCCACTCTACGAACACGGCTCTCGCTCTGAACGACTCAAGGGACAATGCAGACGATGGTGGTAATTGGTCCTCATCTCCATCTTCCAAGGTATCGCTGTGTGCATCCTGCTCCACAGATCATGGCGCCGGCAACCTGGTCGACTCAGACTGCCGCCAGCATACGAGCGGTGGTGTCGCGTGCGCCTTCAATGCCTTTCAGGGTCGCGCCCAAAATGTTTCCGCGCGCTCGAGCCAGGCAGGCGGGTAGCCTCCACTCGCTTAGCCTTTTTTTGGAGCCTCAGATTCTTTTGGCCGCAGCTGCAGGAGCGCACTCCCCTGCAGCTGAATGCTTTGTGGTCGATTCGCTTGCAAGTTTCCATTCGACACTCACTATCTAGTACGCAGCGTCGATCTCCATCCTCCAAGGTTCTGCAACATCTCACGGAGGCCAAAGGGCGCAATGAAGGACACTTCGCATAGCAGTCGACGGCTCGGGCAGCGTTGCCTTGGTGCAGTTGTGGCGATACTCGCCTTCAGCGCATCCGGAACGCGCGCATGGGAGACCAAAGCCCAAGCGCTTGAGCAAGCGGTCTCGCTCGTACATGATCCAAATGTTTTTGGCGTCTCGAGCCTCTCGACCCGCTACCCTCCCGACCATGCTGTCACAGAGCTCGCCGATCATGTCATCACAGGGCCCGAGTACTATTCCCTGTGCGATTCCGAGGCGGGCTCTCTTCTCTATCTCGGATTGACCGTCTCGCAGACGTGGCGAAACGTGCTCCACAGCGAGTCTCGTAATGCTACCGTGAGCATTGCGTCGAATGCAGACCCTTCTCTACCAGATCCTCGACACAGCTCAAAGCACCATCCGGATCGATGGCAGGATCGCCGACCCTCGTGGAGACGCGGAATGCCCTCCAAGCCGCGTATCACTCTGTTCGGTCATTTCGACATTCTCAACGTCACCCAAGATCCCCGTGGAGCCGAACGTGCCTCGCAATGCTACCTCGAGCAGCATAGCGACGCTTCGCACTGGGCACCCAATTCGACCGAGTCGCCCCACGTGCCCTTCTGGGCAACCTTCCACGTAGACAAGGCATACTGGGTAGGCGGCTTCGGAGACGAGCACTACATCGGCTGGTTCACGAGCGACGAATGGAGCACGGCTTTCAAGCGACACCGCCTTTCTGACACCCTGCCTCCACCCGCTCAAGACTTCCCTGAACTCGCCTTCCAGTAACACCCGATATTCATATGGAATGCAGACTGTCACACCTCTTTGCATCCACCTGAAACCATGGAAGACACCATGATCTGCATGCTCGGGCAAGATGGTGAACGCTTTCTTTCGTGATGCCTCCTGGGGTGAGTAGCCTGAAGCTCTGGCGGATGAAGTTATAAATGTTACGCCAAGCACACGAACAGACCTGGCTTTTTTGTCGAGCTTGGCTGAGTCTGCAAGATCAGAAATCTCGTCTGCAAGTCGGGTGACCAAACGCCCGGCCTTTTTACGCGCTTTTCGCTCACGCGTCGAAACCAACACCTCTCGCACACTTTTTGGCGAAGCGGGGGGGCTCTTGTAAGCTACTGCTGCCGCTGCCCCTGGAGCGTCGGAAGAGGTCCGAGGCTCACCCTAGTCAGCAGGCACGCCTTGCATGCAGCAATGCTCAGTCGACGAAGTTCCCACCGCCACCCGTCCATTTCACTTCACTTCACTGCTCCTAGCTCGCCTCCCCCACGATCGCATCCGCCCGCCTTCTTCTCATCCGACCACCACTGGCCCTTCTTTGCCACAGCTGCGCTTTTCGAACGGTCGCGCTTCCTTACGACCACGTGGTTTAGCCCTCTCGATTCACCTAACATCACCACCCTCTTCCGTATCGACACTGCATACTGAACATGTCTCAGAGCGTACAGGACCCCGCGCAACTCGGCGAGGAAGACATGTGCGAGGGTTTCGGCCCCCTGCCCGTATCCAAGCTAGAGGTGCGTAGCCACTGCTGTGTCCTTCGCCATGGTTAGCCGATGTAGCTGACTGGATGATCGTTTCTGCTCCTTCTCCTTCTGTTTCTTTAGGACTTTGGCATCTCGAGCTCCGACTGCAAGAAGCTCGCCGAAGCCGGATACAACACTGTCGAGAGCATCGCTTTCACGCCCAAGAAGAACCTCCTCCTCGTCAAGGGCATCTCAGAGGCAAAGGCAGACAAGATCTTGGCCGAAGGTTAGTCCATTCATTGGCACGGACGCCTTTTCACACACGAGTCACACGACTGATACATTTGCCCTCCGTTTGTCTTTGCTCGCCACCCGCTTTTCCCTGCCCTTGACAGCTGCCAAGTTGGTGCCGATGGGCTTTACCACGGCCACCGAGTTCCACGCGCGCAGGAACGAGCTCATCTCGATCACGACGGGCTCCAAGAACCTCGATGCTATCCTCGGCGGTGGCATGGAGACAGGAAGCATCACCGAGCTTTACGGCGAGTTCAGGACGGGAAAGAGTCAGCTCTGCCACACGCTGGCGGTCACCTGCCAGCTTCCCGTCGACATGGGCGGAGGCGAGGGCAAGTGCCTGTATATCGACACGGAAGGTACCTTCCGTCCCACTCGTCTGCTCGCCGTTGCAGAGCGTTACGGGCTCAACGGCGAAGAGGTGCTCGACAACGTGGCGTATGCGCGTGCCTACAATGCCGACCATCAGCTGCAGCTGCTCATGCAGGCGTCGGCGATGATGGCCGAATCGCGCTTCTCGCTGCTCATCGTCGACTCGCTCACGTCGCTCTACCGCACCGACTTTTCCGGTCGAGGCGAGCTCTCGGCGCGACAGATGCACCTCGCCAAGTTCCTGCGAGGCCTGATGCGTCTGGCGGACGAGTTTGGTGTGGCGGTCGTGATCACCAACCAGGTCGTGGCGCAGGTGGACGGAGCCACCGCGTTCACGGCGGATGCCAAGAAGCCCATTGGAGGTAACATTGTGGCGCACGCCTCGACGACGCGACTCTCGCTGCGAAAGGGACGCGGCAACCAGCGTATCTGCCGCGTGGCTGATTCGCCCTGCCTGCCCGAAGCTGATGCTGTGTTTGCCATCGGCGCCGAGGGCATCATTGACCCGGTAAGTGACTTTTGCTTTTAGCTGGCGAAGCTTTGGTATGTGCGAGCATTGGCTAACCTCTACGCCTCCCTGCTTCTGTGCTATCCTGATCATACTTTGCGCCTCTGCAGACCGATTGAGTGCTTGAAGCTCGAATGCCCGGGCGCTCCAACCGAACATCGGCCCTCTTTACTGCGGCCGGACCATCCCTGTACAATATGATTCCCTTCCTTTCCACTCGTCGCACTCGACCACACGTTTCTTCGTTCGCAATATGCATCACGGTCTTCTAGCCCCTCTACGTCTGAATGACTTCAGTCACGAGTGCTGATTCGATTTCACTGACAAGCCAAACCCTAGATGGTGGGGCCAGTATCGGAGCATGCGCTTAATGCGCCAAGTTTTCCTCTTCCCCGTCCTTCCCTTTGTCCCTCTGAGGTCAAGCGAGCTAGCGTGTTGGAATGAAAGCTACACGGCTCTCGCCAGCGATGCAAACCACACCCGTGATGAAGTCGCGGGATGAAGCAGCCCCGCGAGCCGTTCTCGAGATATGAAGTCAGGAGGCGGACAAAGCATTGAAGACCACTCGCACGAGAGAAACCTATCCAGCGCGCTCTTCTCCACCTGCTTTTGGTTGCAAGATCTCACACACAGAAGGCGGTCGAATTTCGGATGGATGTGGCAAAATCAAGGTGAGGCGAGGCATCTGAGCCGCAGTCACACATTCAATTCACAGCTCTCTCTGAAATCAGGCTCAGTGGGGCAGGAGCACAGCGCGCTGACAGCCAGGCTGCGGAGTCACACTGAGCTCAAGCACCAGGGGGCCAGAGGGAGCCGACTGCGAGTGTTGCAGCTCGCCCGCATCCTTTGCCTCGGAGTGAGTGCGCCAACTGGGCCTGGGTAGCCGAAGTCGATTGTCCAGGAGCCAACCCGCATCGGGGCTGCAAGCTGTCATTTGCCTCATCGCTCCACTCACAACCTCCATCCAACATCCTCATTCTCCCCCACCCGCGTTCCGCGCTTCTCATTCCGGTTCCTCAGCATCTCTACGATATCCATCCTACTCTTCAATCTGCCGTCTCGATACGCTGCCGCCTCGCACAACAAGACCACATTCAATCGACACTCAAGGCAACCCCTCAACAGCTCATTCTCAAGTCCCGATTCCATCCAGTTCATTGTCTGCCGTCACAACTTGCCGCATCGCGCATACAAGCTCGTCTCCAACAACAGGAACCTCCGTCAGACTCTCAGCTCTAATTCGCTTGTACACTGTGCAGGAGCTCGTTGCTGGAACAACAACTGCCGAGAGACCTTCATAACTTTCTCCTCGATTCTGTTCTGCCACCAGCATGATCGCTGCTATGAGGCCTTCTCACGTTCACTCCACCGCACCCTCTGTACACTCTCGGCCAAGCTCGCGCAACTCCAACCACCTCAACTCCGCATCTGTAGCCTCTCCCTCCACACAAGCCAAGATGGACAAGCTGGCGGCAAAGGCTGCCACCAACGTCGCCAACGGCGTCTCTGGCAAGAAGGCTTCCGCTTCCAAGAAGGCCGACAAAGCGGCGCAACAGGCTGCCGCTAGCGCCGCCGACAAGCCCAACTCGACTCCCGGACTGATCACCTTGACGAAGCCCATGTCGGAGGAGATGCAGGCGTCCAAGCAGTCAGGCGGCAACGCCAAGCCCAAGAGGGCTAAAGAGGCTAAATTTGCGGCAGACGAGACGTCCGGCACTCCCATCAAGTCGTCTCGATCCAAGAAGTCGCGGTCGTCGCCCAAGGCCGACGCATCTGAAATGCTCCTCTCGAAATCGGCCCCGTCCGCTCCCATCAACCACGGTCAGCGAGCCACGCGCAGCAAAGCAGCCGACGCCGAGCCCACAGACGCCAACTCTGGCCTCACCTGGCAGCAGGAGATGTTCAAGCAGGCCTCGCGTTCCAACTTGGATCTGTCTCAACAGCCTAATGGCTCAAAGCGTCAAGGCAAGAAGGCGGCGGTCCCCAAGCACGACGGTAACCTCGCCCATCCTCAGAAGGTCCAGGACGGACGCGACTCGCCGGCTTTGACCTGGCAGCAGGAGCTGTTGGGTGCCAAGAAGCGAACCGGTCCTCACTTTGACGTCTTCGCCGACGCCCGTGATGTCGAGACGTTCGGCGCCGAGGACGGCTCAGCTCCCAACACCACTCACCAGACGGGCAAAGGTGGCAAGAGGCGTCCTCGTGCTGGCAGCTTCGGCTCAGGAGGGCAGAAGAATGGCAAAGGCGCCAAGAGCCGTCAAGCGGACGTGCCCCTTCACATCGACGACCTCTTTGAATCCGCCAACGGTATGGCCAAATCGAAGTCGTCGCAGTCTCAACGAAGCAACGCTGGCTCGGCCAACCACGCGACCAACCAGCACGCTCAATACCCCATGCACGGCGCCCCCATCCACATTGCTCCGTCCACGCCGGTCAAGAAGGCGACCAACGGCAATCAGCAGCATCCTGCTGTGGCCGCCGCCATCGCCTACGCCGGTCCCAACTTCCACAACTCGCCTTCGCCCGCCAGCCTGCCTGCGCCCAAGTTCCACAACCGTCCGGGCAAGAACAGCGCCGAGCTGGAACGCGGCTCGCACCTCGCAGCCGGCAGCAGCGGAGACTCGGGCAGCAGCGACGACGAGACGGTGCTCACCCGTGGCGTCCGCAGCACCACGGCTCCTGCCGAGATCGCCACTCCCTCGAAGACGCCTGCACCTGCCGCGCTTGCCTCGGACCGCATGGTCTCTGCCGAGTCGCCCGCGCCCAAGGCTGCCGCGCAGCCCGGTGCCACCGTCGAGAGCCTCCTGGCCCGCATGCTCGGCGGTGCCCGACTCAACTAAGTCTCATCATTGGCCCTCGGTCACAGGCCACCGCACAAGGCGCAATGTCGGATCTTCCTCTTCCAACTCGACTTTTCACCGGCTCGGCTGTCCTTCAGTATCGTTTCGATCGCATCGCAGCCGTCCATGCACCTCAAGATCCTTCCGCAAAGTCCAACAATCTGTCATCCCCGCATCGGTCTCGTTTCTCTGGCTACGGCCTGCCATGGACCAGCGCGTCAAATTCTGAAGCGCCCTGGCTCCAACGCGTCGATATCTCTTGCATCTAGCAAGTCGTGTCGGCGTTGTGATTCTTCCATCTCTCACTTGCTCTCGGCCTCGATCCCGACCTTGTCCAGCTTCTTCCTGCCCATCGACGCAGCCAATTTTCGCTGCAGCGTGGCTCTCTCAAGTCAAGCTGTCTACTTCCCACGTTTCTCTGAGGACGCTCCCGTGCCATGGGTTGGCTTTTCGTTGTCCGTCGCATTGCATCTCGTCCTGTATCAGTGTCTGCTGTCTTTGTCGGACATCCCGTGCCGCGCACCTCTATTGCAGGACATCTCGAATCTCGTACGATCAAGCGCATCGCAACGCAAACTAGCAAGCTCCAATTTCTCGATCTCAGCGTTCGGTACGCCACTTTCTGGCGGTTCACGACGCAGGCATATCGCTCAATCGCACAACCAAGCTCTCCGTTCACGGCAAGCATCCTGGTCTTCACATCACAATCTCAGGCTGCCACCTGTCTACGGCCTGAAGTCAATCAGCCTCAGCTTCAACGGCTTCTCGTGGCTGCTTCGCCACGACCCACCTTCCACCAAAGGCGTGTTCAGTCGCGGAATCTCCCCTTTCCTTCTCCCCCTTTCTTCCTCACCATCACCTCCGGTCAATGTCGGCTCCCTTCCTATTCTGCTTATCCTTACTCTGCTTAGGCTTATCTTTCTCTTCCACGCGCTAGATCTCTCGTCTGGACCCACGTGTGCTCACCTCTGGCCCACTCAGCGATGCTGTGGCGTAATTCATCCACCCTTTCCCCCTCTTCAGACGGCGGCCAGTATGAGGAGTGTGCGGGAGGACAGTTTGAGCGGCTTGTGAGCGGCACGCGTGAATGCGGTCTAACAAATCACACGCGGGCGCACGAGCGCAGAGAGGCGCGCAGTCGCGTAAAGCGCAAAGAGGGTTTTGGCGAAGTGTTGCATTCGCGGTGCGGTGACTTTGTCTGCTCTTGCTTCCGCACCTGCATCTTCCCCATCATCTCCTTCTGCGCTTAAAGCTTCAACGTCACCTCTGCTTTACCTGTTGCCTCGCTCATACCGTCTACAGCCACTCGCGCTGCTATCTCTTTCAGCAGCTTAACCGGTTCTGGTGATCCCGGTATCGACAACAGAGCTTGTATCGCCAAGATGCCACGCAAATCGACGGGTGGAGTGTCTTCGGCCTCTGCGCCAGGTACGCCCGTTGGCAAGACCGCTGGCAAGAATGGAGATGGAGAAGCATCCGGGGGCTTGATCGTTCCTGCTGAAACGAAAGCGGTTTTGCGGCAGCAAGAAGTGGCGCTCAAGACGCTCACGCACGGCTTCGACTCGTACGAACTCCCGCGTAGCAACGTGATCAAGACAGCGAAAGCCGACATCCCCGACAGCGTTCAGCTGCGCAAAGAAGTTCAACAAGCCCTAGTCAAGTCGGCAAGCGTATTCATCAGCTACCTCACGGCCACGGCACAGGAGACCGCACAGGGCAAGGGGGCAAAGATCATCAGTGCCCAACACGTGCTAGATGCAGTGGGACAGCTCGAACTCGGCGACGAGGCCCAGAAGGAGATGAAGGCACAACTGAGGGCGTATAGGGAAAACGCGCAGCAGAAAAAGCTCAAGGCAAAACAGACGCCTGCAGAAGACGAGAATGACGCCGACGTTTCAAGAGTCGACAATGCCGAAGAGGACGTCTCTATGCAGGTGGAAGAGGAAGATGCAGAGAGGGATCAACTCATGGAAGACTAAATCACAACCATTCTCCATCCCAAAGTTCGACATTACGTGATGGAGTGGCTAGGCTTCAGTGACGATTCCGACCTGAACATCAATGCCCGCACGAAGCAGGACGTCGATCCAGACCTTTTGTGTCTCGCTGAGTCTATCACCAGGTCCCTTGACCTCTACGAACCTAACCGTCCTATCTTGCATCCTCCAAACCACCAGATCGGGCATTCCGCCACTGCAGTGATCCCACTCCTCGACGAGCATCTGACACACTGTACTGATCGCGTGTCCACCCAGACATTCGGCGACCTCCAACACAACGTCCCTGCTAAAGAGGTCCCACCTACACCCCACTGCCCAGGTCTTTTTCGGCCTTTCGCGGTCGTCAGCTTCAGCGATCAAGTCCAATCCGCCAGTGCGAGCGATGCAGTCCAACCGTGCACGGATCTCGGCGCCCCGCACGACGCCGAACGAGTCGGATCCCAAGTCCAGCGGCGCCGCTTGGTACGGCGTCTCAAACGAACCCGCGATGCCGTCCATAAAGATAACGTCCCACATGACTAGTACGACGATCATGGTGAGAAGTTTGCCTTCGCAGTGGAAGCCGCGGAAACCCTCGCGCGCGTAGTGCTGCAGACACAGCTGCTCCACGTTGCACGCCTGCCCGTCCAGCCCGCGCCAGACCGACCGCATCGACCGCCGCGTCGACGTGCCGACCGTCGAAAAGTCGCCGCCCGAAAGCAGAGAGACCGTGGCGGCATCTGGTGCAGCTGCCATGTCGTCCCACGAAATGTCGTCCAGATCCTCCTTCTTCACCGCCAAATCGAGCGAGTCGGAAGATGTGTCAATGTCCGCCTCGGCTGCGCCAGGTGTGGCCCAGCTGGATGCAACGGCGGGCTTGACATCGGCCGCCGTGGTGGGCTCGGCGAACGACTCGATCTTGACGCGCTTAAAGAGCGGCTTGCGGATCTGAAACACAGAAGCTGGCTTGGTGGGGCTACCTGTGCGTGATCCTGGTCGTGGTGGCGTGTTGCTCTTGGACCGTGGCTCATCGGGCGACGTCGGCGGCGATGCACCAACACTGCCACTGCGGAGGAACTTGGAGAGCGCCGTGATGGGCTCGTTGGTCTGTGCATCCGTCTCGACCATGGCATCGAGCCTGACACCCTTGAAGACGACCTCGGTGGTCTTCTTGAGCTTGGTGTACGAGAAGTCATGCTGCTCCGAGCGGGGCACTCTGAGCTGCGACTCGAGCCTTGCGATGCGTCTCTGCAGCGTATCGTGATAGATCAGATGCGTATCGGGATCCTGCATGCCCTGAACGCTGATGGCGAGGGCCTCCTTCTTTCCCTTGCGCAGGTCGTCCGAGTACAGCGCGGTGATGAGCGCGAGGCGGTCGTACCAGTCGCCCCTGCGTCCGCGGCGAAAGACTCGCTGGTCAAGCAGGGCGTGCAGCACCTCTTTCTCGCGCTCGCGCAGCTTGAAGCGCGCGAGCACGGCGGCGCCCTTGTAGACGACGCGCGTGAGCACCCAGCCCGGATGGAAGCGCATGCGGTGGTACACCATCTTGTCGATGCCCTCGGGATGCGCAGCGATGCATTCCTGCACGCACGACTTCCACTCGGCCCACACCGACTCGAACAGCGCGAGTGCGGCGCGGAAATCATCTTCAGTCTTGCCGAACTGCATCAGGTGCTCCATCTCGGCCTCGATGGCGAGCGCCCGCTCAAAGGCGACCAGATGGTCGCGCGAGGGGAAGAGGAAGCCCGTGCGCCGGTGCGTGTAGGCGGGGTAGTTGCGGATGCGCGAGCGCGACAGGATGGCGGTGGTGAGCGCAGCACTGCCGAGCAGGTTGCCGCGGTAGTAGACAAGCGCCACACGGTCCACGAGAGAACGCAGCGCGGGAAGCACCTGGATGCAGCCGCTTCCGAGCGCGGCAGACAGCTCGTCCTTGAGCCGCGATGCTTGCGCGGGCCCTGCCTTGGCGCCGCCAAAGGTGAGCGTGAGCTGCGTCGAGCTGCCGTTGGATGAAGCTGGAGTGGATCGCCCGCTCGACTTTGTGGGGCTCCTCATGAGCGTGGATTGTGACCGCGTTGCCGAAAGGGCGGCGACGATCTGCGCGCGCGTGGTGCCGAGCTTGGTGATGCCCATGTTCTTGGCGATGGCCTTGAGCTCGTCCATGTTGAGGAGCGAGAGCGACTCGGCAATGCCGCCCTTCATGTCTCGGTCGGTGAGGACAAAGCGGTCCAGGGGCGGATCGTCCGAGCTCGGCTGATTCAGGGTGGCGCTGGACTGCGATGCCTGCTTCGAACTGACTGACGCTGTTAGAGGCTTTTTGTGTCGATACGTCGGGGTGAGCGGAAGACCTGTCTGCTCGTCCAGCTTGAGCTCTCGCTGAAGAGAGGGTAATGTGAGCGTCGCGTTCTCCTTGTCGTCCTCCAGGGCCGTTGCGCGACGCGTCTGCTCTTCGAGCCTGGCGGACTCTACCTTTGGGCCATCAGAGGGCGGCGAGACTATCTTGCGCGCCAGCTCGTGGGTGGCCGCCTCCAGATCACCCGCCTCGGCCCGGTAAGATTCGAGGCGATCGAGACGGTACCATGTGTCCTTTTTGCGTTGGAGAAGCCGCACGAAAAGGTAGCGGGCAGGATAGGAAAGCATGAAGTACGCCGAAAGAATGTCGAGCTCAGCGTTGGAGAAGAGATAGGACTCGGACTCGAGGACCGAGCAGACCATGTTCTGGAACAGCTCCGGGTACATGGAAGAGCGCGAGCCAGGTCGATAGCCGGTGACCTTTTGCCTTGGTGCGTCATCTTGGTCGATGCGACTCGGAGCGACGGTGCGCGCTCCGACGTCGATTTGCATGGTGAAGCCGACCGTGGCTTACGGATTTGTTGTTGGATGTGCTCCGATGGCTGCGAGGGTGCGAAAGGTGCTTTTGACGGAGCTTAGTAGCTCGCAGGGCGTCTGACTCGTGAAGGTCGGAGGGTGCCGGCGCAGAACGAGCAATCGCCTTGAGATCGGAGCGAGACGTCGAGAGGTTCCTGGCAGCTTTACGTCGAGCCAGGAAGATGGCCATTGCCTTGAGCGGGTCGTGGGAAGATTTGAGCGAGGAGTCCTTGTAAGCGTCTTCTATGCGCTGATCTTCGGTCTTGCGAGACTCTGCGCCGTTGCGAAGATGAGGAGTAGTGTACCACGGATTCAGCTCGTCGTCGGGCTGGAGAAGTGGGTCACCACCGGAAGCCGGCTTGCCAGGACTAGCGATTCGTGCAGCGATGCTGTCGAGAGCGAGGCTCTTGCGCCCGGAGCGAGGTGCCTGCAGACGTTCGCGGTCCGACCGATTGTAAGGAAGGTAAGATTTGCGATGTAGCAGATTAGAATGCATGCTGTGCGCTTCTATGTAGCGGCTGTGCAGCTCATTTTAATGTAGCGAGCATCTTGAGCTTGCTTGCCAATGCTGTTGCGATGTGTTCAGAAGGTGGAAGGAGCCCGACTTGGGCTGAGCCATTCGTGAGGGAGCGGTCTTTTGCATGCAGGGTCCACGCACCTCTGCTCCCCAGCAAACGACTCTTCTCTCTGCCTCGCGAGCAGATGAGCAAAAACCCCGATGTTCGGGGGTTGTCGAGTTGCGCTTCCGTGCGGGAAGAGAGCTGGAAAAGTCACACTTTTGGTTGCCGCGTCTTGAGACGCGTCTGAAGATGCAAAGCGAGGCGGCCCATCGGAGACCAACACTTCTTCGACAAAGCCAACTACTGTAACTACCCTGCACCGCGAAGCCGCAAACCAACGGACGAGTCCTGAGACTGGCAGAATCGGGCGCATCGGCCGGTAGCCCGCCGGAAGATCCGAAGCGCGCTGGGCCGTGGCAAGGCACACAGCCGCAACTCAAATACAGTAATGCCGAATGAGACGCCGCACTCAGGGGCCGGCGTGGGAGCTTGCTCTGAGCGCGCCGAAAAAAGGGCAAAAGGTGCGAGTGACGCGAAGTCGTGCCGGAAGGCCGGCGCCCCTGTGTTTGGATGCGGCTTTGAATTCCAGCCTTCGCGAAAGAGCGCTTTGAATTCACGCGGATCGGTATAGGGGCCTGCCTGTGTTGGTTGGTCCAAAATGAACCCTTTTTTGGAAAATAGGGCACCGCACCGGTGGAGTGCGCCGTCGCGCGCCGCCCTTTCTCAAAAGTGGAGACGGAGCGCGAGACAGCAGCAAGCAAGCAGCAGCAGCAGCAGCAGCAGCAGCAGCAGCAGCAGCAGGCGGGCGGGCTAGCTTAAGTGTTGTTCTAGGCTCCAACTGCGAGCTGCAGCCGCTGCAGCCCGCGTTGGAGGTTCACTCGCTCACTCACTCGCTCTCAAGCGGGCGTCGAGGTGGAGAGGTGCGAGCGGGTCGCGCCACGCCAGACGGCTGTGCGACGGACTGCAGCCTACTACCGCCCACCCTCCTTCCTCCCAACCATCACTGCTTGCTCCTACAACAGCATCTCCCACCTGCACAAGCGTGGCCACTCCCTTTCTCCTCTCGTTCACTTCAAGCACTCCTCGCTTTCGTTTCGGGTTTCGTCAAACCAGGCCTTCGCTGTTGCTTCCATCTACTTTCAACGCAGCATTCGTCTCGCTTCTCTACAATCATTGCCGCCCTCCTTGGTCGAGTGCCAGAACAGACGCTCAGTCCCATAAACACCACCACGCCCTACACCAGCTAGAAGGCGGCGTAACGCCTCGTACAACACCACCAACATGGTCGACGTGGTGCGCACAAAGTCGCATCTCTTCCGTCCATCACATCGTTCCTCTCCCTCTGCAGACGCAAGCAATGCCGCACAGCTAGCTGCAGCCATGCCTCGCCCTTCCCGCGGCGTAGGCCAGTCTGCTTCCGATGCTGCGTCCGCCGCCGAGTTCGCTTCCAAGAAGTACGTCTGGATCCCAGACCCTGCACTTGGCTATGTCTCAGGCTGGGTCATCAAGGAGCAGGATGGCGGCGAGACCTCCGTCTGCGCCTTGCAAGACGGATCCAACCGCGCCGTACCCACC